TAATATAACATAATATAATATAATCTACATTACTTTTAATATTTATAATTCATTGATATCTAGGTATCCAAGTCAATTTATCAGAGGAGTACTCAATGGAAGAGAAATAAGAAGATCATATACCCCATGTATTTTTAAATTCTGAACGAAATGAGGAATGTATTGGTTTTACTATGATGATTTTGAATCAAGTCGGTACATTAGGGAAGGGGGGATAATTTTTCGATTTGCCAAGATGTTTTCAACATAATTGGGGAAAACTAGAAAAAAAAAAAACTAAGAAGAAAAACTGATAAATTTACGGCGTTACCAATTTCAATATTTTAACATTTTTCTTTTTTGCAAGAAATCTAGCATCGAAATTGAAATGTCGCATCTTTTCTGAAAGAAAATCGTTTCTTGTTAAAAAAATTTGATTTTAATATTTTGTTTATCATTTATAAACAATAATTTCAAAGTTTTAAAACATTCCTCAGAAACACGAAATTGGAAAACAATGAATAAGCTCTCCTCAAAATTATACGAATATATGTCGAATACGGTTAATAAAATTGTAGTCTTGTAAATGTATTAACATTGAACATTGCATATATTATTTTAAGGTAAATTTCACATTTTAAATAAAAAAATGTCCTCTTTTCATGTAAAATCTTATACAGTTTTATATTAATATAACATGTATTCGGCATAATTATTATAATACAATATTTGATTCATCATAGTTTAATTTTTTGTTTGTTACAATGTTTTACTTTAACATTATGAAAATTGCTTTAATCATTAAGTATATATAATTTAAAAATGTGTATTTTGTTAAGTAATGCAATAATTTATTATGTTTTGAACACTCCTCTTTTGACAAATCCTGGTTACGCTATTGTCACAAACAAATAACTTAAGACAAAAATATGTAATTTATAGTTTTCCGTATATAGAAATTGTGTAATTAATTATAAAATATGTCAAGCTTAAAAATGTAAGAATTGTGTATTACAATTCAAAGAAATTATCAAATAATAACCCGTATGGATAATGGGCATAATATTATTATAATATATTAATATATTCAGATAGTAAACGGTAAATATACATAATTGTACCTTGCTATAGGCTGTATGACTAAAACTACCCATATTAGTTATAATAATTATTTTTTTTACTCAATTATTGTTCATAGCTCCAGTAAATTATAATAATATGAACCTACTAGCTGGCTGCAAGTATTATAAGTTTTTAATTTTATTGAGTAGGTATACTTACTGTCAATTTTAATTTATTTTCTAATGATTACGCCTATTCTATTATAACAGGTTTTGTTTAGCTATTTTGACTGTATTATTGCCGTATATTTACACTAAAATTGTATCAAATGTATTGTAGGTACAAATACACATTAGGTATAGTGCACCGCAAATATCTCAAACATTATGACTACAAAAACGCACTTTTAAAAGTTTCTATAAATACTAAAATAGTATAAATCAACAATATTGCATACCTATTACTCTATTTAATATAATAAAGTACATTAATTAAAAATAATTACCGTTTTTATACAATATTATATTTTTAATATTGGTTGAAAAACTCATAGTACTAACACGCATACACAATAATTACACACAATATGACATTTTTTTACCTAATATTATTTTAGATTCTATAAAGGGTGATTCATTAAGCATGCTCACCCTATTTTTAGGGTTAAATTATGCATTTATCCCAATTCTGACTTTTTAATATTTTTAATATTTTTAATATATTTTGTAGTTAAAGACATATTTTTGTATACTTAAATTTTTCACAAAATGTAAGGAGTATCATTACAGAAGTATAATTTGTGCGCCTGGTGTTTAAATAGTGCTCCACTATTCTCTTCCTACTTAAACTTAAAAGTGGAATATTTTGTGAACGAGTTAACGGAAATCAAAAATGTCAACACCAAAATTTATTTTATCTAATGTTCCTTTATTTATGAAATTTTTAATATGGATTCTCATTTAGAAAAAAATCATAGAAAAAAAGTATTGGGAACCTAGATATTTTCTTTTTAAATGAAGTACTGCTTGGCATCCATGTCTTCCAAGGTAGAGTACGAATAATTTGGTGTATTTTTACTAACCGAAAAAATATTTTTCGTAAAAAATTCCCTAAAAAGAATACCGACCTCACAAGTTTCCGCTGTCATTTGAATTTTTAATTTATTCTAAGACCAGTAAATATTCGAAATGGTTACGCGGTATCCCAATACAGACACCGAGGTGCCCCGGGGCGATTATCCTTTAGATGTTATGACGTGTGAAATCAATATCTAAAATGTGTGATTAATTTAAAATATTGTTCATATTATTACACGCGATTCATGGGTTACACATAATATATTTCCCGGGTCAATAAAATTTACTCAGTGGTACAATATGGCTGCCAATCTTCAGGTTCGCTCACAAGAGACGGTTATCTAGTTGTTTTATTCACCTGTTATATCCCATCAAGGGCTATCGACGTGAATATTTTAATCGGGACATATCAGATCGTTATCAATAAGGCGACGATATATATACCCGTTCAGCGAATATCCGGTCGGACGTCTGAAACCAGAATTTTCGGAAAACACGTCTTCGACGATACGGGTCGATGAAATTTGGCTGACCGCTTCGAGCCAACCTTGGGCGCGTGAATTCACATGGCGTACACGCAATAAAATTATTACATTATTTGTGCTCTGTCGTTTTGGGATGTTTAATATTATATCAGCAACGTTTCATTAATGTAATATCGTTTTCGAAAATGTGTTAATTAGCTGGCTGTACTTCTCGGAAAACAACATCACGCGTCGTCCCGGGGTCGTCGACCGCGCGCGGGCCCCGCAGACACGTCGACGGTTTCCCCGTTTCTGTCCTACCGAATATTATTATAGTATTATTGTCGAGCGTCTAAAAATAGTTTCAAACTACTTCTCCGGAATGAGGTAATATATCACTATAATAATATTATAATACTATTATACTCTACTGCTCCACTGTGAATTTCCGAACGCAACCATGAGAGGCCCACAGAATAAAATTCTATAACCAACTAAAGAAAGGGATTAGTAACCCGGGTTGTCGTGACCGTCCCCGTTACTGAAAATGACCGAGTGGATTTATACAGGAAAAAAAATAATTGTATACATTTTATTATTATCAATACGGGCGAAAGTTAATTATAGAACAATAAATAAAAAAAAAAAAAAGTCAATTACGCGAAAATTGATTATCAAATGCGCATATTCACTTTCCAAATACGCGAAATAAGTTAAATGCGATTTAGAATAAACCCTAAAAATATGAAAATCTAACGACTTTGCACTAAAATCTTAGGTACAAAACGTACGGAATCGTGTGCTTTAAAATGTGCACGGTTCCGTTCGCTGATAAGAACCGTACGGAATCGTGTTCTACCCACCCCGGAGATGGACGAAAGGCGCAGGTAACAACCTGATGGCAATTAAATATCTGTTTTCTTGCGTTTTTATGTGGCCGAAAGCACTTGCAGGGGCACGAGTTTTGCTTCATGTATACAACAAATAAATATGTAAATAAGCGATAGTCGGACAGGGTGAGAATGTTCGACGCAAACAGTGCGTCCTATTTGGTCGGTTCAATGTTCAAACTAACATAAAAAAAAAGGTTAGTGAATAAAATGAAACTCGAGTTTCCGTGAAGAATAAAAAACAAACTTAGCTTTTTATTATTAAAAACATTATTATAATCTAAACTTCATTTATAGTAAAGCAAATTATTAAATTTTAAATTGTATGTAAACAACTAATACAATTAAAATAATAGTCCTAATTCAAATACCTACTATACAAAACGACACGAGACCTTTTCTCATAATATGGTTTACGTTAGGCCTCTTAACTAGGTATTTTGCTTTCATATCTAACCTAACCGATGATAGTCATCAATCATCCATAGATTAATAAAAAGTATTAGGTACTCAATGCAATCGACACACTCTCTCATCTTCAAAATAATATTATTTAAAAAAAAAAATGTCTATAATATGTTTTTATTGTTACCTATATTGTTTGACGTGATTGATTTATTTAGAAACAAATGCATTTATGTGTAAAATAAAAAGTATTTGAATTAAATTTTGTGTTTAACAGTATTGAAAACTTGAACCTTCATAATAACATATATAAAAATGTATTTTAAGCACGCGAATGCTGCAAATTTCGGGCACTAGTTATTAACAAATTACGTATGTCTATACTCTATTATAGACTATAATCGTACAAAATATGTTGTGTAAACCTTTGAGGCAGAAAAATCAAAACTGTTTACTTATAAAAACTTATACCCTAAGACCCACATAATTGTGGCTAGTGATTAGACATGAAGATGTAGAGTATTCGTATTTTTCTAATTAAGAGTATAACACAGACAATTTAAATAAACAGCGAAAGTTAATACCTAGGTCTCTAGGTTAATTGATGATAACACGTTTAAAAATGCCGATATTTATACGATTTTCGTCAAAACTTTAACTTAAAATGCTTATAAAAAAAATGTATTACATTATACTTAACGTTTTTTTTACCACTGACTTATGATGAACCTCGTGTAAATCTGGCAAGTATTTCTGCTCTTTCAAAACAATTCTATCTATATAAAAGCAAATAAAAACTAAAAAAATTGAAAATGTTCTACTAAAAACACTGCATCACTCTCGCATACACTCACCAGTCTCAAATCATTCTCAATCGCATAAACCACCTCTTTTTCGATCTGCCTCTCCCTTTTTTCTCCTATATTTAATTTCATTTAAACTCTTACTGCTTTTGATTAATTACTTCTTATGACACACCCAAACAATCTCAGTCTATTTTCTCTTATTTTATCCCCTATTAAATTCATACCTAAGGTACCTCTTATGTATTAATTTTTTATTCTATCTTCTCTCATCACTCCACTCATCCACCTAAACATTTTCATCTCTGCTACATTCATTTTCTATGATTTTTCTGTCCACTGAGCACCAGTCTCAATCACACTCCTGTAGACCTTCCCTTTAAGTCTCATTTGAATCCTCTTGTCACAACAACGTTTCTCTTCACTTTTTCCAACCACACTAATCCCATGTTTCACATCTCTATCAAAGCCATCGTTCATTTGTATAAAAGATCTTTAGTACTTAAAACTCTCAACTTCGCCTATTTCGTCACCATTTATGGTCATTAGCTGTTTTATCTTGTCAACCTTTTGACCTGTTCTTCCAAACTCGTGCTCTATAAACTTTGTTTTACTTATCCTAAGTCTCTTTCCTTCGAGTACCATTTTCCATTCACCAAGCCTATTGTTAACTTCTTCAAGATTTTCTCCTATCAAAATTATATCACTTGTAAACATCATACACCATGCCCACCGTTCCTTGCCTCGTATTTTCTTCATAACTTCATCCATTACAGCAGAAAATAAAATAAGTGCTCAAGGCCGACCCATGACGCACATATACTCTAACTCCAAAATAATTACTGTTATAATTTACCTTATTTTCTTAGAGGTTGGTTCAGAAAATATTTTGTTAAAAGAAAACTCCTTATGTTTTTGTAATAAAAAATTTCTGAAATAAATAAAAATAAAATAAATAAATAAAAAAAATAATCTATTATTCTATACACAATTTTTATATTCGTATTAGAACCTTCATGTATAATTTATACCAGGTGATTCATTTAAGTGCACTCATTATCTCGGAAAGTTTTAACTTTTTCCAGAATTTGTTTCCTAAAATATTTAAGAAACAAGCTGCTCTACAATTTTATATTTATTTTATTTTTTTCTCACCCTTATTTTTGAGGGTAAAACCCTCTACCTACTTTTAATTTTCAAATGGCAACCTTTATTTATGGACTTTTTAGTCCATAAATATATGGAGTATTAATTAAAATCAATTTTAGTGTTAAAACTTTTGATTTCCGTTGATCCATTGACGAGATATTCCACCTTTAAGTTTGGACTGAAGGAGAATAATGGAGTGTCATTTGTGTAGCGGTATGGTGCGGACGTATTTTTAATGCACCAATACTGTCCTCTCCACTACTCTCTCTATTTGAAAATCAAAATTAGATAGTGGTTTTACCCCCAAAAATAAGGGTTAAAAAAATATAACATAAACATAAAATTGTAGAGCTGGTTGTTTCTTAAATGTTTTAGAAAACAAATTCCGAAAAAACTTAATACTTTCCGAGATAATAAGTGTACCCACATTAATGAATTACCCTTTATCTTCCATCAGAATTAGACTGATATACAATCTCCGAACTCCTTTTCTCATTAACGTCCACATCAGAACCTCTCTTGGGCAATCTGTCATAAGCCTGCTCTAAATCTATAAAAGCTATAGATTTCCTTTCATCTCTCTGTACTTTTTTACAATCTGTTTCACACACTTAGATATTGATGTATTACTTCTATTGACTTTTTTGTAATTTTTTCCCATATCTTCATACAATAACTCATCAATTGTATACCTTTATAATTTCCACTTTCTTGTATTTCTCCCTTTTCTTTAAAAATATGTATTACAAAATTCTATAAATAATTAAAACATCATCAGAATTAGTTGATAATTTTATAAAAAGCAAGTATGAGTATTCTGTGAAAATGTAAGATTTCTAAAATATTTTCAACTAATTAACAAAAAATAAACAATAATAAAACAGTAATAAATTCAGTAAACTTTCTCGTTTTTCCATGATTATTATGAAAAACTACATGGAAAATCAAAATATGACCTCCTCAATGCACTAGTCTATAAACAAGAGATTGATACCGTTTCGCGCATGCCGAATGAACAGTGAATGCTGCCGCTCCGATAAATTCCCTCCACATAACCACAGGAGTTTACGATGACGAGTTGTACAACGTGTTAAATTGCTCAACTATTATTGTGCGGTACATTTTACAGTAATTGGTCATCCATGTTTGATCAATTTTAATTATATATAATATTAACTAACATAACTATTAATATTAATTTAATGAAATTAAGTTTAAAATAAAAAAATGAAAAAAAAAAATTGTATATATAAAACGTCAGAATAAAAACGACAACGTTAACGTTCTGTACATCACGTGTAAACAAACAACGGTAATGGTTAACGCGTCGCAAAGGTTCGTTGTAGCGGTCCGACATGCGGTGGGACATGCGCAGTCGACGACCGGTTTTGGTCGGCGGTCGGTACCGTTCTCTGGCGGAACGGACTATAGATCCATAATGCTACAAAACAGCGATTTAGTCGTTTCAAATTGGAGCATTCTGATAGTCAAATTGTTTACAGACGCAAAAAAAAACCACATCGTAATAAAACCAATACGTTCCTTGCTGCGCCTGCCTCATAATTTTAAAAAACAAATAAATGTCAAAGAAATAATTCGTGATTGTCCGTGTTATAGCGACACGAAAACGGCATACCACGCGAATTACAATTATTATTATTTTTGTTGAAGAACAATAGGTGTTTTATACATTTGAACGGAAACCGTAATTCGTTTTGTGTCAATTAGGTTTAGGTACCACCTACATAAAACGATATAAATTGGTCGGTCGCTGAAACGAAGTGTTAACAACGTGTTCCGATACCCGTTACGTCCGTGAAAACGGAAAAGCGGGTTCGAAATGTAGACAGAGAGAAAAAACAAATCGCGCGAATTTTCCGCGCGATAACCGAAGATAACGAAACACATAACGATAGGTATTCTAAAAATCATTTTCGATCATCGGAATTCGCCGCGTGACGTTGCGGCGTCCATGTGTCCGAACCGTATGACCGGCGGTGGGGGGCGGAAGGGAGGGAAGCGAAGTCGCGTCGACGGCGGTGGCGGCGGCGGACACAAGGTAGAGGAGGGGGTGAAACGGACGGCGGGTCGTGACGTCATAAAGTTTGTAATCAAACCGAGTCCATCCCGTTGCCAACTTCGGTCGGAGTACGTCGTGTGCTGAGAGCGTCGCGCGTCGTCAGCTGGTACCCACGCACGCACAGTCCCGCCGTCGCCGCCGCTGCCACCGCCGCCGCCGTTGTCATTCCGCGCTCGTCCTGCCCGCGTACACGTCGCCGAATTCGCGGTCGACGCTGTGTCTGTTTAACTTTTCTTTTTTTTTTTCCCCTTATTCTTTTTTCTTTATTATTTTTAAAAATATTATACTCGAGTGTTCGTCAGCGTGCGTTTCCAGCATTTCGGCCAGTGCGTGTTCAAGATCCGGCCGGGAAAAAAAACGTGCGGATTTTTAATTTTTTTTTTTTTTTTCTAAATACTTTACGCGAGTTGTATCGGTTCATTAATTTTTTTTTTGTACTTCTATTCGCTGTTGCACCGTATAAATCCATACGTAATGTTTACGTAACCATGGTAGACAAATAGCGATATATTGGTCAGGTCGTCAGCAATCTCAAGGTAAGACTACCGAGTTGATATAAAGAAAAAAATTACACCGCAATTTAAATTCGTTTGTTTGTTGTTGAGACTATCTGCTCGTATTAAGTATATTGTTGTATTATATTTGTTTGTTCACTGTATAATTATCGTTTCTATACGTATATACCTACCTATATCGTAACAATGTTGTGCACTGTATTGTACCGATTAGTAGTTGTAGTCGAGAAGTCCTTAAAATATAGTCACCTACTTACGAAAAATTAAAACAAATTATAGGTTTTTTTTTTTTTCAATTTTCTCGCGTGCTCTTCCGTGGATATAATAACGACTGAATAGAACATAGAAATCGTTGTGCATAGATACATGGAAACGAGAATTGCATAGAAGTATCTCAAACCGCTATAATCAAATTTTTTACACGTACGTATATTAATGCGTGATATTGACACCACGGAATTATTATTATTATTTGTATTTGTTTTATTTAGACTTTGTTCGACAGGCGCGATTATAATACTTTATAGTATCTACGAGATTAATAATCATACACCTATAAACACGCGTTATGAATATAATACCTATTTTAATGAGGGGGGGGGTAATAAAAAAAATGAACGACTATATTATTATATGCGCCGTGATTAATTGGAGGGGGGGGTATAGTATTATTTATTTCGGTAAAAAACGGATTTAGTAATAAAAAAAAAAAAGTATTAAGCGTCGAGCACTTTGGCCAAACGACGGAAAACGTGGATCCACGTGTGCCGGTGGTGACTGGATGGAAGTAACAGCGACATTCGTAACAGTTACCGAAGCGTATAATACAATACGATCATAATAATATAGTTTGGACCCAGTAGAAATAGATAGAACCGAGATAGGTCAGGTTAGGTTAGGTTGCCCGTGTAGGATTCACACTCGCATACGCGTACCGTAAATCCGTTTATGTGTGTTTTTCAACTACATTTCTAATAACGAAAAACCCGAGTATATTCGACATTAATTGGGGGGTTTTTTTTTTTACCTCTCAGTATTGGCCGAGCACAGCCGTTCGCCTTTTACCACGTCTCAGTTATTACACCGTCTCAGTGGCGCCCGAGTATTTCACGATAGTTTCACGTTTAGCGTTTGTGCATGACGCCCACGACCCGCCTGCCCGCCCGCGCCGAAACAACTCCGTACCGGTTGATGCAAAATGCCGTTTAGACCGTTCGTCCGTCAAAGGTGTAACGGGGTCGGTATACCGCACACCTCGCGCACCGTACCACACAAACGCAGCGTTGGGCACCGATAAAAACCATTAGCAATAAGTCGAATGGCATAACGTACGTACAATACGGGTGTTATGCCTGTACAGCTAGGTACACAGACGTTATGTTTTGTAACGCGATGACCTTTTGGCCAGAACCGCGGTAATAATAACACACGGTATACTGTGTAAGTAAGGCACTCCCGCCCCGCGTATCTGGTCGTTCGATAAAAATTACCACCGTTACCAGCGTTCGATTGTATTTTAATCCCGCGGGGTGTTGTAAGAGACGGTGTAAACCGAGTGATATTCGGAAACGATCGTCGTGTCGTCGTGTGCACCGTCGTCCTCGTGGACTCATTACAATAGTGTGGTGTGCGCGGTGTGTCCGCCAATCTCCGTACGGTCGTATTATAATTTTGAGTACAGTGTAAATCGCTGCCCAATAGGCGCTGCGTGCCCTCGATAACCCGAGATTTTCGCAATTAATTGCCGAGATTTTCTAGTGAAGACTTCCCGTGTAAGATTGCCTAACGCGATTTCTACGGTCACCAGACGTTGTGTTTTGTACACGCTGATTTACCGTCCGATATCGAGCGGCCGACGGCGATCGAAGAAACGAAAATAATATTTTATAATACCAACAAAATAACAAAAAATAGTGTAACGCGTCGTTCTCGTCACACGCGTCGAGTTTCAACCCCCGCGTCGAAGAACGCGTCGCGATGGCAAATCGCCGTACGGAATACGCCTACACGTCCTGATGCCGTCTCTGTTACGACTTATTACCGTACCGCACGTTGAATAACCGTTTTTTAATTGCGTGTAAACGGGGCAGCGTTTTGTCGGGTTTCTGTTGAGAGGGAGGGGGGGGGGCGAATGGGAGAGGGACGAGCGAAATACGTTTTCGCCCGGGCCGTGCGTAAGGGGAGCTAGTTGGCCGCCTCTCGAGACGAATTCGGAAAAGCATTTTCACCGGCAGGTGTGTAATATGCATTTCAACGTAAACAACGAATAGAATGTAATTCCGATAATATACAGGGGGGACGTAGGGGCCGTGGCCCCTCGCTCCCCGCCCAAGCCCGTATTTTCGTTAAAAACAACTATGCAAAAAAAAAAAAAAACAATTACATAATATAGACTATTGCAGACACGTACAATTGTGTAGTCAAGAGGTATCTAAAAACCATAACAATCCTACAATATACCATGTATACTGCGATTTTTTTTTTTTTTATTATTATTTTTACGATTTTCTGAAAAATATGACCAGCTCCCCCACCCCACCTCCCCTCAACCATGTCTCCGAAACCGTCCCCGCGATAATGTAATACGGGAATATTTTACTATTATTAGGCGTATGCGTATGCGCGCAGTTCGTGTGTCGTATGTACGTCTTATTGTTGTGACTGCAGTCTGCGCTGTATTATATACGTACCTCTGGCAGCTGCGTGGTGCCGGGAGTTGTTTCGAGAAAAGGCGATAATTGTGCAGGTAATTTCCATTAATGTGCTCTCTTTTCTCTTTCAATTTTTATCGGCCGGGGGGCTGTAACCCATCGGGTCTATTTCCCGACACATCGATCCTCTTCGCATATACCTGCGTACGTTTCCACGTGTAGAAAACGTTCTTTCAGAAACGGAACAAATAACCGGAACGGTTGGCATTCAAATGCGTGTATAACGCGTGAACACGACCTATGGGGCGGGCAAGGGGGCACTATATCCCGCTTGGTCTGCGCTTACGAGTGCAATAAATAAATAAAAAACGTATCGATTTTCTTATAACTGCACAAATACGCGTTGACGAACCGTGTTTTAGACGCGAGGTTTTCGGATTAGGTATGCCAATAAATGTGATATATTTTTTTTTTTTTTTTTCTCTACGTGAACAAAAAAAATCGCCCAGTTTGTGTACACCGCGTAACGTAAAACGTGCCATGCTATATCGCCGGGTATATTATTACAGCGCGATACGACCGTCCCCCCCACAGCGCAACGATAATGTATAACAATATCATGTGTATAATATTGCGGTGCATCGCGCAAAGCAAACCGTCTAATCGCGAGCGCACAGTCCACGCGGTGCACGTGTGCCTTATTGGAAGACAAGAAAAAAAAAAAAAAACCGTAGTAGGCGCGATATAGTTGCGTGCACGCTGCTCTGTGTCGCTCTGCACAGCGAAATGTGCGACGATCGGCCCGATTCAAGGATCTTAAGTGTTTTCTAATCAAATACGTATCTACCTACCTACCTACCTGACTACCCACCTTTAATGCCTTGCCTATTCTCTCTCCCGCCCGTTGACCCACATCGAGCTCACTCGACTAGAACGACGACGACGGCGACGCAGTGCTGCACACACGTTTTCTCGACACGAACAATAATAAATATAATATAGGAAATCGAACTACATTAAAACGAATTTATCCGCGAACAATATAAAACTTCATATCGCGGACCGCTTCTTTTTCGAAAAAAAAAAATAATAATATGAATATGAATACGAATAACGAGAGAGAGAAAAAAGAAACCGAACCCATCGCCGCCGACGATGATGTCTACTCGTCGTTCCATTATTATTCCCGCTCTACTGTTATTTTTGCGTTTTTTTCGCCACACGATAGTCACGGCCAGACAACCGCAGTAATAACCGCTGTGCACCGACTGTCGTCTTGTAGTACGCGTTATTATTTTGGCAACTGCCGCACACGGCCGGCAATCGGAAAATAATCGATTTTTCAACCGTCTCCGCAGATAATTATTAATAACACACGCGGACGAGATTCCGTCGATTCCCGTGTACGGTTGTTTTTATAATATCTCATTGTAGCGTGCATTATAATGTATCAACAAGTTTTATTACGTACCATTATACGCGTGCGCGTATATTAATATTATGTAATATGTGTGTGTGTGTGTGTGTGTGTGTGTGTGTGTCGCAACGAAACATTTGGAGGCGAAAATGCAAAATTCTACCGCAGTTTCCGGTAACAGACTTTTGCGTTTTAGTTGTATTTTCCGATTGTTTGGGTATGGTTCTAGCAGAACTCGTGGCCGTGTTGTTGGCCGGCGACGTCATCATCGAGCGCGTCCGAGGAACGTGGGCCGTTACCCTGCCAACGGCATCGTATACCGTAACCGGGGCAACCGCGGGTGTATGGTGTTGCCCCGTGCGACCGACCGAGTGCCACCACGAGTGTTGGACTTGAGATGAAGTAAATATATATATATATATATGTATTGTATATAATGGAGAGGAAAAAAGCGAGAAAAAAAAAATTCGAAGCGAAACAATTGGTATTCATATTATAAAGCTGGCCGTATAAGGACGTTGTAAAGATTTTCGGTGGGCCTGATCGATGTTCCGACACGCGGTCGTTAGACTTTCGCGGACAGAGGCGCCGCCGCGTATCTCGCGACCGGATGTCACGGGATAAATTAATATTGTACAGGAATTTAACGCGGGCGGTGTTGGATTATAGAAAAAAATTGAGGAAAAAAAAAAAAAAGACGCCGCGATGAAAACAGAATGGCGAATATACGAGTTAATCATCCGAATGAACTCGTTGCATTTTAGGTAAACGAACGAGGGGCCACAGATTTTGTTTTTTAGTTGTTTTTTTAATTTTCAGCTCGATATACGTGGCCGTGGCCTGGTTTCGTTTTCTAACGCTTGCGGTTTGCCCCTTCGCGTGTTGTATACACCGCGAGTGGGTGTGGAAAACTCGTTATAACCAATGAAAACCAAACTCGTTTTTCTCGACTGAAATTCCTACGAGTCTTTTTTTTTTTTTCTTTCAACGCCAAACTGTTTTTTTTTTTTATGATCGAAAACGCCACGGTTTTGATTTCGCACACCGGCAGCAGCACTACTACTGTATCGCCCCGACTGTAACTAATTTAATTGACGTTTAATATTATAATAATATAATAATACACGAGTATACGGGATCGCGTTTGGTAATTAACACGGCCAATCAAAATATAATTTCGCTCAGACGGTACGAGTAAAATATTATCGCGGTTAATGTGCGCGAGTTTTTGTCTTAGCTCGGCTCGTTCGCCGCCGCAGTTTCGTGCGAAACGACCCGCGCGGCTTTATCGCGTCGCGTAGGTCGCGGCCGAACGTCGAACGTCTGCTTAAAAATAGGTTTTTTTTTTTTCTTCTTTACGCCCCGTTCTTTCTCCTCCGAGTGCACCGATTAAAAACGTTTGCGATTTCCTATTGCCGCGGACATGATGTTATTTTATGGCCGCCGACTCGGTGCGCGCAACGTCATCCGTACAACGATTGTACTCTGCAGTGGCGTGCTCAGAATTTGCATGTAATATAACGGAGGGGGAACGCAGGGCAATCTGAATTCGACTGGTTATCGGTGTCTCACTCGGGTACCCGTTCCTTCAAACAATACCGAATGGAGGGAGGGGTACGACGCTCTCGTCCCCCCTCTCGTGCGCACGCCACTGTTTATATCGTCATACCGTCCTCGTGGTCCTGCATCGCTACACAATATTTTCGTATGTAACCTACAATCGTAGCCGCGATCGGTCCACCGACTTAGAGAGAGCCGAAATTCTAGACGCATCACAGACCCGCGGGCGAAATCCCTCCACAGTCCCCTTTGCACGACACTTATAATAGGCTATTGCACGTTTATGTAAAAATGTACTATGACTTTTTCACGTACATTATGTGTCGTTTGTAGGTATAATCTGGATTTTGTTCTGCGTATTAACATTATGAAACTCGTGGGTATACATAATATTTAGTCGATACTATATTATAAAAGAGCTGACTGGGTATTTTCGGGGTGCTAGAGACTCCCTAGCAGCCCCCCAGTCTACGACGATATTATAATATTAAAACGATCACGCTCTGTACTGCGGTGACTCGGTAAATTCGCGTCTTATTAAACGCGTAATACGTAACAAAAAAAAAAAAGTAATAATACTTCATCGGAAAAATTCTCAATCTTCGGTATGGGTATATTATTATTATATACGGGATCTCGTTCTTAGAACGCGTCGATATTGGTAGAAAAAAATAAATAATAATAATATGAAAACCACGTTGAACGACCGCGTCGCCGGGTCGTCGGACGACCGGGCCAGGCCCCGTATCCGTAGAAACGCGTATAGGTAAAACTCGTTATCCCACCGAGCGGCAGCAGCCGCGGCTACCACCACGCGCGGCGGTGACGAGGACGAGGACGCGTGATGTAGCAGCTGTGTGTGCATGCGGTGTACCCGATCGTCGTCGTCGTACGGGCACACGACATTGTATAACGACTAAAAACGTTCGAGAGATGCTGTTCTCGACGGCGCGGCGCAATAAACCGATTGTCAAGGATGCGATTTCGCGCCGCCTCCTGACTGAGTTGTCGTGTTTTGTTGTTCGTCGTCGTCGCCGTCGAGGCATATTTTAACAACGGTGCCAAGGTCGTCGTCGTCGCGTAGCAGGCCTCGTGCGAACCGGTGGCGTCGCACTGTTTTGCTATCCCGATACGTTCCTCCCACCCCCCCCCNCCCCCCCCCCCCCCATACTTTCCTGCCAAACCGCCGCCATGAATGGAAAACGGCAACGGGAAAAACCGATAATATGAATAATATCGCGGTTGTTATTTGTAGGCGACGCGCGCGCCCGTAAAAAATCTACGCCGGGTAAACTCGGCCCGTCGGCGGCGGCGGCGGGCGATTATCCCGCTCGTCATCCGCGTGAGCCGTGCGGCGGCGGAGGCGGACGAACGGCTAACGTACGGTATAATAGTAACAATATAATATTATTTTGTCCTGCAAGACGGGAACCGGCGGCGGCGTCGAGAGTATAACGAGACGGGCGACAATAAAACTGCCAGCCGCCGCCGCCGCCGTGTCCCGCCCGTTACGATATGATATTGCGTATTATTATTTTTATTATATATTGTCGTCGTCGTACCTATTCAAATATCGCCGAACAACGCCACGTCGTATTTTGGTGTAAAAAAAAAAAAAAAAAAATAAAATGTAATTATTTACCTAACCGACACGCCACCGTCGCTAGATGTACGGCAAACACAATAAAATAATATATCGAACGACCGTATAATAATATTGTAAAATGTACACTTCCGTCGCGCGGCGGGACCTTATCGCGCCGATAGGACACTCGTCGCCGAAGGAACACGCGTCGGTGTCGTCCACGCGCTCCTTGTCAGTCAGAGCCGCGTGTTCAGCCGTTCGGCGCCCATCAGCAAACAATAATTGTCATTTTTTTTTCCTCTCCATAAAAGACGTTCACGCGGTAAAATGGCGATAGAAAATCGCCATTTTATCGCCGTGTCGCCGTAATAAACCGGATACGAACCGGAATATCGGAAAAAGCGTCCTCACCTCCATCCCACGATTTTCACCGATCGGACTGGAAATCGCGGACCAAACAAGCAATAAGCGTTTAGCGAAAACCTCACTCCGACCGAAATTCGGGATAGTACAAAAAGATAAGAGCGCGAACAAATTCTTTAAATGTAATAACTTACGCCGCTAAATAACAGCTCGGAAATTTGTTCGCATTTATCACTTTCAACAAAAAAAAAAACGACCAAAAATATGAAAAAATTAAAAATTAAAATCAAGTTTCACTTTCGGAGTGTCTGTCACACACACACACGCATCGAATTACGGCGTATACTTGGAATGCATTGTCCTATAGAGCTAGTGCGTGAAAAAAAAAATAGAATGATTGACAATCGGTACGGATGAAGAATACTCAATACCTATTTATAGGCAAATATTATGAACAACTAATTTTCTCGAGTCTAATGGGTTTTTTTTTTTTTTTAAATTCGGTGCAACCTAATTCAACACTAAAAACCCGTAGAAATACATAACTAATATCCACTAAATATTTATAATACCATCGCCCAAAAGTACAAAACTTGAGTTTCACTTTTAAAGCGCATTTTTGTCACACGAATCGTAATGTGCCCTGTACATATTCTGTATATTCTGTAGAGACGCCCGGAAAAATGAATACACTGCCATATTATTATTATCTTGGTGCCGAGTAACATTCTATACCAAACTGAGACTCTTCGGGAAAAGACCCTCTTTACCTTCATATTTACACGGCCGTTTGGGTTCCCTGCTCCAATCCACCCCCTCCCCCCACTAAAAAACAAAAAATCCGGGTTCTTTTTTTTTTACTAGTCGTAAATCCGGCTTTGTAACTCCCCTACCCGCGCAGCAATCACCGTGAAATATTTCTAGACCATTGACCCGGACGCCGGCGACGGGCCTCCTAAAACTGTCGGAACGCTATAATAGAATATTCGAATAATATTTAAAATATCGTGTAGAGACGAATTTTATTCGTTATTATTAGTATAAAACAATATTATTAATCGTGTTTCGGACACACCCGCTCGGGATTTCAGACAATTTATTCCGGAGTGTACGGTACCCACGATAGAAATATACATAAGTTGGTAATAACAAACGACGAAAACATTTATAATAATGTGTAGTGACGCGCGCGAGTAGTTTTGCGGAATTATTAGTCACCGGGTCCAAAATGGTTTCCGTCACAGAAAACTGTCAGTGATGGGTACCGTTTTCCACAATAATGTACACCTACTGCGCCTACTTGCGTATAACGACATTTCGCTTTTCCGTTTTATAATATACAACAATATTATTATCCAATACGAACCGTATAAAATTCGTACGAAACGAGCATGTCTTTTTTTTTCCCCCGTTACTTTCGATGTTTGGGCCCATACACCGTCCAAACGGTCTCCGGTTTCCCTATTCCTTCCGATTCACTGCTGCGGGCTTTACTTTTCCTAGATTTTCCGATATAGCTTCCCGTCTGAGTACACAAAACTGGAGTAGGTACCTTACTAAAATGCATTATTGAATATTTTTCGATGCACCATTCGGCAACAATCAAAAATCTTTGTTATTTTTTCGGATATGTATTTTTTTTCTACATAAATTGTTTCGTTAAAAAATCAATTTTTGAACTAGAGTTATCCGGTTGTTGCTCCAAAATTTTCGAAAATTCATCAGGTAAAATTATAATATTATAGTTAGATCGTTAATAAAATAATTAGATATTATTTACCTATCACGGTATTTTTTTATTTTTAGCATACTTATTAATATTTCATTCTTTTCGATATTTTCGCAAAGTTCTCTGACATTTCCCATATTCCAATATTGTGTACCGTGTGTTTGATAATACAAAACGTATATCATTATAAAACAATAATATGTTGTCGAATATTGTGCACTAATAATATTATAATAATTGATTTAAAAAAATATTTATATCATACGTTTCCCCGTCGATTGAATATTATCTAACCTATAATGACACGGATATAAACAAATATTATTGTACAAATACGTATTTAATTATTAATTTATCATTTCAATAGTTATCTCTCTTTTTTTTATTTTTTCCGATTTTAGAGCGTTAATTGTTCGCCTCAACGAACACTGTTTACTTTGGTACTGACAAATAAATATCCCGCGTTCCGACTCGTTGAAACACAACTGCCTCATTATAATAACAATAGTATATTTTCAGAGAATTTATTCGATAAATTGTGTTTGGATACGAATTTTTTAATTAAAAAAAAACCATGCCCGGGCGACATAGGTGTCGGTTGATTTATATGCATGTTTTAAGGAAGTTTTTTGTATCCACATAGACCCCAGTAATGCATAAGAGAACTCCGCTAGAAAATTAATGGCAATTAATGATTGAATTAGTAGATTGTGTAACAAAACATGGGAAATACTCTTACTGGCAGGGGAGGGGTAACTGGAAAAAGTCCAATTGTCAAGAGGAAGGTTCCGTTTGTCTGCTCGTGGAACTCGTCTACAATAATATACTCATGAAGCTTTTTTTAACTGGAAACTCAAGGGACATTCACTTGAAAAAATGCCCTGCAGGCTAAACCAGCGTGTAAAAATAGTTTCGAGATTAGGATTTGTCGACATAATAATATAGTAGGTTTTATAATTATATTGCGACTAATTAGATACGTCTAAAACGAATGAATAAACGTACTGTTTGTATGACGTATAATATTTCTAATACAGATTACGTTTTCAATTATTACCTAATCTATAAACAATAAATTTGTTTACCGAAATTCCCCCATTTTAGTAGAACAAACTATTTTTTCTATATTATTATGACGTGGTTTTTTTTTTTATGTTGGTATACAATATTATTATTGTCACGAAATTCACGAAAACAAGTTTGGCTTTGAAGAGGTGATGTAACTGTAAATTATTATTATTATTATTATTATTATTATAAATTCAGCACTGCTGTTCAATATTCACCGCTCGTGGTATCTCGACTGGGTAACTACACGGTTTTTAAGGTTACCTAGCTACCAATTGAACTATTTTTTTTTATCATTATCATTTTTCTAAAACTCGTTGCAAAACCTCTCGTACCAATCGAATAATAATATTATATTTTTCGTCATGACCTCGTATTTTCTTTTTTTCCTTTTCGAACAACATTGTTAAAAAAAAAATTATATTATACTATTGAGTGCGCCTGGTTTTTTTTTTTAATAACTTCGTTAAGATAACAAATAATTTTCTGATAAAATGTAATACAATCGTATTATAAGTGTTTTTATTATACAATATAATAACGGTACTTACTTTACGACGACCAATATAACAATACGAACATCTTGACTGTTCCCGGTTGGGTTTTTTTTCTTCTTAATCTAAATACTGTCCATTTATTAAACGATAATATTATTTATGTTTGTACTGGACGTCGTATAATAATAATAAACAATCCAATTAAAGATAGTATAAAGTGTGGGATATTGTGGGATAACGCAGTTGACACTATACCAGAATATTATATACACACAATAAGTAAGATTTTACAAAATAAAATAATAATATGTGTCCTGTACAATACCCGGTGCACTCTTTTTATTTGTCACTTTTAATTTTTTTTTTTTCACTATCGCTTAACACAGGTGTATAAATATACTTTTAAAATTAAATTCTTTAAAAATAAAAAATTATTTTAATTTTTTTTTTTAATCAATTTATAAAACATAATCAAACCGTAAATCCTATGCCAACACGTCATTACAGTGCATTGTACAATGGCTTCTACATTATATTCTGTCCGTTGAAAGTCGGTTGGTATAAAAAATAAAGACTATTTATGAAGAAACTGGACCAAAATAAAAATGTTGTTTACGAGATAAGTGTATAAAGAACTAGTATAATAAAGTAAATCTGGATATGCCCCAAGTGGCGATTATACGTATTATTTTTTCTTTTCTTAATCCTGTATACTAAATTAGAAAGTAATGATTTTTATATCTATATACATAAATGTGCGATTTGTATAGTACTATAAATACTAGTTGGTATTTATTTTTTTTTATTTATCTGTTGGTCAATCATTTTCTTGAACTACCCCTTCCAAGTAATATTGTGCATTCGATTGCCTGTCGGCCATTTTATTGTTTATGCGAATCGGTAAGCGGATATTACCGCTTTTTTTCTAGTTCAAACTCGACGAATAGTTATTATTCGTATTCCCTATGTATGTTTTACTCACAATAGTAACAATTTTACCAACCAATGGTATGCAACCGACTGGTAGATATACCTAATAGACCGACTAGGTATATTTCCTCTACAGTATGAATATTGTTCTTTAATTTATTTAAGTGTGTAAAGTGTTTATACACACGTGTATACATTATGCATACATACAAAATCGAATGATTTTTAACGATTTTCAAGGTCAGAAAGGTTGTGCAACGGTAAACGAAACTTTTATTTTCATTAAATATAATTATAGATATCAAATATTTAACGAGTTATTATTTCGTTTACATTATTTTTAGGCAAACGTTGAATGGTAAATTGTATTCCTTCCTTCCGCTCTCCGAAGAAATATAATATATTGTATTATAATCACAGTTGATTCGTAAGTTTTATTTATAGTTGTTTTTATTGAAATCGGTGGGCAGTAGTTGCAATGTCACTAGAATTTATTATTCACTTCTCAGTTTATAAACTATAACAAGGCATGTAGTAGGTAGGTGTTTTTTATTTTTATTATTGTCATAGTGAAAAGTGGAATATTATGTATACCGTTGGTTTATGTTTTGATAACAATTCTCGATGTGTATTAATGAATTGATAATAATTATTACGGGTGTTATTTTTAGACGTTGAAGTGTATAAAATCCATAGAGGTTTCCATTCGATTTCCTTTTAAGTTAACGTTTTCAGAGATTGGCATAGCAATCACATGAATATTATTTATTTATGTGATTGATTGAAATAATGGATACAATTTAAATCATACAAACGTGAATCGTATAAGTGATAATAATTATCTTAAAACAATAATACGAAAGGAAAGTTAATAATGCAATATACATTATACAATTATACATTATTTCGCAATTACACAATTATATTATTTCAATATTATTCATACGGTATAGGAATTTAAATATAATATTATTTACAGTCTTTGTAGTTTCTTTAGTACTTAATCATTTACAATTATAATTATAATAGAGCAAAATCATTAATCTGATTATATAATTTAATAACTTCTTTTATTTTGTATTAAATTTTTGAAATTAATATAACATTTCTAATCGAGATTAGCGTAAACATATTAAATAAAACTAAAATTATTAATGTTATCTACGATTAATGATTAATATAATATATTAATATAATTATATTGCTATTTTATATATGTTTCTATTTACTATAATTTATACTGTTAAAAACTCTTGAACATTTATTTTAAAATTGTAAGTCCATAAATAAATATAGATAAAGATTATGTGGCCACAGAATGTGTCCTTGATTTTCGATAAAAATTCTATGAAATCAAACTATATTCCATTATTTGTGTAGGCATTACCGAATCGTACAAACATGATAGTTTAAATTTGTTTTTTTCTTTTGTATAAAATTAAGCTATTCGATTTTAATTATGCTTGCCGTATTAAGTTTTATGATTTTGTAATATTAAAAAAAAAAAAAAAAAATTAATATAACTATTTGAAAAACTATAGTTCACATTAAAGTGGTTACTGCAAATATCAATCATAGTATCAGATTTCTGTTTTTTAAGAAAGAAAAAAATTGCCGATATTAAGAAAATCACCTACTCATAATAAGATTTGTTTATTTAATATAAATTTAGCTTTATTTGAAGAAAAAAAAAACGAAGTACGTTCGTATCTATTAAGCTTTTCGAATAATTTCTTTGATTCGATCGATGATTTCTAAACAATATATTATAAATTAATTGTTTTTGAAATATTCCCAACTATGATTACAGTTTTTATTTTCGAATAAAACGAAAAGCATGTGCATTAGGTAGTTTATGATAAAATTAATATAAAATATCACGAAGCTGCAGCGATTCTGTACACACACGTCATCAACGACTACGTTTAAATTATTATTATTATATTGTGATTCGGTTTTTTTTTTTGTAAATCTATTAATTTTCTCTCGGATATAGGGGTCAATTTTTGGTTTATTTGTACGTGCATGTAGGGAGAGGGTGGGGGGGATAACACCGCTCTTTTAGCTCAAGAGGATATCCTTGCCGCACTGCAGTATTATATTATTATAATATACGCGTATAATAACAACAATAATAATATTCTCCATAAATTCTCACTGTACTTACGTATTAGAATAATAAATATACCCTCACAATAATGTTTCAATGAATATTAACGTAGGGGCATACCGTCGGCGGCGCGGCGTTATTAGCAATGTCATTCAGCATTTCCTTGAACCCGCATTGACCTTATTCTGTCTCCCTCTCTCACTCTCTCTCTCTGTCACTCTATCTCTGTCTTTCTCCGCAGCCTGCAGTACGACTGGTCCCCTCCACGTTTTAAATTTAAAATATAACGGAATACGTCATGCTGGACGCTAATACGATATAGGATTATTATAATATGTAATATTCGTATAAAAATATGATTTTGCGCGCGTACGGAATAATAAGTAAATCCGCATAATACGTCGCTGTATGCGCAATATATTGAAAGAGGAAGAACAGGAAAAAGAAACGCGAGACCGCGAGGCTTGTTCTCCAAAGTCTGATTCTCCGAGTGTAGCTCTGTACGACGACGTCACGATAAAATATTATAATATTATGGCAAAATTGATTTTCACGTGATTGCTCGGAGTTGTATTATGATAAGTGAAGACCATTTGTATATTGCAATTACAATCGTCTAGACATAGGCTATAATACAAAATATAGTCTACGCTCGCGATTATACAACATTAATCGTTTTCGTAGACTTTTAAACATTGTTTCGGCGCGCAATTTTGAATTTATAAATTCTACTGCGATAATTTCATTATTTTAAATACGCGAGAACATTTTTAAACGCGTTTCGTACGCGCGTGTACCCGACTAATCTAATTTTAACAACAATTATAATCAAATTGCATCAGTAATGAAATTTATCACGCGAAATCGTGTATATAGGTTCGAAATCGTACCTTTTTTTTTCATTAATCTTATCGGATATATCGTTCAACATTTTAATGTTGCGAAATGTTTTAATACTGTTTATTATAATGCAATACGATTTAAGAACCTCCCCCCCCACCACACACACACACACACACAATATCATTTTACTTCTCGACGATAATAAATTATTAAGTATTGTTATTATATCGCGCGTCGGGAAGGAAAGAAAAGAATATTGTTCTCCTATCAATAGCAGCAGCAGCACCACCACCAGCAGCGAAAACACCGTCTGGTAAAGCGTCGAGCGGGGAGGGGCTAGAGGGGCGATAATGATATTACAGGTTGGTGTACGGGGAAAAAAAAAAGAGACTCGAACGCGTTGACTCTTCACGCCGCGCGAAAGCGATTCCGCCAGTTTTTTCGTCGAACCGATTATACCGATCGTCCGCTCCGTGTGATCCGTGTGCGCCTCTCCTTTACCACTCCGGGTCGACAAACGCCGGCGCGCGACAACGTGCGGTGTGAGCGGGCCGCCAAAAAACGCCGAGTGTTATTCAAATTGCCGCCGGGAGTCGTACGGCGCAGACAGAGACGGATACGCGCGCGCGTACACCGGATCCGGCGATTTTCCGACCCGTCGAGGGCGGGAGGAACGCGTACGCGATATTGGAGGTGCGTGTACGCCGTAATAATATTATCGGGCGCAGGTATTCCGAACCGCCGAACAAGTACGCAACCGTCCCAGAGCCGCTGCCCGGCGTTCGTTTCGCCGCAGGTTTCTCGACGCGTTCCAGACGCGCGAATATTTTTTTATGATTCCAAACGAGCGCGTTGTGCGTACGTATTATTATTTTTCGGACCCCGTTTACCCGTCGGCGCCCGGGTAGGTATGCATAACGTTTTGTTGTATCGCGCGAAAAAAATAATAATTAAGGAGTGCGGGGCGGAGGGTCCCGTTATCGCGAAGCTACAACAGCATAATGATATTGTAACGCGCGTATCTGCGACGATAATAATGACAATGATATATAACGTGTAACGCAATCTGCGTCCGATTATTGTTATATTATGTTGAATACGATATTTTTATTATTATCGTCAGTCGGTCGACGATTTGAGGCCGAAACTTCACGTTACGTCGTCGCGTAGCGATAAGCGTCGCGCTATCAAATAGACCGACAAGAATGTTTGTTAAAAAAAAACCCCGATAGATAATAGAAACGAATTACGTCGCGGTACTGTATGATGCACCAGAGTTATTTGGGTAGGTCGTAGCGGTGCAGCACGTTTGGACACTTTTACCTGTTCCCTGTTCAAAATCCACACAACGTTCGGGCACTCAATGTCCCCAAAAACAGCACGTTTGGGCGTTTTTCGCTACCGAGGGGGGGGGGGGGGGTTGGTGTTCAAACACCCCTCTTTGACTATATTTATGCAAACAATTATTATTTTTACCACATTAATATGCAGCTATACATCAGACATCTACAAGATATGTTACGCATTGATAATTATTAGGTAATTAGTATATGTTATGTGTGTTACATACACACAAAAAGGTTACAGAGTTACATCTAAACACGAAATAAACAATTCCTGGCTACGCCACTGCGTTTGGCCATTAAAATGAAAAAAGTATAAATGCCTTTATTAAAGAATTACCTATATAAAATATATATTATATATTACATAGGTACAATTATAAACATATTATATAAATAAAATAACTTATCTAAAATCAAATTTGCATTATAATCAAAAATAATAATATACAAAAGATATATATAAAAAAAAAAAAAAAACGTATAATTGTATTGTATTTTCTTGATTTCTAATTACCATAATTTTTAAATATTGAATTAAAGTTACGTCTTCTTTTTCATAATCATTCCAGTTATCAGTTATCGGTTACCTATATATTTAGCTTTAAGTACAGACTCTTTTCTAATTGAATTGAATTGATTTTAGTTTAATGTAGTTTCTGCCTGAATGCTAATCAAAATGTCTACTGCATGGCGTAAGTTCGGGTGTGGATAGTAAAATTTTGCATTCAATTTGTTTTATAAAAACCTTTACATATATTATATACGAGTATAATATGTATATATGTTTATTAATTATATACTATAGAGTGTAGTAGTGTACTTATAAACTATAGTGCCCAAACGTGTTGTGATTTTGTGCACAAACGAGTCGCAATTTAGATTAAAATGCCCAAACATGTTGTAGCCCCGACTAGGTACCTACAGCGATATCGTTGTGCATTTGCATAGGTACTGATATTATAATAATTATTACGATCGCCGTACTCGTCATATAGTCGTAGACTTATAATACATCCAGACGGAACATTCGGCATGAAAACGCGTTCCGGCGGCTGGAGTTTCGTTTAGAGGATCGAAACGCGCGAGACGATAAACGTAGCGTTTTAATTGGCTGTCCTCAGAGCGCAAATTCGCTGCCGTCTCTCTCTCACATTAAGCTTTATATCAGCCAATCTCTTTCGATTCGTTCGGACCGACCACGCCTCCCGATCCTCGGGGTGAATGATCCGTCTAGATGTACAAGTCTATGCATACAGTGGTAGTGGTGGTGGTGGTGTTGGTGGTGGTGATGATGAGTACACGTGTTTTCTGACCACATTTTTATCGGTCATATATTATTATAATATTGTATACGTATTTTTTTTTATTCGGGTGTTGTAATATTATTATTATCGTGGAAGTACGACTGCGTATTTGTACGAGAGCCGCTGTCTCCAGTTTAAAGGTCACCGGGGCTATCGGCACCGACATAATAATACGTATACGTTAATATTATACACACCGTCATGATAGCGTGTGTTATTGTGTCATCGTCGTCACAGTTTATGCCCATTTAACGTATTAATATTGTTACCATCGTATTAATATTAATTATTATTATTATGCGGCGTTTTATGTGCGCCGAGTTTAACTAACGCGATTAAAATATAAAATAAATAAGTAAAGGGCGATTCACACTGCGAAGCTTTTATATAATATAGCGTTATAAGAAAAGGGGACCGAGTCGACATTATCACATTTTATTTTTTGTCGGGAAATTAAAAAAAAAAAAAAAAAACAAATTCTATAGAAATCGTAAAGAATTTAAATCCTTATCGTAATTTCGGGGATAAGTCGACTTATGTCCCGTAGACCGATACAACAAACCGATAATTAACTTGATAGCTGCAGACAGAGAGACAGAGGTTAAATGTTGTTTGACAGAGATACAGTTGTACGACTTATACGACCGTCTATCAGTAATACCCATTCTCAGACAGGGTAAGATAGCGTACAGTTTAGGTCCAATATAATATGCACATGTGCTGGCCTTCTCTTTATTACAATCTCGGTATTACAGGCACGACTGACTACGCGACTGTACAGAAACATCTAGGAGCAATATTATCTTATCATACGTTATTAATCCTGCCCGGGTCAAGATTTAAAAAAAAGTGAAATATCATACATGTACAAAAACGATAAAAAAAAAAAAAAAAAAACGGACACTGCGCGATGGGCGGACCACTGTTGTATGTGAGAAGTTGGGAAGGTAGAGTGGAAGTTTAATGTATATCCGAACGCAACGAATTAATTGTCGCTTACGAAAAACGATTCTGATCGGTCGTACATGTTTTCAAAGCCCGTAATATTTACGATTTGAAAATAATATTATGAAAATCCTTGGAAAAATCAAAAAATGACCTCCGTCCAGGAAAAATTTCCTTTCGTAAAGTGCTACGCTTGAAAATCGGAGCAAGCTTTCTGGTATAAAAGTCGTTTACAGATAAAAAAAATAAACAATATTATAGAAAATTCCAGAGTAACATGTAATAAGAATATTTCTTCCGCCTCCCGTTTTTAGATGCTCGCGTACTAGACAATCTAAAGCAAAACTCGCCAGTTTTTCCTTAATTTTCTTTTTTTTTTTTCTAATAAAACTACAAAGAAATTCAAAAAACGACCTCCTCAATTCCAAGAAGTTTCTGTGTAATTAGGTCGTTGATTGTGGCGATATTATACCGGTAGAAAAGGCGTTTACAGACACGAAAGAAAACGACCACGTTTGCGGTATAACCGTATGTACATTCTTCGTTTAGCTCAGAATCGATCGGAAAACGTGTACACTACAATATACCGTGTTTATAACCCTTGTACACTTACATTTTAAACGCATAATATCAGGCACGCGCGATAATGTTTATGGAAAATAACCGAATAACGTACCGAGCAACGGTCTACAAAATACGGCGATTTTCGGTCGAATACCGCAATCGAATAGTCGATTATTGTTTTCGCTAAAAACGCACGAAACGTCTCTAATCCGCATAATGTGATGTACCGCGAATCCCCCTTGAAACGGGCCACAACCGCCGCATCGTTAAGCGCGTTCGGACCACCACCACCACCACCACCACCACCGTCGCCGCTGCTGCTTCCAAGCACACTATTTACTACTATTACCACTATAATTACCACTACCATTCCGCGCAACTACTGCGTCCGCGTTTGCCAGCCCGCACGGCCCGTACAGTATATAACATCATTGTGATAACGCAAAAACGCGTTATTATTGCGGCGCACGCATTCCGATGCCGCGTACGGCGCGCGTGTCGTGAGTATTCGATTCCCCCCCCCTCCCGATCCGCGGTCCCCTCGCCGCGCCGAATCGGTACGATGACGGATTGACAGCGCGTAAAAATGAAAGAGAGAAAAAGGAAAAAAAAAAAAAACCCGATCGAAAAATACCGACCGGATAACGTTATTTTCTTCGCTTATCGTCGCGAAATTTTTTTTTTTTTTTTGTAATTTTCGTCGTCCCGACCCCGTCGCCGTTCGAACGTGTCGCCCCTACCCCACCCCCCTTCCCGCCGCTTCAGTAATTAGGAACGAGAAAAAAAAAAAAACAAAAAAAACCGCAACGTTGCCGTTCGTTAATACAATAATAAGTAGCGTATATATACGCCTGCGGTCGCGCCGCGGTCGTGCACGTGCGCGCCCGTCCGGACTCGCACAATGTGTTGCGAAACTCCGCGTGCCGTCGTGAAGTGGGTATCGGCGAAACGGTACCGTGAGATTGTGGAACGCGAGCGGTTCGCGCGCGATATAGGTAAAATTTATTATTGTTAAGTCGACGGCGGCGCTGCCGGTTGCCAAGCAACTCCGGCGCGGCGACGACGACGACGACGACCACGACCACGACGTTCTCGCAGCGTTCGCGTCTATTTCGCAACAACAACATCAACAACATCAACAATAATAATAAAATAATAACGCGTAATACATTCGATAATTATTATTATCAACACACTGTTGTACGCTTAGAAAATACGTTTTTTTCATTTTGTTTCGCGGCCCGTGATCAAGACGTGATTCGTCCCGGCGCGCGACGCTATAATATTATGTGTAATATCGTTTGCCGACGCGCAGTAGATATTTCGGTATAGTCGGTCGTATTTGTGAGGTCTCGTGTGTGTGTGTGTGTGTTTGACTACTACTACTACTACTACTACCACGGTCGTGTGCGTATACGTTCGAAACACGTGCTTTGGGCGTTTGTATATTATTATATTGTAATATTATTATTATTAGTATTACTACGGTTTTCAACGTTCCCGTTCTGACTGTTGTTCCTGACACCTCCGCAGCCGCCGCCGCCGCCGCGCACCAGATACCGAAATACATCAGAGACGGTTTATAATATCCTATGTGTAATAATAATAATAATAATAAAACATTATACGCCGTATAATTAAATATTAAATATTAAAACGATATTCAAACGCTCCCGAAAACGCCAAAGGTTTATTAATGATATTTTGTAAAATATTATATTGTATCGCCCGTGTTACTGCTGCGCGTTAGAAGTCTCGGTTTGCATCCCCGTTGTCGTAAACACACCGCAAACCGCGTACGGCCGTAATAAATAATATTTCGCGAACGTGTACCACACACTCGTTGCGGAAATTCTGTTTTGCTGCGTCGTTCGCTCTTTTTCGCGAAACCGTATTCAAACGCTTAACCGACAATAACAACATGGCCGCCGATATAAACACAATCCGGGGGACGGGGACAGACCCGTACCCGGGGTATTGTCAATAGGTGGCCCAATATTAGGGAGGCCATTTTTAACCACAAATATACAACCTAATAATGTCTATTTGTATCAGATATTTATATAAATTTTGACGAAATTTTGACGCCATTTACCTGATTATATAATATGTTGTACGACATAATATAACACTGCTGGTATGATGAGCCAGTAACGGGTACTAGGTAGTAATCACTTACCATTAATCGATTTATATCACTGTATGCGAATCGAGTAGGATGATATTTGGTGGTATAAATTAAACGCAAACGACAATGGGTCCCACTAAATATTTTGGGCGGGCCGGCCTAAGACCGGACACATTTTAGGATGGGCCAAGCACACCCCGTCCTCTCCTTAGCTACGTGCCCGGGTGAAGAGTTTGAGTGACTATTCGGTCCCGGATCTGGAATTATAATATATTCATGGTCGAATTCCGTTCGAAAATACGCCCTATCGAGTCCGGTGAAAGGGCTGCTAGTTGTCATTGGATTTTCCTATCGTTACCAGCTGCTAAATTTACTAACCGTGGACGCGGATACAGTTAAATGACGTTTTCGTTTGACGTCGGTACGCGCGGTAGTCAATGTTTACGTAATTTCCTTATCAATACGGCTAGACGATGATTGTTATTTCGACCACGCCCATTGGTGAATATCAGTACAGTCTTGTAGGATACCCAATCTGTTCGTAGTTTTCCGGTCGATTTCATTAACAGTACCGAAGTATAATTCATTAGTTAAGCGTGGACTTTTTGGAATCGGCGAAGGAGAATAATGAAACGGAAAATGCATTACGTTTCACGTAAACGTATTATAAAATAATTGAAATACAACATAGCTCGGTCTTATAGAAAACAATATAAAATAAAGAGAAGAATAAAACACTATCGGATCGTCATAATATACAGTGTATGGTCAACGATAAAACACGTGTGATTAGATGATAACGATGGAAATTGCGATTGAAAAAATGTAAACCTTGACCGCCACGCGTATGGCAGCTGGCGCTTTCAACATTCAGTGTCTCGGTGTATAAAAAGTTAGCTATTCCATGTCAAACCTCGTTTCTCATTACTAACGATTTTATGAATAATGGAGAATGATAATACGATTATTTTCGTACAAATGGTCGTGTAGTCATTGATTGGCATTGCCATAGGTAATGAAAATAGTGTTTTCGCCGTTAAATGCTCTATAACTAGTATTACAATCCGGGCAATTTATAAAATATATAGCAAAGAGAAGAAATTTTCTCTTATTCGACTACGTTGTTCGTGGATTTGAATTTCGGTTTCGAAAAGTTCTTGTTGATAATTTATATCGTTTTTGCTGTGTAGTCGTCCGACTTGTTTAAATATTTCAATTGGCGAAATACCAAATAATATAAAAAAAAAAAAAAAAAATAGTAATTTTAACAACCATAATCATGAAAACAATGAGTAGGTTAATGTGTACTCAATTAGGTTATTTTTCGGACTTGCGTTATGTGTAAGTTTGTTTCACCGAACTCGACATACCGCCGCCGCCGCTGCCGTTTTACATTTAAACGTGTTTCCCGATTTAAAAACGTACATTACAGCCATTTTATCATGTAAATATTCATAATCGAGAAAAAAATGTATAATGCAAAAGTTATTCAATGAAATATCTGAAATAATTTGTACATTTTTTACCGTGTTTTCTTGCGGTTCGACTTTTGAAATTCAAACGATAACCCTTATTCAAAATTCCATGAATCTGACGGAGTGTTTTGAATAGTTAAGAATAGTTCAGAAGCGTTAAATACGTTTCGGTGTTGACGATTTTTGATTTCCCGTCTACGAGATGTTCCACTTTTCAGTTAAGGTAGTGAGAGAGTCGTGAGTGGCCGCGGGAAATTTATCGGGGAGTGGCATAATAAAATCAAACATCAAAAAGTACTTAAAGTAAAATATTATGCTTGACATTTTGAAGTACAGGGGGTGGGGGCAGACGCCCCGTATTGCCCTCGCCTCCGGGCGTCCACGGGGAGAGAGTATAACAACGGAACACTTTTCAAACGCCTCGCGCGCCGTGCCGCCGCGCGAGCGCCGTAGCGATAGAATGGCCGTAACGCGCATTTTGAATCGCCCTGTATGTATTTTATCTGCATTTATAATCAACGGAATCGGGTTGAATAGGTGCAGTACACCTAAATTAATTTCGCAAGCCCGAGTCCCGACGCGAGGCGCATGATATTATAGATACGTATAATGTTAATATTTTTCAATTTACAACGCTCGTGCGATTTCGGTTCGCCGGTTACGTTTTAAAACGCGTATTACGTACGAACCGATAACGACCCGGTTACAATATTTTCGTCATGCCGCACGCGCAAGCGCGATGGCCGGTATCTAATCTCAGATGACCATTGCGCGGGTCGACTGGATTATCGGCAAAGGGTTAGCGAGCCGCCGCTCGAAATGAGTGCACATCCATGTTACAATATTGCGCGGCCGCAAAAATATACAATACAATAATAACAATGATAAAAACGATATGAAATAATGTTATAATGTCCCGAATTACGGCGATAAGCGCGCACAATAATCGCAGTCGAGTATAACAATTATTATTATTGTAAAACATTATAATGTTTACGGGTCTCCTCGGGCGTTCCGAGTAACTACCGGCCGCGGCGAGAAGCGAGTCGTAACAACAAGCCGACCGGCGAGCCCCGCCAAACGCACACCGGCACGGTTATTCTTTCGCGACCCATACCTCGTTATAAAAACCGTAGATTTAAGATTGTATCCATAGGCGTAGGACGCGGGAAGGCTAAGGCCGCTAAACTGCACTTGTTCTGTACGTTTTTGTAAAAGAAAAAGAGTAACTAAAAAACTAGACGACTTTTTACTGAAAAGTGATCATTTTCAGGGGAGTTGTGAGGAATGTTAAGGTGATTATAGGCCATTTCGAGGGATATAGCCTCCTTAGCCCCCCCCCTGCATCCTACACCTATGGTTGTATACTCTTATACTTGGACGCGTTACCGTACCCTCGCATGTTCCGAAACCCGAGGGCCTCGTATCCTTTTACCGGGGTCTCTTACTCGTTGATAATTTTTCTCGTAGTTTTTCTCTGTCGCTTTCATCACTGCCCGTACCTTTTCGAAGTGTTAGTAAACGTCCCCGCGTCGACGTTTTCTTTTGACCGCCCCGATTCGTCGATTTGTATTACGGCACTTATTAACCTAACCGCCCGTTAATCTTCTCTGGTTGAATTTGTCCACTGCAACATATTCGTATACATTCTACCAATCTCTGTAAACGTTGATTCACTTTGATCGTTCAAAGTTTCGGCCTTGGCAATTTCCATTACATAAAATAATAATGATCCGGTAGGTTTGACTGTATACTTGACTTGTACAACAACCAACAGAGTAAATGCTTACAAATATGCTTATTATTTTTAGCCTATTTTTTTTATTTTGTTCAAGAATTGTGTGTTCTCATATTATGTCATAAGATAAGATTTCATGGGGCCCCCTCCCTCCCGCACAGTGTGGGACCCATATCTAGCGAGATGTTGAATAAAAATATTATACTTACAAAGAGAGAAAAATCACGTGGCGTATTTTTCGTTATCTTTTCGACAGCGGTTTTTTTTTTTTTTTAACTTTGTTAATATATAGGACGGTGACGGACGGTATTTCGTCGCACTAGTGTTATTTTTACGAGGTATACGGGTGCTTGTATATAATAACGTAATATTATACTATTATATTTATTTGGTTCTGTTGCCGAAACGTTCACGCGCACCGCCATCTATACACAATAATAATAATAATAATGTACAGAGTACTGTATTAATTTAATAGTCTATACATTATGGCGTACTCGTGAAATCCGGTGCGCAATTATCCGCGGATAATACGGTGTACGACTGCACAATATGTACGCTACAATATTATTATGTACAATAATTTAAAACTATACATACGCCACTGTAAATCAGCGGTTCTCAACATTTTACAATATAACAGTTACGCCAAAGTGCGCACGTAGTATACACTACACCTATGATATATACAGTACACACAATCGGTGTCGTGTCCGGGAATTTTCTACGGGAGGAGATATAACGAGTACAAATCGTGAATAAAGAGTAAAATCGTCTTTTTCGCCCAACTCGACTATGGGAAACGGGAATTTAAAAGCCGGGTCCTAAAAAAAAGCCAAATTCTAATCAATGCATCGAACTGTTCCTCGTGACTTGGCTGAAATTTATATGCATTTCGACATTAGTTTACTCGTATTTTTTTTTTTTTTTTGTATTTTTAAGCCAATAGGGGGACATAACACCTAGTATCCCTCTGCACACGCCACTGTACACGATATACGCGGGACCGTTCGTGTATAATGGCACGCCGCACGCTCGAAAGAAATTCCCTTTTAAAACAAGTGTCGTCGTGCGCGCCCGGTACACAGGGTTCAGGACTGTTTAGCTACGTTACAATATCATCGTTCATCATGGTGCGAACGAAATTTTATCACGAAAAGACGTATTTGGGGCGTCCGCGAATAATATGCACAGTGGCGTAAATGCCGGGTGGACAAACGCCACGATGAGGGCCTTAGCAGTGGCCTAGACCAGGGCCCAAGGCGTTTCGGGTGTCAGCTGAGAGTCTTTTTGAATGGCCTTTTTTTTTTGTTTATCGGTCTTTTAATAGTTAATACAATTTTTTCCCGCGGGCATTAGAAGTCCTAGTTACGCCACTGCGGACAATATAATATACTATATACCCGTATCCATATCATGCACGTATAGAATAATATAATATTAGCGACGGTCATAACCGAATATAGCGGCGTCATTATCCCGGGACTGTCCGACGGATAATGAAAACCGATAATAATATTCGGAAGTGCTCGTCGCTGTGATTTTTTTTTTCTTTTTTAAGCATGCTCATCCCGTTTCTTGCGCTTATGTGTGTATATTTTTTGAAATTCTGCAGGTTTTTTTTTTTTTTCGGAAAATTGACTTATAAACCAATACCGTTTCCGGTGTCGTACAAAAACCGCGTGCGCGCACAACGAACGCTGCCCGGCCGCGCGGGTCATTTCAAAAGTATTCCCCGCACTGCAACAGTTTTGCAAATATAATTATTGCATATTATAACGTGTACTGTAATGTACGGGTTGTGATTATATATGATGTCGTATACGCATGTTTATACAATTTATGTACAGTAGATAAATGTTTCCGATATTAGTTTTTCCCATCCCCGTCTCGAATTGATTTTATTCGCGTATAACCACCGGTTATTGATAACCACCGCACTGATATTGTACACATTGCAATAATAAACCCGCACGCACGTAGGCGAACGGAAGCACCGTGCACTCGTTGTTTCGGTAGCTTTCGTTGGTATCATATAATATTTATACGTGCACATCACGTTGAAATAATAACAATAATGACAACAATAACCCCGTAATGCGTCTTGAAACATATTATACTATTGTATTTTTGTTACTTGTAATTTATTTGATATTTTATTATTTGTGTGTGATCGATGTGATTTTACGTATATAAGTGAATAATCTGTTGTTTTTTATTTTTATTTGTATTTTTTTGTACTATAATTTTGATCATATATATTTATATATATATATATATGTATATGTATATATGTATATATGTATATTATGTATATAATATATAATTATATTATTATAATATTGTGTACACCTACGATGACTTGAATACTAAACGTCCGGATGTGTGCATGTGTGTATGTGTTGAAGGACGAGGAGGAGGAGGAGGAGGAAGACAATCGTCGTCCGCGGCTGCTGCGGGCAGCAGCGAAGTGGCGGTGGCTGCGGCCGCGACTGCGGCGGCGGTGGCGGATGGCGCCGCCCCGGTTGTCGGACGAACAGAAGGCATTGTCACGGCAGCGCAGGCGGGACAGGCGTAGGGAGTTGCAGAGGTTGAGGCGGGCCGACCCGGAATACCGACTGGCGGAGCGGGCGCGAAACACGCAAGCCCGCCGCGAACAGAGGAACGACCCGGAGTACCGGAAGAAAGAAAGGGAACGCGACACGCGGGCGCACCGGGAGAGGCGGAACAGGGTGGACACGGTGATGCGAAACATCGCCGGTAGCCTGTGGACCTACGGTAAATGCACCTGCACTATCCCGCGAATCGGACACCGAAGTGTCTCGGCCACACACAGTGTCGTCGTCGTCGTCGTCGTCCAAAGTGTGAAAGTCGAAACCGTCGCACGTCCCGCGTTACTTTTATTATGTCCACTTGTCCGTATTTACCTATACGAATACAACGCATCGCGCATCACGTTTTAATTCATACCGCGTATATTATCACGCACGGCACTGACATTTTGACGCGATATTTTCACACGGGACGTTCTCGCGGCGTATTTCTGGCTGTGCGCGAGTTCGACGCTTCGGATATTTTCCGCCACAAAGTGCGCCTCGCGCACCGCCGACCCATCGGGCACCGCGGCGGAACTATCGCGCCGTTTCCATTTCGTCTGTCCGCGATTCGCCTCCCCAAAGCAATTCTTGCACGGCCCCCCTGTAGCAGCGACCGGGGTCCGATTACCCGACGACCGCGCAAGAGCAACAGCTATCCGTCTCGTTTTCACTTTGCGGTTTACGCATAGATAGTACTATAGCACTGCACTAGTTTTGTGACGACCGTTTTTTCCGATACCTTTTTTCGACCTTTTCAACGCCCGCCGTCCGCGACGCGTATTGTTGTTATGTCGTATACTATTGCTATTGTCGGCATTGTTGTTAGTAACAACGCTTTACGTACTTATCCAACGTAATTTGAATAGGAAATTATGTTATCGTGATCGGCCGTAATAATAATAAAAATAATTCCCATTTTGTTGTATAAAATGTTCTAATTATTATTTTTTTCGTAATATTTTCGTGTTTTTACTCCGCCGAGAAAAGGATACTGCGGCAGTATTATAGCGGTGCGTATATTATGAATATACGGTACACAAATACCGAAACTCGTACGCGTTACGGGGTGGTAAAAATAAAATCACGTTGAAATAGGATACTACCCTGTTGTCGTATTCTATAAATTACATAGGGAAGTTTTGCGTTTATTCGTCATCCGATTGTATGTTTTACCGGTGCAGGCCGCGTGAATGGGTATCATTATGAAGCAGCTGCTTCGTGATTTAATTATAGGAGGGCGGGTGACGGCGGCACTTTACCATTATAGATATGTTAGATGGGGGGAGGGTCGGGAACGGTTTTACACATTTTTTTTTTTTTTCATCTACTAATGACCACCTTTACGATAAGAAATTTCCCACCAATCTGCTGTCCGATACCCATATATAGGGAGAAAGGCGAACGGTCGTTTTTTATTTTTGAATTCGACGTTTTATACCAATAAACCGGGTAAAAATTCGTCCACGACCTCTCGTTCAATTTTAATTTTAAGAAAAAACATATTTGAACTTTTCGATTTCTCGTCTATGTTTTGTAGGAAATTATTATTACTTAAGGACATAATGAGTTAGGATTTTTTTTCTTTCTTTAAAAAAACAAAAAAAAAATCAAGTAAAATCATTTTTTTTAAATAGAAAATGTACTACTGAAAGTATTTTTATTTTACTCCAACTTAATGGTCTGAAATATGAAATCCAAATGTACAAAAAAAAAAACAACGAATCGCTCTCAACAGCCTTAACGAAAAAGATGAACTACACGAAGTCTAGTATATTCTTAGTTACAGCTCCCGAATATTCTGGGCTTGGGTTGTATAGTTATTTGCGATTTTACATTTGCTGAAACCGCTTCATATAGAATAGACAAAAAAAATCCACGACATTACTGTATTTTACTGTATTACCTATTTGGTAATTTTTGTTTATTTTTATGTAAATACAAATTCAAATAAATAGATTACAAGTGTTCAGTACACACGTTTGTAATTCAGACTAGACACATGGGGTCGGTAAACGCTATTTTTACTGTTGTGTGCGTGGATATAAGAGGTTAAGAGCGTATAAAATTATATACTTTCGCGGCTGTCATTGGCGTGCATACAGAAAGGAGGGTAAGTTATGGGTTATATACTTATATCTCCTACATTTGCTTAAAAATACAATAACCGTGAGTGCTGAGTGAGTAATTAATATGTGCATTTATTCAGTTATTTTATTTTAATTGCATATTTCAGCCAAGTTACAAGGAAAAAAAAAATAACTCGGTTTATTGAATACAAATTAGCTTATTTTGGATCCGGCTTTTAAATTCTCGTTGTTGGGTTGAGTATAAAATCACAAGAAGAGTCTACGGTTTGTTCTTGAATCGTGATTACTGTTTACTTATATAACCCCTCCCGTTGAAAATTCCTGGGCACGCCACTGGCGGCTGGCATTGAGTCAGTTCGCGTGTGTGGTTATTTCTGCAACAGCAGCGTTCTGACCCAACGACTAATTATTATATTACTTTTTACGTCGAAATTGTTGACCGTAATGCACGCACACCTTTAATATGTACGATGGCGATTGTTATTGTTATTGCACTAGAGCGTCTAGGATACTCGGTTCATATTGTGTGCCAAAATAGAATATTATGAAATATTCCTTATTCGAAATATCCGTTTGGAATATCCTTAATGGAACATTAATTTTCCACCGTTTCCAGGTTATTACTCCCCTGAGCCTCGGACTTGAGATTTTGTTTTCGGAGGTCTCCTCGAAACGTTCATCATAAATTATTTGTGTATATAATAATATCACCGTACTTCTTAAAAATGCCTCGCGTGAAAAAATATATAAACGTGCCCCCCCTCCCTACAAAACAATTCACGGTTTTGAAAATAAAACGCTGACGATATTTTTTTTCTTTTTGAAATTTAATACACGGTCAAGAATATAGGTATATATACACTCGTTCGAGCGAGAAAAAAACAAGCTTGGTTTTCCGATTTAATAATGAAAATAAAAATACATAACAATGTATTAACATTATGAACAATCTTTGTTTTTTTTTTTCTTTCTTTAATTTCGTGTAAAAGGGCTTCTAAAAAAAATTTGGCACCGGTCCTCGAAAACGTCTTAATCCGGACTTGCTCGCTGCAGCCCGTACATAATACCGACGGATATAATAAAATAACGTTAAATCGCCAACTTGAAAATAATACGCTATATTATATTATGCTTTCACTGTGTATATATATATATATATGTAAAAGTAAATTGCTATACCTAATTACTGTTCGTGGGTTTCGTATCGTGGAAAGTACCATAAATCGTTAAATTCAAAAGATAGAGAGAGATGTGTGTTATTGTATATACGTGCACGCTGGACGTAAAACGACGTCTCATTCCCAATTATATTTTACTTACGCGCGTGTGTGTGTGGTGTAATGTCATTTGTTTATTCGGTCCCGTAAAATTATTAATACACATAACAGACGCTACCAAACGTTATTTTATAATGTTGAACTGCGATATTCATTAAAAAAATACGCTCCTTTTCATAAATGGTTTCTGTTTTCACATCCTGAGCGCAGCGTGGATTGTTGTATTGATTTTACTCCGATGCGGACAATTTTTTAATTTGTTGTGACTGATCAAAAATCCTGCTTCAGTGAAATAAAAACGACAAGAGAGGTTATTTGTGAAATTTTTAGACCTATTATTTGGTGTATTATTGAGGTCTGGGGAGGTCGTTATTTTATTTCCTTCGTAATATTTTTATCAAACATTATTGGAAAAACTAACGATGTTTTGTATCATTTTTTTCGATTTCTGAGTCATCTGGCGGCAAAAAAGAAAAATACGCGACTCATCACCGATTACTCTGCTCAGAATCGTTCTTAATTAGAACAATGGTCTAATACAAACCAATGGTTAACATAAATTAAATTAATCTATATTACTATATTCTGCCTTCCAACCTTCCTCCTAAAAATATACCCACCAACAGTATCGACTCTTTTTAATTTCGGTACACCTACCTACGCATCTATACAGTTTTATATCATTTTTTTTTTTTTTTTTAATACCTTTATATTATGTGAAATCCGGATATAAAACGGATATTTTATTTTTCCAAGATGGTTGAATAATATATATATAATATACCTATGTATATACTTACAACTCGCTATCCAAACCTCCGCGTGCTATTTATTGGAACGCGCGGCGAACCTATTTTTTCACGATTTATTATTAATCGATTCGGTTGTGTAGTCGTTTTAAAAGTCAAGTGTAAAAATGGTCGTTTGCAGCGACGAAATTATTCATAACACCCCGTAAAACACGATTTGTTTTTTTTTTTTTTTTTTTTTTTTTTTTTTATAATCCGTAAACCATCCAGTAAAATATATACAAACCTATATACTGCATGTTTACACCGTGAATACGAGTTTACTGCAGTGTACCATAATTCTATCCGTCCTTGATTAAAACTTTGAAAATTTATTACACAACCAGTAATGACACATTACGTGACAGTTTCTGCAATGAAACGCACATAGCAACACAGCAGCGTATTATTATAGTTACACAAACCGAACAAAAATATCTAAACACTATAATATATGTATGTACTTTTTATAGTACCTATGCAAACGTTGTTTAGAGTTGTTACGTTTGTGTTTGATTTGTGTGGCGAAATAATTTAAATTCACGAGCTGTTAAAAAAAAAAATGAATAGGCTCAAAACTATGATGCATAGTTCCAAGAATATATTTTTTTTTTAATGCGGCATTTGTTTTAATTGAGGAGCCTATTTACTTACGTTGAATTGAAACTTGATAAATTATAAGAGAAACAAATATATTTTCTAATATAGGTAAATTATGTACCTATACCTGTTGTGCACTGCAGTACGTATAACTATACGCAGGTATCGATAATAGAATATTCTAAAATATAAAAATTCCATGGAAATACAAGCGATATAAGTATCGATTAACCCATATATCTGTTTATGCCGTATGCTATAAATTATTATGTGATAATATGGAAACAATTGTAATCATACATTATGTCTTATCAGTTATCACGTATTTACCTGGAATAAACAAATATCCCATGTGTAAATCAATACAATTTTCCCTCTTGGGTTTATTGTTGCCAAAGCGTCAGATTTACTTACAGGATCGGCTGTCTTGTCATTGTGTGCATTATATCAAAACCTAAACAGCCTAAACCATTTTTGGGTCACCTTATTCTTTTTACCATCGCCGCCAACCGATTATTTTGATTCTCTAATGTCATAATTATTTTTCACGAACCAAACCATCAAATTCATTTGAAGATCGTATTAACCCACTTACAATACCCTTCATTACAACTTAAAACCCGAATGACAGTCATGGTATTGCAATAGTGGATACAATAATTGTAAGCGCCTATATCTACCGAAAAATATATTATAAAAAAATCTTAGTTTCGTCATGAGTCTGAACAATATAATACCTATAACTGTCAGATAACATACCTTCTGAAATATGTAATTCAATTAAATTTATTACAGTTTCATGTTTATATCATAATAGTTTTTGAATTATGTTCTCGTATCTTATTTATAAACTAAAAAATGTATTATAAATACCTACTCAAAAAGCAAATAGAAAAAAAAAATCTTGAATCATTTCTTAAGTTAGTGTCACTGAATTAAATGTGTACCTACTAATATTTTAAAAACAAATTACTTAAAAGAGTAACATCGTTTGTACAAAACATAAAAATAAAATTATTTTACTAGAGTACTCTCTGGTGTATATAGAAGAATTTTAAAACGAATAAACATTATTTATAATAACAATAAAAAAGTAAAAAAAAAAAACATAAATATAATAATATATTATATGGTATATATAATGTATTTATTGTATGCATTATATTAATTTATGTATTTAGAACGACATGAAATAAAAAATGACTTTAAAACCGTAAACATTAAGATAAACGCAAAGTAAATAATTGCAGTAACAATAGTCAATACATATACACGGGAAGATTTGCCAAAAGAGAATAGGGATACTTTTGTACATATTTATTATTTTTAATTGTATTTTTCAATTATATTGACTTATTTTATCCTTCCCCCGGTCCCCTATTAATAATATATTAATATAAATTTTCGAACTCTGTGATTTTTAGATTCTGAGCGAAGCGAGTAATGTATTGGTTTAACATTGATGTGGGTTTTTGTTTGTTTTTTTTTATCTGTGAACAACAGAATTTCTACCAGAAATCTTGTTCCGATTTTCAAGTACTATTTCTGAAAGGAAATTTTATCCGAGTGGTACTTTAAAGAAGTAATTTTTTAATACTCCAAGCGTTTTTCATAATAATTGAGAAAAACTGGGGAAAAACGGGAAAATATACTTACATTATAGTAAAAAAAACTGCTCCGAATTGTTTTTTGTTAGCAAAGGTATATTGTTGCGTACAGTAATAAATTAAATTCCCCGCTATATCCTACCATCCTGAATTCTCACTTACAACAGTGGCCCACTCATTGTGCGAAGTATGTTTTTTTTTTTCTTAAGTCATCGCCGGTATAATTGTGTAAGTTACGTGGCAATATAATATAAAATACAAAAATTGGAGTAGACTTGAATTATTTAACTGCCTATAAAAGATAAGAAAGAAATAATACAATTTATACAATTTATAATAGAATAATAATCATTAATAATAAAACGAAAACGTATATAATATTAAAACGGGTTTCTAATAAAAATGTGTGAATGACTTTGTATACACTGCAGCGGTATTCTTAGGCAATTTTTTATCGATGGAAAAAAAAAACCATTGAAAGTCACCATGTAATAAGTTTTTTTCTTTTACTACGTTCCTAGATTAAAACACCTACTCGAAGAGAATTAGTTTTTATTTTAATACCGGTTCTATTACGCGGGTAACATTGTATTATATATCTCTAGTACCAGGCGAAGAAGGGCATTTTTAGCTTCTTTTTTTTTTTTTTATAATTTTGTTTAATATAATTTTTGGTATAAATTGTGTACCTGCGTGCGTGTGTTTTCAAAAATTAGTGCGTGTAGCGTATTAATTATGTGTACAATGTGTTATATTATGTATGTGTCAAAATTTAACTCGTTCATATTTAAAACACATCGTGTCAATTGTATTGTATAAAATTTGACTTAAACCCTTCTTGCCTGAGTACGAAACGTGCATTCGTATACATTACAATATGTATTATAATGTATATATACTGACATAATTAACAAATTTCAAAACCTATTTTTTTTTTTTTTTGTCGATTTGATTGGAATACAATAATTATTATAATAATATAATACTTATATACTCGGCGGTAAATCCGACAAATAGTAACCGCGTAGTTCGCGGCGTGCATCTCATAAAAACAAAACATATTTTCCCAGAATAACAAACCGAGAATCGCACACCTTTTGCGTAACCGCCCCCCCGTGACCCATTTCCGCGTGCGTGCGCGTTGCTCGGCGTGTGTACACGCGTAAAAAAAGCGCCTTCGGGAAAAGCCATGCGATTGGCCGAACCACGCGGTTGATGTACTCGAATACCACAACAATACCGGCTATACCGCATATAATTACGCGGCGTATAGTCGAGTGGATCGTGTTCGCTGCAATAGCGGTAACGTGATAACATTATCATACGGTTAAAATAATATTTCGACAGAATGTATTGAAATTAGTCTATTACACAATATGTACGTATTGTCAGGGACGGGGACGTTATTTTGTAAGTGGCGAAAAACCAAAACAGTTAACAACTGTTTTTAAACATTTTTTTTGTCGATAAAACACTTATTACATAGACAAATTTAACATGCGGCCTTTTTCAAAACGTCACGCCCGTATACAAATAGGTATCCAAATACAGACAATTATAAGAATTCGTTTCCTTACGAATCGCCTTTTAAATATTATTCGTTTGCAGAATCGCGAAATTATTGTATTTTTTTATACATATATTCTTGCGATGCCTAACGCAACATTTTATTTCAAAGCGGATTTTTATTGAGTCCACGTAGATTTTCAGTATTTCCACGAAATCCGTGAAAAATTGCATTGTCGCGGGCCGTTCCGAACCCGAATAACCGCTAATCGCAGCTATTGACAACAGACGTTTATCGGACTATTGATGTCGTTAAATTGCTAGAGAGAAACAAATATCGCGGCGGCGGCGGCGGTGGCGGCGGTTACCGACACGACCGAGGTTTGTGTGTAGTTATTGTACACGCACCAGCGGCGTGCGAGCACGGTCGCTGGGATCGTAGTGAAGTGGGTGGAGGTAGGGAGGGGAACTCGGGCGTTTGAAACTCACGCTGTACGCTATTAATTAATTTCGCGGCCCCACTCCGTTCCGGGGCGCCATCGCCACCGTAAACTTTTAAGGCACTACTCTCTTTTTCGGTTCTCTCTCTCTTATTTATTTTTGCTTGTTTTTTTCGTCCATACGTCGACCGCGAGCTAATTGTTTTCCACGTCTTTGGCAGAACACATATTATCTCGACGCGCGCACTGTAACTATATGACGTACACTTCTCCGCTCTCCGTTCCGTCGTCGTCCCGGTCCCACCACTTCGCGCCGCCGCCGCCGATAACGGCGGCCGTTCTCGGATACGCGTATTTTACGGGCGGTGGCGGCGGCAGCAATCACGTTCCGGCGGGCGCCCGTGAGTCGTTTAAAAACGGCTCTCGTAGCAAACCGAACGCCGTTTCGGGGTCACAGCCGGCGGCCGTCGGCGAGATAACGTTTGGCGGCGCGCCGCCGTACAGTTAGGTTATGAATGGGACGGCGGAATCTCCCGGAGGGGAACTCGGGCATCGTCCCCGTTTCCGTCCGGCCACGCTGTAATAATAATAATAATAATAATATTGTAATATCGGCCGCGCGGAGATTTCCTGTTAACCCCCGGTCGTCGGTGCGGCCGGTTGTCGAAGGGAAAAGAATCCACATTCCGGTCCCCCGACCCGTATACAATATTATGTCGTGCCGTGTAATAGCGTGTATACGCACTCTAACACTTACCGCGGGACACTTCGCCGCGCGCCCGATCTATGCGGGCCCGCGACGGAGAATATCGGAGACGGGACGCGCGGCCCGTAAAACGACATGGTTGTTATAGGTATATTATTACGATTGAGAGACAAACAAAAAAAAAAAAAAAAAAATGACGATCGGTCATCGGCCAATAAAAGAAAAACGGCGGTACTACGGTGGCGCGATGTTAGTGATTTTTCTCTCTCTCTCTCTCTCTTTATTGCGTCTCGTGCTCGTGGCGTCCGTCCAAAATAATATCGAGTCGTACGAGTGTGCACGCGTCTAACGCGTTACCGCTCGAATTCGAAATAGAACGCGTTTTTACTGTATTTACAGGTATTGCGCAGCCGACCGACCGCGATAACGCTCACCGTCACTGCACACGTTGCCGTTTTGTGTTACCCGCAGTGTTGGCGGTACTTCCGTTTTCGACGATGGTCCGTCGGACGGTTACTTCGCGTGCCGAGTCTGGAATTTCGGGGAGGGGGCATACGAAATCTGAACGTAATCCGTTTCCAGGCTCGTGGCTTCCAGATTTTCACGGTCGCCGATAAATATTGTATTAGGATTTGACCGATTGCTAGAGAAAAGAAAAACACAAAATTCAAATTTGAAACGCAATACATCCGTGAAGGGAAAAAAATCCTCTCGGATGTTTCTCTACGGAATTCTCCGTACACGGCGACCGTTTTCGATGTGCATTGTGTCCGCACACGTTTTTCTGAGCCGCCCGTTTATTGTAAGGTTTTAGGCGTGTCTAGGCGCGCGCGCTGCCGCCGGTCCAATCGAAAACCGTTCTTATAAAATTCCCGCAATCCCTGTCTTGTCGTGTGTTTATTGTACGCGGGCGGGGCGGTTTCGAAACTATTTCGTACCGCGCGTCGCCCGCCACCCGGGGCCGGCGACGGCGACGGAGGGAGAGAATCGGTCCGGGTCGCCTATAAGCAGGGTGCAGACGTCCCGAGTGCTCACATTCCCGTGTTAAATAAATTGGACGACCTTGAGTCTCGGAAACTGAGTGTTCGGAACGCGGGGAAACAGAAACCGATCAGCTGATCGAACGTCGTTTCTATGTTGTCCGTTGACAATATTGTATTGTATGTGTATACCGTACACAAAATATACAGCGAACGCCGTATTGTACTGATCCCGTATTACACTCCTGATTGGCCCCGATTCCCGTGAGATGCCGATTATACCGTGTTATCGCCGTTAAACTGATTTTGCCGTTTTGAATGTTTCAGTCGCGGTTACACAATAATCTGTCCGTGTCGTAATAAAGTGTTTTGGGCGAGTTTAATATAATATTTATTTGTCTATATTGACCGAGAAAAACGCAGCTCCACTGAAATTTCCTCGAACACTGCGGTCGATATAAAGAAACGTAGGTACTATTTACTTTTATTTGTATTAATTTTACAATTATGTAGTTACAGTTTTAAAATGGCGTCTGGATCGTAGTCGACGACTGCTAAAACGGTAATTATTAACCGATAACGAATTATAGTAATCTCGTGGCACCGATTGGAAAACAGGATTCGCGTGACAGGGGCAGCTCTGTAACAACGCACTCATCGCTCACATGCATCCGGGTCCTGTTCGGAGGCGTATTTTTTTCTCCGTTTCGCACGAGGTCGACGATGCCTTAAAATGGAAACCGGACGGATTAATATTATTTTCTCTCCTACGGTACATCATACCTACAATACCGACAGTTTTGCGCGTGCGCGTGCAAGACGCGTAATATGCACAGGGCGATTATATTTATGGTAATAATATGGCGCGGACCCGCGCCATATTATCAGCTGTAAACGGGGATTTTAAATAAATTTCCTCTTATGCCGCGAACGTCTACGGATTATATTATCGGTTTTCGAGTAGAGCGCCGCGGATTCGAAAAATTCAATATTACGCGGTTAATCCTTTGGTTCTGTTCAGATTACAGAGATAATAATATTATGTTACACACATCGAATAGAAAAACTGTCAAGTTTGTGAGCGGTTAAATATTGCGAATAAAATTCCGACCAGAAATATCGAATATTATTGATCATAACGGGCATACTCGAAATCTTCGTTTATAGATCGCGCTGCCGGCTGGTTCACGTGGTAATAGCGATCCCGTGATCACCCTGTATAATAATATACGACGCGTAATAGTATACATTTATACAATATACGATATTGTGGGATATGTTTTTTTTTTTTTTTTTTTCATTTTTTTTACCCCTCCGTCTCTTTTCCCCGTCTAACACCGCGTGCGTCGTCGTCGTTCGCCGAGTATGTCTTCGTGAGTCATTGCTGCCTCTCGGTTATCGTCCCCACCGAAAAAACCGGTTGCTATCGCGCGTACAAACAAAACGTATTATAATATTAAATGAAAAAAAAAAAAATAATAATAAATAAATGTATACGTATACGTATAAAACGTATTATTACGGTAATAATAATATTATAATGTTATACTGCTCACGCCCCGCCGCCGCCGCCGCATACCGCCACGCGCCAGCGCCAACGTTCGCGACAATAATATCGGAGAAATATGTTGCGAAAACACGCGTCGCATCATTTTATCGGATGCTCGTAATTATCATTTCGTTCGCGCGAGACAGCAAGTCAACAGCGTATTGTTATTGTTTACAGCTTAGATCATCGTATACAATGGATAGAGCGTAGAGCTACGGCTACACCTCCGGCGAAACGAGTACGTCGCCAAACATCTCAAGGGGGCGTGTGGCTACTGCGCACGCGTCGCCTATTTCATATAACACCATTAAAGCCTATGCACTGGATATTCGGATGTATATTTTACATAGATATTTTATAGACATTTTACATATAAATTACAATTCTGTGACATTTTATTAGGCGAACTGTGATAAGACTGTTAATTGTACTTCGCCAAGTGAGACGCCCTATTGATGCGTGTTGGCGACACGTTTTATTGTTTATATAGCTCTGTCTATTGTACACGATCTAACGTGTACAGGGTTTGGCAGTATATCGGATGTACAATTGTATCTTGTATCTTCTATTATTGTAATACAGTTCTGAATCGGTGTCGAATATCTTGTTCGTTCCCGATTTCGTACCTATAACACTCGTACGCGTCTGAATAAAGCTCAGGTTTCCACCTGTGACGTGCAACGTATTTATGTATTCAATTATAGATGGTGAAATGTATCGATATTCGGGATTCTACGAGTGACCGTGTAAAAGAATAGACCCGAAACCTACTTCACGGTAACTCCCGGCAGTCGTCTGGTAAAACCAGCGGACATTTCGGTTAATGAGTAGAAGATTACCGCACTGACCAAATCGATATTAACTGATCGTCGTAGTGAAAACCTCGCGTGTCGTGACGTGTCCACTGATGTATAACGGTGACAATACCGACTGATCGGTGTCCTTGTGTAACCCGAACGAGAGAAAAAAGATGCGTTCAGCCAAACTCTAGACATTGTCCGGTAGATCTCGGTTACTTACTGAATTTTATCAAAAATCATTATTAAATGTCAATCGACTAGAATAATACGACAAAAGACGTACCACACGACACCCGACGTTGCTGTGATACCGCCTTGATCCTTAAACCGCGTTCACAACTCGTCGTGTCACGTAAAACCCGAACTTATAGCTTTTCGCGATAATCGTATGTAATAACTGATAAGACGAATCCGGCATGGACACATCAGAAAAGAGCATGTCACACGACACGTGAAGTTGAACGTCCCTCTTTAGAGTAAAATAATATACGGGTGACTTTGTAATATAGGATGTATTTTCCGGGATCGCCTCCAAAAATGCAGTGTAGCCGAATTTTAAAAAATATGAGGAAAGCGTAAATGGTCATATACCTGCGTGGTATTACACTTCATAGAAACGTTTAGTCCTAAAATTGTTTTCGGTCGATTTTGAATTTAATTATCGTGCTTAATGGATGTACTGTTGAAAATGTCGATGAATTGTTCCGAATAAAATACCGCCGCCCGGCAACGTAGTACTTTTTACGGGGCACGGTATGGAAAAAATCTCGACATCAACCGTATAAAAGTGTTTTCCACGAGATAAAAAAACGCGTCTTTGTAAAACTAATAGCTTCTCCGTTTTTCCCGGAATCTAAAAGCGCTTGTCGTAAAACTGCGTGAAAATAACTGCACGATTGATAAACCGTGCCTGAACGGACCTATAATGTACACTCGACAGTTGCAATTTTCTCAAACGGGCCTTCTCAACGCGGCGTTATCGTTGCTTAATACTAATAGTTTATAATACGAGTTGTGACGTGCCGTGTAAAATAGCGTTACAGCCGTGCGTGGCGGAAACATTGTTGTACTTATAATATAACCCCCCCGCACCACTATTTGTAAGGCTGTTGGGCCGCGTAATATTTGCGTTTAAATTAAAATGTTCCATCGTTTATTGGTTTCAGCCGACTTGGAAAACATGGCGCCGGATCAAGTGGGCCCGGACGAAGACACCGGCGTGACCGCTCTGAGCAACTGCGGCGGCGGGGCCAACATGAACACCACGGTCTTCGTCACAGTCCCGGCCAGTCCGTTCCCGGTCCGGGTGAGTTTTCGTCCAAATGAATATCAATATAATGTTTTATTAATCGTCATTATCTTGCGGGAAACGGCGTGGTAAATGGTATTCTGCAACGTAGCGCGTCGGCCGAGGACGCCGCGTATATTCAACGATCGTTATTTATATAAAAGCGACGTGTCCCCGAGACGTAACATCAAAATAACAACAATACTAAACTTGTCGTTGTTTTCGGACAGCTGTCTGACGCGTCTAAAAACTAAAATGTGGTACTTACGGTAATACGATTTTCATGCGTTTTTAGATATATAGCTACATAAACCATAGTACGCCGAAGAATTGATCGCGTCGTTAAACAATTATATACTTTTATATTCGCGTATAAAAAACAGAAAACGGGACATCCTGAACACTGACATATCACTTTATTTTACAATATCGATCAACACAACGTAAGACACTTGCATTGTCTCGAGAATTTTAACTTTTTTCGGGATTTACGTTTTTAGAGAATCATTTTTTGTCACCGTGTTATACTCTGGTTTATGAAATATATTTAAAAAAAATAAAAAAATCCAAAAATGTATACAATGTTTTAATTTAAATTGATTACCGGAATGTGATTTCGCGGATGTTTGCCGCCGATTTTACCTGCGGTTATTCCGAAATCAACAACTAAAGATACACACACAATTATTATGCCAACGGTACATAAAATCTATATCCGATATCCGATATTTGAAATAGGAAACTATGAGTTAATATTTAAATTAACCGACATACTCGTATTGGTTGAAAACCCGATTTTTTTTAAATTACTTTTTTGCATATTCCAAAGACATTATACACATTTTCTCCAAAAATATCGGTAAAAAAAAAAAAAAAACCAATACCGCCCGCATCGAGTATCGGTTTATTTATCGGCCACCCTTAATAATATTATAAGTTTTCTTTAAAACTTGATATTTTTTTGATTCTTGTTTCTTATGTATATGTACTTTAGTAATTTAATAATAACGCATCGCAAACTTTAAAATATTATACTGCGGTATTCTGCTTCTTATTCTCCGTGACTGCGTTTTGAATTATTATTACATACGACCTTCGATACTTACTACATTCTGAGCGTGTGAAATGGCCGACACTAATTGGACGCGGGATAGTTATTACTATATACATACTTACAAACAACTTTATAGCGTTAAAAGTCCCGAATTCGCGGATAATTTAATATTCCGACGGTCGCGTATACACGAATACGACGGTAATAAAATATCGTGGGTTCATTTCTCTATTTCGCGATAGTATTTGAAGTTCGATAGTCGAAACTATAATATGCGTGCTTATATAAATGGACCGGGGTGCACTAGCTGTGCAGCGCGTTATACCGTACCCGGCGGTGTATTAACATTCCCTACGTGGAACGAGCCACATATGCAAATGAGATCCTCTGATTAGGCAGATATGACGTTATTCGTTTGAATATTTAGACAGGTACCTTATTACTGTACAGTTCAACATAATATTGGGTTCCGATTGCGCTTCAATGGATTGTTAGGTTTAAATCCGACGACCGTAGACCGAATCGCTCGCAGTTTTATCTTGAACTTTATCTGAACTCGTCGTGGTTTTCCATCGACTGAGTTTTACGTTTACACTTAGAACACCGAGTACTTCCTCGGCTAGCAGTATCAGACAATTCGGAACAGTGTGTGACGGTGAAAACACGTCGTCTTAATTAATAGAATATCATAATTTATAAATTTTTGATCAGCGTTTCGAACAGCGAGGATTCCATTTGCGACTGTGGCACGTTTCAAGTACAGAGATAACGTTTTAATACGATTCTCTATTTAAAATATTATTGTATAGTTGTTTTTGTTTTTTTTTTTTCCTGGAGATTTTTGTTTTTCTTACATACGTCGTCGCTTCTCTTTATATGGACCGAGATACTATACGACCGCATCGGTGATTTATTTTTAAAAACGCGCGAGGGGTCAGTATAAATAGAAGCACATCAGACACGACGGAGACACGCACACACATTCGACGTGCTTGGACAACTATCAAGTGGCCAGCAATGCGACAAATGTTCGTATATATTTTATTCACAGGGGAAGCTTTTTATACACGCTCTCGCACGCACGCGTGTGCTGCGTTGTCGTACAGCGGTCCTCGTGTCACCACATCCTAAATAGTATCGTACATCAAATATAAGATAACTCAATTTATCTATTAGGGGTCACATATCTCCGGCCGGCCCCCTTGCACATAAACCAATATTGTATTCTTGTACCGTAATAAACCGCAGATTACGCATGTATATTAAAAAAAAATCACTGTGTGTTGGGCTACCGCCTCGGTTGTCGATCGGCTGCCTATAATATGTAATAAGAAAATATATTATCACCATGTGGTTTTATACGTTTTTTTTTTTTTATACCTTTGCGTCTTGTGTTGTACGCAGGAAGAACTGTCGTCCGAAAACGTGTCCGTTGGCGGTGGCGAAAAAGACAAAGACTCGACGACGACAGACGACAACGAGGACGATGACCTTACTTCGTTGAGTTGGCTGCAAAACAAGAATTTGCTCAAAGGTCAGTATACAATGTGTACACGTATACCTAAATACTATTATAATACACCAGCAGTACGTACGCCTGTTATACAGTAAAAACAGTCGATACGGACAAAAAAAAAAATCGACATCGAACCATGGGTGTGTCACATTTGGTAGCAGGAGGGGGTTTAGCAAATAATAATTAATCATGAATATATCGTAGACACTTCTTCTATGCCTAATCCGAAAACGGTAATTTAAAAGCCAAATCTGAAAAATTAAATTTGTATCCAATAAATCGAGCTTTACCCAGCAACTTGGCTGAAGTATATACACATTTTAAGATTGAATAACTAAATAAATATTCATATTTGTTGTATTTTAAAGCCAATAGGAGGAAGTATAACTCTCAATCTCCCATCCTTTGTGCAATGACCACTATTATAGGTGGGAAGTTAGGAAATTAGCTAGAATATATAGAGTGATTAAATTTGTATAATACCTACGCCACGATAAATCATTGCTAACGAACATCGATTCTGAGAAAGTAAAACATGTTTAACGTTTTTATAGACTTAAATGTATTAAATGTATTGAAGAAATTAATAATTGGCAACTACAAAATAAATTAAAATTGTTTTTTCGTTTCAAACTTTTGATCATTTTAATGGAACCGAAAACAAAAATTACGAAAATTTCGAATAATTATGAAGAACTTAAAACTGTAAGAATATTTTGAAAGTTGCACCACTTCTAGGAAGGGTTAATATAAATATTTGGTGAAAATATCAGATTTCTTTGATTATTTCTCGTTTTTTGGTAATTATTAAGAAAGCTACAATGAAAATCAAAAAAATTACCTCTTCAGTTCACCAATTGGGCAACATTTGTTTCCCAAAATCTCCCCTAAAATGTATAATTGGGGCAAGATGTCTGATAAAAAACTTTTTTACATACAGAAAAAGTACACATCGTAATTTAACCAATTATATATTATTGTGCTTAGAATCGCAAAGTTACAATATTTTCGTTACGGGTTGTTAGTCCATAATGTTGATACTATATAGAGAAAAGAAAAATGTTCCGTGCATTTAGGTCAGGCTGCCAAACGATTGAATAACAAACGCACAATAGGGTGTTAGGTCATAATAATTATCCGCTGTATACTTTAAAATATTATGCACTAACAACTTGCACGGCTATAGCAAACTAGCTGTGACGATGTATTTTCTATAAAAGTTGCTAATTCGTATTCTGTCCAGAAAATTAATATAAATATATTATATAAAAAAATCAATTATTTTATACACATAATACTCGTCCTTATCATCGGCTACCAGAGAAGAAGTAACTTGAAAAAATTGACTTCTTATTTTTTTTTTTGGAAAATACATTGAATACATTCAAAACTGAAAGTAATTGTGCGAAAAGGAAAGAAGAACGGATTTATTGAGATATTCAAAAAAGTTTTCAAATAAAATACCTAAATAACCTCCTAGCAAGAATTTCCCATCTTTTAAGGCATAACAAATCAACGAAAATACTAGTTTTTCCACTACACGTAGAATAACAAAAAAAAAATTATATTAAAATAATCAAATTATAATATTTATTTATTTATTTTATGTATTATAAAACTTATGAGACATAAGTTTAGACAAATTTTATAAGAGAGTCTGTGGCCGATTGAGTATAATATAATGCAGCATTCTGCGTTATGCAATGAAATAAATTAAAAATAATTATTTTATTTTGTATTAACGAATGCGTTGAAAGATGTAATATATTTATTTTAAAACTATACAGGTAGATATTATTATAATAAAGTATATAAACTAATAATGTGTTTTCATTTGAAAAGTATTTTATTTTTTACATTTTATTATATTATTTAAAAAAATAATAATAATAATGAAACATATTTTATCTAACCAAAAAATAAACATTGATTGAACGTAATAATTTATACTTATTAAACTGTAGTAAAAAATATTTAAATACAATATGTATTTAATATAATTTAATAATAATTGTTTATTTATTGTTAAATGTATATTTAAACCCTCGAAGTAAAAGTGAAGTAAAATAATTCACTTTGTCGATGTACTACGATTATTGTTGTACAATAATTATAATATAAATAAAATATTATATTCGATTAACGTTTCAATACTGTGAACAACTTTTGTAAAAATATATCTATTTTTAAATTCTGAACGAAGCGAAGACACTAAGTGGTGTTTTTTCTTTATGTCTGTAACCATTTTTCCTGTTATTAAAATTCTCAAAAACGTTCACACCAGACCTGAGAAAATGCATATTTCACCCCAGTGTAGTATTTTATTTAAAACACATTTCAAGAATTTCAAAGTTGACGATAAGTATACTCGTAAGTTTTTTTTGTTTCTTGTTTTTTGTGTAGTTTTTAAACGATAAAAAAAAACCTATTTTACAATTCATTACGATAAATCTTACTCCTTTCAGATTCGGTTTTTTGATCGCAAAGATTTACTATTGGTCTCGTAATGTACAAATAGCATAGATATTTTACTCAACTTGACCTACACCTATAATATACGGCAGTGGGCCTAACCGCGGTATGAAAATGCGTGTATTATGTCCGGTTCTTTTTTAAAAATATAATTGTTCGAATAATTACCATTTGTTTTATTCTTACGCAAAACGGTTGTATATCTACTGCGATTGAAACACTTAAACTATAATAATTATTATTATAAACATAAACTGAAGATTTCAAGGATCCTCAGACACCGTAAACGCTTAAACGCGCTAGGGTTTACCCGTATTCAATCCTAAAACACCGGTTGATTTAGACGTACCACGCGCGGTTTAATAGTAAATGGAAGTTTAATTGGATCACAATATAATATTATTATATAGTGTTCTAACCGAACGTACATATTATTTCGGTTAAATGAACTTGCTGCAGTACCTTATTCACCAAAATCAATATATTGATTATATTTAGAATAAAGTGTGTTAGACGAATGGGCACGTATATTTTTTTTTGTTTACAATTAAACCACGTGTTCTTTAAGTTAATCCGCATTCCTGGTATAATCAAGAGCTATTCGTTATACTAAAATGTGTGCATTTTTTTGGATGAATAAAGATGCCCCAAATCGTTCACATCGTACCTCGAAAGTTGCGAATTTTTCGATCGATGATATTTTATTTGAAAAACATTTCTTGGTTTCCAGCAGTTTTATTTAAACTGACAACAAAAGACGATAAATTGGTTTTATTTTTATTGATTTTTTGGTTACTGTAGCTACACGTCGCAAACTGGACTAATACTAGACTTTACCGGTTTACCGAGCCCCACTCAGAATCGTTATTTATGATTGTAATTATTGATCGTTGTTTTAAATATATAAACTAAATTTCCCTACATCCTATATTCATTCCTAAATTTCCTCCTACACAAACTACAACAGTATGTAGCCGATCCAATACCCATTGTGCGAAGTATGTGCGTTTTTTTATGTGTCTATAACTTGTTTCCATAATTTTTTTTACGAAATATTTATTATCCGTATCGCATAAACGCGTTACACGAGAATTTATCAAAAGTTACTTATGTAGGTAATCGCGAGTTGCACGCGCGTTGTATTCAAATTAGAAAGTTGTTAACGAACAATTTTTTTCTAACTGTAATTCTTTTTATTAATTATTATCGTACATTGTCCTTACCTAATATTATATATTTATAAATTCCAATTACCCGCGTAACATTTATTAAGGCTCGTGTCGTTAATTAATGTGATATTGATTTCCCTTCGAAGTTTAAAATGTATAAGCAGTAATAATAATATTCGAACGAATCGGCGGATAATTATTTTCGTTAACTACAATAATGGTTATAACCTATCTAAAATTTGTTGAAGCTCTTATATATACCTATAGTATATATGTATTAAGCTATAAAACAATATTTTATTGATGATTATTATTATTATTTTTTAATCAGTATAATTATTTTTTTAAATGTATACCTGCTGCAGTCGTATATTTTATGTAATTTAGAAATAGTATTTTCTTTCGGTTAAATACAAATATTATTAAAATAATAATTAATGAATAATTCATAAAAAATTAATTATTAAAAAAGACCCGGACATACTTCCCACTATAGGTAACAGATAACGACCGGAAGGATCCATTAGAACCGGAAGTTTGGATAGAATCAGGTGATTTAGTTTGGATAGGTACTAAAAGCAACAATAAAACATTGCAATAAAAAAAAAAAAAAGATTCTGAGTGTAACCCGGTAAATTAATAAGGTTTTTATAAAATAATATATTGGTTGTGTTTTTCCTCTTGTGGCCAAGGTTACCCCAGAATCAACAAAATTAAAACCTACACTATACAGTCATTTTTTATCAGTTTTTTAGAAAAATATTTAAGAATTTTAAAATAATTGTTTCTGCATGTACCTCCCAGTCGAAAATTTCACTTATTTTAACGTACTGCATGAAAAAAAAAACAAAGCAGTTAAAAATACTTCTTAGTAAAATTAATTGATAGCTTATTCATTTTTCGCCACACTTAGAATCTAAAATTAAAACGTATATTTTCAACGGAAATCAACACAAATTTCAAAACGCGAATTCAATTAGCTCGTTTTCTCTATTATAATTGTTGGTATTATTTACTACTTATGTTGTTCGTAAACTAATTTGATTTAGTCGAAATGGCACCATATACCTATATTAATACAAAATATCGTAAAAAAATAATACCGCCGTACATGATTATCGCGTCTGTATATTGCATTTAACTTTATCTTATCTTATTCCTTTTACCCAAATATACTGGTTTTTCATTTTATTATTTGCAAATAGTAATAATTTGTACTGTCATTTTGCCTGATGCTTTTACAGTTTAGAGTTTTTTTCTGCAATTTTTATAATTTTTTTAAAATTTTAAATGGAATTTAATTTTCTAAAAACCGCAAATAGTAAAAATGTATTAGTTCATAACTGGCATACTTTTACAAAAGAAAAAAATAGTACTGATTTCAAGGTAAGATAAATAATATTACTGTTTATAACATTCTATATTTTAGTTTTTAGTCCATTTTTATTTAACTATTGAATATTATTATATTATATCATATTATTTCCCGGCATTTTTATAAAATATCGTACAAAATACAAATACATTAGTTTTAATCTATACATTTATAAATGGTTTGAGACATCAACAAAACCTAACAGAAATTAAAATAGGTCAAAGTATAGTAGGAAATTCAAATACGACAAGACAGTCAATTTGGCCGAACGAGTAAAGAAAGTAGTAGCAGATTATCATAATTGAGAGTTTGAAGATTATCTTCAAGGTATTTCATTTAATATATACTTCCAGTAATTAATATACATATTTGTATCATTTTTATCAATTCTACTATATATTAATATAACAATATTATATATGCTTTGAAATATATAAAATTATTTATACCTATCTAAAATATCAATCAATAATCAATATTATTTATTTATAATTAAATTACTTCTATATTTCATACTGGCTGTATGTATTTCATGCGATATTTTAGTTGTAATATTTTGGTCACGCGATATTTTACCGATGATATTTTGTCGGTGATTCTAATATTACCTATACTAATATTACAAAGCTAATCATTATATTATGGATAATATTACGAAATAAATAAAAGTAGAAATAAAATCATCTATTTGATATTTACACATTTTCATATAAATGCTATGAGGTTTTATGAGTATAATATTGAAATCCAAAGAATAAACAATATGGATATGTTTCAAACAGACTTATTGTTATTATTATTATTTATTTTTTTTACTTTAAATATAAAAATAATGCTTGTAGTATATTAAAAAATATTCGAAAGAAAAACATGGTAAATTTCTGAAGTATAAACGTAATTTCAACGCATTTAATAATATTTTAATTTTTACTATATAATGTGTAACACGTATGAATCATTAATGGAAAACAGACATGATCCTGAAATATACGATTTGTACAATAATATGTGGTACATTATAACGTTTTGTATTTGATAACAAAATAAATTTTATCCCAAATATTCCATATATACATTTCGTAATAGTGAATAGGTTTTTAAACTATACAATTACAATAAATCCCTGCAGTGTACATAAATCAATATAATATAATCCAATTTGTTTAGTACCTATGTATATGTGGAATCTGGTAGCCAACGTTTTATTGAAAACATGTGTTGTACACACATGTGGTAAGAAAAAAAAGTTTATTTTTGATAGTCCCTATTGAAAAGAAAGAAAACTTTCAACATGGTGTATACAAAACTAGTAATATTCTAGTTTCGTCGATATTATTATACCATAGAGATTTTGCTTACTCTTATTTCATAAAAGTAAAATCTTTTTTTATAATATTGTGACTTTTTTTAGTACAACTAATGCGCAGATCTAAGTGATAATATATCATTTTAGTATTAATTTATATGTTTTGTTTTTTATGTATATATATTAATTTATTTCCCGTTACTAACCATTATTTTATATATATGTACATTTTACAAAGATCACAATAAAATATTAACTTTTTCTATATTTTTTTTAGTGATTAATAATATCATATTATTTTCTGGCATCCTTTTTATTGTTTTACAGACGTGTGATAATGGTTATATAACCATATATTATAATTTAAAAAACAAAACATAAAAAGATTACCTACTAATGAGTAGGGAAAAAATTGTTGTATTTACTGTAACCTTTATTTAAATAAAACATAATTCATTATTATAAATATAACAAAGCAGTGCTAAGGTATAATAAGAAACATTAGTTATAAATATATAAATTTATATTTTATTTTTAACACAACAAATATCCATTGCAATATTATAATAAATTATTTACAATTTTAATTTTATTAGGTGCCTATACCTAGTTTAATTATTGGAGGGTGGGTGGGAATGATTTTCCAATTTCATACAATTTGAAACGTATCTTTTACATTTTAATAATAATCTATCTACTGCTTGATTTAAGAGTTACCACCGTTTTTGCGGACGAATATTACATTTTAGACCAATCAGCTGGGGTAAAATTTACCCACTATCCTCTTGCCCAATTTTAATTTTGAAAACATATTTGAAATTTTTGATTTATTGTCTATAGTTTTTAGGAGAGATTTTCTGGGTTTTTTATTTCGTTAGACAAAATAATATATGATGAGTTTATCTTTGTTTCTTAAAATAATTCCGCACTTAAAAGCGTCACATAAAAATAAAATTGAAAAAATAAAAATATTTTACCTACAAAACATAAAAAAGAAAAAAACTAATCGCTTTCAACAACCTTGAAACATTATAATATCACAAAATATACCAGCAATAATAATAAACATTAGAATTTTTTTTATGTACGGATATTGATTAATAGTTTCATAATGAAAATGTATTGACTTGACAATATTATTTTTCTTTTTAAATATAAAATCTTTGTTAGACAAAGATTTTAGGTCAGCCGGTATAATTAAAAGTGTAGGTAGTGTATTTATCTAAGGAAATATAGTATTGTTTCCATTAAAATGTAAAATTATATTTTAAAAAAGGACCCATCTATTTAAAGTTATATGTATAAATAAAATAGTGTGTGTATTACTTACTAATTGTATGATAGGTAAAATAGGCGTATATTAGTGTATACTACTTATCTTTACTATTAATTTTTATTGGGATTTATAAGTTAAATTTAAAAAAAAATAACGCGAAAATACATTAAAACTATCCTATTTTTATTGTTTCCTTCAATTATTTTTATTTTCGCGTATTATAATATTAAATGATGCTACGTCTTCAGTTTATAATTTTATAATCATATTAAAATAAATTGACTACGAAACAATATTATATTTTAATAATAATTAGTTTAGCCTTATTTCGTTACATTTTAATGTAAGAAACTATCGCACAAAATATTCGTAATTTTATGGATTAACTTTATTCATATATTACGATTAAAAAATGTATGTGCTCTCCAACTCGTAGTTTGTTAGTTTTTCACACGGCATTTATTCGTGTCTAGAGGTTAGTGTGATATATTATAAAAATAATAGTCTACTTTCAAAATTGATCATTTTATGCATTATAAATATTGTATATAGATCAATCAATGGCATATTTAGGAATTTGCTCATGAGAGAGGTGGGGTCCAATAAATTATTTCAGTACGGAACTGTTGTGAAAAGGTATATAAAAAAATTATGTTATACATTTGCAATATATTCTTGCGAGCTTGGCCTTTCACTGTAGTCAAATCTACTTACCTAATCCACAATATTTATAATATATTGTTTTTTATATCGAAATTTACGAATTTGGACGAAATTTCTAGAAAATACTTGTATTGTTACTTAATTGAAAAATGTTAAACTAATTGTTTGTATTTATCTTCAAATATTTTATTAAAAAACAAATTTCTAATTTTAACACCTTATTATAACATAGTTTTTTTAGTAATAATTTGTTTACACCTTTCGTTACAAATCTGTTTACATAAAATCCAGTGTTTGATGCAATAGGCGTATTTTTACTGTAACCTAGTTAATGTGAATTAAATAACTTGCAATCACGTGCCGTTGATAATATATTGTAGATATTTATATTGTAATTTTTATTTGTTTGAACAAATAAATATTAAAATAATTATATTTATTATCTTTTATTGTTTAATGATAATAATAAAATATCTCTAGATAGTATAACCATGTGTCATGTACCAACTACATATTGCATTATGTATACTTTTTTTCAAATTACTATTTGTTTAAATAGACCAAATGAGGCGACCACAAACCATGAACATATTAGGAAATGATGTGTCTATGTATATCTATGCTACAAAAATAGTTTGTATGTTAGCGTTTTTTTTTTTTTTTTTTTTAAATAATCACTATAAATTAAATTATATAAGAAAAATTAAAATAAAGAACACGAGGTAAATATTTAGGTATTTAACGGGATATTTATTTAAGGCGGGATTTTCGTCATCATATTAAACCACTTTCAATGGCTTCGGTTTCACGGGGATTATCCATTCAATCGATCGGGTGATGGGAAAATGCATGTGCTGTGTGTTACTAACTTAATTAAAATGAATAATATATGTTTACAATACGTAATATACATTTTATTTTTACGCGATGATATCCGATCACCGTCCGTAAAAAGACAAAAGCCGCTCGTAACCTAGCCATAAAAATACTTGCCTATATATTTTATATTTAAATATATTTAAGATTAAATGAAATCAGTAAGGTAGGAATAATTGTTGAAACGATCCGTGAATAATTATTGACGTACATTTCACCAGTCTCCTTTCACCCCTATTCGAAAATTTCTATTTTTTTGTGCCTGCAATATTTAGTATGCAATTTAGCATGGATTTGCGTGCTTATATCATCGTCATTTAAATGCTTTTAGTTTAGATTTTATATCAAAAACCCCGGGAGTAGGGGGCTGAATAATCGTGTCTTCATTCAATTTTTGTTTTAATCAACCTCTGGTGATTCGTATTCGCTTGTTGATGAGCATAAAGCTGTGGTTCTCACTTCTCAGAGTATGTAGCTGCGCTCCCCAACTACTTTCTGTAAGTTCACGTTTACATAATTGTCGTTTCGCGTAGTTATTTTTCTCTTAAAGTTTTCACTATGAAATCGATATGTCGTAAGTGTTAACTTAAGGGCGTAAGCCGTACAAACCCTCTACGCGCTGTACCCCAGGCAACGTTCTATAACGGCTATTTTTTTCAAATACAGGCACGCATACTTATACACAACAATAACATTGAAATAACCTTAATAACAATAATAATAATAAACAATATACCGTTAGTGGTTAACTGTTATTCGTTGGTGACTTGGCGTGATATTCTGTTTATGTAAAAATTTATGTATGTATACTGTGTATACATACTTACCTACCTACCTATAACAGACACAATAATAGTGCAATAGTCTTTTTTTCGGGGAATATTCGACTTTACCTGTGGTCCGAGCTACTTATTTGAAATTGTGGGATTTGTTTATTTTTTATAAGTGTTCAAATTATAAAATATATATATATGAGAGAATACCAAGAATAATATTTCGATTAAATGTTTAATATTTTGAATTTTGCATTATAATTGGAGAAACGTTTCTCTTGGTGTATTTTAAATATTAGAACGTAGCCGTCAATAATAAAATACGTCATTAGAATATTTTACATACAACTTGTTATCAGTCAGTAATAGATATATTATACGAGTATTTATGATTTTTTGAACCAATCGAAGATATAATATAATATAACAATTAATAAATATTAAGGGCGGTTCAGAGTGATTTTATGTACTAAAATGATTTAATTTTTTTTTTTTTAATTATATTATAAACTTACAAACCGCGCGAAGAACCAATAGTTTCGGTAATAATTGTTCGAGAATATACTGGCACTTGGAGTATTTTCTTATAATTATATTGAATTCACGGGTCGAAACCCCTGGTTCACGTCGGTGTACACATAAATTAATACTTTTTATAAATATTGAAACCCAAATGTACATACACCTACCTATACTGTGTCATTGGAACGACAATTCGCTGATGGATCGTTTGGAATTTTTATGTTCTGTACAGGTGTTCACGAATTGCCAAAGACCGATTATGCGGACGACGCTTCGTCGGACTCACGTTCGTCCAGCGGCCAGTCTATATCGCCGGTCCGATGTTGGCCAGCAGGTCTGCCCGTCGCCACCACCAATACCACCACCAACAACAACAATAATAATAACAACAACAATAACAACAACAACAATAAGACTTCCGCGTTGCGGTCATCCAGTTATGACCCAAAGGTATATAAACCAACTTAAATTATATTGTTATCATCAGTGGTGCAGGTTTTGTGTTTCGAACACCTCGCATTAAATAGTTTAGTTATTGTTGATTATTTTTGATTTTTTATTAAAAATTGATTCAAATTATTGACCTATTTCCTCAGAAGTTGAAAACACTTATAATATTCTTACTTAATTTAAAGACCTGGAACAGCCTCCAAATATTATTTTACTTCTATACATAATTGCTAATTAACAAGTAGTGCCAATTAGCAGGCAATTTACAAAAGAATAAGTCTTTCAAGCCGCCCGTGCCATGTTTTATTATAGGTAGTATAAGAAATATTTGCACGAGTTTTCGCTTTGAATATTATGAAAAAAGTTTTGGAAAAATTAATTTTCACTTAAATGTCATTTATACATTATTTGCTTCTTGTTTGATATTACAAACCGACAAAAATTAAAGACTTTAACAAATGAGTTCCTCTTATTTTGCACTATAGTCTCTAGCTTAAGTTGTATTACTATCTATACTTATTAACGGACAAAAAAAAGTTTAACTTAATTTCATAATACTTACATACACATACACACACACACATACATACATACATTCGTCATCGACAAAAAATGACTTGTTTTCAATGTAAACGTAATAAAATTAAGACATAGTGTAATTTTGTTTCTTTAAAAATAATATGTGTCCCGAATGTTTGCACAGGTGCACACGGAATCCAAGCCTCCGTACTCGTTCTCGTGCTTGATCTTTATGGCCATCGAAGATTCGCCGATTAAAGCGTTGCCAGTCAAAGACATCTACGGATGGATCGTCGACCATTTTCCGTACTACAAAAACGCGCCCACTGGCTGGAAAAACAGCGTCCGGCACAATCTGTCGTTGAACAAGTGTTTCCGCAAAGTGGAAAAAGCTCCAGTAAGCATATTTTCACAATTTTTTTTATTTAGTTGTTCACAAATTTTGTAGAATCAGAGTCAAGGTACATGCAATAAAATATAATATGTATCTCGTATTATATACGTGGTATAAAATAGTACACGCGCAGTTTAAGTAAGTCACGTCCGCTACAAATTCTACACGATTCGTATGTATAGTATGATGCAGGGATATGACTCGGCATATTACTTTATGGAGATTTTTTCTTTTTATTATTAAATAAGACTTTGATCTCTCGATTTACCCCCTGAACGCATGTTATTTTCGAATAAAGAATAATTTTTGTACAAGAAAATAGAAAAATTGTGAAGGATTATGACTGCAGCTAGTAGAGTTAGATTAATCTGAAAAGAAATGACACGAGTATTTTGTGATAAAAGGTGCCAACAAATTTCTTAAAAAAAAAAAAAAAACTCTTTTAAGACATGATATACTGAATAAAAAATATGAAAAAACAATAGAAGTAGAAGAACTGCAAAGGTTACATAAGGTGTATGTGTATACTTGTATAAGTGTAATTAGGTTGAATAAAATAATGGTTTATGTTGAGTGAGTATAGCAAGACAAATAAGAGAAAATAGATTAACATAGTATGGACATTGGGCATGTTCAGAGCAGGAAAAACGAAAATATAATCAAAATGACATGTAGGATAAGTGTAGATATGGAAACCAGGGAAGATGAATACAGCAAAGAAGAAAAAGTGCAGGCTAGATAAGGGAACCGGTATGATGGATGTAGGGGCATGCGGAGTACAAGCGTAACTGTTCTCACTTTTGCGAGATAAAAGCGGAAAATCCTATAATACGTGGGCAGGGTAAACGAGCGGTGCAGTAAATTAAGCAGTCCACATTATATCCCCCAGAAACAATGACCTCAGACACGAGTATCGTAAACCTATCATTTGTTCTCCCTCCACAATTAGAATTTGGGTAAAGGATCGCTGTGGATGGTCGAACCCTCGTACCGGCCATGCCTGATCCAAGCACTGCAAAAGACCCCGTACACCAAGGGGTACAGCAAAAAGTCGACGGTGAACACGAGCCCGGTTACTCGGGTGGTAGAGCCGGTCAAGGACGAACCACGAAGTGAAGACGAAATGTCAACGGTCAGCGACGTGGACGCGGCGACCGCTATGCTGGTACTCAAACACGGGCCGCACGTGCGCATCATGCACAATAGAGGTTCGTCCCGTCACGACAATAATCCTTAATATTATTATTATTCTTTAATATTGTTGGGCCGAAATCAATTGTTATATTATTTTCTTTCGGACCACCGTGTTAACGTGGTTAAAATGGGAAAAACTTCAAAGGGGTACTATATAATTGCCGAAAGTTGAGTGACGGTCTAAACTAACGGAAAACTAACTATAAATCCGACCAAACTTTCAGGGAACCCATCGCGGAGCCAAGACTTCCAAAATGCTTTTCTCCCACACACATTTGTTCATGAAAAATTGAATACTAATAGGGTTTAATAATAAACTGCACTCCCTCCCTTTCACAAAAAAATATTGTCTTATATGATATTATATGCCTGCTCACTATAAATAAAATAAAACACGAGTCCGATTATGCACAAACCAATAGGTCGTATTAAATAATTTATTTTAAACGCAACTAATTCGAACTTTTAAAATTTATATTTAAAAATACTTCTGTGTTAATTGGTAACTAAAGTGTCACTTCGATGACTCAAACTAAGGGAGCTGCATATTAACCGATATTATACGGATCGAACTTATAGGAGAACGTGGGAACTTATAGCATGCATTTTTATTAGAATTTCAATCAGAAAAATAGATACAGATATTTCAAAAAAATATATATATATTTTTCCATTCCCTTGGGAATATTATTTAGCTGCGATATTTTATTTTATATTATATATACGTTTTATCTCTAGAACCACTTTGAACCAAAGTCATAGGTACGTTTTTCATTTTGTTTGAATAAATGTCATAATTGCGAAATATACTTGTAAATTAATTCGAATACTTCCTAGTTGATGAATTTAAACTTTATTGACAATTTCGTTAATATTGTCCTATACTCAACCCGTTAAATATTTGAGAATTTTTTCTTTATGATAATGTTTATTTATAATTTACGTGAATATTTCAAAACCGAGATTATGAAAAAGTTTTCGTAAGATTAATGATATGCGAGATTTAAATACACAGAATTAAATATACATTTTTTGCAGAACTTTTTACTGCCAGATTTCTCAAAACGGTTTGTAATTTGTTAACATATTTCAGAGACGGCATTTTATACCGGCGTTACCTCACGTATTTAATCATTTCTAACCCAATGACTAGAATCGTATTTAAGATATTTTCTACCATGGAAAACAGATTTTTTCGCGATTACCCGGATGCAAAAGCTTGAATTATATCTGTTATATTTCAAATTTTAGTTTAGGACGACAGGTTCAATGTTAATAATTAATATAATATTCAACCTTTCTGTAGGTATAGATGATCTTAGATAGTAAAGTTCATAACTCTATACGTAATTCAGAAAAAGACCTTTTCAGTTAAACAGTTTAACGCTAAACTACATAAGAACATCACGTTTTCACACCAATAAATATGAAGAAAAAAAAATTGCTGCTCTTTAAAAACTGCAACCTCGTAGTCAATTTTGTCCCTCCCCCTCCCCTCGAGTTAACCCTTTAATATGGTTCTCTCTTTGACTGGACTTGAGAATATAATGTATAGGTATAAGTACTCTTGACGGTGCAGTTGTTTTCTCAGAATTACAATAATCCCTAAGTTTGATTCAAACACATTATAAATGGTACCTATACAAATTTAGTATTTGAAATATATAAAACATCACAGTTATAAGTTCTGTTTGAATTTTTTTTCTACGTACCATATTCGATATATTAGTTCGACGATCCATCTATCACTAAATTTAAAAATATAAATAATATAATGACGAATGTAAATACCGCGCGACTGTTTTATACCGAAGCGGTCGTTTCGAAAATCGTTTAATATAAAAACGGTTTCAAGCGGGAAATCTACGTAAAATAATCGTCGTGTTGACGTATTCCATAACGAAATGACTTCACTTTTTTTTTCTCTACAATTCGATTATAATTATAAATTTTCCCGAAACGCGTCCCACATAATATCTATACGCGTTTATGGTTTTCGGAAATTAAATCCCTGCCGGCTGTCTATATATTATTATGTAAGTATATGCATAATATAATAACATATTGCTATTTATTGTTTTTATACGGTTCTTTTTGTTCCGCGCATTTATTTTCTGTCAATTTTAGAATTTATTTGTATAAAATTTCAGGAGTTTTGTTTTTTAAATATTATTTCCACGTTTAAAACACATACAAAATTAAATCGGTCAACTGCGTGTCGTTTACACCCGTCAATGTATAGTATATATAAATTATAATATAGGGTTAAGATATTTTGTTTAATACTGACAGAACTACAGTTAACATATTTTCTTCGAAATAAAAGGTTCGTTGGAAATGTTTACGAAATGCTAATTTTGTCTAATTTTTTCAGAATTTCTTATCGCATAGTTGGGATATTAGATGGGGAGGGAGTCATATTATTATCGATTTTATATATTACGATGTATCCATCGGTATTTATAAAAACGTCACATAATGTGGACCTTTATATTGTGTTTTTTATATACCTTTTCAACGATACTTCACGCAATGGGCTGCGAGAATTTGTCATCTCTCGGTTTTATGTATAGAAAACTACCCTTACACTTTTTTGGCGATTTATTGACTACACAATTGTATGCCGATTCACATAAGACTCCTGTAGAAATTCGACAAACGAATGGGCGGACGACCGGACATGATGAAATTATAAGGGTTCTGTAACTGTCATTTTGGAAATCTAAAAAATGGTATTTAAAAAATATACATGTAATCGAAAAGATTTTAAAGTACTACAATTTGCACAAAAAAATGAACTTTTATAACAAAACCGTTACCTCGTTAAACCTCTTGTTTTTCAAATTCGACCATAACCTTTTTTTTTTATCTAATCTATCCGTTGCACGAAATGCAAATACTTAATTTTACGTTTAATGAATACTTAGTGTCCATGATGAAATAGTCTCTTAAAATTAATTTTCCGCAGCACGAATTTTAATTTCAACATTAAAATCAAATTGGCGACGGTTTACGATGTCGGTATACTTGCTAATGGTTTTTAGGTATTTATACTATGCTCATTACTAAGACGTAGCTCAGAATAATTATTTCAAGTTAATTATTGAGATTATACATTATATTTTTTATTTTATTCGAAAAATTAAACTTAAAACTGTTTAACTCATTCTTTATTTTTTTTTTCTTTATAACAAGAATTTTTTTTTAAATCAAGTGCGTCTTGTTTGACGTAGGTTATTATATAATATAGTCTTGCACAAACAAAACGGCATTAATTAATGTTCTTTCGAAATGCCGGTTGTATACTTTTTATTCTATACCTTACACAAACTGCATAAAGTTTTTAATAATTTGTTCACATTAAAAAAAAAAGTAGTTTTCTGCTTCTTTTAAAAAACTAAACAATAATGTAACTTTATTACACCATGTAACACCACTTTTTTTTATCAGCACGTCGTCATCGTGATGTTCCTAGTCGAAATTAATAATACCACTACGATACAGAGCACAGCTAATATGTTTTTTAAAACCGGTATAGAATTTTACTTAATAAAATCGGTTTCCGCGTTTAGAAATGCGCAACCATTAATTTTGTATACGCGAAACTGTAGAAGTGCGATATTAAATCGATATTCGATCCATTTCAGAAATATTAAGCGTAACGATAAATATATTTTGTCGTTCTCGCGATTACTTATATGCATGTCTATTTGTCTACCCACAAATGATGCGCGAGAAAAGCAAAATATAAATTCGTACTGATTTATTCGATTTCTTGGGCGTAATATTGCATAGATATGACAAAACGCACGTTTCGAAAACTAAATTTGACGACTATGTCGTAGTACGTCCAAAAAAAAAAAATATTCAATTGGACTGAATCCATAAATAAGAGGCAGGTTAAAGGTAGTTTGCCAATGCATAATCCAGCAATGGTTATTATTGTTTTTTTCGGACTGAATATTTTAAAAAGTTTAAATGTTAAAGTATTATATGTAGGTATAAGCGGATGAAGAGCAAAATCTAATGGGAAAGTTTATGGAATGTATAAAATTAAGTATTTCCGTTACGTGTTAACTCGTATAATATAACTGCAGCAGTTCTGTTCGCCAACACAATACCGATTTATAACCAACGTGCAAAATAAGGTTAGCCAACTACAAAAATTCGCTGATTTCGTAATACAGATCGATTTTGGGTAACGAATACGACGTGTATAAATACAGTGTAGATACGTATCACAACATCTGGAACGAAACGACAGTCGCGCTTAACTTTCGGTATGTATATACAGACGACGCGTGTCAATCGATACGGACGAAAAATTGCAGCAGTACACTATATATTATGTGTAATACAGGGTGCAATTCTTATACAGTAAACCAACGATTATATTGTCCACACGTGAAGATTTCGAGTACAGTTTCACGTGTGGGATTTTCCGATCGTAAAAATCTGCAAAATCTAATTTACTCGAAATCTCCGTACAAATAATTATATATCTTTAGTTCCAGAGTACTTTTACTAAAAGTAAAATCAGTAATTTTATATAATTTTCAATACGAGCAAATTAAATTTTAATACAAATCACTAAATGGCCCTTAATCAAAATATCGTTCTAAATCAGAACCCATGTCGTATAATTATAATATGACTTCTGACTTTTTTTTTTCGCCAGACTAAAAGTACATCATACCTACTGAAGATGTTCCGATTTCCAATGTAGTAATGTGTGTTCGAATACAAACATGCATTGAAAACGTTTTTATTGTATATATTTATATTATTACATAAGACAAAATTATCTTAAAAATATCCCAAATTTTACTTAAACCCTTCTTCCCTGTGACCAAAGGTATAGTTGCCGGTTCGTGATGGAAATACATAAATATAATCCGATAATCCGCGTGCACGACAAAGGTTCGCAATAATTATTTGACTATGGTAGACAAAATATGCCGAATCTTCATGACATTCGCATCGTTCCGTATAATATAATAATATAATACGCTAAATTAGATAATTAACAAAACCGAAGCCATTAAAAGTAATTATATCGAATAGGAAAAAAGGCCCTTTTTTTTTTTTTTCGTGTTACTACTAAACGACAGACACACGACACGTGCTCAGCGCGAACGATTTTAATGAGTCTATTAATTTCAGATTGGCAGCTAACGCAAACAAAACCTGACACGGATCCAGAACTGGCCGAGGTACGTATACACTAGCTAAATTATAGTAAACGTCTCTATGCCATACCGAAATATTCTTTGTGTGTAACATTTTGATCGCCTGTGTTTTATTTTTATACGTTTTCCATATATACCTACCCCCCCCCCCCACACACACGCACACACTAGGTTTTTTTTCGTTTGTCACACGCACGCACACGTATACATACTCATACACCGCACCACGATGGAACTATTTGTATAAACAAGAGCCAACATATTTATATACTTACACGCGTGTAGATTAGGGACGACAATATAATATGTGTATTGCTGCTGTGCACTTTGTTAAATAAAAAAAAAAATAATAATAATAATAATAAACTCTTCTACATCTAAAATATTATGTTATTTTCTTTACGGCAAACGTTTGCACTGTATACATATTATTGCATCTATCTACAACCTACTCGTTTTATTATTAGTTTTTTTTTTACAAAAATAATAGATATTTATTCAATATTTTCCCGCCTACTAACATTATTCATTACGGCCGTATTAAGTATAAAATGTAAACGAAAAAACAACAAAATATTTAGATACGGATATCGATAGTTGGTATCATAAAAGCAAATTATCGGTGGCGTGCCTGGAGGAAGGGCTAAGAGGGCTTCAGCCCTTCCTCCCCCCCCCTATTAGCCGTGTTTAAATACAAACAAATTCGTAGGTACAAACTATACAACAATTTGAAAACTTATTTCTAATAAAATAACAATCACTACACTTTTGCACTACTTACTTAACTAAGTACATAAATAATTATTTTACTACAAAATCATGCATTTTGCAAAATAACTTTTATATATTTGTATGTATTTTACTTTCAGTTTTATGTATATATGTAAATTTAATTTAGAATATTTAGCAACTCCTATCGAAAAATCCTGGGTACGCTACTGCAAATTATTATAATATTTGTTTGTTTTTAAATTTCTTTTACACGACGCATGATGCGTCACCACGACACTACACGTTTCCTGCTCCTAAAAAGTTAATAATCGTAACATTTCCTTTTTTATTTTGTAAATCCTCATTATACATCAAACAGTAAATTATATCCTTTTTATATTTAATATGTATGTGTATAAGGTATACATGTATGTAAATATTGTAATATTTTTTTATACAATAAAAACACGGCGGGTTCAATGCGCTTTATTTATAATTGTTTAAAGTGTACGGCGTTTATTTTCTACGATGTTCAATATTAATTTTCATAGCGAATGTTTTGGCAACTTGCCGGCATAATGTATGAAAAAAAATACGTTTCTGCGTAGAAAATAATATGATATTATTATAATTGCTGACAATACAATAGCTAAAGAAAAAATAATAAACCGCTATCAAATCCACGAAAAAAATATTGTACTTCGTACATTATCGGAAAAAGGCTTGTCCATTTTTTTTTTTTTTTTTTTTATCTATATAATTTGTTTCCTTTATTTTATTTGATATAAATGACAAGAGAATATTAGTAATTTCAAAATTGAATTTTTTCGTAGCGAAAACCATACAAAATTGACTTTACTGACCAAAGATTTATATACTCGACATTGTATGTGGTTAGCGTTGTAGAAAATAGAGATTGCCGGTTTGAGAATAAATAGGTAGGTATTAGGTACCCGTTTGAATTTTGTATACAGCCGACCTCGATATAATTTAAAATGTAAAATGTCTCTCATTCTCTCTCTCCGAGACTTTGTGTGTGTGTAAAATTTACCAATTATTTAAATATTTACCGCATAAGTATAATCCACTGGGCCCACGTATTTTCCACCGGTAATAACCGCGAATATTTTAAACTCGCAGACTATAGTACGTTATAGAACTGAAATATAAACTGATTTTATTATAACGTCAGAAATAAATAAATAAATAAATGTATTATTGTTTTCTTTTTTCAGTTATATCCAATCGTTACGATATGCCCAAGCGAGGATCACACCTACGACAACTGCTTCAAAACGGACAGGTAATAACCGCGGACTTGTTGCATTTCCATTGGTATTGTTGCTATATAAACTCGACATATATATAATTATACTCAGATAACCCCATCGCAACAACCCCTATAACAATACGTCATACTATATATTTAAAACGCGTAATGCGTTTAGCGGGGGAGATCGAATATGTGAAAAGACACCAAACACTATAAGAACCTCTACAACTGGTATACTGAATAGTGTTAGCAAATACTTGTAGATCCAAATACGGGACACACTTAGGGTTGCCAACCGTCCTACATTGGGGATGACTAGCCTATACAATTGTTTGATTTGCCCTACGTCCGACGACCCGTCCTACAACATTTAATATACAGTCTTATATTTGAATACATAGATCTTACTGTTAAAAAAAAATTTTTCAAACTTTTACTTCATTACTTTCATTGTAAAATATACAAAATACATTTATAAAATTCCAAAAAAATTTTTTTTTTTTTTTAAGTTAAATTACGTTTAGGTTAATTTACGTTCAAATAGTCTGCAAGTGTTGTTAACCTATAGTAAAAATGCTAAGTTTTTTTTAGTCCCACATTTTACGTTTAAATAGTTGGCAACACTAGCACATACTGTGTAAATTGCTGCGTTCTACATGTGCGACGGTTGCCTATATTTAGCCCCTTACGCTTTACTTCTAGAAATGTCAATATTGTTTATAAATGGTGTTAGTATATAGGCAACCCGTAGTGAAACGGAGAGCAAAATAGATAAGTATCCCAGAAAATTTTTTAAAAAAGTGTCCCGTATTCTAATCTAATGCAGTATTTGATTTAAGTTTTAAAATAAATTATCATTTCAATCCTATTTTTTTACGCGTAGTAAATTTGTTTTCTCTTAGTAAGTATAACTTGGTGGTTGTTCTAAATTCATAATGGGCATAATACAATGACAATTCAATAATTATCGATAGTTTTCTATAAAAAAAAAATAATAATAATAATATTAATAAAACTGTTAAAATCTATACCGGCACGTTCGTTTTCAACTGCAAATATAATACATGGTACTAATAATAAAATAATATTTCGGTTATTTTATCATAAATCAATAATAATATTAATGCTGTAACTATATATTACGTATATGTGTTATTGATGTTATATTATAGCGTTATAACGTTATAAGTGTTGAATGCTATGTACTATATATTTATATATATATTCATACTCTGAAACTGTATACATTTGTATAGTTGTGATATTGGTAGATTGTTGCAGGCGTGACATTCAAAAGGCTCTGTTTAAATAATTTTACTCGACAAATTTCCTTTACGCGCGTAAAAAAATCAAGTTTAAAGTTCATATTATGTATAGGTAGGTATAGCAGGTTGCAAAGGTTGTAGACCACTGGTATGGCGAAACGCTTTTGTAATTATGCGGTTTGCCGAGTGCCATTACCGTACAGAATTCGGTTCTATTTACTTAGTATACTGCGTTTACGACCAATTCGTTACAATATTCTATCATTTTCGTACATAATAATTATTGTTATAATATTGTTATTACCTATTTGAATAGAATGTAATAGAAATCGATAATTCTAACACTGTTCCTTCTACTTATAATATACTTATAATAGGTATATAATATTATACTACTATTTCGGTTCTTTTTTTTTCAAACACCGGAAATCCTAATTTAAAGTGAATTTCGACGATTTATTTGGATAGCCGCGCGAATTTGTATTATGATTAACGGCCAAATCGGTTTAATTAGATAAATCAACGTGTAAAATAAAATTCCGAACGTTTATACCTCGATCATTTTGAGAATCCCCTGAACATAATATTGAATGTATACAAAAATTACAATTATTATACTAATATTATATACAGCCGTAAGTATAGTTGAAATACCTAATTGCAAACTAAAATATACATAATTATAAAGATCCCGAGTGGAGCTCGGTTGAACACGGTTTTTTCTTCTAATTATTTTAATGTAAACGTTATTATCATTTTTATAATTATTATACTAAACACGTTACAAACGTTACAACCTTCGTGCGTGTTTAACGAAATTTATCAAACATTTGTACTTCATAATATAAGTAATAAATATCAACGAATGTGCACAATTTTCTGTTTTCCTAAACGATGGATAATATATTATTGTAGATATGGAAACTTTTTGAGCTCTTTTTAATACCTGAAAAAAATTAATTTTTAGCATCCCATTTAAGTATGTAAGTCTATTGTGCCTAAAATTCATTGCTTAAGTCCCTATATATTATTGTATAACATTATATAGGTAACCCGCTCAGCTCCCAAATCGAGTTAAACATACGTTCGAAAGTGATTGCATTATTTGAACTGTATATTGTTGGAAATCGATAAAAAAAATGTGTTTTTATAAAATACTTACCTATAGAACCGTGGATGAAAAATCCACATCTTTTAAGAGAGGTGAGGAGGTTTTGAAGCATTTTTACTCACCGAAATATAGTGTTTTTGTGTTTTTAAAGATAAAAAAATGTACATCTTAATAAAACATCTATATATATAAATAGCTCACTCCATTCAGAATCTGAAACGTGTTACTATAAATTCTATTACAGTTTTTCAAATATACGAACTGTCGGTTTTAAATTTAAAATGACAGTATACGGAATACTTGACTAGGCACAAGATCAGTGTGTAGATATGGCTATATACTGTTAGAGAAAACGTTCTTTCGTAAAATTAAGGATAAGTACCTACATAACATTTCCTGTATATTTACACAAATAATGGTCCATCTTAATATTTACATGGACCGTTTAAGTCTATACAATTTAATGAAAAGATAGTGGAATTTTAGATTCTGAAAGTAGCGAGAAATGTATTGGTTTTACTATGACGCTTGTGGCGTATGCTTTTAGACAATTTTTTCTTTTTTATGTCTGAAGAACTTTTCTACAAGATATTTTGCTCTAATCAAAAACTTAACATAATTTTTCTTATACAATTTTAGATCTAATTGGTGCATTGAGGAGGTAAATTTTTTTAGTTTCTTTAATAATGGGAAAAAAACCAGAACAAATACAATATAGGTTTCTGTTATTTAGAATTTTTTTTGTAATTTAGTCAAAACTAATCATATAAACCTGTAGTTTTCATCAAGTATCGCACTTATTAACACTTTTTAAACATGGTCAAATTTTCAAAACATTTTTCCTATTTTTGAACTATTTATAGCCATTTTAAATGTTCAAGTTTCAATTTTTATTTGGTTTTATACTTTTATGTGGACACAATTTTTTTTGACTTCCCAAAAATGTTTAAAAATTAGATACAAGAAGTTTATCATGATTTATAGAAAAACAAAAATGAGTTTATAATGTAGTAAAATACAATTGTACGTACTATTTTCCGATCTTTGTGAATACAACTTTTTTGGCTCCATACAAATGCTCGATGATTTGAAACGAAAAAACACTGATGGTAATAATTGTTAATTATTTATTTTACTCGTTTTTTAATAAAAAAACAAATTGCAATTTATTTTCCCCGAACCCATTTGTGATCTCCGTGCAGCTCTAGTTTACAACGTATTATATCGCATTTACAATTCTACATATTAATTATGCTATTATTTTTATATATATAATATTACATCGTAAATCATTGAACAATAGACCAAAATACCAATTGATTTTATCGCTTCGTTTCAGCTAAATATTTTGTGAGGTAGTACTCATACTATTAAACTAATAAAAATATCGAAATAAAACAATTCTATAACAGCAGAGTTATCGAACATTTGTTTTCTTCTTTACGGTTTGCTTTAGATAATATTGTATACTAATGTACTAATTTTATTTATATTTAAAATCGGTCTTTGAAATGATATTGTACAAAACAATTTACAAACTCACGGAGATTAAACGCTAAAATGATAGGTATTATGTTGGTCACACATTTTTTACTTGAAACCTATATTTTCGATTTGAATTAATATTTTAATTTTATCGTGTAGAAAGTTTTTTTTTTGTATATAGCACCACCCTTCTTATAAACAATTCATTGTTATTAGTTATTACTTCAAACTCATTATGCTATGGTTCTACAGTGTTACGCTTTCGACCACGCACAACCCACTCTACTTATGCACTAATTTTGTTCGGGCCAAGGCCTAAAAACAAAACTACCACAATGACAAAAATAGTAAAAAAAAAAAAAAAATCATTTCAAAACATATTTCTATAGATATGAATGAAATAACTTAATGTAACCTATTTTACCAATTTCCCATTTACAATAGTAACACACCAGTCAGCAGTATCAGCTTTTGTTATGTAAGTTCGATAAAATATAACTCTTCACGTATGTATTACGTTAATTTTTCCATGTATGAGAATTGTTTACATTTTGAAATCACTCTGTTGTAAAAAGAGAATAATACTGGAAACTTTTTTCTTTCCGAGACCTCGGGAAGTCATGAGATTTCTGATTGAACTACACACAATGATCTTATTATTATTATTATTATCATAAATAAACCTATACACCTCCATTCTCCAGACCTACAGCTTCCAAATTATTTCTAGTTCAAATCTCCCTGTCGACAACGGTATCTCGCGTATTATACGGCGCAACCCTTTGTTAATAAAAGACAATTAAATTTAAATCATTCGCCGTCGAGTGTCTGTATACAATTTCGTGCATAATGCACTTACATTATCTCTCTCGGATTTATTTGATCAAATATAATATGTAATCTAATTCTATTTTAATAATAATATTATATTTATCGTTTTGGACCCGTCAGAAATTATGAAACTATACAGAAGAGTACAAAACAAGAAAAAACATAGATTTGTATAAAGCAATGTATAAGAAATTTAATATTAAAATATGTTACCCAAACATTACAGCCTAAAATAGCAATAGGCCATGTATGGTGAGCTGAGGAAAGTAGGTACCTACTTCGAAATGTACTATGGGTCAACAATCCAACCGGTAAACGCCCCGGGTTAAAGACCCTGGAAACGGTAGTCAATTCAAATGAATTAAGTCAAGACGGTGAAATTGGACTAAAACGACAAATGGTACCAGATATAAAGGCTTAATGGGAGCTGTGAAGGGCCTTAATGGCCAGCAAAGCGATAAATAAAAATACAAATTTTGGCTTTCAATTCATATAATTAATATTCTGCTTGGTGACGTTATTGAAAATATACTTCGATTGGGGGAAGTAGTTTTTTTTTGATAAAATGTTCTAAGAGTTTTCAATACTATTGAACAAATTTCGAGAGCACTGAACTCTCGGATGAAGTAGGCAGTAAGTTTTTTTTTTTTTTTTTAATTATATACGCATTTAATGCACAAACTATCGGCATTCGTTTTCGAACGGTGTAACCTAGAAACATTTGAATATAAATAGATTTCCCCCCTGAAAACGTTTAACGCGTGTCGATCTGATGTCCGAATGAATGATGTACTATTGAATATAAAATATATCCCTATAAGCTGTAGGTATCTGAAGTTTGGATTGGTATCCCTAAAAACAAAGTGAAAATCGTATGTAATCACATACTCGCCATCCATCCATAACTCCTGTCGAAACTTTAAATTGATAAAATAATTAATAAAACACTTTGACCTAAAATGCTGACGATAATAGAAATGTCAGTATTTTAAAATTTAATTTTCGCAAATATACAATTATATAAGTACAAAATCCGCACATAATTTATACCATGAATAGGTACAAAATGTTTGAAAATTTAACGTGGGGTTGATTATAATTAGGTACACTGAATATTAAAAATAAAAATGTTAATGCAATGTACCCAGTAGTTTATAAACTCCTTTAAATTCAAATGTTGACAAAAATCTTTAAAATTACGGCATTTCTAAACGTGTTTAACCGAACTTCGCTCAGAATTGTATTTCATTACCAATGATTTATCGTTGTTTACAGATGTAGGTAGATTAAATAACTCTGCGGATCCTTCCCAACCTCCCGTCTACAATAGTGCGACACCTATCAGCAGTAACATCTCTTTTTTCCGATAATGTTAACAATAAAAGATAAATAAATACATTTTAATATGAATATATTAGGCATAAGCCGTCGTATGCCCACCGAAATTATATTCAAACGACGCATATTGTAAGTTTGAAACTCGATAAAAATTAGAAAAAAAAATTGCGACGTAGAAAATATTTTATTAGTAAAGGTAAACTTGTCATTTTTTTTTTTTTGCCAGCCAATTCGCGTCCCGAATTGAAAATCGCAATTTCGCACTTGCACGCGTCCTGCGCCTACGCGGCGGCGATACGGTTTATCGTTTATTTATTTTATTTGTTTCGATTAACATCCTCCGGTATCGTGTCTCTTTCAGCTTATGCAAGGAGGACGCCGAAGAACGCCGAAAGATCGTGGAGGGCGCGGACGCGCTGTTGAACTTGGCGGGCATCACCACGCGCCGCCTTCGCAAGCGTTCGTCGAGCGTCGAGTGCATCGACGCCAAGCGGGAGTGCACCACCGCGGACACCCTCAGGCAGATGATGTACCTGAAACGGCAGACGGTGGTCGCCGCGGCCGCCGACAACAACAACGAACAGCCGCCCCCGTCGGTCATAATCGAACATCACAAGGACAAGTTCAGATAAAACTCGCCCTGCCGCGACGTTCCCGTGTTGTGCGCGACAGCGTGTATAATATTGTGCGTGTGCACCGCGTACGCTAATGCCACGTGCGTAACCGCACTGTGCGCTACGTCGCCGTATCGATGTGTGTATGCCTATTGCACACGTGCATTATAATATTGTACACCGTAGCCTACTCCATTAGCATTTTGTTGACTAGTTTATATTATTATACAATATTGTAACACAAACGATGATGATGATGATGATGATGATGATGATGATGATATTGATATTATTATTATTATTATTATTATTATTATTATTATTATTAAAATGATATATAGTTTTATTCTCTATTTATACTTACGAAGAATAAAAAATTGAAAAAAAAAAAGAAGAGAAACGTATAATATTATTATGAAAACATGATATAATATAACGCTTTTAACCGAGCGTCTTAGTTACAAATAAAAATAAAATTGTTTAAGGTATATTATTATTATTATTTTTTTTTTTTTTTTTCAAACCGGTGATAGGTTTCTCTTGAGTACTGCATAATATTGTGTTATTCGATTGTTTTCGACGTCTTCTTGCTCTTAGGAAGCACTGTGATAGTAATTTTAAACATAAATAAACTTATTATTGTTTTTTTTTTTTTTTTTTTTTTTTGTTTGGTATGACCAAACAAATATTTTATAATATTATCAATGACAAAAAAAAAAAAAAATTGCCAGTCTATTCACCGTAAAAATTATTATACTAATATTGTTAATAACTTCTTTTTTTCTTCTCTTTTTTGTTAAGTTTATTCTTATGATAAATATATAATTAAATATATTATTATAAACTATACATTTTAGAATTTTCTTTTTTTTATCTTTTCTGACCATCTAGTAACACCTAGTTCATGACAATTACAAAAACATAAATAAATATATAAAATATATTATGTGCTTCTGTGAAGTATTAGTGTTCAGAGACAATCAGCGATAATTTATTTTGGTCTTTTTAATAAATACTACCAAACTATTTAGAGTATTTAATTTTTTACTGAAATGTAGCAATATCTAGTTTAAAATATAACAATATTAATACTTTAAATCATCCATTAACACAATTAGTCTATTTTTTTTTTTTTTTTTAAGTTTTTCTCTTAGCCTAACAAAATATAAGTGAGTTCCGATAACAACTATTTATTGAGTGTTATTTAAAAAAAAAAAAAAAAAAAAAAGACATTAATACAAATCAACATTTTTATCATTATGAATATTATTTAGTTTTAATGTTTTTTTTTTTTTTTTATTATTATTATTATTATTACTACTATTATTATTTATTTATTGTTTTGAATTTTATTTTATTTTTTGTTTTGTTTTTATTTTATTTTTTTAGGTAAATCTTTAGCTCCTTTTATTTTTTAATAAATATACCTGCTCTTAAAAAAATGACCCATCAAAAGTTTAAGCTACATATAGAGATTCTTTGTAAGGGCAACGTATTTACCTGTTTATAGGCAATAGTATTTTTATTATTAATTATTATTGTTGGTTAAAGAAATTAGTCAATTGTAATTATTATAATGCTACTCTTTTTATTTAAAAATAATAAAAAAATGATAATAATAAAGCAATAAAAATGTTATATTATCTAGATAATATTGATTCATTTTTTTTTTTTTTGTGTTACCCTTTCTTTGTTAATCGTGAGTCATGAAGCATAACTAAACATGTTATACAAAATTACTACCACTTAAAAATGACTAGTATTTATGTTTGAACTGATCGTAATTATCAAAAAATAGTTTCCGGCACATGAACTTGGCTTTTAATCTTGAACAAAGTAAAAATATGCCTGCAAAAAGAAATAATTATATTTTTCTCATTATTTATTAGTTATTAATGTTTTGTAAATTGTATACTTACCAGATAATTTTCTATGAATGCTGTACACTTCTTCGGGTGGTGGTGCAAGACGTTGATGAACTATTATTGGTAATAATGATTGAATACGTTTGGTAGAATCCTGAGAGCCAAAATCAAACTCTCCTTCTTTCTGAAATATTTCGCCCATAATCATTACCATGTCTACATGAGCTTCTTCCATTGCTTTTGTTTCATATCCAGTTAAAAATCCCATTTCTTGAGAAGATTTTAAAACTTGTACACGATCATTGTCTGCAGCTGCTTTAATAATTCGTAAATAATCGGTAAGAAATTTCTGATCAAATGAACGAGTTGCTCCGAAATCCAATAAAATCAACTAAAACAAACAACAATAAAATTAATTTACTTAGCAGTATAAAAATACACACCGAAAATAATAGCCAAATTTTAATCAAAATAAATTTTAAAAAAAATTAATTTTATACTTCATTTACTTGTTTAGTTTCTTGATTGTAAAAAAAATTTGACCAATTCGGATCAGTTTGCATATATGAAAACTCAAAAAGCTCCTTGAGACATAGTTGTAATACTAAAAAACACAAATTATTCCGAGTCTCTTGGTCCATATTATCACATTTGTCCAATGGTATGCCTTCGATTAGTTCTGACACAAATATCCGTTTGGTACTAACTTCATCTTAAAATCATACAATTGTATTTATTAATTTTTTGTTTTCAAAATACAGTTGAAAACAAAAGTTATAAAAGTTACTATTTAAGTAATATAAATTTTGTAAAAGAGCAAAAAAAAATATATTTTACTATAGTTCTAAATAAATCAAGTAATATGTGATTAAAATAACTTTTAATTAATACCAAATTGTACATTTCCAATTTGTGTTAATTTCAAATATTATAATTTACAACAATAATAACAATAATGTCAATTTCCATTAATTGTTTGTTTTGGTATAAAAATATAGTTTAATTAATATTGCATTATAAAGCTTACCGATAACTTTTGGTACATAATAGTCGTTATATGGTTCCAATAACTCTCGAAATTTTCTAGTACATTCTGCTTCTCGAATATAATTTACTTCATTAGATAGTTCTTGGTTAGCCACTTTAACAATATTATCAATAAACATGCCTTCCGGAAACATGTTCCATACTTTCATAACGCCAACTAAATTATCAATATCACTCTTTATGCTATCAGCCACGCCAGGATATTGAACTTTAACAGCGACTTTTAGTCCGTCTTTCATTGTGGCTTCGTGTACTTGACCAATAGAAGCGGCCGCAAAAGGCTGCAAGTTGAAAGTTTCAAAGCGGTCTTTCCAGTTGGTACCCAACTCTGCAGCCAATACTTTCTAAATAGAAATTATAAATAAACGTATTGTATGGAAAATAAATAGCTGCATCGGAATCGCGTGTCAATAAAAAGAGCGATGTTGATCAACAACCGAGTTGCGTGCGCGGTTTTTTTGTGACAGAGTCGAGTGGCATGTGATTAATTAAGATTATAATTTATAGATAAGTAACTGTATACAGTTCAACAATTTATAACTTTTGATGATCAGTGAATAGTTCAGTTCGATTTCGAACACCTACGATAAAAGAAAAAAAATATATCATGTAGTGAAACAAAAAAATTATGAAAATTTAAAAATGATTAAATAAAAATAAAAAAGAAACTACACACGAAACTCTCCCTATATTATAATTTTCACACGCAATTCGGAAATACCGAAATAAATATATGTGTTACATTGAAGAAAATAAAACTATTTACTTCTAATTGCCATGTAGGCATGAAATCCGCAGATTGACGTACTCTTTCGAATGCTTTCTGTAATTGTGGGCTCAATAAATTGTTATCTTGTATACTAATAATTTGACCAATTTTCAAAGCAGCACCTAGAAAATTAATTGACATATTACAAACGATTAATAATAAAATGTGTAAGGTTATAATAATTTGAATAAACCTCGAACTTCGCATAATGTATTGGCAATACGTTCAGCATTTTCTGGAGATATAAAAGCACTCTCCATGTATTCACCATCTGATGTTTTGGTGGAATTGCTTAAGCCTAATGAACGTTTTGTAATTTCTGTAACAGCACCGATACCTAATCCAGCTGCAAGACCGCCAAACGACAACATTCGTCCAATGTGAGAAGACGGTACTGTTTTTTGTTTTGCAGAATCACTTAACTAATTTGAAATTTAGTTAAGTTTTATAATATTATCTTTAATACAATATCAGGCAGGTACCTGTTGTTTGGGTTTTGTATTTTTGCTAACAGTTGGTTTCCGTTTTCCTTTACTATTTTTTTCATTACTACTGTAATTCATTTGATGTATAATAGTTTTAGGTATAAGGGGGTCAATGACCAATTGACTGGTACATTTTCCATAAAAATATTGCTTTTTTAATACGCCACTAGGAACTTTTAATGGTCCAGTTAACCCTTGGCCTTCACTTGGAAATTGATCATAAGGTATAATATCTACTGGATTAGTAGGTGTAAATTCTTTTGAATCAAATTGTTGATCTTGACGAACTACAAACCAATGTTAAATTAACAATATGTCTTAGGAATAACATTAACAATAACTTACTTGTCATTATAATAACATTTCGTAGGCCCTCGAATACCATAGCTGATCTTTCAGTCATTTCTTTTACAATATTTTCTGGCTATAAATACAAATACAAACAAAAATTGCATTATTTATATATATTGATATATCGTTTTAAACTTAGATTTCTTATAATAATATTAAAATACACAACAATTCAAAGTTAAATATCAAATTGTGGATAAGTTCATTATATTTTAGTCAAAATACATAGATTAAAATTAAATTTTATCATCTATTAAAATAAACAATAAATCAGACTATAATATATTATGCTTTGTCTTGATTTCACTTTTTACTTGTTGAATATTTTTATTTCAAAAAGTATTTTAAGTAGGTACCAATAAAATTTGCATTATGTAATTTGTAACAAACATTTATTTTATTCGTATATGTTCATTATACAGACGGATTAAATAATAATTTTTAACATTGACATTTTAATAGACGATTCCAACTAGATACAATGATTTTGATTTCTCAAAAATTCCATCACTGATATTTTACTTTTGAATTAGATAGTTACCTACTTTCAGTTTAGCCGCCCCAATGCCGTCAGCAAATTGAATTGTAGCGTCTTTAACTGCAGTACCTATGCTGCAATTTCTCATGTTTTTCTTGCAATTTTGTTCGTTGGCCTTAATTATTTCCTCCAGCACCATTTGTACACCTCTCAGCACCTTTGCTACATCCGTGCCCCTCGAAGCCGACATTTTAATCGTACAAGAATTTCGTAAGTATGATTAAACTGCAAAACAAACAATATTTTATAATATAATTACAGAGCAAATTATTATATTATTGTATATTAACATATTATAAGCATAATATTTTAACAGGTTTTCTTTTTTTTTTTTTCAAAATTACTCACTTTTTAATAATTTAACGTTCAATAGATCATTTCTTGAGAGAAAACCAATACCTGGATATGGTTAGGTTAGTATTCATGTGTCGAGGTAAAAGGTTGAACAGCAACTTTCTTAAAATACAGTACTAGAGTGCCGACCCGCTAACGCCAATACATTTCTATGTAATTATTGTTAATTATTTATTATCAGCGTTCCGTTATCACGATCGACCAGTTATTGTGATAAACTTTATCACAATCGAGTGCGTCCGTCGTACCAGCCGGCTACAGTAAGTTGTCCGTTTCGTACGAATAATACCGTAAAACACGATTATAAAGAACTTCTTTATAACCGAACGTTCGTGCTGTTGCGGTATGGATATATTTTTAGCCTTGGTCACGGTCTAAATCCGTGGCCGTAACGTTACATTCGTATACCTCCTTAAATAAACATCGGCGCGTTTTTTTGTCGAATTTCAATTCATTTTATACTTACGGATTTTGTTGTAATACCTATATGTATTGTAGGTGACATTACGTACTTAACAAAAATTAATCGGCGAATCATTTTAATGGTCGGAAAATCAAAAACAATGATAATAAACAACCGGCACCGATGTTTTTTAAATCATGTTTCGAGCGTATAAGCCAGATAACATATATTATGATATATTATGACGTGTTGGTTATGGTGTGGTGTGTTTTTGTTTCTGTTTGTAAACAAATTTCCCTATAAAGAGTCTTCCTCCGATCGTCAATTTCGTAGGCAACACTGAACACAATGTCTCTAGGTTGTGCATCGGAAAAGACATTTATATGATTTTCATCGTAGTTTTCATAATAATTTTTCAGTCGATTGCGTTTTTTTTTTTATATATATAATTCGGTTAGGAATAATAATCGTAAACCTAAAATTTGTTGAAAAAATCACGTTTTTTGATCGAATGGTTATTGCAAATTTCAGATAATAATATCTATAGTAAACATATTATTATGAGGTATACTTTTTAAACGACAATCGATTTTATGCCTAATACCTATTTATCACATGTTGACTGTTGTCAATTGACCATTTATTTGGTGAAGGCGATCCAATCATCGATAGTGTCCAACGGACAGTATAGGTCTACCTAAGTAAACATCATTATAGCAATAGGCTTTTAAAACGATTGAAAGTTATTGGAAATCAGAGCCCAGAAGTATATAAATGTATTACCTGTAGGTGTATGATTATATTAATATCTTTGAATAGGTAGGTATCTGACAAAAATATGGTGCCGTGACTTGTGGTTGTCACCATATTATTTACGTTTTCGGTCATCCTTTGTTGCGGTGCAGTTCCACGACGTAAGTATAGGTAAGTCATAAATAAATTACTCCAATCAAGCCCGTAGATACCTAACCTATAATCTAACCTACGTCCAGGGCGCCTGCTGTAAGGGCAGCGTCCAAAAACTCCCACATCATTTTGTCTATGGAGGGGGGAGGCAAGTAGTAAAAAACATAAATCTTAATAGTTCAATGTATACATAATATAAAATATGACATCAATCATCATGTATGTAATATATTTACAAAAGATTTAATATTTTGACGTATATTTCCCCAACACACTAATATCCGATTTTCGCAAATTTTTTTTTGCTAACATTTCATATGCAATTTTGGTAAGCCTTAAAAAATTATCATATAATAATAATAATATTAATATAATCTAAATAATAGTAACTATGATAATACAAATGACAATTAAAAATTATAAAACTGATAAAAAAAAAAATATTTTAAGCTTAAAGCTTGAATTATATAAAAATGAATAAAATCACAGTTTTTTTTATCGAAGCTATATTCATTTATATTGGTATTTTTTGTTTTATTTTTGCATATGGTATAAATTAAATTTTAAATGTTGAAAAGGGATATGTATTAAATATTTACTCATCTACTTATCAAATTTACTTTGATGCTTAGATCGTTATTTGGACTCGGAGGGAAGGTCGTAGACATTTCGGAAATGGGCATGCAAATTCATACGAAATGCGTACTAAATGATGGTAGCGAAAAAAACACTTCAATGCCATCCGGCCGGTATTGCGAGGGGGTACTGGAGAAACGTTTCTCCAGCACCATCCTAATTTTTTGTTTGCGGAGCAAAAACTAAAAGCGTACAAATTCGGAAAATAGTCATGCAAATTGCATACTAAATGTTAGAAAAATAAAATTTGCGAAAATCGTATGTGGGGATCTGAGGAAATGTACGTAATATTTTGTATTACATAAGTTACATATAATAGGTTATTTATATTCAAAAAGAAATTGAAAACGTCTTGTTTATTTTCTGAAATTATCATAAATTCCCAAAAAAAAAAAAAATTATTTTAACTGTTTATAATCATAAGTTCATTTGCCCTCTTTCTATATTAATTCATTATGCATGATGCATTCCGTCGGATCCGTCGTTAACAACAATCGATTTTTTACCTGATTTAAAATTAAACAACCGTTGAATTTTCGACATGGCTGCAGTAGTGTCGACCCGGGACACCAAAGACTCCTGGACCCCATTTCATTTTAAGATGCAAAATACAATGGTCATGGGTGTCATGATTCAGTAGTGCTCGGGGTAAGAACTGCTACCCTACCATTTTTATCGGGGTTGCAGACTAATAGTTATTCTACTCTATGAAGTTTTTGAGGAAGTTGCCTGCACGCACTCAGGCCCTCTCCCCCATGTTACCCCTACCTTCAACCTTGAATGAACGTCTATATGGACACACAAACGATTAAATCTTATAAGGTATACGCAGTGGCGCCGAACCATGTTTTAAGAAGGTGGACAGGTAACAAGTTGTATAGACCATCACCCTTGTTTACAAAACAAACTACCGTAAAACGCTTTTAGTTAATACTCTATACGTACCAATTCGATAAAAAAATACGGCTCAGGTACCCATCATGGATCCACCACCACCTATCCATTAAAAAAATAGGTGACGAACTGGCGACCGCCACCATCGATTGCTGGTTTCGGGGCCACTAGGTATACGTTCATTCATTTTATACTTATGAGTCATCCTTCCGATTTTGTTTCAAATTCAACCGATGGCTCGGCTCAGAATTTATTAAAATAATTTTAGATCGGTCAGTGAAAAAATATCAACGAAAATACAGCGTATAGTAATACGTGATAACAACGATTTTATTGTTAACGTTCGACGCCACGACGACGACGTCGAAAAATGCACGTGTGGGCGGCTATGGTGTACTGGACGGGCAAGGTGGCCGGCGTGTTGGTGGCCGACACGGTGAAAGACAGAGCGGGTCGTCTCGAGTACACGACAGCGGGTGAGGGCGACGGCGGCCGTTGGCGATGGTTCGGAGCCCGCGCTTGGAACGCGGCCTGTCTGTCGGCCGTGGCCTACCGAATAGTCGAGGAGACGTGGCCCGTGACACTGCTCGCCGTCCGCCGGCCGCGGGCGTCGTGTTACGACACCGTGTGCGGGGGCGTGTGGTGCGTATACGCGTGCGTATACTACTCGGTCGCGTGGCTCGACCGGGTGTCCGAGACGGTCGCGCTAGCGGCAGCGGTCACCTGGCGACTGCGGTCCACGGTGGACTGTCTGAACTCAGCGGTCACCGGGTCGGGTTATCTGTGGGTCGGCGATACAGAAGAGTTCAGCCACCGCGACTTGCCGTGGCACGTGTACCTAACAGTCGTTTTCCCGGTTGTCAGGTTCGCGACGGCCGCGGTCAACGAAATACCTGCACCCCGGGACTACGGCGTGTGGCGAACAGCGACCGCCGCCTTGGCTGCCGTGGCTAGCTGTTCGCCCGTCGTGGCACATGGTACCGCGGCCGCTCTTCTCGCGGTAGCCAACAATAGCATGCGGTCCATCAACCGCCGGATAGCGGCGCTTCACGTGACCGCGACCGTTGGTCGGCCGCTGCAGGGCGAGGGCCGGCTATCCGAAATCGCACGGCTCGCCCGTAAACACTGGTGGACTACCGAACTGGTGACGGGCCGCGTGTGCGCCGCATACGGCGTGGACCTGATGGCGGCTGTCTTGCTGGCTGTGTTACACGTCACGTACGTGGCCGTGTCGGTGTTCCACTGTTTGACGGACGACGCGGACGACCGGACCAACATCGTGTCAGTGCCCGTCGCTATGCAGCTGGTCGGCTGGTTCGGCCAGTTTGCCTATTTGGCGTACACGTGTGACGACTTGGCCAATCAGGTAGATCACACGATTTTCACAAATACTTATAGTGTTGAAAGGAAAAACAAATCACAGTTCCCCAAATGTGATGATATTTATGGGACATCAAATAAAACTAATTGTATGCATGTGTGTGTGTGTGTGTGTATTTTTAAAACAGTCTAGTGAAATGTTTGACAATTTGAATTCACTGTTGTTGGATATCTTTAAAGAATGTCGTCTTTCCGGCGAAACATATTCGAGTAGAACACAAGAGATCGAGGCGGTAAGTTTCATAACACATAACACACGTAACTAAGGCTCGCGACTTGTTGCGCTTAAAATCCACAAAAAAAAACCAACACACAAATACAATTTTCTAACGCTAAAAAAATTATCAATTCAAAATTATTTGTTTTGTAATACGTACAACTTTATTTAACAAAATCGCTATTTGTTAATTATTTGTGTCGTATTATAAAATAATGTTTAATTAGTTAGACGATGGACCTTTAAATCCTTTTACCGACTATTCTTATTATATTTTTGTTAAAATGTTTTTTTTCAGTGCTTTTTTGGCGGTTTTAAGCGCTTTTTGCAAATTTTAAGTACAATAAGTCCCGAGCCCTATACATAACTATTGATAATAATAATAGATAACAATTTATTATTACATTTAATCTTATAGGGCATCCGCAATCTGCGGAGCATCAATACCTGTTTGTTCAGCCATTTTAAAACCGTTTAATCATATTTTTTACAATGTTCTCAAATTATTACCCTTTGGTAAATTATACAAAACAATTACCATAAATGATAATAGAGGGGACAAAATTATCAAAAAGCGCTACGTATGTATACCCTCTGATGATTTCTTGTGATATTTTGACTGGAGAGCTTGCTCCAGTCATCAACTTCAATGGTTGTTTCGGATAATAAATTGTGTTGAGTTGGTGCTTTGTGAAAGCTTTTTTTTCCTTGTACATACTTTTCTTAATGATGTTGGAAAACAAGAAAATAACAACAGATAAATGTGAATATTACGATTTGTACTATTGGTTTTGTATTTTTTTTTTTTTGAAATTTGATGCAAAATAATCATAGAGATTTGACATTTTTACTAAATATCTACTTATATTAGCATTTTCTAGACGTTACAAATTTTTTAAATAATTCGGGACTTTTTGAGGCTTTTTAAATTTTTGAAAACTTTTTCGGTTTTATGTGGATATGATTTTGTTGGTTCATAAAATGCTAAACAATTTTAAGCGATTTTCATCATAAATTGTACTTAGTGGTAATTTGTTTTTATATAAGTTTTAAGTTCAAATTCATGATATAATTCGTAAAACAAGTACCATACGAAAACCGCCAAGTTACCAATGATTATAAATATAATATTAAATTATTAGTATAGATATCTAAATAAGTACCCATAAGTTATAATTATTGATAAATAATATAAATATATTGTACTCACAACTGAAATTTCGCCATTTAAATAAAACGTACCTACCCAAATATTATAAATATTTAATTAGTAATTAGTTTAAATATTATAAAAATGTAATATCCTATGGTCAACAGGTGCAAGAATTCTTACGCCAAGCAGTAGCACGTAAAGCTGTCGTGCACGCGTGCGGTGGTTTAATAAAGTTAAATCTGTCCCTCATAACCACGGTAATGTATTAGCATTAAACAATAAACTAGGTAAGATAACTCGTAAATATTAAAATTGGCTTTCAAATAAATGTTCTAGTGTAGTCCCGTCTCCCATGTAATTATCGTGAAGGTATTTACTGTGCAGTGAGTAATCATGCGATTCGTTCAAACAAACAGAAACAAAAAGTGGTTTAAGATAAAACACCTTAGTAGTTACTAGATGTGATCAAATACTATAAGACGTGAAAATACGGGTCACTCAAAAATCCATACGTTCCTCGGGGACACTGTAGCGCGACTTACTATAGCAGATTGCCTATGTAAACCCCTTAAAAATGTATTTAATTTTCTATTTAAAACTAATATTTGACACCGAAAATAGGTATTGCATGATTATGAAGTGCAGGTTTGGTTAGTACTATAAATAATACCAGTTTTCTAAATTAAATTTCGTGCCTGAGTGTTTTCAAAAATTTTCAATTTTACAAAAGCCAATAAAATTTATTCATTTATTTACAATCATACTTACAAATCTCTTTATAGGTTGGTAGCTGCTAATATTTTAATTGATATTTTGAAAATCACATGTAAGGTTCCATTCGAAACATGTCAACATTGTCAAACATCATGTAACTATACAAACCTTGCATAAATGTAAATTTTGTATTTTTGTCTATTTCGCTTAAGTAAACATGTCTTTTACCGTTGAAAAAGCATAGGTTTGTCGTTCCAATATAATTCTGTAAACTGTAGAGTGTATAAAACTTAAGTAAGATAACCGTAAAAGTATAGGGACTACGTTTGAATTTTTCAGATAATCGGAGTCACGTTGACGTACTTCATAGTCCTGTTACAATTCGAATCGTCACAAAGCGACAGTAGTATACATAATAATACCATGAATCAATAAGAATACAACAGTTTACAATAGGTATAAGTAATTATATGATACAATAGCCTAGATTTGAAATCAATAATTATTATACTAGAACAGATTCCTACCTACTAAGAAGCTACATCTCATTAACAATTTGAATTTTACAAATAAATAATGGGGTTTTTTTTATACAATTTTTTTAAGCCACCAACGTTTTATTTTATGTTTATTAACTTTGAATTTTTGTTTATATATTCAACTGACGAAATGGGGTAATGTAATTTATCACGACATCCTCACTACATGTCCAATCTTAAAACTGAGTTTTGTATTCAGTATTATAGAAGAACTTACGAATAAAATTAAACACAATAATATTATATAGAGTTTTAAAAAAGCCTCTACAAATGTAATACAACAATAAATAAATTTAAATTTGAATAAGTTTTTCTACATTTTTGAAAATCCTGTAGTAAGAACTGCCTATTATTGTAATAGATATATTTATCAAAAGGATATTTCTATGAATAGTTATTATATAAACAAAGAAGAATTGGTAGCTTGCATTATTAACGAGAGATGCAAAAACACAGTCCGCTGAGGTCTATACTTAGGCAGATTGATAAGGGAATATCGTTCGTTACCAAAGTGCACAGCGAGAAGCGTTTACCGATTGCACCACGGCTGATAATAATCATAATAATAATAAAATTTGATAATGTAAACTAAAATTGCTTCGTGTGTGTGTTCATTATATTGTATAATATAACAAGGATGAGACTGAATCGAACACCGCAATATTAAAAGTAATAACCACGATAATAAACACAATAGTAGGTATTCCTTTGGTCTACTATAGACAGGGAAAAATACTTAGGATATTCGAATGACAATTAGCTTACCTATCGTTTTATCAATAGGATATAACTTGAAAAAAAAATGAAGATATAGAAAATATTTTATTGAACATACAAGAAGGAAAGGTGAATTTGTTGATACAACCAATTCAAAAATAATATAATGTAAAATAAAATGGTTTAAATAATAAACTACCAGTCCAAAACTGTAAATTAAAGTGCCCAGGTGTAGCAATACCAAACAGTAAATGGTGTCAGGGTGCATGCAATAAATATTGTATTACCGATATCACAATATGTATACTTATATTGGATAGATGTAAAAGTAGAACTATGAAAAAGAATAAAAAGACAACATAAACTAATTTATAAGAAAAAGAATTAAAAAACAATAAGGTAGCAACTAAGTGGTTACTAAGTTTTGTCACGAAATTGTGTATAATAGTATCTCTAGAGTTTGTATCCATATCAGTGCAGTTGGGCCGGTAGAATTAACAAATTCTCTCTTTGTCCCAGTGAATTTTCGTAAAAGATAGATGAAGATAACATATTCAGATGGTTTGATTAGGAGAGCCAAAACAGGGGAGGGAGATAATCCCAATTTAAACATTGTAGCGTTGCATAGTGGCCAGCCCTTATGCAATTAAGCATTATCCAATCTTTTCTTTGGAGTTTAAACCTTAAAACCGGGCCAAATATTTAATGGGTCGTTGAAATCTTGTCTATTACTTACGTTCAATCAAATATATAAAATAATATATGTTTTAAAGTAAGTGACTATTTGAATTATTTTAGTGAGAAACCAAAACAACTAATATTATTATATATTTTTGTTATAATCAATTTAAACTGGAGAAATACTATTATTATATGAATATGAATGATCCCTGCTCACTGAGTGGAAAGGGAAATATTGTTAAAGTATACGTAATATATCTTAATGGTGTTTTATTATTATTATACTAACCTATGATATTTAAGATAACACTTGACAAGTATCTAAGTTATTTTTATAGTAGCACACTAAATAGAACTATATTTTTTTTATAGTAGTTAAAAATAATGATAATATACATACTTACATAATCCAAAACCTCTAGATGGCGGTGCTGTGCAATATCAATTCTTATTCTATCAATAACAACATGGCTTATTGTTGATTAAAATAATAATATGTTAAAATTGCTTAATTTGCATTTATAGTCCTCTGTGTCTATAAATATTAAATAGTTGCCTTACAGGTCATTTATCGTAATATTATTTAAATTTTATAAGACAAAAAAACATCAGGTATGTTTGTCAGAGATGACCAATGAACACCGAACAGTGTTCACATTGCCACAATAGTGCGCTTTGTAGTTTACATGACGCGAGCCATCCTGTGAAATCTTAATTATTCGTTATCATAGTTTTGTTTGTCAAACATTTGGATTTTCCTACTAAATGTCAATTTAATATCTCCTCTTAATATTGTTTATTTGTTAATTTTCAGTACATTTTGTGTTTCTAATAAAACTGTAAATATTACAGATTATTTGTTAATTTTCAGTACATTTTGTGTTTCTAATAAAACTGTAAATATTACAGAATGAAAACTGTAAATATTACAGANAAATATTTACGAGGAAAAAACCAACGGTAAAATAGTGTAATTTTATTATCTTAAACTAAATAAATTCTCAAAATACCATGGACCGAGAGGTTAATGAATAAGGAAGTATTAAATAAAATAAAGAAATAACAACAAATATGGAAAAGTATTCAATCAAGAAGAGACAAAATAATGGGACACATATTAAGGCATGAAAGTTTATTAAAGAAAATAATTGAAGGAGATGTTGAAGGACACATTGTAAGAGAAAGACACAGAGCATAATACATGACACAGATAATGCAGTAAACGAATAAGGAATACTACAAAGACCTGAAAGAACTGTGCTACGATAGAGAAACATGGAGCAACAAACAAATCTACGGATTTATAACAAAAAAAATAATAAATTCTTGATTTACCTTCCTACATTTAAAAACAATTCTATTTATTATACATGGAGTTATATTATTATAAAAACTAATTATAACAAAACTACCTGTTACAATGTCTTGGTGTGAACTATGATAAGTGCTTGTGGTAAGGAAAAGGGTACATAGGTACCTACCCTAGTGTTTAGAACATGGTTTTATTAAAATATTAACTGATAATAACCAGAGCTCCGTTGTTTATGACTGCATATTTTTTCATCAAAATCACAATTATATCTGAATATGATATAAACTTGATTCATGATATTTAGATTTCAAATATGCAAACTTATTTTTCATATATTTGCATATTTGACATTTTTGAGGACATAAATGTATAAATTGAATTATTTATAGATTTAGAAGCATATTTTAAATATAATATTAAACATTTGTACGGTAACTATTACCCAAACAAAGTATTTAACCTATATAACATTGAAATTTTTGAATTATTTTTTTTTTTTGAATTAATATTTATAAGGAATTTCGGTCATAAACATCTGAGTTTTAGTAATAACCTTCTCTACCAACATGATAATAAAATCTAGATTATCCCATTACTATAAATTATTTTACCATAAAAACATTGTTCACAATTAACATAATATTTCATTATCAAAGTATTAATGTAGCTTATATTATCAATTTCAGAGGGAGTTTCTAAACTTAAAGAAAAAGCTAGAAGAAAAAAGGGACGTGGTTTTGATGACAAATCTAAAAGAAATATTAAAGATGAACCCATGGAATATGAATCTGTTGATCAAACTGAAGACGATGGACCTGGCCCTCAAAGATGTAATATTATCATTTAACACACTTTTAATTATTATTATTATTATTATTGTTGTTTATGTGTATGTGTGTATGTATTATATTTTCCTCATAGCTGTTGAAGGTTGGATTTTGTTTATATCTTCTTTACACGAAGAAGCACAAGAAGATGATTTACATGATAAATTTGCTGAATTTGGAAAAATTAAAAATTTACATTTAAACTTGGACCGTAGGACTGGATTTTTAAAGGTAAATTATAATACTTAACTTAATTATTTTATAATTCATCAATGTTTTAATTTACTGTTTTTTTTTTAAGGGTTATGCATTAGTTGAATATGAATCGTACAAGGAAGCTTCTAGAGCACGTGAAGGACTCAATAATTCAGACATATTGGGACAGCAAATTAGTGTAGATTGGTGCTTTGTTAAAGGACCAAAAAGGTATTTAAATTTCTAATTCGTTTATATACATCTATAGCAGACAAATTTTACATTAAAATTTAACGAAATCGTGGTTGCACATAAATACAAGTACAGTCTAGATCCCAATTCCCATAAATTTACTATGAAATAAAATCATATGAGTATACATTCATCGGTTTTGTGACTTTATGGCAATCGATAACAACTAGATTAATAATATTTAATGAATATTTTATTATTTTGTTCTAGAATAAAAAAACCAAGACGCCGAATGAAACAATATTGATTAAAAGATGTATGTCTTACATGATAATTTTTATTAAATTAAAATTGTTTGTAAATATACACAACTTCTAAACCCCCATGCTAAATTTTTTTTTCATATTTTTTTTTTATTTTTTTTTTGTATATCATAAATAATATATTTATTAAACATTTATTTTTTTATATTTTTGAGTACCAATTATGTATTGACTTTTTAATATTATTTACCTAAATTTGAGTATAATTAAAATATATTGTAATATTATATGGTAAGTAATTTAAACATTAAAGTATTCAAAAGCATAATATTTACATACATTAATTAATAATTAATAAGGATGTCGAATAAGTAGTAAAGCCAATGAGCATCAGGCAACTGGCTTTGTGATTGGCACCCCTAAATAACAAATACCTTGCTGTTCTGTTGCATACTATACACAGAACTCAGCATTAAGATTTAAATTTAAGGTCAATCAGCTGGACTAAGAAATTAAAAAGCACCTTTAAATGAATGGAAATGATACACAATTTGTTATATTTATTTAATACTAATACAGAGATGATTTTTTTCATTTTTAAATAAAAGTATTTAGAATATAAAATTGTTTAAATATAAAAAAGTATCAACATTATTAGTATAGGTTTAAATTGTAGAAAATATGAAATTAATTTAAGAAGTTGGCAAATTGGGATATTTATAAAGTATACTAATATTGAGATGGAATAAAAATATTTCATATGTCTTTAAAAGTCCAGACAAAGTTGGTTATCAACAGTATTTTTATCCTAATAGCTAAATCTGAGACTAATTAGTTACATAATAATTAGTATATTTGGAACAATCAGCAATACCATTATTACAGTTCAAAATTCACAAAAATTGAGTATAATTTTTAATAACAGTATAATAGAATACATTTCAAAAAGTATTACTTTTTATTAAAAAAAAAAAAATTAAGTTTAATTTAGTATTTTTTTTATAAGAGAATTTTAATATCAAATTTCAATAAAAATCGTTGATTAAAAAATTATATGGAACAAATCTAGTTTTTCAATTTTTTTTTTTTGTTTGTTTAAATATGGGTATATTGTTGATTTAAAAATGATGGTGAGTCACAATTGAGTGAACTGACTAAATTTCGAAATGTAGCTGTTTGAAATTCTTAAATTATGTCTATATTATTTTTATCATAGCCGAATGTTTATACATATCTTTTGTCATCCCAAGGGTCGTGAGTTCAAATCTGTGTCTTGAAAAAAATTACACTTATATTTTCCCTTTTACATAAACAGGAAAAAACCAAATGCATTTTAGATTTACCTAGAAACCTACCTCGGCCTATTTTAATTGCAAATTACCACTTAATTTATTGTGCAAACATTTCTACAAGAAATCTTGCTCCAATGTATCAATTGTAGTTTATTTTCTGACAGAAAATTTTATCTCCATAGTAATTTAGTGATGTCATTTTTGATATTTCAAGCAGTTTTCATAATATCTGAGAAAAACCGGGGTAAAATATCGGAAAAACAGAAAATGTACAAAATGTAGGTATTAGTAAAAAAATATGCTCTTTTTTTTTTTATCTGTGAACAACTTTTCTACCAGAAATTTTGTTACGATTTACAATGGCAGCACTTATTTTGACAGGAAATCTGACTGAGAAAGTATTTTAAGGTTATTTTTTTTGATTTTCCTAGCTAATGTGAAAAAACAAGAAAAAATTGGTACAATATTAAAAAAATATTATTAAAGAAAATATATAATGCCTATTTAATTATTTTATCATAATATGACATGTATATTGTTGACAAATCATCACTATCAACTGAACTGCATTCAGAATCGGATTTTGTTACCAATGGTTTATCGTAGCTTACAGATATACATCAAATTACCTATAACAGTGTCTGTACCTATCTCCAATATCCTAGGGTATCTTTTCATTTTTTAATAATTTCTTAAGCTTTGTTATAACTCATCTATTTGACTATATTTTTATATCTTTAAAAATAAAAATAAAAATGTTTTTAAAAAATCCAAGATATTTTTTTTAAAATATATTTTGAAATACAATTTTTGAATTACAAATATTTATTAATAAAAAAAATTAAGTTTCTACTAATTATTAAAAAAAAAAATCGATTATTTATTGAACATCAAAAATTATTGTCAAATTTTTATTAGATCTCCTATAAACCTCCTGTATAGCTGTAAGGTTTAATACCGGATTGCGCCAAAACTTATCTAATACCTCTTATTACTAATTCTATTAATTAAATTCAATCAAAAATATAAAATAATATATGTTTTAATGTAAATGCTTATTTGAATTATTTTAGTGGGAAACCAAAACAAATAATATTATTACATATTTTAGTTTAATCATGTTTAGACTGAAAACAAAATATTATTATATGAATATGAATGATCCCTGCTCACTGAGTGGAAATAATGTAGCTTTGACCACTCGCTAAAAATCAACCAATTTGCAATAGTTCTCGTATATCCACAATGACTTAAATCTAAGAAACCAACCAAGAAAACGGACATTGTCTTCAACAATTCTAACTTCTGTCTCAAATCGACATTGAAGGATATGAGAAAAACATCTAACTTGGCTCAACCACACGAGAACATTTATCTTACACGGCTACACGCAGGTTTAAATTTACCACGAAAACAGTGGACATGGAACAGTGAACGGTATAGGTTCAATGAATATATTGTTAAAGTATACGTAATATATCTTAATGGTGTTTTATTATTATTATACTAATCTATGATATTTAAGATAACACTTGAGAAGTATCTAAGTTGTTTTTATAGTAGCACACTATACAGTGAAACCTCTAAATGGCAGACACTCTCGGTCGCCGAAATTTTGTCCGCTATTTAGAGGAAAACATGTGTGTGTGAAAATGTTCCCATCCCCGAAAAAACGTCCGCTATTTAGAGGTGTCCGTTAGGGAGGTTTCACTGTATAGAACTATATTTTTATAGTAGCTAAACATAATGATAATATACATAATTACATAATCCAAAACCTCTAGATGGCGGTGCTGTGCAATATCAATTCTTATTCTATCAATAACAACATGGCTTATTGTTGATTAAAATAATAATATGTTAAAATTGCTTAATTTGCATTTATAGTCCTCTATGTCTATAAATATTAAATAGTTGCCTTACAGGTTAATTATCATAATTTTATTTAAATTTTATAAGACAAAAAAACATCAGGTATGTTTGTCAGGGATGACCAATGAACACCGAACAGTGTTCACATTGCCACAATAGTGGGCTTTGTAGTTTACATGACAGGGGCCATCCTGTGTAATCTTAGTTATTCGTTATCATAGTTTTGTTTGTCAAACATTTGGATTTTCCTACTAAATGTCAATTTAATATATCCTCTCAATATTGTTTGTTATTTGTTAATTTTCAATACGTTTTGTGTTTCTAATAAAACTGTAAATATTACAGAATGGCTGATGTTTTAGACTTGAACGCTGAAGAGTTTGTGGAAGAAGATGATGGTAATAAAACATGTGTTTACTATTGTACGATTCTTAGATTTATTGAACATGAGTTGTTAATTTGTTTCAACAAATTGTGGGTTGTAAAAATATTTACGAGGAAAAAACCAACGGTAAAATAGTGTAATTTTATTATCTTAAACTAAATAAATTCTCAAAATACCATGGACCGAGAGGTTAATGAATAAGGAAGTATTAAATAAAATAAAGAAATAACAACAAATATGGAAAAGTATTCAATCAAGAAGAGACAAAATAATGGGACACATATTAAGGCATGAAAGTTTATTAAAGAAAATAATTGAAGGAGATGTTGAAGGACACATTGTAAGAGAAAGACACAGAGCATAATACATGACACAGATAATGCAGTAAACGAATAAGGAATACTACAAAGACCTGAAAGAACTGTGCTACGATAGAGAAACATGGAGCAACAAACAAATCTACGGATTTATAACAAAAAAAATAATAAATTCTTGATTTACCTTCCTACATTTAAAAACAATTCTATTTATTATACATGGAGTTATATTATTATAAAAACTAATTATAACAAAACTACCTGTAACAATGTTTTGGTGTGAACTATGATAAGTGCTTGTGGTAAGGAAAAGGGTACATAGGTACCTACCCTAGTGTTTAGAACATGGTTTTATTAAAATATTAACTGATAATAACCAGAGCTCCGTTGTTTATGACTGCATATTTTTTCATCAAAATCACAATTATATCTGAATATGATATAAACTTGATTCATGATATTTAGATTTCAAATATGCAAACTTATTTTTCATATATTTGCATATTTGACATTTTTGAGGACATAAATGTATAAATTGAATTATTTATAGATTTAGAAGCATATTTTAAATATAATATTAAACATTTGTNATAAGGAATTTCGGTCATAAACATCTGAGTTTTAGTAATAACCTTCTCTACCAACATGATAATAAAATCTAGATTATCCCATTACTATAAATTATTTTACCATAAAAACATTGTTCACAATTAACATAATATTTCATTATCAAAGTATTAATGTAGCTTATATTATCAATTTCAGAGGGAGTTTCTAAACTTAAAGAAAAAGCTAGAAGAAAAAAGGGACGTGGTTTTGATGACAAATCTAAAAGAAATATTAAAGATGAACCCATGGAATATGAATCTGTTGATCAAACTGAAGACGATGGACCTGGCCCTCAAAGATGTAATATTATCATTTAACACACTTTTAATTATTATTATTATTATTATTGTTGTTTATGTGTATGTGTGTATGTATTATATTTTCCTCATAGCTGTTGAAGGTTGGATTTTGTTTATATCTTCTTTACACGAAGAAGCACAAGAAGATGATTTACATGATAAATTTGCTGAATTTGGAAAAATTAAAAATTTACATTTAAACTTGGACCGTAGGACTGGATTTTTAAAGGTAAATTATAATACTTAACTTAATTATTTTATAATTCATCAATGTTTTAATTTACTGTTTTTTTTTTAAGGGTTATGCATTAGTTGAATATGAATCGTACAAGGAAGCTTCTAGAGCACGTGAAGGACTCAATAATTCAGACATATTGGGACAGCAAATTAATGTAGATTGGTGCTTTGTTAAAGGACCAAAAAGGTATTTAAATTTAAGTAAATCATGGTTGCACACAAATACAAGTACAGTTTAGATGTTAAATCCAATAAATTTACCATGAAACAAAATAATATGAGTATACATAAATAGGTGTAGTGACTATGGCAATCGTTAACAACTAACTACAGTAATAATATTTAATAAATATTTTATTATTTTGTTCCAGAGTAAAAAAATCAAGACGCCGAGTGACAAATTATTAATCTGGTTGTAGATTAAAAAACATCTATTATTGTCAAAAATACTAATTTGATGTGTTTTTATATTTTGTATATTTAGTTAGATATCATGCCCACAAAGATAAAAACGGAAAAAATGTAAAAACAAAATTTTAAAATAATAAAAAATTAAGTATAACATTGTAACTGAAAATTTGTTATTTATCAATTAATGGCAGTTTTATATAGTGTTATAAATACTTTTTCTGAGTATCTATATTTAAAATTTAATATAAGTTGTGTATATTTAAACCTTTTGTATATAATTGTTTTTATGCAAATATTAAATAATAATAGAAATTTTAAAAAGTTAATATTGCAATAATCAAATAGTTTTTATAAACTACACTCCCGTGAAACTTGAAGTCTACTCGTCCACAGAAAGGCATATTTTTATAAAATGGCTTTACCAATTTTCATTAAACAAATTAAAAATTACTGAAGACATTTTTAAGATAATTGTGTCATTGTAAAGTAAAATCATTAGGCTTTCAAAGAAAAATTTTTTTATGATAATTGGTATAGCAATTTTAAAAAAATATGCCTTTTTATGATTGTGTCAATTTAGTTGCACGCTAATGTATAAATTCAGTTAGATACATATTTTCTGTTTTATTTTTATTAAATAAACTTAAACTAAAATTGAGTTTAGAATAAAAGTACTGTAGAACCTCGGTTTTCTAGGGAATTTTAGGAAGAGATTACATGGTTAAATGAAAACAACAGTTAATCAAGATTTTTTTTTGTTTAACAAATTACAGTTACATCGTATACACCTACATGTGTATGTGCATGCATGTGTATATTGTCATGTTATAATGTCATCAGTCTTTAATTTTATATTGTTTGAAATGATTTTCCTTACTTCACATATAATTTTTCTTAAATTCTTGACACTATGGAAGTTAAAATTATTACTATTTATTGTTCTTAACTTAGATATAATATACTGTACCTATGCTTATAATTTTGGTACATAGAAATTTATGGAAGAGTGTGCCCAGATAATCGAGGTGCTACTGTCGTAAATGTGTGTAACTATAAATTGTATAATTAAAAAAAAAAAACATTTATTTCAAATATTATTTAAAACATAAACTATTTAACAATAAAATATAAAAATAGTATAATATATAAACAAAAGTAAAAGTATGAAGAAAAAACTTGATGTGGAGTAAATTCCATCAAAAAGTTTATGAAGGATGTGTGTATTACATGATGACTTATTAAATCAAAACTGTTTGTAAATACACACAACCTATAAACCTCCATGCTAATTTTTTTTTTTATTTTTATTTGTATATCATAAATAATATATATATTTATCATTTATTTTGTTATATTTTTGAGTACCTATTAAGTATTAACCTTTAAAATTGTTGTTTTAAACATTATTTACTTATATTAATAAGTATAATTAAAATATATTGTAATATTATATGGTAAGTAATTAAAACATTGAAGTATTCAAAAGCATAATAATTACACACATTAATTGATAAGGATTTTGAATAAGTAGTAAAACCAATGAGCATCAAGCAACTGGCTTTGTGTTCAGCACCCCTAAATAACAAATACCGTGCTGTGTCTTCTGTTGCATACTATGCACAGTACTTAGCTACTTAACAGTAAGATTTAAATTTAAGGTCAACCAACTGGACTGAAAAATTGAATAGCACCTTTAAATGAATGGAAATAATACACAATTTGTAATATTTATTTATTATAAAACAGTAATTTTATAATCATAATCATAATCATAAGTAACAGAGATAATTTTTTAAAAATAAAGATATTTAGACTGTACAATTGTTTAATAATAACAAAGTATCAACATTATTAGCAGGGCTAGGATTTGTATGCAACAGCATGTTTTTTTTGTGACTTCTGATTATTGATTTTGTCAGTAATGTCCACGAATCACCTCATGATGAGATAAATGGTGGTGTTTTTATTTTGCATATTTTGGATAAAATGCATATTAATGCATATATCGAATAAAATGAATATTATTGCATATTTCGATTATAAAAATTCAAAAAATGCATGTTTTATTAGTATATTTTGTAATTAATATTTCGTATTTTTTCTAGCTCTGCTGCTTAAAGTATAAAACTGGGTTTTTTTTGTCAAACACTAATTTTATTTTTATAAATACAATCCTACAATTCCTATAAATACAATAGCCGATCATTCATTTTTGAAAATTTAAAAAATATGTGGTTGGAGCATGTAACACACGTAGTGAATGCGAATTATTAATATTATTAATTTTTAAATTATTTTATTTTATTTTTAAGACAAACAGCCAACCTGTATTTCAATAGATAAATATTTTTTTTTTAAACTATATTTTTGTGTTTATCTTATAAAAATTAAAATTCATATTTTTGCATATTTTGGTAAATAAAATGCATATTTTATAATTTTTTATTGCATACAAATCCTAGCCCTGATTATTAGTATAGGTTTACATTGTAAAAGATATAAAATTAATTTAAGAAGTTGGCAAATTGGGATATTTATAAGGTATACTAATATTGAGATGGAATAAAAATATTTCATATGTCAAAAAGTCCAGACAAAGTTGGTTATTAACAGTATTTTTATCCTAATAGTTAAATCTGAGACTAAATAGTTACACAATAATTAGTATATTTGGAACAATCAGCAATACCATTACAATTAAAAATTAACAAAAATTGAATATAATTTTTAACAACAGTATAATAACATACATTTTAAAACAAATAGGTTATTATAAATAAACATGAATTTATATTTTAACATTTAAAGTAAAATATATGTCAATCTTATACTCAATAGATAGGTTCCTAGTTAATAATATTAATAACATTAATGTTCTTCTCTTTATGTATTATAAATTATTTGTCTAAATATTAGATGTTCTTCAAATAGAGTGCATTTGATTTATCAATATGATTGAAGAATGGAAAGTAAGTAATTAATATGTTTCTGTTTGGTAAGTTCAATAAATTTATTTTTTCCAATTTTTAATAGTCATGATGAAAAACACAATACACATCACAAAAAATGTCAGACTAACCGTTAGAATCTAGAAACAAACAAATTTATAATTAAGTAGACATTCATTATCTATTATAATTATCAAATTCATATGTAAAATTGGGAGTTTAAGGAGTTCAAAAATTCTTTATTATAAATATATATATGTAAATAATTTTTTTTTTTTAGGATATTAAAAAAAATGAATGAAAATTGTTAAATATTTTGAAGAACTCATTAAGGTTAGTTTAGTGGACTTGGATATGGCTTTGTTAATCAAACAAAAAAAAAGTTCATATAAATTTACCTGATTTTCTGTTCCTATCACAACAATAAGGCCTTGAATAAATAATAATGTAAATATTGAGATCACAAGCAAAGAAAGAAAGAAGTTGAAGCCTAATATTAACCCATAACTGTCAGGCTTTATGTGTTTTGCTATTTCGGATCTGAAATGTTATTCATTAAAACAAATTAATTAAATAAATAGATGTTTAACTTTAAAATAAAAATATTAAGAACGTGCAAGTTTATTAGTTTTTAATTCAAACATTTTAAAGTAAAATTGTTCGGATGATCAATGTTTTCTTCAGCTATTAAATTACAATAATTAGTTAAATTTTTGATTTCATTAGTTAACGAGACATTGGTCAGCGGAAAATATCTCCTTACTATCTAATCTAGTGTTTATAGTACCTAAATAAATTATATTTATACACTACACCAAAAGTTTGCACTAGAAAATGTAATGATTTATATTTACATTATTTATAAAAATTAAAAGGTAGATATGTAAAACGTATTTAAAAAAAATGATACCTAGGTAATATCCCATCTGATAGATACAGTTGATGGATGTGGCATTGTTCTATTACCATTATATATACAAATTATGATGAATCTCGAGTAATATTTTCAAAAATGTGTGCTATGCCATAACCATTACAATAATTTTATACGCATAAAACACTAAACGATACAATGGAAAAAGACCTAAAAAAAGTCAATCCATTGCTAGATATGAGGGTGGCATTGAATAGAGAGGTGGAAAGGCATTCTAAAAGTGGTGATGATCCTGAATGGACCAGTATAAGCCTAGGAAGGAGATGAAGATATCTATTTTATAAATATATTTTGAAATAAAATGTTGGAATTGCAAATATTTACTAAAAAAGAAATTAAGTTTCTACTAATTATTATTAAAAAAAAATAGAATCTTTAAAATATTGAACATCAGAAATTATTGTTAAATTTTTATTGGATCTCCTATAAACCTCCTCTATAGCTAGAGATAGCTATAGATAGAAGAAAAAAAATCACAAATTGTTAAACCAATAAATCCTTTGCTGCTCTCGTAATCTAAAATCATACATATCATAATAAAACCAATACATTCCTTGCTTTGCTCATTAAAAAAAAAAATTTGTTTAAACATTTAGTAGGTACTTGCACATTCCTATAAAAATCACTAATAACAAATTTCATACGTTGCAATTGTTAATAGTGTTTGATAAAGAGTACCATATGTTATATATAAAATGTACAACAACCATAAATTATCACAAGAACAAATAATGAATAATAATAAACCTAACAGGAATGATCCAATGGTAAATATAATATCACCAAATTTTTTCCAATCATAATTTAAATGACCAACTATGTAAGCACCAATTGCACCTATAAACAAATAATATTTGTTATCAAGTAACAAAAATGTCAGTAAATAAAAAAATTTATATATAAAACTATGATACCGCAGAGAGTGTGTATAGATTCAACAGCCCCATTCATCAGTTGTTTTTTATCTACGTTCACATTTTCCCATAAAACTTGAATATATGTTGCTACCTATAATCAAAAAATTAACTTACATGGGTATATCACAGTTTATTCAGTTTAATAGTACATTTCTACATTGTATTTAACTCACTATAATATATCCAGTAACAGCCATTATCCACCAAAAACTTTGTTTTACTACATAAATGTTACTGTATGCAGATTTAAAATCATTTAAAATAATTTTTATAACATCGCCAATCGTAGTGACTTTTGAAGTTGCATAAACAATATTCTATAAAAAAATAATATTTAAAATTAAATAAAATTTAAGACTAAATAATAATTAAATAATAATATTATATTATAATCTTAATGAGCTTTTAAACTTTTAAAAATCTAATCTGGTGTGCAGTAGTCGCACACATTGTAAAATGGCAAGCGTTATGAAATATTTACTATTTATAATTTGTCATCTTAATAAATTTATTTAAATAAACATTAATCATGTAGGAATCAAGTTATATGTACAATTATAAATGATATACAGATAGGTTTTAGTATTTTGTTATTAATTTTGGTATATCATTATAATAGATAATAAATTCAAATTTCTTAATAATAAACCAATAAATTGAGTATACATGTAATTCACAAGTAGGAATCTCTAACATCAATAAGCCCCTAAATATTTTTTTTTACTTTCTCTATTTATTTTTAAGTTTTAATTATATTAATATTTGAAATATTAAATTCAAATATGGATTTCCATTGAAGGCAAGAGGGATATGTTGTCTACCCTGACTTTTAAATACCCATTAAACATTAGTTAAAAATTTAAAAAATCAATAATATTGAAAAATAACATTTAAAATAATACATTGTCCTCCTGGATTTTTGACTTTAGATAGGTAACCTCAAATTCAAAGTAAACAAACTTTTATTTATCTATGCATTTTTAAGTACATAATTATTAACAAATTTATAATATTAGTTATACACTAGTCCTCAGTAAAAATATAATTTGGGGCACTTATAAATCGTACCTAATCAAAATAATATAAATAGGTACTATAAGAATTATTTGATTAAAATAAACCACATCAGTGACTTGAACTTTTTAGAGACTAGATCGGCCATTCTCAACCTTTCTTTTATTTGGGCCACATAAAATATTTTAAAATGTTACACGGGCCGCAAGTCAAAATTAACAGAAAGGGGATTAAACTAAACTAAAATTACATTTATATATTGTGTATAAAATTTGAAAATATATTATAAAAAAAATTAAATATTTATTTTAAATTAGTGTAAATTTTGATATTGAAATAGTTTTTTCACTATTTTGGATGCATCTGGTTTGTAGTTGCTGCATATTACTCTTCATCAAGTCATAAAGATGTGAATCAGTAAGCCGATTTCTGTTCACATTCTTTGCATATTTCATTTTTGAATATGAAGTTTCACATAGATATATTGATGTGAACATTGTTAGCAAAAAGTGGGCACATTTTTGTATGGTATTGTATTTTCCTGGCACTAAATTCCAAAATTCGATGTATTCTTTTTGTTCTCTCTTTTCTTTGAAAATAACTTCCAAATTTGTATAATTTTTAACTTAATAAATTCATCAAATACTTTTGAATAATCAGATACAATCAATGCAGCTAATTGTGTTATTCTTGTTACTTCTAAGTGCCAAGGATTTTTTATTAATAAAAAGAAATTCTTTACACCTCTTAAATCCTGAAATATTCTTTTAAATTCATTGGATAAGGCAGTTAAATGATTTTAAATTATGATATTGTTTGTTTGAGAAATGATAATACCATTTTGTATAACTTTTGTAAGGGTAGGAAAATTATGTAGTATTTGGTTCTGTATTTGCTTGTAATAGATTTCCAGTTTCTCTTCAAAAGCAAACACTTTATAATATAATATTATATATTTTAAGTATAACACTTTCTCGACAGATTAAACAAGTAGCTGAACCCTTTTTATTTGGTACGACAAAATATTCTTCTCAATTGTCATGAAACATTCTATTTTCTTCAGATATTTTTCGTTTACTTTTCGAAGATACGTCTGCCATAATATCACAACAAATATTAAAATATAAAATGTCTAATGTGTGTTTCAAGCAACTAACGATTGAAATATTTAATAAATAAAAATGCTTGACACCAACACTATTATACATTTACAACGTGACTAAGGCCCGGCGTCCACCAAAGTAACGTGACTCGTGATATGACAAGTGACGTGACGAGTGATTTAGCAAGTGACATGTCACACTAGTTGTTTGTCATTACATACATACAAAAATCATTCATGTCCGTACACTGATCAAACCTGTCAGATCATGTATCAGTTTTGTGTAACTACTGAAATTTTGTTGATGACAAAAGTACTGCGTGTTCTACGTTTGTCACTTGTCACCAGCTCTCCACCGTGGAAAGGTATGTATTATTATAATTATAATAACATAATATAGACAATTTATAACAAAACTCACCAGTCATGGGTCACGTTACTTTGGTGGACGCCGGGCCCAACAGTTTGTATGATCGTAATGCGTACCCACGTAGGAGCCACGGCCAGTTTAGCGATAAGATAATATAGATCAAAATCGTAAATATAAATAGTTATAAATAGTGAAAATAGCAAAAACATAATTATCCTTATCGCAATCGCGTACGACACACATTGATTGTTGTATTAATACCTATTTTATATTTGTAATATCAGTTTTGAAATTCATATTTTTTTATCAATTCAATGAGTTCTGTTTGGGCCACATAAAAACCATTGTTGGGCCGCAGGTTGAGTATCGCTGGGCCGGATAATCTATTTTTCCTTGACTAAATTGTATCAATGTAAAAATAAACTCAAATTCAAATAGTCCCTCAATTATTGATATATCATTAGGCGTGTTTAGGCGTTATAACCGTTAGTAACCTGTTTACTGATAAATTTTTTCGAGTCGGTTACTGTAACCTAGTTACTATACCAATGAACGATAATTAAACGATATGGTGAATTTTGCAACCGTCCGTTTCGAGTCGGTAAGGAGCACGGTTTAGCGAACATCTTCTCAATAATAGTTTTAAATTTAATCAAATACGCCATATGCGTATTATGGTGGTTCATAGTGTTCACAGTAACAATAACAAAATTACAATATCATTATCAACGCAAAAATACCCTCATTATAATCGTCCGTCAAAACTGATCAAAAATTAAGTAAACTGTACATAAGTTATATTTTAATAAAACTTAGGTTCAAATTCGAATAATTAACTCTCAAATTTGACATTTTAATTAATAGGTATCAAATTCATTTAGAATTTATTATTTCAAAAAGTTTCCACGTAGGTACACATTTAGGTAACTACAAAAAAAAAAAAAGAACTTAATTATAATGTATATATTTTACTGCATACCGATGTATTTCCAGTAATATCGATTCCGCTAGATTGATGTTCCACATAATTATTTAATTTTGGGTCCTTATTTCTATGGAAATACAGACTATAGTTTACTTTCGGAAGGAATAGTGCCCAAATTGTCACAAAGGAAGTACCTATTATACAAAACATTATTAAATAACATATTATATTATAAAATATAAATAGGTGTATGCTATAATTGTTAGTGTATTCGTTAATTATAATAATCTATGTGGTGTAGCGTGTAAGTTATAGTATAATATAAATTTCAGTATCCATACATATACTGAAATTTATGTAATAATAATTGTAATTGTAAATTTGTATTCAACACTAGTGTGTTTTGAGTATTACTTATTGATTAAATGAATAGTTAATACTATAACTAATACTAGTGGTACTGCCGCAATGGTGCCGAAGTCATTTAAAAATATTCGCTAAAAAAAGTATTTACTGTATACTGGTTTTTTTTGAGTGGAATATATTTCATTCCTCATGGTATTATTTTTATAGTTATATTTTCTATACAAATACTACGCATGCTATGTGCATTTCTCACCACTAGCACCACCCACCCACCACTAACAAATATTGTCAGGTGGTTGCAAGCCCCGTACCCTAAGTTCGGCGCCACTATGCTGGATCGTGGTAAGCTATGTTACTCTGATGTCAATGCTACGGCGTGTCAGCATCAGTGATGTCGTATAAACGGGGATTTATAGAATCTATAATTAACCATGGATTAAAATATGTAATATACAGAATATATTTAATCTATATACCATAACAAAATAATTAATCTCTATTGCGCCTATAATGAGAGATCATAACTGTCTACTCTATGTTTATATTATTATTATACTAAACACAAAGATCAAAGGCCTATTAAACAATCACCCATTTGACGGTGAACACCGGGGTTCATGGCCCCGAAATGTTTTTTTGTAAACGCACCTGTCATAGTTAAAGGGAATTAAGGGTCGTTCTCACTAACGTAAAAAAAGGCGTTTATCCGATTCTTAAACTGAGTTTACAGCTGATAACCGACCACGACTGGTCGATTATCTTATAAAATTAGTTTTAAAAATCAACGTTTACGTTGGTGAGAACGGGTCTAAGAGTCTGTCATCATGACCACATCGGCTAAGCAACAATTAATAATAAAACAAAACAATATAATAAAACTCGCTTAAGGCGCTTTGCCTGCGTAAAACGCTATTTTCCGCCGGTCTCTAAACATGTCCTATGTTGATCAATTTAAAAACTACTTGATAAGACGCTATTGGTGGTCCGTTTACGAGTTTATGCGTTTAAAAATTCGTATCTTTAAATTTGTGTGGGTAGTGATACAAGTGAAATAATACATGTACAATTTAAGTTGGTTCTTATTTGGGTGATGGTAAAATTTTTTATTGGACGCCCTTAATTTTGTTTAAAAAAAATAATAAAAATGTTGAGCTCTATTTGAGCTTCCTAGGGATATTTTTTCGTCCTGTAACGAGGTAAAGTTTCTCATATAAAATACATGTTTTTTTGTTCATTCTGAATTTTGTTTGTATAAGGGACAACGAATTGACGTAGAATTTTTTTTTTTTGCATGGACATTATCAAGATACTTTAAATAGGGAAAAAAATAAGTTTATCAAGCAATGCCACTTTCTGTTAATTAGACATTATTTCTCGTTGTTTAATTAAATTTTTGTTGACCCTACCAAACAATCCCAACAGTCCTAAGATTTGTGCTGATCGTAAATATTATTTTACTATTTTTAATTATGAAAAGCGTCTTTCTTTGCTAGTAAAATTTTCAATTCAACATATATTTTCGGAATAATTTTACTACCTTTATTATCTGATTATTAATTTTCTTAATAATTTTACAACTAAATAAAATTGTTAATTCAAAATAATTTTAGATAATACAATTGGATCGAAAAATTCCACCTTAAGGCACGTTCCTACTGGTGTTCGGCTAAGCCGCTCAGCTTTCTTTGATGTTTACCGACAAGCATCGGGAACCCGCGGCTTCGGCCGATTGGCTACAAGAGCCGCGCGCCAGAGAGAACGCACCCTTAGGCCTAAATCTACGTCAACTACGGCTTCAACTGGCTCTATGTAGGTACTCACAATAGATAATTACATCAAATTACCTATTGGATCATTATCTAAATTAGTGTTTATTCATACATTTAGCCATATAGGTATAAAATATGTTTAATACCAAATTTATTCGTCAATTCGTCATTGCACGAATTTATATTATAGTCTATATAGAGTGTCCTACGATGATCTGCCACTTAAAATAACTTTTGTTCTAATCAATATTTTTGATATATATATATTTTTTTTAATTAACAGTATACCTCTGCGCTACAGTTTATATATGAACATTTTTTTTTTATAGGAAAGAGGACTTAAAATAAAAAAATTGAACATTTTAATATAATTAAAGTTTTTGCAAATGTTAATATTATCTATTGTGATTATTTTATAACAATATTTAATCAGTTATTAATCAGGGCACATGACAAGGATATTTATATTGTGTCAATGATTGAAAAGAAAATTATTCAAATTTTTAAAAAATCGTAGAAAATAAAAGACTATATACGTTCACGGAAGTTTTAACCACGAACAATTTTTTTGAATTTTTTAAAAAAAAAAAAAAAAAAAATGTTCGTATATAAACTGTAGCGCAGAAACATACTAATTATTTAAAAATAAAAATACATCAAAAATATTGAATAGAACAAATGCTATTTCAAGTGACAGATCATTGTAGAACACTGTATATTAATAAATTGGTAGGTTAAATGTGGTTTAATATGTTAAGAACGACAAAATAGAGCCTTAATCCTGATAGTATAATCCATGACAAATTAGACCTAATTTGTCATGGTATAATCTACTAATTGCTTCAATAAACTTAAAATCTCAATGAATTTTATTGGCAAATTAAAATATTAATTTATAATTATTAAAGGTTGTAGGTTGTTTGTTATGACTTAATAATGACAATTTAACATTAACTATTAATATTATTATTTTAGATTCGGAGCGTAGCGAATGATTTAATGGTTTTACTGTATTTTTTTTTTTTTGTATCTGCAAACAACTTTTCTACCAGAAATTTTTTCTAGTTGGTACATTAGAAAGGTAATATTTTGATTTTCAAAATAATTGGGAAAACCCGAAACAATATTATAGGTTAAACGGTAAATATTTACGCTACGTTGTGGCATTACCGATGTTTTTAATTTTTGCAACTTGTATTTTCTACTAGAAAAATTGTTCCAATCGAAAAATAAGAGATCTTTTTTGTTCCTTTTAACATATAGCCACTGTTAATAAGTAGTTTTTTTGATATTAAAAGATTTTTAATACGAAACTTAGTACTTTTCATAATTGGAATAATTGGAAAAACCTAAAAGACGATTATTTTCAAATTACCGCACGATTTAAAATTTTTAATTTTTTAATTTTCCTAGCTGTTTTTACCATAACTATTGTTCTAATAGAAATACAAAAAGAGTTTTTTTTTTTGTTTAAGTTTTTATTTAGCTGATGACCAAAAAAGTATTTTGTTGATTTTCATTGTAGTTTTTAATAACTGAGCAAAGCCGAAAAATATGTAGAAAGAACGGGGAAATTTTTAAATTTTTTATATTATTTAAAATTTGTTTTTTTTAATGTAATTCAGTTCAAAATATTTGTAGAGGCTTAACATTTAGACAAAAATGTATATATTTACTATTTCTAAACGTAGTAAAACATTAAAAATATTTGAGTTATCTATAGATATTTTAATTTTGAGTTTTTTACATAATTTGTACTTGGTAGGTACTTTGTAGATACAATTGTTAGACTTAACAAAAATGCTTGACAATTTGATAGAAGGTTCATTATAAGTCGTACTTATATTGGTCAAAAAAAAATTTAGTGCAATGTAGTTTTTTTTTCTTTTGGAACGAAGATTGGTTATATATGTTTTGAAAGACATACGTTATTACATTTACGATTTTCCTTAAAATTTGATCTTGTAACTTATAAAAAAATTAAATATATTACACTGAATTTATTTTTTTGACCACTAAGTACAACTTATAATGAACCTCCTGTAAAATGTTCAAGCGATTCTGTTTGGTCAAATAATTTTATCCAAAAAGTACCCAACAAATAAAAATTACGTACAAAATACGTAAATACCTATAAATAGCCTAAAAATAGCTAGAATTTTTTTTTGAAAATTTTACCACGTCTACAAAATACGTTTGTATTTTGTACATAGATCAGTATATTTAAAAACTACAGGTCTCTATAATAGTTTTTAACATAACAACAAAAAACACAAATGCCGTACGTATACATTTTACCGTATCTCCTACATTTTTTTCCGATTTATGTAATTATTAAGAAAATTATACCGAAAATCAAACAAATGCTTTCTTATTTACAAACTACACATTTTCTTTCAGAAATTAATATGTTACACTTAGAATTTGGACAAAGACTTTTGGTAGATTAAAAATTGTAAATAATGAAATCGTTGTGCCGTCATTTTTGGTTTTCCCCAATTATTATGAAAACTATTGTAGGTGAGAAGTTGGAAAAGTAGTATAAGAGTAATATAATGTATATCTGTATCCCTACGATTTATCATTGCTACATAACGAAATACGAATCTAAGCAATTCGGTTATACATGTTTTGTAAGGCCGTAATATTAAAATTTTCGTCAAGATTTGAAAATAATAAAAAATATGTATTTATTGCGCCAAATATTAAAATTCTTGTGAAAAAAATTTAACGTTACATCACTTTTTTTTTTTACCACAAAATGTGACTTATAATTAATCTCCTGTTAAATTTTGAAGCATTTCTATTTGGTCTAAAAATTTTATCCACAGAGTACATATATCGAATAGAAATTACGTAAGAAACTCGTAAAATTAAAATGTCTATAAGTAACTCAAAAATGGCTAAAATATTTTGAAATTTGTTACGAAAAAACTATTCTGATAAGAGTCGTAAAATAGTGTTGCTTTGTCAACAATATAAATATGTCATATTATGGTAAAATAATTACATATGAATTAAACATTTTCTTTAATAATATTTGTTTAATATTGTAGGTATCTATTTTCCCGTTTTTCCAATTTATGGAAAAACGACTTCCCTAAGTTTCATCACGCCAGTCAGATTTAAACAGAACAAAAATACTAGTTGTTTATAGATAAAAAAAAATAAACATCATTGTAAAACCAGTACAAAGCCTCGATCCACTCAGAATCTAAAAATTACTTTTTCAATCAATGATTATATATTAAATGGAACAAAAACGATCTCTTGTCATTTTTCAATTGGAGCAAGATTTTTGGTAGAAAACATAGTTTGCAAAAATTAAAACAATGATCGTAATAAAGCTGATGCTCGCATATTACTTGTTGTGGTGTCAAAAGTTTTGAGGAGTAATTTTTATTGCTTGGGTATCATAGCCAGAACACTTTCTTAATTTTTTACTAGAGATTAATTCACCTAATGCGAAGAAAGTTTTTTTTTAATTATCCACAAGTAATGTGTGTGCATCGAATAAGCACCTTAGTTAACTTAGGTAACTCAGATTTATTGAATGGCTACCTAATTTAAAAACTATTTAATAGCATAAATAATAAAGAATGAATAGGTCATGCTGCCTTATCACACGTTCTTGAAAACTATAAACATAATAGTTACATAATAGACATAACTCTATATTATGTCTATGCCGAAAACGTTGCTCTAAGGTCTCTAAGAACGCGGCAGCTTACATTGAAACTATAGAAATGGCCTATCCATTCTTTACTATTTATGTTTAGCCAACATAATAATAAAATATCCATTATACCAAATCCCATTAGTTCAATATATTATGATATTTAACTAGGTTAAGTTAGGTTAGGTAGTATAACTAATTTTTAAAGTCTATAAAACCTCTAATATCTATATGGTTTAGTTACGTTATACATACGTTGTATAGTATATTTGCGGAGATATTAATACGAACACTTATACCTATTTGATTAAACGACCAAATCAAATTTGACTGGTGATTTTACTTTTTAAATTTTTGACATTACATGCAATTTAATACAGAGTTATTTAAAATGATTCATCCAATTTCAAATAGTTGTATAATAGTTTATATAAACTCTATAATATCGAATTATAGACTCATTAATTCACAAGGTAACTTCGGTTATCCAATATTTTAGTGAGAGTTTACAACGCAATCTGACTGGATGTTTTTCGTGTGATCAAAGAAAGCCACATAGTCAGGCACGTACGCAGGGGAATATTTTAGGTGTTCATTGTTTAAACACCCCCCCGAAATGTTTAGTTCAACCTAACCTAACGTATATTTATTAAAAAAAAACCTTCAAAACTTTTATCTGCGTCTCTGCAAATACATTACTAAATACATTTTATAGATACCAATGACTAAATTACAATTGTTATTTTTTTATTTAGCGTATCATATATTACTATGAATCTAAAAATTTAAACTATTCAAATACCTATATTTTGTAATCAGAAGAATCATTTCGAAAAATCCTGTATTATAGTAAAAAGCATACATTGTAGGTATATCTATAACTGCCTGATGAAATTAATAAATAACTACGCTTAATTAGATAGCTACTTGTTATTTAAAAGGTAAGAATACGTAGATAGGTACTTCTGAGTTCATCGGTTTTTACTTTAATAATAAATTAGCAAGATGATACCGCCTAACTTTTTGATTAGGAGACCCAATTTTAGCATATAGAGGCTTAAAAGGCTAGAGAGCCTTCATAATGCATGATGTTGAACTGCTCTAAAATAGATAACAACTAAACTCTACTATGCGTATTATTGCAGGTACATCAGATCTACTCATATTCAAGTGTTTATTCTCATCTAGTGATAGCTATTACGAAATAATGGTCCAAGTACGTACTTATAATGATAAACTTGTAATTTGATCGAGGATATAACTGAATAGGTACCTATTTTGGTTTACATTAAAATGACATGAATAAATATTTTAAACATAATTCGAATTGAACTCAGAAGATGTGGAAAAATGATATTCAAACGGGGTCTGAAAATGAATATGGAGTAGTTTAATTTATATCTGTACGCAACGACGAATAATTGCTAACGAAAAACGATTCTGAGCGAAGTTCGGATAACCATGTTTTTACTTTTACGATATTCATACAAACAGGCCCGGATTATGGGGGGGGGGCAGAGGGAGCCATGGCGATTGAAACGCTATTACTAACTATTATAGAGATAGCTATAAAACTGATTTAATTTTAAAATTGACGATAAAAACATATAGTTATTAGCCAAGAAAATTATTATGTTGTTTTCATACGAAAAGAATAAAGTATAGAATAAAAGATAAAGTATAGTACAGTCGTCAATCGAAATGTTAACTATAATTTGACAGTTGACACTATCTTTTCGTCGCGATAACGTTAACCTAGTTGGAGAACGTTTACGTTTTTATGTTTTAGTGTTTTGTTTTACAAAGATATTGACTATTAAAGTATAATATTATGTAGTAATAATATTAAAATCAAATATGAGTGGCTGTAAAAAGTATTTGCCTAAGCGGTGCTCAAAAAAGAAAAATGATGATCTTTAATGACATACGCTAAGAAAATGTAAATAATTGTATGGTTTTGTGTTCAGAGAGTGATGTTTAGGATTGTTTAGGAATGTTTAGGATATTTAATTAATTCGAATTAAGATATAACAGAGTTTGTTTCCCAAAAGGTAAGAAAAAATTACTTATAAAAATAACATTCACGTATATATATATTTTTTTTATCTAACATATAAAATATATATATATATATATATCTTTTTTTTCTTGTGAGTCACCAATATTTTAATTATTTTTAGAGGCCTAGCACATAATCAAGTTCAATTTTCAGGGGGAAGGGGGGGTGAATCCCTAATCTCCCTGTATACGGACTTATTATGGGTCCCTAAAATTGTTTAGCCACAGGCCCAAAATCATCTTAATCCGGGCTTGGATACAAATATGAACTTAAAACGCTATACAAAAATTATTGCAATGTATATATATATCTCTTATATATAAAATTATCATGTCACAATGTTCGTTCCCATACTCTTCCGAGACGGCTTGATCGATTCTCATGAAATTTTATACGCATATTCAGTAGGTCTGAGAATCGGCTACTATCTAAGTTTTTATGCTCTGCGATAAGTGGTTCCGGAGTTATGGCCTCTTAAGTCAAAGTATAATAGCACGCACGATATTCAACAATTATTATTTTGCCATGGAGAGATAATATACACTCTATGTGGTTATTTTTTATTATTGGTTTCCGTGGCACCCGCGTGCCAATAACAATTGAGAACGGTTGGGCCGATTTGGCTAATTTTGCTAACCTAACCTAACTTATGTACGTGTGTTTATTTGTGGCTTAGATTTGAGAACACCATGTTTTTCACACGGACAATTATACGTGGCATGCTCTCGAGTGGGTAAACCATTCAGTTTGTTTGTGTTAGCTAAAGATGGACTAATAAAAATTATTGTTCACACTATAGCATTAAGAGATTGATATTTTTAAGGAATAAATTATAATAACTTAAAAATAATGTTTGCCTTTTGTTATTTTTATATTCCCTCATCGTTCACAGCGCTCCATGCCTCTTTCACTAATTTACCACATCCTTAAACACTTACAATAAGTTAGTTATTTTTTTTCTAGACTATAGATTCCCTAGAAATAATTTATATGGCAAAACAACGCTTGCCGGGACAGCTAGTATATATATAAAAACATAGTATATACATAATATATATATTACGTATACTCTCAACTTTTTTTTTCACTTCTAACTTCAATTAATTATGAATCTCGTGTTAAATTTTCAAACAAATTTGTTGGACTCAAACAACTTTATCTACATAGAATCAAATTAAAAGTGAAAAACTCTAAAACTTAAAATGGTTATAAATAGCCCAAATGTCAACAGAATGTTTTGAAATTTGTAACACATCTAAAAAGTCGTATAGTATTTAGTGGTCAGTGAAATTGTTAGATCTGAGTAATTTAATTTTACGTACATTTTCCGGTTTTTATTATTATTAAAAATTAAAATGGAAAATTAATAAATATCTCCCCATTGCTCCAACTCGATAAAATTTGTTATCAGAAACCACTTTTTAAGCTTATGTACAAAGCAAGATTTCTGATAAAAAATTTGTTTACATATAGAAATGTGTAATTAAAAAAATTAGTTTTAAAACCGAAATATTACCAGCGTTATTATTAGGATCTAAATTTAAAAACACATCGACTAAGCCATCTGTATCGTATCATAAATACGTATATATATATTGACATATTGTAAATTGTAATTATATATAATAAGTAGGTATGTTCATTTTACATGGGTATTAGATAATGTGTTTGTGTTAATTTGAAAACTGGTTTATTTAATTACGTCCTCTAAATGAAATACCAAAATAAAATGCAGTAGGTAAATTGAACAGATAAATATATGTGTTAACTGCTTGGTGAAGAACATAAAGTTTATTACTTAGCAGTATATTAACGGTATAACAAGTACCTAAAAACCCCGCCACTCCATCTAATGCCCAACACCGAATACATTTTTATTTGATATTTTGTAATTATATATGAATTTTATTATTTTTACGAGTCACCTACTAATAATACTGATGTACACTAGATAGACATTATCCAATAAATGTGTGGAAACAATTGTTTGCGCAATTAATCCGGACAGGAACCTGCCGAATAACATGGACGCTTTCACTAGACTGGTGATTTTTTGATAATACCGTTTGTCGTCGACCTTGGCATATAAATACGTAGTAAACGCAACTTCCGACGAATAAAAAAATCCAAAGAACATTTGTTCTATCTATGGTTTATTTTAATTGATTATTTTCCCAACGGACACGGCTAATGGTATAATATAGGCACTGGAATTTTTAAAATCTCACTTGAACTATGGTTAAACTAGGTGATCCTAACAGTAACGCGTACGTGAAAATCCCCGCGATTCCATCGGCAATGATCAACGGTTTGTACCGAAAATAGTCTGTTATCAGGAATATTACAACAGCCAACACTAGACAAGAGTAAGTCCCGACTGCATAGATATTTTCGTTAACCTGTAATGTAATCATAATCATCAACACAATTTATCTGTTTAATATTATGAACATACTTATAATAGTCAGTAAGTACTGCATATTCACCTATTTCAATTTATTAAAATGTAGGAACCTACCTACTAATAATTAAAATAGAGATGGCTCTCATGTGATCAATTACGAACAATAGTTGTCAAAAGTCAAAATAACTTACCTAGAATATTATTATTTAAAATTACAAGTGCATATGCTTTATGCATACTAAAAGTATTAAAAATTTTAAATGCCCTTATTCAGATTTTCTCATGTGAGGGACTGACTGCTTTTACTTTCAATTTACCGTTCAAAAGGCTCTAGAATCTACCTCACATTTATGTGAAACCACTATAGCTTTCTTTAGACCCCCCATTAATACACCCCCGAGTCTTAATGGTATATTTAAATAACATTTATAGCATATAAAAAGTCATGATTCAATCTAACATACACTATCTGGCTGAGAAATAGATATCTCATTAATCAAATACTTAATTATATTTAAATCTTAGAATTATCACACCTATACAGGTTGTTCAAGTTTTATTTATTATTAAAAACAATATACCTATCTACCTCAAAAAATTGTTTACACTTTCATATGGAACTCGAAATTATGTTTTATATTATATATAAAATATATATACCTAACTTAAAACAAATGTTAATATTTACAAAATGTATTGTAATTCATGAAATTTAAATATCTAGCTAAAGCTTCATATTTTTTTATTTCTATTTTTCCAGATATAACTAAGATAATTAAGATAACATACTATTTTAAACTATTTAGGTCTTTTTTAAATTAAAACGTTTAATTTCATAAATTAATAATAGAGAAATAAACAGCATAGGTATACGAGTATTTAGAATAATTATTTTCTGAATAATTCAGAATTTACTTTAATATAGTAAAGCTTGTAAATCCAAAAAATTAAATTGTGTAATTTGTTGACTAATAAAAAAATAGCTCTCCTTGTTTTGCTTAAAATTTAAAAATTATAGTAATTTTATCTCGTACACAAATAATCATACACAGATATCTATACAATTTTTATTTTGTGTATTTTGTCACAAAATATTATCCTCAAAAGTAATATATATTTTTCACAAAAATTAAAAATTAAAAATGTGAATAAATACCTGATTCAAAGTAAAATTCATATTTTTTACTAAGTGTGATGTGAAAAATGGTTCAATTGGTCTTATTTCTCTGACCATAGCAAATACACAAACAAGCAAAGAAACCATTTTCCAAGATTTCCATGAATCCATGATTTTTAAATTATTTAAGAAAAAAATGTTTAATATAAATTTACAATTAAAAAAGAATAAATGAAAAAAAAAAGTGCAGTTAACTTTACATAATTATAGCAACTTAAATTTATTGAATGTTATAAATGTTTTAGCAAATTCAACTTTAGTCTTAAGTATGATGTGGTTGATATCTAACTAATGCTGTAACCATAATAAATACAATAAATATTACATTTGCTTTGCCTATAGGCGTGCGTAAATAGAAACACAAACACACACATAATGACATACGTATGTGCATGCACACACTGATATATGAATGTGAATCACCTTGAGAAATAAAGATATTTATTGTGTATGTAAGTGTTAAACTCACATCTAGAAACAATAATCAATAATACAAATTAAATATAAAGAAATTAATTGATTTTTATTGTTAGTTTTTTAAAAAAAAATATTGTTATCATGTTCGGCAGAAAATTATTAGATTACAATAAATAAATTGATTTTTGATTGTTTAAATTACAAACAGTCACTTATTAAATAGTTATCACTTAACACAAAAAGATTTTCAAGAGTTTCTTTATAATCCACTACATCAATTTCATAGTTAAACATATGACTTAATTTTGAACCTTTAACTTTACTAGAATCAGTCTTTAATGATACCAACATATCTCTCATTGAATTACTGTTATGTAAACCACTTATAGCTGTACTTTTCATGACTACTATAATTCAAAATAAAAAATATTAATCTAACAGTTTAATTAAATATTAAAAATAATTACCAGAAGTAGATGGTCTGGAAAATGTTTCCACAAATCCATGCTGGTTAATAAATTGAGAAAATATATTAGGATATGGAGCTATAGTTTCTAATGTTGAATCAAATGCATTGACTTCTGTCATTCGTGTGGGATCACAAAAAGACAAAAATAATTTCAACATAGCACTGGCTGATGTACAATGATGAGAAGGATTTTTTGAATCTCTTATAAGAATACTAAAAGTTTAAAATAATATTTTTAATACCAATTTGTTTACAAGTATTGTGAACAAATATAATATAAATAGTCAAATTAAACTGTTCAATATAAAAAAAAAAAACTATTAACTTAGAATATAGCATGTTTTGAGTTATGCCTCGTAAATTTATTGTTTGAGCCACAGACATATCTGTGGTACATTGTGGAGAAATAGGCTGCCATATTGGTAACTTTGCATTTTGTAAATAATCAAGTAAATTTGATTTTGTTTCAAATCCAAGAGGTAGTTTTATTGAAGCTGATACAGCTTTTCGCCCCAATGGAGTTAATCTTGTGCACAATCTGTTTATACTGCTACAGTCCATGCGACTTCTATAACCTAATGAAAATGTATCAATGGCTGAGGCTAAAATAGCACTAGAATGATAGTCTAAATGGTTCTGAAAAGTACATTTCAAAAAATATTACAATTATTAAAAAAAATATTGACTGTGCTTGAATTGACCAGTATAATATTAGGATAAGAAAGTCCTTTATTTATAAACTAAATTGTACAGTGAATTTTTGGTGTGCATTAATGCATTCTCTATTCATATTTTTGTTCTTTTTTTTAAATATTTATTTGATTCCCAATTCAAACACTTTTGTATTAATTGTAATAAAATATACTTTGTAAGATAAATGATCCAAACTGATATGACTTTGGCTTTTTACCCAACCACCAGACGATGTACTTAATGGTACAAACATATTTGAATGCTCAAAAAGCGAAGAAAATAATAATGCGGTGTTAACTGGTTGTAACTTGGAATTTTCATCATCATTAATAGAATTATCAGACATTACAGGCAGAGCTATAATGTTTTTGTTAGAATATTCATCTTGTAAGTATTCTAGAGATTTAGAAGCTAAACCGCTAAAACCATCCAATGAATCCATCAAAATTTGAAATCCCTAAAATATTAACATAAAATATGTAGGAATTATAAGGTGTTATATTAATATGAATAATACTGTAAATCATTGGCAGATTTATAGGGGGTCCAGGAGCTCTGGGCTTCCCCAGATACTGATATAATTTCAATAAAATTTTTAAATAGAGGCATCTATTAATAAACACCATAATTGATCTGTTAACAGATACCTTTGAAATGCATATTATTTTTCAGAATTCCTCCCAGAAAAATTTGAAAATCTGCCATTGCTATGAATACCTGTACCTATATATAGGCTCTGTATTATGTGCCCAGGGCCGGCGCTAGTAATTATTGATGGGGGGTGTACACACAAGAATTTGACCAAGTTTTAGCTAATGATACATTTTTTTTTTTATTGGCCTTATACAACAAGGCATTACTTGCTAATGTTAAAATGATTTTATTTATTTTCCAATGAAAGTAAAATTTCCAACTCAGCAATTTTTTTTATAAATGTCTAATAAAAATTAATTTTTACTGGTAGGGGGACTAACTGTCTTTAATATCGTAAATTCAATGTATTATTGGTACTACCATTAATTATATTGTATAGTGCACAGTATACATAATCAATGGTACTCTCTATATTCAATTCATTAAAATACATATTAAATTGATAGACGTTAAACATAGATTCATTAACTCATATGGTAAGTACACACTTATAATGCAGGCACTACTTTGATTTTTGTTCAAAATTAACTCTTTAAAGTTATATTTTAAATGAAATAGTTAATAGGAAGAATAATAATTTAAATAATTAATTAATATTTAATTGATAATATTATCAATATTAATTTTGGAAAATGGTGGGGATACACCGATTTCCATCACCGAATATCTATGACTAGTATAAAACAATTGTTATCAAGTGTATAAACCAAGATGTATTGGTATAAGAACCCCGTTTGGGCTAAGAAAATGTATTTGTACATTTTTCTTTTTACCTAACCTATAATCATTTGAATACTTTTTAATTTGAAAATATATATTTTGATTAAATTCATTACAGTTGATCATGGTCATATACACAAATACATATACACATACACAAAAACATATTTATTAAAAAATAAAATTGATGACTTTAATTTAAAGTAAAAGATGTTAGAATATTTATTAATTTAAATTTGCAAAAGTATAATAAAATATTACATTATGATATTTTGTAGTGCATAATAAACAGGTATTTAAGCAATTGTTAAATGAATAAATACACTTATCACTAATCCAATTAATAGTGTATATGATTTTAAAAACTTCTTCTTTAATGGTTATGTAAGCTATGTCAGAACAGTGTTTCTCAACCTTTTCACTATAACAACCTTCTAAAGGAGTATTTAATTTTTTAGCAATCTTTAAATATATATGTTTTATACATGGCGAACCAAAATTTTATATTTTTGACAACTCTAAATAATTTGTTGGTGACCTCCAAAGAGGTGGCGACTCCCAGGTTGAGGAGAAACATTGAATTAGAATATTTATTTGTTTAGTTTAAAATATTAAATTCATCTCCAAGTCTATCTTCAACAAACAGAAGGATAGTATATTAAAAATTTTATACAGATGAATTACAAAGTATATTAAATTACTAAAAACTTTATTATTAATGTTTTAATGACATACTTACTTGTATTTTAAGGTCTTTTAAAAACTTAAAAGCAAAATTATCCTTGAAAATTACAGTTCACCACAACATTGAGTATACATAAATTTATATAAATATATAGTATACAACATATAGGTACCTGTAAATAATCACATTCTTCTGCATAAAATCGTAAATTATCAGTCCAAGTTTCTTTAATTTTATATGAATCCCATATAGCATGTCCTTGAGCAAAGTTATTGAACACGTTGTTTGAATCATTGTGTTTATACTCATCGATTGATGTAATAGTTCTTGGGTGAAAACGAGCTTTTAAAAAATCTGACCAAATTTTAACATCATCATCCAAATTGTATATTTTTTCTGTCATATTTAATTTACTATCATCATCATTGTCTGAAATAGATTATATATTATATAAATGGAAAGAATCTTCAAAAAAATTTCTTACAGAAGTACTAAAACTTCATAGATATTCAAAATATGATACATATTCTTTAAATATAATAAATTCTATACCAAAAAGTAAGAATAATAACAATTTTAGACTCTGAGTGGAGCGAGAAATGTAATGATATTAAAATGATGTTTATTTTTTAAATCTGTGAACAACTTTTCTACCAACAATTTTGCTCTGATTTACAATAGCACTTTTTCAAAAAGGAAATATGACAAGGGTGGTAATTTAGGGATGTCGTTTATTATAAATTGGAAAAACGGGATAATAGGTACAATACTAAACAAATATTATTAAAGAAAATATTTAATATCATATCATAATATGACATATATATTGGTGACAAAGCAACACTATCAATCGAACTTTCCCAACTTCCAATTTTTCACCTACAACAGTGGCCCACTAGTGCGAAGTATGTCATTTTTTTTATTTTGTAAAGAGTTGCCCACAATATTTTTGGGCCTTTACAGTATACAATGTTATTTTATATAGTCATTAAAATACCTACGGTGTTATATACATAATAAAATAAAATAATATGTTGTCATCTTAATGATTCTAAATTCTAAGAAAGTATTTATATAATAGTGAACCATTAGTCATTTTGTATCCTTTTGTAAATTCAATAAATTAATATAAAATAAAACATTATTAATATACTATTATAAAAATTATATCAGCAATGACAGGAATTGTGATTACATTATTTCTAATGAAGGCAAAATAATTACGAATGTAAAATATGATACACATTTTTTTTTTTATTTTGAACTATAGATTATTTCATACAGAGCCAAAAAAAAATGTATGTTTGTGTAAAAGGAGATTATGTATACAATAATTATTCTTTATTATATGACTTCACGTAATAATTTATGTGGATATACTAAATTAATAAACCAATGTTTATAGATGTAAATTATTATTTAACTATTATTATTATTATTATTATTATATAGTACTTGTTAAATTTTAAAATAAATAATTATTTAATTTAGATCTGTACACAAACATAAATTATTGCTAATGAAATAAAATTCTGAGCAAAGTTTGCTGGTAAAAATGTTTTAAAATGCTGCGATTTTTACAATTGTCAACAAAATTTGAACTTGGAACACTTATTAAAAACAAGCAGCCATATTACGCTCAACTTTTTTTACCACTAATTACAACTTATGATGTATATTGTCAAGCATTTCTGTTCAGCCAAAACAATTTTATTCACATAAAATAAATAAAAAATAAAAAAATTGAAAATGTAAAATTTACATAAGTTCAAAAATTGTCAAAATATTTTGAAAATTGTACACCTAATGAAAGCTAATATTAGTATTCTGTACAAATTTCAGAATTCTATGATTATTTCTACTGAATTATCACAAGAAAACAAAAAAGCAAAATAATGTAATCATCTTTTTTATTAAGAAACTTTCATGTATGAAAGAACAAAATTTTCTTTTAGAAAAGTCACTACTATTGAAATGCAAAGCAAGACGATTGGTAAATAAAAATTTGAACAAATTTAAAATAATGAAATTGTGAACAGTTTTTAATGTGTTTTTTTCTTCATTCTATTTTAGTTGCAATATTGAACATGTTGATTAGAATAATTAATATAATTCACAGAATTATGAAACAATTTCAACAAATAAAAGTATTGTTCAAAAATCCAAAATAATGAAATAAATGTTGAAGACTTTCTAAAATCAATTGCTCATATCAGAAAGTGCTGTAATGACTAGATATTAAAATCACACATTATACACCTAATTAATACATTTTTAACATAGAATTAATTTTATTTATACCCGTCAATCACCAGTATAATACTACTAGGAATTTATTTTCATAATGTGGGGATTTTTTTTTTTTTAACTACCGGCCAAAATGTATCAGCCATGATATGGGTTGCAAAAGGTTCAATTTCTAATGGCCTGACTTTAATCTGCATATCCGCCTATGCTTTCTAGTTACTTTGAATTACCCATCTCTTTTAGGACAATAGCATAATATTAAATTAAAAAATAACTGATATTTATGTAAAATAAAAACTCACCAGTACATTGTTCATGTTTAGCTAAGTCTGAAAAAAATTCATTAGAAGGAACTGTTTCTTCTCTAATAATTTGAACATTATTTGATGAGCCTAATATCTCTTCTTCTATATTATTACTATCCAGATCATATAAACCTCTATGTACATCTGGTAATTGGTAAAAACTGTTCTTAAGATCAACACATAGCATACGAGGCGTATAAGTTACTTCACCCTGTTTTAGGTAATGTCAGCAATAATAAAAGATAATAATTAGACTAATATATGATTAAACATAATAAATTAAAAATATAGAATAAACTCATTGTTTACCTTAATATTAACACCTTCTCTATATAATACATCATGGCATATTTCTAGAGGCTTTACATTTTTTTCATCATAACTGAAACTTGATTCCTGTAAATTAGATGAGTTTCAAATTTAATAAAATAGTAAGGTACATAATTTATATTAAGAAAAAAAACCTGTAAATTCCAGAAATGTGCTCCAATAAAATTTGAATAATGACCAAACTGCAACGTTATAATTTCACGAGTTGAATTCATTATAAGCGAATTTATGAAAAAATCATTCAAAAATTAAAAATAAATGTAACTATCTAACAATATAGATTATTGTTTACATAAAAAAAAACATCACAATGCACATGGCTTTTATCATTCAGTTTATCTGTTTATCCATAGAATAAAGATATGATAATTCTGTGTTTATCTACAAAATAAGTAACAGCTGTTCAGCTTGACACTACTTCACGAATTAAGATAAATCTTAATATTCTTAATTCGTGTACTACTTCCGGAATTTCTCCATTTACTAATTTTAATTATTACTCTTTTATGTTTTCTGTGAATTACTCATTAGTCATTACTGTTCCGGGACGGGTTGCATTTGCATAAATGTTCTGTAGACTTCAGGAAATCTGAACCATTAGCGCCTTTAAATTTGTAATTAACATTGGATGTTCTGTTGCTGGAATGTTCAATGGTACTAACTAATTTAACTCCTAATTTAAAGTTTATAGGACCTGGATTTACAGATCAATGTTAAATTTCAAACAGATTTAAATATACGGTCTTAAGTAATATAATTTATATTTTGTGATTTCCACAAATATATATACAATAATAATATATTATTATTGTTTTATGTATATTAACTGTGATGATTTCAGACTTTTAAATAAAAATTAAATACAAAATAATATAATGTATTCAAGTACAAATTATTATTATAATTAGCGCAATTATCACTTTCATTGTTGCACTTAATATTAAATTCTTGAAGTCTTCATGGGTTAATCATTGATAATAACAGCAAAACAATATGTACACCGCACAAAAGGTAGGTATTATTGTGAGAGGATCTAGGACATTATTTGTCCCCCCGAAGAACGTATGCGGACAATCGACCGCCGTTATAATTTTTTACACAAGCATTTTTTTTTTTATAAATTTATATTAGGTTGGTAATTATATTTACATTCATCATGACTGGTATTATTACGCACAAAACGGATATAGGTACTGTAAGAACTACTTATTTGGCATCTCATTATACAATTAAAATAAACTACTTATAGCAGTCTTTTTTTTTGTGTGCAGTAGCAAATTTCAAGTGTGCAGTAACAAATTTTCAAGTGTGTAGTGAAATTTACATTTCTTTTATAAGTTTATTATATGTTACAATAATTACAATATAGAAAAAGTATTACAGTTAGTTACAACACCTGATTTTTTTACTTTTATATAGTCAACACCAAGAATACATTTTTATATCATAATTATTAAATTATAGCATCATATATTATTATATAGCAGTATCTACAAAAGGATGTGTTACAAAAGTGAGTTACGTACTGTGACAAATTGACGAAAATTATGAAAATGTTTACTAGTTACAACCCTTAAAAGATGTTTGTCTAGATATGCTAAAAAAAAAAGAAACAGTTATGTGAGTAGTTATTACATACATAAATTATATTACTATACTGTAGTATCAAAATTTACAAAAAATAGGGACTGCTTAACAGAAAGTAAACTTGGAATAAACAGGTTAAACAGATTGAATAATGGGTTAGAAACATTGGTCAACAATGGAAAATATTTATCATGGGAAATATTGCATATCAGATTGTTTCTACCAGAGTCAAGTTTAATGAGGGGGGGGCAATTGCCACAGGGAAACAAAGTTTCTACTTATTACAGATATCTGATATATACCTAAATCTAATTATTCAGATTAACGTGCATAATATCTTATCTAATTACAGTCAACCTTCCTGCTTTTGGTACCTCACTATTATAGTATACCCACCTATTTAGTATTTAGTATTACTGAAATTCAACCTAGAGCTTACGTTCAATTCGATAAACGTATTGATACTTTTATTATATACCTACCATTATATTTATTTAGGTATCTATATCTCTGGTGTATGGTTTATCAAATGACTTCAGAGATCTAAATTTTAAAGAATTGTTGTTTTACTTAGATAGAACATATCAATGGAAATTACAAGAGAACTTACTTAGCACGCAATCAAAAGGTTTGCCATCATGTCGTTCTTCACTGATATTTTTTCTTTATTTTTATAGGTAATATACATAAATAATGCTATAAAGAAATGCACAGGTAGAACAAATAATATTAGTGAACATTGTAGTTAAATATTGTTTACACAATATATCATTTTTATGTAGAAATATTTATAAAATGTTCTACTTCATTGAAAATTGCCGCGGGGGTATGGTGGCAATAATTGTCCAGCTATAAGATACCAATTCAATTAAACGTCAACGTGTTTTTCTTTTTCCCGTATAACTAATATCGATTTAGGTACGTCAGTTTGATCTATACTCATATAAATGTATACCTCTTGGCTATTGGGTTCTGTTTTTGAAAGTTTTTAAATTATTTTAGAAAACCGATTAGGGTCCCTAAATCGAGACGAATGGCAGCCCTTATTTATAGGTTAGATCCACGGATGAATGTACGTTCGTGCTTTCGTATTTAGGTTACAATACACCTTGGGCAACCCTAATTTGTAATATTAGTACTAAAATTGTTAGTTTATGGCAATTAGATTTTCTATCATAAACGTACCAAATGTACCAAATTTTTGGTGTATCTATTTATAGCAAGAAATTTTGTAACTAACGTATACTTATAATAATTATAATATGTATTATTATAAGTCTATCAATGCTAACAGTGGTATTATAAACTTGTTTACACACGGAGTGGTTCAACCGCCAGTGGTCGTGGTCGGGTGTTTTAATTAGATAAGAAACTGCTATCGCTAGTTGCTTACACACGAAATTGATATAAACCACGTAAAACTTAAGTATAAGTAATGTTATTTTAATTGTTTGCATATTAAACTAAATCAAAATTGAGTTTTGGTGTCAAAAATATATTAGTTCTGATTTCATCAAAAACTTCTTTATGTTATTGTACACCGAATGAATAAACAAATAAACAAAGAACTACTTGCTCTACAAATGTACAATATTCAATTAATTTCTTTTTGTCTAATCCTAATCAAAATAAATCAACATTATGTTTAATAATTTAGTAGAACATATAGGCTAGAGTGGTCCTTATTTTTCGCTTGTGATTTTTTTCATGTTACCCCCCCTAAAAAGGTTCGATTACTAAAAAAAACGCTACAAAAAAAGTCTCAGGCAAATTCATTAATATTAACCCGTGCCACAACAGCTCTAAATTTACAAAAATAGAAAATTTTCAATATTATCAATTTTTAAAAAAAATTTTTTAATATAACTCCAGGAAAAAAATACTTACAAAAAATATGTTAAAATATAAATGATAGAACACTACATTTTCTACAATTTGTTTCATACATAATATTTTGCAAATATATTATTTTTTCAAATATTTTAATTACAAGGTAAAAACAAGAATAATCTTAAACATTTTAATATTTAAGGCAACTTAAAATACAACTAATAATTATTTATAATAACAGTTTACAATTATAATAACATTGTTACCTAATTATTTTATCTGTAATATATTTTAATTATAAATGATAAAACCAAATTATTGTGATAGTGCAGTAAGTGTTTCTTTTTTGTGGTCAGGATATTTTTTGTGGTAATCACTAACAACTTGTAGAAGGTATTGTTTTTGGTAATTTTGTCATTATAGTCCTCTATAAGTTTTACTCCTCTTTCTGCTACATCGTTTATTACTGGAATATTTTTTTTATAACTAATAAAGCTTTAGAATAGTCTTCATTATTTTCCCAATTAATTGGATCTTCATTCAAAAAAATGGTGTTTATGGAAAATCTTTTAAATAGTGTTTTAGTATTAACACATATAAAATCATCGATTTCCTTTTCTAATAACTCATTTGCATTTTTTGGCGATATAGTTAAACGTTGTGCATTTGAAAATAATTCTGATGAAATTTCGTCGTTTTTTAGAGCATGACCCATTTTTCTTTTTATCTCCAGTGGCACAGCTTCATCGAAAAAATTGTACTATATCCAATTAAAAAAATATATTATGACTCACGTAAACTATCCCTGGTAACCATTGTAAGTCACTCAAATAAAATGTATGACGTACAAAATTTGAACATTTTATACGCAACAATTTTAATTTGACACTGGTCGTTGTAGTAAGTCAACTGAGAAATTAATCAATAAATCGCAAAATGACTACAATGACATGATATATCCGATAACATATAAGTATAGATTGTAATAATGTGTGATGTAGAGAATAAAGAATGTAGATAATATATTATTTGATTGTCTGAGTCATAAAAATAATCTTTAGGTAATAATCGCAAAATATGGGTACTGGGTAAAGTGCATATTATTTATTTGTGCAATCGACCGATAGCCGATAATGATTATAATTATTTTTTTTTTGGCCTTTTAGTTCAAATATTTAAAAAAGCTTTAAATTTATAATCTAAAGAATTTATCGTGAGATTCTTTTCTCTAGAGTTATGTTGGTTTTATAACAAAAACTTAACGATTTTGAAAAATGTTCTATATTTGTAACTTCAGAGCTGTTGTGGCACGGGTTAAATTTATTTGATTTGTCTAAAACTTTATTTATATCATTATTTTTAGTAATGAAACTTATTGGGGGGGAGTAATTTGAAAAATTTGGTTATTTTTTTTTCATACATAATAGAGGACCACCCTTATATAGGCACATAAGAAATATTTTTAATTTAAGTTGATATAAATATTTAAATTCTTAAGACCATACAAATTTATATTTATTTGTATTGGATGTATTATTATTTATTACAATATTATTATACTTTCCGTTAGGTTTTCTTAATTCCTGGCACCAAACCTGACAATGGAACTTATTTAGTATCTACAAGTGGAACATATTTAAAACGATGCAACAACATGTATGAAATGGCATTGGATAGTTATAAATTTGAAAAAGTTGATTCATTTCAATGCATGGGATATGTTGCATTGGAAATTGAAGGATTGTGGTTAAATCGAACCTAATCCCATTAATAAATCAATATATAATATAATAATAATAATAATAATATAGTTTGTATTTTTACCAACGTAATTATTTTAATATATAATTTATAAGATTTAACTAATGATTTTTATGGTGATATCATCCTTATATGATTTTAAATGTAGGTACAGTATATTTGTAAATTTTAAATTTATTTACTTTAGTTAAACATTGGCACCTAAAATAATTTGCCTACTGTATAATATATTTCATTAAAAATAATTGATTTTGTATTTTTTAAGTTTGTTATATGACAACAATTATGTACCGTGCATAATTAATTATTAGGTTTTTATTTTAGTTAAATGAAAAAATGGTCCCACATGATTGGTAAATTTGAAAATTCATAGTGTCTGTGGAAACAGAGTCCACTTTACCACTCATTACCATGTAAATATTTTTGAATTCTGTTTTCGGGACATTAAACTAGACTAATGGATCTTAAATTCCTTAGATTTACAATTTTTTTAAATTTTTGTTTTAAATTTTATATTTAATATATAATTATATATATATTACTTGTTTTACACATAACTTAGTATAACTGTATATCTAGATTGGTATCCATTATCCGGATTGAAAGTAACAGTACGTAAGTAACAGATTTATTGCTCAGCACCATATGCGTGCGCAGGGGTATATGACATGACTGGATTATGGGAGGAGAATGTGGGGCTACAAAAACCATAAGAGTTTAATCAAATATTTGCTAAATATGGTCAGTTTTATGTTGTATTACAATTTGAATTTTTAAGTTAAAATTACATTTTTAATAAAACAGTTGGTAACAGATTTCAATAATAATGTGAGTATGTGACAATTTAGAAATAATATTTATATCTAGTAGTCAATAACTTAATACTGGTAAATTTTAATTTACATTAAATAAGTACCTACCTGTTGTCACTTGCCAGTATAACTTACTTTCACTGTTCACGGACCCTTTCGTAAATTATACTTAGTTTAAACGTAAGAGTGAATAAATAAATTCATTAAGTGCAAATATGTATTATTTGAATTATGTGATCACTTGAAACACAATTTTTTTTTTATATGACCATCATTTATCGATTAATAAAATAAGTTAAGTATTTTAAATAGGTATTAAGTACTTAAAACTAAAATTACCTGCTATTTAATACTACCAAATCTTGATTTTGATAACGAATGATCATTTGGTACAAAATATTTAGCATACATAATAATCAGTTTATTTTTTAAGTACGTATTTTTTTTGATAGTTAAAAGTCAATTATTTAATACTCTGAACAGTCTGAACATCTTAACAATTAAACACTCAAAAATACCGCCAAATATAAATTGATAACTGAATTAGTTTAAATTTTCGACGCTGATTAGTTTTTAGCGCTCTGTGTCTATTCGATAAGAATCACGGTTTAAGACGTATTAAATCATGATAAGAACTTTCAGGAACATAGATACCTATAGATAATAACCTAAGATGATCCCTCTTCTATGTAGTTAATCTAATTGTTTAGTTTATTATCTATATATATCTAATCGCTAATTGCTAATTCTATAGATTATTGCATAGTAGCATACTTAATACTAGTTCATTTAAAATTTTTATCTCAAATTAATTTAGAAAATATTAAATTATTTCATATATGCAGGTTAGTACTTCCGCTCTAGGATAAAAATATGTCAACAGAAGTAAGTAAAAATGTTAATGAACCTATTTATTTATTTAGGCTTTTGTTAATTATTTAATTTTTACAATAATTAGGTCCATTAAGATAACGCATAAAATTGTAATAAATTAACATTAACTTAACTATTAAATTGATTAAATAATTTAAACATAATAGGAATATAATATAGTGGTCAAAGATTGATGGGAATTGAGATATTAATTAATACTGCTAATTTAAATGTATGTATTGTATTCATTAAAAATATATTTATTTTGATAGCATTTAAACATTTAAATATTTAACAAGCACAATCATCTAACAGTTTATGTATATAGGTTTTATTCGATATAAGGTTCATTAGATGATATTTTCTTATCCTTATACGTATTCTTATTGTTGTAAATTTCTGATAGTAATTCTCATTCGTTATCAGTTATTAGTGCCTAAAAAGTGGGATATTTATTTTAATATTAAATTTTTGTTTTAGCATGTTGAACACAAAAAAACCGTATCATTGGATTTAAATTATAAAGGAAAAGATGAACAATCAACAAATTATTGTAAAACACCTGTAGATAACACAATTTCTTCAAACAGTTTAAATGTATGTAATACAAATGGAAAAGATAAATCATCTACAATGATGTTGAGTGTTAACGATACTAGTGATGGTAAATTAATTGAATCTAATAGTTCAAGTGGATTAAATAAGGTAGAATGTGAATTTTTGGTGAATTTACTAGGTAGAGAAAATTTAGAAAATGTTTATTGTGATAGTGAAGATGTTAACAAAATTGCGGAAATAGTAAAAAAAAATCTGAAGAACATTGAACCCTCAACTATAGGCACAATAGAAATAAATACACAACAATTTATAGATCTAAATTTATTTAGAGCTGCCGAAGAACTACATCAATTAGTTTCTAAAAACAAAGATGTTGAAATAATAGATGATTCTAACATTTCAGACAGTTCAGCTACTAAACAATCATCTGTAACTCAAAATCAACATAAAAGTATCTCAACTGATAACTTTACTACTAACATTAAATTTGAATCATCTAATCAAGATCTTCAATTATATACACAAGATCAAGATCCTGACTTAATTGTTTTTAAAGAAATGTGTGAAGAACTGTCAAAAATTAAAGAATGTGAAAAAGTAATAGAAAAAGGTTCAAATTTACTCCCAGTACAAGACAATACAATGAAGCAAATTAATATTAACCAAGTAAATGTCAATGTAATATGCTGTTCGAATTGTACAAAATATGTACCCAGTACAAGTAAAGACAATTCTTCTATTAATTTTAACATTTTTAAAGATAATAATACTATAAAAGGTTTACCAATTACAAAAGATAAATGTGAAAACCAAACCAAATCGTTTGAAAATTTAAACACATTATCATATAAACATCAGCATAAAAAATTTAAAACCAATACTTCAAAAAATATTTTAAAAATTAATTCTGAATCACATTTAAATAACATTGTAAATAAATCTAGTCCTTCAAATAAAATAGGTTTATTTAATTTATCATCGTCTGAAGACAAAGAATATTGTGCATTATCTGAAAATATTAAACGTAAGAAGAATAATATTGATTCATTAATACCAAATAAATGTAAAAAGAAAATACATCCAACATTTTATTCTTCTGCTAGTGGAATAATTCACAAAGATATGCTAGTACAGATTAATTCTAAATCACATTCAGATAACATTGTAAATAAACCTGATGTTTCAAATACACTTGATTTAATCCCTTTGACATCCTCTGACGACGAAGACTTTGTATCAAATGAATATTTATATAAGAGATCATTAATAGAAAACAAATATTCCAAAAAAATAGAACCAATATTTTGTTGTTCTCCTTATGGAATAATTCATGAAGATATGTTAAATCAAATAAACAATAGAAAATAGTGTTATTAGAACATATTAAAATTTATTGGTTGACGTATCAATTAAAATCTTGTAAACTTATATTTAATATGTTGAATTTATAAATAAACTTAATATTATAACTAAAATATTATTGTATTATTAAAATCTAAACTTTATTAAAATTGAGTAATTTAAATGTTTATAATTAATCAATATATTGTAACATTTTAATGTAATACAGCTCAAACAAATATATATATACAGAGTTATTCACTTAGCCTGTTCACCCCATTTTTTGATTTAATTTTGCATAAGTTCAAATTATGATTTTTGAAATTTTTAAGTGTGTTAAAATTGATAGTTTCGAATAATTACATTTTTCACAAAGGAGTATCATGTGGCAACAACTTTGGTTTTTCAAATGAGAATCTATATTAAAAATTTACATAAATAGACAGAGTATTACTTAAAATAAAATTAGGTGTTAAAATTGTTGATATCTGTTAATAAGATATTTCACTTTTAAGTTTAGGTAGGGAGAGAGTAGTGGAGCACTAATAAAATGCTCTGCGCTGTGCTGCCACTCAAATGATACTCCACTAATTAAATTAGAATTTGAATAGATTGAATCGTACTGCATACGTAAATGGTTTTGCATAGGTATATTATTAAAGACTGACTATTGTGTTGCAATTGACTATTACTGACTTGGAAGATTGGAAAATGCATTACAAAATTAACATGAGTGAATTAAAAACATGACTAGTAGTATACCAAATAATATACATATTTCAAGGAAACAAGTGATTAAGTTATATTATCATTTTTTTAAACTATTAACAAATAAAGTGAATAAATATATAAATAAAATTAATCAATGTATTGCCTGGAGTATTATGATAAGTGTATTATATGATCGGTTTCAAATTAAAAACTTATTATCAGGTATATCACAGTCAAAATGTAAAATGCAATTGAATATAAAAAATTAAATGAAGGAATACATAGAAAACAATTTTTTATAAATTGGTCATTTTACATAGAACATAGAAATAATTTATTTTTATAAGAGAGATTATTTAAAATTAGTTATTATTAGACATAGATATATTCAGAAATATAATTATTTGGTTATTATTTATTATCTAATATGTATTGATATAAGATATTATTTTTAAAATCGGTTTGATTATTTAAAATATTGAAATTATTTTTTTTTATTTTATTGTGTATATTTATTTTTTTTAAACTGAATTAATGTAAATGTTATTTTTTAACATACCCATGTTTAATAATAACTAATTTTAAATAATCTTTTCTATTCAAATAAATTATTTCTATATTTTATGTAAAACGACCAATTTGTATATTTTTTATTATTATTTTTTTCTATGTATTCCTTCATTTAATTTTTCATATTCAATCTCATTTTACATTTTGTCTGTGATGTACCTGATGATAAATTTTTAATTCAAGACCAATCGTATAATACACCTATCCTAATACTCCAGGCGACACATTGATTCATTAATTTATATATTAACTTGCGAGTATTAACCATTTTAATAATTTTGTTTTTACTTTATTATTTTTAATTTATTAACATTATATACAAAATATATACAGTAAGCAAAAGTAATAATGTAACTAATGACGGCCAAAAATAGCAGAATTGAGAAGGCACTAAGTAGTGTCACCCAACACACTAGATTAATATATCTTTAAGCCAGTTCTGTTTTTAGATGCCTCAGCTGACTGTAGGGATTGATTGAAATGGAAAGTAGTATGATTTGATTAGTTGAGGAAGCATTGGAATTTTTAAGTATCAATGAACAATTTTATAATTAAATACATTTTTTTTTTGACATTTAATATATAAGTTGGGTGGTTTTTACTATTTCACTTTATTATTTATCATATGATACTATTTCATTAATTTACATGTTTGACATATTGAGCATAATTAAGTTGATTATGTTTAAAACTATACCTTTTTCTTATAGTTTTTAGCATAAAAACACAATCATGTTTTAATGGAATTAATGCCCTGAACCATGTTAGTAATAAATAATTTTATTTATAAATAAGTATTAATATTGTAATATATTAGTACATTATACTCTTATTTGAACTACGAAAATACTATTAAGAAGTCTTCTGATGTGTCTAGACTCCGCAGAGATTCATCACACACATTCATTTCGATACCTACCATAATTCATGGATATAATGTAGGTACCTAATAATTTAAATTTAAGTATATTAGTCCTAGAAACATACATTTAGTTCTGAACCAGACTTACAAACAACTTTTGAATATAGGCTTATAAATAATTTTGAAGCCAGATAATGGGGATGTTATAGTTGATTCCAGTGGCGCAATCAAGATTAATTATTTTGAAAAGGGATAAGGAAGTATAATGTGTGTATGCTTCATTATAGCAAGTTTTAAAGATGACCAAAAAGATATTTTGGTTTTAACACATATTGTTAGTCGTGGTATTCACATTAAGGATGTGTTTGTGGTCATTATGATATGGTCAAATATATTTAAGGTAATTTTATTTATTTGGTAGACTTAAAAGTATACTAGTACTTAAAACAGTATGTTGCATTATTATTAACAATGGTCAATTGAATTCTATTTTTTTTTATTTCAAATAGATTATACACATTGTATTGGAAATATAGGTTGTGCTGAAAAAACTGGAGTGGCAACTAATTTCATTTATAACTAAAGATGATTCACATTGTTTTATGATCTAAGACAACTCATACAGGTAAGTTCTATCTCAACTTGTCATTTAAAAGTACAACACAAACCCGGTACTATAATAATACCCTAAAAGAGACAAGAAGAAAAAATATTTGCAGGATTTATAGGAAATTTAATAAACCTAGTATTATAAAAATTTTTGTAATTATAGATTATACATATACAGGCCTTATGTGTCCCTTATATAAATCTTATACAAATAATTATTATTATGAAAAAAAAATAAATTTATAAATTATGTGATATAAATTTAAATTCTTAGTTTAGTCCATCCGTGTCTTGATATCCCGAACAATAACTTTGTCTTTTTTACTGAAATTAAAATTAAAACAAATTTGTTGTCAAGCTATTCAATATATCAGAATTCAATACAAAAGAAATGACTATATATAGTATGATTAATCAAATTAATACTTACATAATGTAAACTTTTGCACCCCAACCAGAAATGGCATCACGATTGCAAGCACTGACTAAAGCTTGAGAGATAGTTTCAAATAACTGATCCTCTTCCATGTCTGGCTCCCAAAGAGCCTCGCAAAGACCATACAGTTGATCTGAACTAGTACCACCTACTACAAAGTTATCAGATTTATTTACGCAACCAATCAAATCCATGTCACACATATATGGTTCAAGTGTTTCTTCATCCAAAGCAACAATCATAGGTTCAACAAAGAATGGTGAAAATCTGTAAAGAAAACATTTAATTAAAATATGTCAAATGGTATTGAATACTAATATCAATAAGTACCAACAAATATCAATTAATTGAATTAATATTTTTAATTGTTTAAAGAAACCATGTAGAACTAAGTTTTGGTATTTAATTTATAATGAAATAGGAAAATAGTATTATAATTTGTTTTTTATTTAAAAACTATGTAGTCTGATACATACAAAATTGTAAAAATCTGAAAAGATAAGTCACAGTTTTTTTTTAATGATATACATATTGTATATGAATAGATAAATTTGTATGTAAGTTTATTGCTTGAGTATCTAATGAAAAAAATAATTTTACCTGTGCTGATACAACAAATTGGAGACCACAGATGCCAAAGCTTTAGGAGATATTTTCCGGTTCTCTTTTAATTCGTATAATCTTTTTCTAAACATTATTTTCTCATACACAGTGAATATATCAGTAGCTAAACCAGGAAATCCCATATATGTATGAGGATTTATTTGAAAAACTTTCTGCAATCCAAAATTTAAAAACACTTATGAGAGTATTATAAAACAATAATAATTTAAAAAATAAATAAAACATACCGTGAAATCGAGGGATATTGTTTGAGCTTGAATTCCAAATCTTTTATCAGTTGCAATAGCAACACAGTCCTTGCCTTTCATGCCAATTAAGGCACCTCCGTTGTAATCCATGATACTCTAATAAATATATTTTGGAACAAATATTATTTACTAATGACAAATTTCTACATAATTTAGAAGTTAACAAAAATAATTTATTTTAGAAAAATTGATAAATATTACTTAGTAGTGGTGATGAAAACAATTTAAATCATTTTTAGAAAATTAGTGATTCATTAATTTAATTAAATTTGAAACACCAACATTTAGTTTCAAAATAAATTTATAAAATGGTTATCTTGGATATTGTTGCTTTTTTTTTTTTTAGCATTAAAAAACATATCAAATATAAAAATCATAGCATAAGGCTCTAGAAATTATTTCAAAGAAAACCTTCAAAATATTGAACAGGAAAAAATTAATTCTATTTGTCAGATTTGCATGGGACCATAGAAGATTGAAACTAATCAACTTGACATGGGTAGTTGTACAAAAAAAAAAAAAATCAATCCTGAATCTATAAAGTACAACCTAAATCCTTAGTTATTTAACATTAAAACAATAAATTTAAGTAGGCAAGTGGGCATTGTAATTTGTAGAAAAAAAAATTTAAAACAAATTGTATTCAACGTTTTGAGTATAAAGTTATAGGCTGGAGCTAATTATGGTTCCACTATAAGTCTGAAATATATTAAGTATTTATTTCAAACTAGTTTATACATTAAGTAGCATACATGATGCATGGACATATTATTATGGCCATATGTAGATAATGTTAGATGCCTAAATGCTTAATAGGATTTATAATATATTATTATATTAGGCAAATGTGTGTTGTAACTGACTACTTTAAATGTTGTTCATTTTGTTCTCATTAAATTATATTATGTGACTTGACATAATTTCAAATGCATAAACATAGTATTCAATATTATTATAACCCTTATTCTATGTAAGTAATGACAATTTTTAACCACATCAAACAATGCAATATTTCTTATGTCTGATAGATATTTAAAACTGGATTTATAATTATGTAAAAACTGGTATTTAATTATTTTTTAATTAATTGATTTAATTCATTTGATTTTTATATATACAATACACATTTTGAAAACAATTTGTACCTAATTTATATTCACAAAAAAAGAAAAAAAATCTCTTATTATTTATTGTTTTTTTTCTAAAGAATTATTTGACATATATAAATATAAACTAACCAATTAACTAATTATACATTTTACGAGTTTTCAGTAATTTGTTACCTATATAATTAAACACGATTGAATTTCATCTTCACTATCTATTACCAACCAAAAATCATAAAAACTGAAGTCTAGAAATTTTCTCCAGGTTAGTAAAAAAAAAAATAATTGCTTATTATTATTATCATAAAATTATCTGGAAATTATAGTATGACAATGACTTATAGGTACCTAAATGATTTCATTACTACATAATTTTTCAAAAAATATTTATATTTATCTATATTATACAGATAAATACACAGTCATACAGATATGGTATGCACTATAGTTGATATAATTTGTATCAAAAAACATTGATCAATAAATTTAATTTATGTCCAACATCTTGTATACTGAGCCATGATTGACATTCAACTGCTTTTTGTCCGCCGAAGTTAAGATACCAGTCTGTCACACATGATCAATTAGAATGTATTTTATGCGTGACAAGAATTCACCTCTAGACATTTTATAAAACAACTTCTCAATCTTAACCATATTGCTCTTCGAACCAAACGACAATCCAACAACTACATTTTTTAAAAAACAATAGGTACAGCATTATATTATAATTTACTTACCATTTTAAAGATTTGTTATAAATTTTTGACTGTTGTGATTGAAATTGTATAAATTGCAGAATAGCATTAAATACTATAAACAATAATACAAACAGTTGTCGGTGTTAACTGTTAAGAATTGCTACTAACAAGTAACAATAAAAACCGGCGAACGCTGTTATCAATAGTTCATTCGAAATTACAATGAAATTCATGGAAGTATAATATTTATGACCACGGTTATGATGTGAATGAAATGATTATATTATGTAGTATACCCATAGACATTGTACCACAGAATAGATAGAATCTCTTTATAGGTAGGTTTGATAGGGTTTAGTTTTGTGGATTATTTTTTTGTGAATGACTAATATTAATGTGAGTACTTATTATAAATTAAAAATTATTAATTTTAAATTTTTTGACTAAAAAAAAAAAAAATGATTGTCCATTTTAATGATAAGACTATTTATTTAATTTGTAACTAACTTTTTGATTGGTTTCATCTGGCAGTGTATTATCTTTTATTATCTACAATTGTGATATTAATTTTAACTAGTTGATGTTGTTGATAATATGACGTGTTAATTGATTAAATCATAAAGGCATTTTATTATGAATATTTTCAAGTAATAATAAGTTAAAATAAAAGCTTATCCATTTTTGAAATTTTTTCTTCTACCTAATTTGTAAGTAAAATTATACTATTCAAATTGTTTTTCTAATGCTAAACAAATAAAATTGTAATGCTAATTTTTTATTAACTTTGCAATGGATAAGAAAGATATTGAATTAGATCTAGATGATAATATCTTGAATCAAATTTTGAGAACAGAAACTGATCTACGTGATTATTCTCAACAAATTGAATATGCTTTGAAAAATCATGAAAACCTTGCTGTTGATAAATATATCAAGTCAGGAGAACATCTAGTGACATTACATAAACAATTGAATGATTGTGAAAATTTGTTAGAAAACACAGAGTCTGTGTTATTTACATTTCAAGAAGAGTTACAAAATATTACCAATGAAATTACAAGGTTACAACAGAGATCAATATTTATGGCTCAACAACTTTGTAATAGACAATCTGTTAAGGGGCTCATGCATCAGTTCATTGAAGATGTTATTGTGTCTGAAACACTTATATCAGTCATAAATTCATACTCTGTGACTGATGATAAGTTTTCAACACATTTGTCTATATTAAACTACAAAATATTGTTTGTTGACGAACAAAATTTTAAAGATATAAAATCACAAAATGATGTGAAAGATGTGATTGAAAAATTGAAAATTACTGCTATTACAAAAATAAGACATTTTATAATAGAACAGATAAATAAATTTAAAAAACCCACTACCAATTATCATATACCTCAAAACACTTTATTTGAATACAAGTTTTTATTTGAATTCTTGCTTAATCATGATTCAATATCTGCTCATGAAATATTTAATGATTATGTTGATACTTTGAGTAAAGTTTATTATACTTATTTTAAATCATATTTGAGTTATTTGCAAAAGTTACAGTTTGAAGAAGCAGCTACTAAAGATGACCTACTAGCTGTGGAAGATCCAACTTCACGTACTCTATTTCAAAAATCAATAAAAAAAAATACCGTATTTACTATTGGAAATAGAGCTAGTGTCCTAAATGAAATTGATAGTTCGATTATTATTCCACATCAAAATAATTTGACAAATTTATCATTCGAGACAATATTTAGATCTGTTCAATATGCCCTTGTAGACAATGCTTGTCGAGAATACAAATTTGATTGTGAGTTTTTCAAAGTTGATCAACCTACTGCCCAAGGACTTTTCTCTCAAATCATGGGTAAAACGTTATCACTTTTGATTAAACATTTAGAAAGTTTTGTTGAAAACTGTTATGATGCATTAGCTCTTTTTTTATGCGGCCAGTTGTGTATACGCTATCAAACACTTTGTCAAAATCGTTTAGTACCTGTACTTGCTCAGTATTGGGATACCATGCTTGCAATGATTGGAACCAGATTTCGATTTATACTAAAACGGCATATTCAAAGTGTTAAAGATTATGATATTTCAAAATTTAATAAAGAAAAAAAGCCACATTTTATAATGAGACGATATGCTGAACTTGTATCAGCAATAGTTTCATTCAGTGAAAATAATAAATGTGAGTCCGAACTAATTTGTAACTTAACCGAGGAAGTTTTAGCATTTGTTTTACGGCTTGCTACAATGTTTAGTACTCGTAAAGATCGTTTGATATTTTTGATTAATAACTATGATTTGGTACTGAGAATACTAATGGAGCGTGTAAGAGATAGCACATTTGAAGTTGACAGATTCAAAGAAGAACTATCAGCGAGAAGTAAAGATTATGTTGATGAAGTACTCCATGTCTATTTTGGAGGAATGATGGAGTTTGTTACAGATGCAGAAAATGGGCGGGACACAGATGTTGAGTCGAGACAACTGGGATTGGCAAAAACATTTACATCTACTTGGAAGATGTCTCTAGAAGAAATTAATAAAGATATATTACCTTCATTTCCCAATCTGACAACTGGGGCCTCTTTATTACAATTGGCATTTTCACAGTTAATTGATTATTATCATAGATTTCAAAAAGCTTTATTGGCGCCAAACAAAGCACAGTTACCTAATATACATGTGATAATGATAGAAATTAAGAAATATAAAACCAATTATTAACTTTTATAATTTGAATATTATAACAACCCTACATACATAATTAAATTTTTGTTATAAACTATTATAATTAAAAATGTGTATAAACTTGCTGTTAAAACATGATTATTTTATTTAAAACAAATTGTCCTTTACCATATATTATTATTTATTAAATGTAATACAAATTATTTAGTGTTTAAATTGTTGCTTTGAATCCCAATCATGTTGTTCTCTTATGGGTAATTTGGTTGACATGTTCGTACATTAGTATACATTGTTAATTAAATCAACATTAACAGATACTTAATATTAATAAAATGTTTTTGTTTGAGTATACTTATATATTTTTAAATTTTTTCATAATTATTTCAGTTTTTTTAATTGTTTTTCATTGTGTTTTTGTATACTTAATTATGATTCAATCAGGGTCTATTTTTTGTCCTTTATCATACTACACATTTTTTGTTTTGTACTAAAATCATAGAAACTACTGTTGGTACTAAAATAGATAAACATATTTAATAGTCAATATTGTAGACTGATACTGAGTGTATCTTGGTTTACAGTATAACTATCAAATATTACCATATTATGTTTATTTTTTTAATTTTAAATATTAGAATATTTACTATAAATTAATTTTTAGTCATAACACACTATAACTCCAAGTTATACACAATGAATTTTGTATTACCTATATATTAAATAGGCCGTGGGTTCAATTATTTAAGTTCTAGACTTCTGGTAATTAAATGGATCGTAATATCTCCTTACTAATTTGTAAATTAAATTTAAAATTTTTGCATCCTACTCGGTAGATACACCTACGTTAGTTGTTTTGTCATTTATGTATCTACTTTTCTTTTTATTAGTTGCTGGAAATTGTATGCAATAGTATAGCTACACACTTGTATTTACATCAGGGGAGTATAATAATGTAGGTACTATATCATAATAAATAAAGCAAGTAATATGACACTTTCTAAGAGAACACATCATTATTTAAATGTTAAAAATCTAAACAAATATATTTTGTCCATAGATATTCTGACTGTAGGATAGAAAGATAATTGGTGGTTTGTGAGTATTTTATCATCGATATTTCACCTATAACTGGTTTTAAATTATCAAAATGGATTCTAAATGGGAAATGAGTAATAACCACACAACCACAGATACCTGTAAAAACAAATTTGTTTATATATCTGTGCCTTGTGGAAATTACGATCATTTCCCCTTATCATTAATACAAAGGAAATAATCATGGTCGAAGATGTTAACAACATAAATTATTATATGGTGATAACAAATCAATATGTACCTAACAAAACATTTGTATTATAAATTATAATATTTTTGTTTGCTTATTTAAGAAATTCAGATTTGTTGATTAAAAGTAGGTACTCATTATTTTATAATAATGTATTTAAATTTTAGATTTAATTTATCAATCAAACATATTATTTTATTAGAAGCAGATTTCTAAAAAAAAAAAATGTATAATACTCTAGGTTTAATTAATTTTTAAGTAGGTAATATGTTTAGCTGTCATTTTTTAATTAATGTACAATATTGACTTTTATAGTAGTTATCTAAAGTTTTAAGATGACAAGGCATGCCAGAAATTGTACTGCAGGCGCTGTTTATACATACCACGAGAAGCAGAAGGATGCTTCTCAATCTGGTTATGGAACGCAAAATGAACGTGTTGGCAAAGATTCCATTAAAAGCTTTGATTGTTGTTCAATGACATTGCAACCTTGCAGAACTCCCATTGTTTCGTAAGTATAATTACTAAAGTCATTGTCTAGGGGTTTTATAATAATAATAATAATATTAACTTGTAAAATAAATTTTAAAATATTCTTCCTATAAAATAGTCCAGAAGGTCATTTATTTGACAAAGAAGCTTTATTGCAATATATGATAACAAAAAAAAAAGAGATCAGTCGTAAGTTAAAGGAGTATGAAAAACAAAAACATAAGGAAGAAGACGAATTAGCAGAACTAGGCAGAGCTGAACAACAATCAAAAGTCATGGATTTTCTTAATAGGGAAAGTATGGTGAAAAAGCAAAATGATATTTACAAAATGAAACCTGAGAAAGGATCTGAAGTGAATTCATCATCCATTTCAAATATGGCCAATGGTTTGGATAAACAGTTACCAAGTTTTTGGGTACCATCCGAAACACCTGATGCTAAGAAAGCACCTATAACAAAACCAGTAAGGAGTATTACCTAATCTTTACCCTAATCATAACTTTTGAAGGAGTTGTAGCATCCTGCTTTGTTTTTCCTCGATCACTTGAGAGTGATACTAAATAATTCTACAGTGTCTTATTGGGTCTTCAGTCATTTTCCATTGACATATTTTAATAATTTCTATCAAAATGTGTTCCTGTCTAACAATATCGAGTCATTTTTAATTTTCTTGGTCATTTCCAACAATTGTTTACTTCTTATGCATGTATATTCATCACTGGATATGTTTTTTTAAACGCAACTTGATTAAATAATTGTAAAACAATTATCATTTTTATATTACACTAAATTTATGAAAATTACAATCAATTGATTTAAAGTATTTATTTTAAGGATAAGACTATTTACTGTCCCATGAGTGGTAAACCGTTAAAATTAAAGAATTTTGTGGATGTTAAATGGACACTTGTAAATGATCCAAGCGATAAGAAATCATTAGCAGTTCGTGAAAATCGTTACATGTGTGCAGTGACACACGATATATTAAGTAATGCTGTACCAGCGGCAGTAATTCGCACAACGTATGGATTTGTCACTAAATATTTTATTGTTTAATTATGTAAACATAATTTCTTATTTGTTTCCAGCGGCCATGTCATTACTATGGAATGTTTTGAGAAGTTAATTAAAAAAGACTGGCTACATCCTTTAACTGGTGAAAAATTAACTGAAAAAGATATAATACCTTTACAGAGGGTAAGAATTATAATATATTATATTGTTAAACTATATATTATTTTATGTTCTATTTTACTGTTATAATCAGGGTGGAACTGGGTATGCCATAACAAATATGAATTTGGAAGGAAAAAATGCAAGACCAGTTTTACAAGCCTAAATATTATGTAAATTTAAGTTTTCTAAATTTAAATAATTTTGTAATTCGATTCTAAATAAATCTAAACTTAACTTTTAGGTTATTGTGTTATATGGCTTAACATTTTTTAATAATATAAAATATAAGCTGCCAACCCAAGTTTGTCGTTAATGTTACTTTTCCTTCTTCTCTGTGTTTTAGCTTTTAAAACCATATCTTTTCTTTTCTAGTGATAATTTCTTCCAATCTTCTCCTGGAATAACATTTCTCACGTCTTCTTAGTAACTTTTTAACTATCATAAATTGGTTTAAATGACTTCTCTTGGCATAGTACTCCTAACTGAAAGCGTAGAGACCTCTCACAATTACTCTTAGATTGTCCCTCATTAGATACCAAACATATAATTTTGCTCGTTATCCGAAATCTCTAAACATTCCCCCAAACCTTTTTTCCATGCCCAACAATAAATCTGAAGTGGTCATCCAATATCTAATATATTTAGTTTTGCATTAGAAGCTGGTTTTGTTATTTAATATTTATATCCATTTTTTTCTTACTGTTGTAATTTTGTATTACTTAAAATAATTGTAGAGCAAGCTGTCATAGTCAGTAAACACAGTCAAAAAGCTAATTAAATAATAATAATAATAAAAAAAAAAATTAAAAAAATTTCTCTGTTTGGTTAATTTGGTAATATAAATTATTGTAATAATATATGCTGTTGGGTACACAGAATGGTGATTTCACAATAGAGTCACATTTTAGTACTTCACAAGATGGGTGTTATTATTTTTTTGTTTAGTTAAATTATTTTATTTGTAAATTAGTTAAATAATTTTTTCATGTAGGAATTCAAATTTGTTCTATTTTATTGAGAAGAAATTCTTATTTTATTGTTGATTATAATTTATATAATATAATATTGAACAATTTTATATAATAATAATTTGTTATAATCTAACTTCAAACTGTTAATAGAAACAGCTGAATTTATAAATGTATTACATTTAAATTTGTAAAATATTTATACTCATAGTCATAAAAAAAAAAATTAAAAAAAAAATTAACATTTAGAGCAAATAGATTTGAAATTAAAATTGTATAAATTATTTACTTCTTTCAATTTGGTAACAGATAATTAACAGATAATAACGTCTAATTGCTATCTACCCCACGTTTCATGGTTTAGTATGTATGCTATCCACCGCAAATATTTTATTACTGTAATTTTATGTTGGTTTTAAATTGTTTTACCTTTATAATACAGTATTTCTACTTTGTTACTTTTTTTTCATGTGGTACTGTGTAGTTACGTATGCGTATTTCTAACCGCACCGAGGAATGATTCGCACAGGTCTTCGGTTGGTTTTTGTTACGAGCGCCACTATTCTTCTTGAAGTTGGGATGGTATTATGTTAGTCGCTCCGCGTGTTTTAATGTTGTATTTATTTTTGACGTGTCTCCAAAGAGTTTCTATAGTTTGTGTTTCAGCACCAGTTATTGGGTCAATGAAATTTTCCGAATGATTAACCGTTTTATGGATAAACCTATGTTCATTCAAAGTAGAATACGTACGCCATTTATCGGAATGTATCCTCGTAGTATCTCGTTTAGCTTCATTTAATATAATTGATAGTAAGGTATTTCGATCCCGGTTTTCAACTTTAAAAAAAACGTTTCTAAAATGTCATCATGCTTACAACACAAACCAAAAATCTATGGCCCTTGAGTTCATTGTCCGTAATTTCGATTACTTATTTACATCGTCTTCTTCAGACTTTTCCTTAGGTTTGCGATTTCTAAGACGTAAATTTCCACGATAATATTTCCTTTTACCTTGGAAAAAGGATTCATTCATTTGCACTAGGCCAGGACCTCCTTTTTTTATGGTTTTGATATTTAGCTACTTCTACGTCTCGACATAAATTATATCAGTCGACTATAATTGATTTTGATTTTTTCGTAAACACCTTGACTTGTGTTACCTTTATTTGAAATACCCAATACCAAATAAGTTCTATGATATCGCACACATTTAAACTACTGATACTCTTCCCATTTTTATCTTTATACTTAAAAAAGTTATTGTTTTTGCGTATGTTTGGCACCCTTTTTTTTTGTATATCGATTATACATTGTTTTTAAAATATTACCTTCCTAATCACGTTTTTTTCGACTATCTTTCAGAACTTTTTTCAGCTCACCACCACGAATTGTTTGGTTTTTAATTTTGGTACATGTTTGGTCAGTTGGTAATAAACCACGTATTTTTAAAAAAATTGCTTACATCTCTTCATTTTGAATTATGTGTCGATATAGATAACTCATAATAATAATGAATAAATAAATCACAGTAAAACCACATATAATCGACATGACTCACAAATGCGCACTAATTTTTGTTTGTAAAAAGCCTATGGTAAATTATAAAGTGTTATAAATATAATAAATTTGGGATTTCGATAAAAGCTTATTCTTAATTGCAAAATGATAAAGTATATATATATATATTCATAAAATCTACCATAAAATTACGGTATATAGCATATTGGACGAGTACCGAAACCCTGAAAAGTCACCCCGCGATCCTGTAGTAACTATAATAATTAAATAACGTTTCGTCACCGAAAGGGTTTACATCAAACTTTTGTATTTGATTTTTATACCGTTTCGTTGCATCTGTAGGTTCCTATACCTAAGTGCATATTATTATATAACATTATATTTCAATTATACACACGTATTATTATAGTGCGTGCGTACTTACCCTTTATGGCTTTGTATTGTAAGGTGACTATTACAAGCAGTTTTTGATCGACACTCGACACGGAACAATTTGCCATAAAACAATAAAACGATCGATTGCATTAAAATGCGTTTATATAAACGGACCCCTCGATTTTGTTAAGGCGGAAACCTCGGAAATGTTTTGAAAATTATTGTTGGTTGATTATATATTATTGTTATTTAGTACAAATAATTGCGATTCCCAATTAGTAATAATAATTACTATGCGTCATGCGTGGTACTTCAATTAAATATATCCGTAGAGTGATATTTGTTTTTATCCAAATAACGGTACAGGTTACGGTTTTATTTGCCAAGAATATTAAGAGACCCTCACAATGGCATTTGCCGTCTTTTTAACGGACAATATAGCAAAAATACGTCCATGTGAAACAAACAAAAATGTCTTTAAAATAGGTTTTAGAAATAAACACCAGTCATAAAATTTTTAGATGAAAGTAATTGATAAAAGTATTATATAGTATCTAATTTAAAATAATATTGTTTTTTATTGCAAGTCCATTATCATTATGGATAAGAAGTGTCAAATTATCGGAGTTTAAAAATAAACTATAATTCTTATTAATAACGATTAAAATAATTGTAATTTAAAACTATCGTAAATTCAAACTCTTGTCGATTTTGGTTTATTTCGAAAATTTTCAGAACCTTTTAAATTAAATCAGATTTGAAGATACGCCCATTTACTTACCACTGATTAACATAGGAGTCTAATCATTAAATATTCAATTTTTCCTGAATTCCATAAAAGCATTCGTCATTTTAAAACTGATAGTTATATCTCACCACTTCCCTAAACATCTAAAATGATATTATTATTTATTTTTAATTAATGCCATAGAAACAGATTTTGATCAAAATACCTATATAAAGCAACATAGAGCAATTAAAAGTGAATACACATTTAAGTAGTAGCTACATATAACAAATTGAATAAAATGATAAACATTTACAAACGAATAGTGAACAATTTAGTTCATAGTCTATACAAAATAGTGGAGTCCGGATTGCAAGTTTGATATTTGCTTACCTACAACGATTGAGTGGTTGATTGGTAGCATAGTTAGAATGTAACCTTGGGATGTAGAAATTTTTTTGTTATTAATACCAAATGCAGTTAAAAATAATGTTTTTATATTTTTAATTTGAAAATATTTCTAATTAATTTGCTTTAGAAATATATACTTACATCTTTGTTATTAACAATTTTCATGAGTTATTTACTAGTCACTAATTTTTATAGAAAAAATTAGTTTAGTGTGATTTAATCAAGTCAGCTAAAATTGGAAATAATTCTTAGAATAAAGTGACATGTTTAAATTCGGAACAAATTTAATTTAATCATACAATCGCATTATTAATTATTATTTGTAAATTTGTCATTTGATATTAACAAATTAGTAAAATATTATGTATCTTCATAATTCGTATTTATTATACATTTGAACGTAATATAGATAGTTTTTATTCAAACAAATTAAAAAATACCTAAAAATCTTGAATATTTCTTATAGCTATAAGAAACTTAAAAAGCACACAGTTTGAATATCACATTATTATACTAAGTCTAAATGGAAGTATTAATACAAGGCATAAGTATTCAGTGAACGCTTCAGCTGTCTTTATGATTTCTTTTCACTTAATTTATAATTACATCAAAAAAATCAAAATCGAAACTGTTGCGTAAATATTCTCGTTTTTCGATGTTTCTTTTCCACTATTTAGAAAATTAAAAGGATAGTTATTAAAATTACCTCCTCAATTCACCAATTAAACAGTGGTGTATAAATCATTTTTGTATGGGGAGAGGGGGGATTAAAAACATGACCTTGTAAGGAATTTTTTTAAAATATTAATACAAAATTGTATGCATTATGTAAAAATAAAAAGGCAATGAGGGGAGGGGTTGTATGAGGCCCCTAATTGTAAACCTTCCATGTATACGCCCCTGCAACTGAATAAAATTTGCTACCACCCCTGAAATGAATGGTCGAAGTAAAATTTCTGGTAGAAAAGTTGTTTACAGATAGAAAAATAAAATACCTACAAAATATCATATAAAATGGTAAAATTTTATATTCCTCTTGATAGTCGATTTGCTCAGAATTTAAAACACGCAAAGTCGAAATAAAATCGAAATTGCATTTTCGTCCATTGCACACAATATTGCCAATTTAAAACCATCAGCTGATTTGCAGCAATAATTAGTTTTCGAATCAATTAATAACACCATATCATTATACCAGGATCAATTGCTATGTCCTATACCTACGTATAACACTATTATATATTATATATCATGTCCGTTACGCTCGGTATATTTGATGCGCAGGGGGTATCCGTTTTATATGATATAATATATTGTTTATAACGCTGTTACGTGGAGGGTGATAATTTCGACGTCCGCCTTTATTATTATATGGGTTTTCGTCTCAGACCGAGCGAAAAAAAAGATTGACCGGGAAATTAGCGCTTGTTATTTTTCCACCTGACCACCAGGGCCGTTTACTATTATTATGTCTGTATATATATTATGTGTATAGGCGCCTCCCGGCCACGTATTAACGTTCCCTACTTGAAACCAGCCACAGTCACAAACGGAATCCGCTGATTGGGCCAGATAATACGGTGTTATTTGTTTTAATTAGTTATAGTAGGCACCTTATCATACAACACGACATATACGTTCTGATGACGGTGTCAATTAATGCTGTCGGGTTCGAATCAGACGGTCGCAGACCGAATAGTTAGTTTTTTCTCCCTTGCATCATTTAAAACCGTCGAAGTTTTTAATTTTCATTGACTAGGTAATAGGTTTTTGGTCCTAAGTGTAACATTTTTATTTTATTTTTATGATTCACCGACAGCAGTTGCGATCTGTTTTCACGATACTACACCCACTGCTGCCATCGTTTATTATTAATTGATCTAAAATTAACTAGTAAATCCTGTTTTCTCCTTTGTGGGACAGGCTCATAGTGAATGAGTTAATAATAATAAATAAAATATTACAGTCTTAGAAAGAGTGAGCTGTAACCCTTTATAGTAATCAAATAATAGTTTTACCGTGATGGACAAGCGTAGGATAGTATAATACTCGTGTAACTCTCTTAGAGCAGTATCAGGTTTGGATCAACAGTGAAGAACACTTAACAAAGTTGTATGATGTTTATTATCATTATCATTGAAGTCATGTTTTCGATATTATAAACATGTGATGAGCAATCAAAGAGTCAATCAGAGAATTCCTTTTGGCTCTGTGGCTCGTTTCGAGTAGGGAACGTTAATACGCTCCCGGTCGGTTCTTTATTTCTCCCCTCACATGGCTGCAGTGCAGTATACAATACGTACAGTTACTCTCGCCTAATAACCTAATAATAATTATTGTTAAATAAAAACGAACGGAAAAAACAGGGGGAAAAACGAGGAACCGAAACGATGGGTCGGTGAGGGGAAGGAAAAGGAGATGGATTTACTATAATATTGTATTGTAGTTATAGATTATATATAGACAGGTGTGTGCGACCTATAGTGAGTTGTCCAATTATATTGTCTAGAATCAACCGACGACGACAATGACGACAATCTCGATCAGACCGTTGTCGTCATAGAAGTTAATACAATATTATATAGCTCATATTGCTAATGAGTGTACCATTTTTGTTAGTGGAAAGTCGGGAAGGTAGGTTAATTTACATCTATACGCAATGATAAATCGATGCTAATAAAAAATGATTATTTATTTATGTTTTTGAGTAAAATTCGGTTAAATACGCAATAAAATTGTATGATTTTAACGTGTATAAAAACAATTTTACTACGGGTTTTCGATATTTTTGTATAATCATATAATATTATTATAAGAACAACTTGTTGAACTTTGTATCAAACTTTTAAGCATTTTTGAGAGGCCAAACAAATTATGTTGTCATATGAATTTAAAAACTTGGAGACAAGACTTCCAAAATGTTTTTCTCACACCTCTATTTATGCATAAAAATACATATAACATTTTTGCATGTACATTTATAGGGTTTAAAATCAAATAGTATCCTTTTTCTTAACAATACTGTACACTACAATTGTTAGTATTTCTTCCAAAAAATGGTGAAATTTGAACTTATAAATGGTAGTATTTTTCTGTAAATTACGTGATTCAAATATACCTCCTTCGCGCTACCATTAGTTGGGGGGGGGGTTAAGTGAAATTAACCTTAAGATCGTTACCTAATAATAACCATTACAAATTAATGTACCTATACCTATAATTATTATCTATAAATTATTATATAGAAATATTATGAATAATTACTATTAAACCGGAAATTAATTTTTTATAACACTTTATACAATAAGTACAGAGAGTTTTCTAGAAGTCCAGTGCCGTCCATCGGGACTAGGTCGTTTCGCCGATAAGTCCGGCTCACGTGAATAATATGTCGACAAGATAAACAATAATAATACTCTTATTATTAATAATAATGATAACTAATATCGTAAAATTGACGAGTATTATCAATCGTTTTACATGAGCAATGATTGCAGGTTTTCTTTCTTTTATTTACAGAGGCACGTGCCAGCGATAATGAAACGGTCAGTTGAACTATGAGCCAGGGAATAAAAACGTGTAGGTAGATAAATTTCGTTTTTTTTTTTGTTTTGATTTTTTTAACGTTTTAAATTCTTTTCGTGTATGGTACACGGAAAATTGACTTGCCTCTTTATACTGTGATTTTTAGACGTTTTGTAAATCATGTTATAATTTGTCTTTAATTTTGATAATAAACGATATAACTCTTAATTGTTTTCATTAATTAAATTAAATATCATTACAAAATTCACTTTCTATTTTACTTATCTTTATACTTTTATATTTTAATGCTTTTAACTACATTCTGTAAATTGTAATATCAATTTCAGTTTATAAAGTACGTTGGAAGGAGGAGAGGCACGGATTTTCAGTTTATCGCGCAAATAACTTTTATGTTTTACATACGTACATGAAATAAGGGAGTAAAAACGTACAAGAAAATTTCGCTTTTCGTGTATGAAAACCTTTTTATTTTTTTTCGTGTCTGAAAACGTTTGCGATTGTATTTTCAGTTTTTTTCGAATTTTTTCCCTGTTATGAATATATTGTTATTACCTATTGGCCATAAAACGTCGTTACGAACGTATTAATTTGATGAGTACTCATTGTAAGCTTTAGCAAAGGTGGCTGATCAGGATATGACATCCGGAGGGAGAGGCTGCAAGATAAAAAAAAAATAATAACCTTATTCCTTTACATAGAAACAGTGGGGATTCAGTGATAATCGGAACATTCGACTTTTTCTGTACAATTATAATTATTAATAACTACAATGTTGATATGTTATGGGTACTATGTTACGATTATTTCTTTATTTGTTTTTTTTATAGTTTGGTCCCTACTATAGATTACTTACAACTATACTTGGCCTAGTTTATTACTAAAATACAATGATAAAACAAAATATTCGATTTGAAGCAACTTTTTTGGTATAGCCATATAGAGTACTAAATAAATGTTAGAGGTAATAAATAAAATGGCTAAAATCTCGGTACACTGCACGGGCCGCAATAACAAAACAAAAATTATAAAGGTTCGTGAATAAAACGGTAAACAAAAAAAAAAAAACACGGCCTTCATCGCTCCACTAGCCTTATCATAGATCACAATTCATAATATTATTATATAGATAAATCAAGAAATAAAAAAAGAAAGAAAACGGTGCATTTTTCAAATATTTATTTTTAGGTTGGTGTTATGATATGATTTTTTAATTAATACGCACTCATCGTAAAACAGTATAATCAACCTATACCTACTTACCTATCAATGAATCGAACAGAAGCGATAAGCGCGTGGTAATAATCGTATAGAAACATTAATATAATAACACGTCTATATGGTAATAACACTCAGATAATAAATACTATTATATTACACTGACACGGACTAAAAAATGATTCAGATAAGTCTGTGCAGCGAGTGGAGAGAACTCTCATTATGAAATATATTATATCGAGTAGGTACATATCGTACATCAGTCGTTTCGTACACCGAAACGTGATAATATTATTCATTACATGTTTTAAAAAGCAATTTTTTTTAGTTTTGTTAATATATTTATATTTTTGTGGAAATAAAAAAGCACGCCCTAAACTCAGCCGTCGCGGGTGATGTTTTCGTACGTTGTTTGACACGTCGTCGTCGATGATAACGGACGTTATGTTTTTGCTATTATTATAATTTTCATTATAAAAAATATACTGCCTATCATATTGTAAAAATATATTTACATTTATCTATTATAAATCGGTGAGTAACACATTTATACATTATAACCCAAATAGATCTAAAAAAAAATATATATATAAAACATAGGCTTCTACTTTTTAGTCGTACTAGACTGTTTACCTAGCCTTGATGGTATATGCAGTATGTGACCGTCGTCAAGACCGAAACGAGTCCCGTACACCGTTTTTGGCACGATGATTTCGCCTCTTTGGATTGTGTTTTCATTTCGTCCGATCGCTAAAAAGTTATTGGTAAAATTAAGAACGACGATTTTGTGCGCAAATTACCTGCACATTATATAGGTACCTATGAGTTATATATGTTAAATAGTTAGTAGCTTGCCAGGAATTTTCAGTGAGAGGTGATGTAGTAAATAATTATAATTGAGTAATTGTAGAATCTTTTTTTATAACCAACCCGACAGTGAGAATTTAAAAGCTAGATTCAAAAAATTTATTTTTATTCGTTGAACCAATTTTTTCTTCGTAACTAGGCTGAAATGTATATATTTCAAGATTAAACAACTAAATATTAATACTTGTTTAAGCCATTGAAGGGGAGGGTATAACTTCTAACCTCCCTTTCCTTGCGCACATCACTGTAGACAGCCTTCAAAGAATAATAATATTGTACTTATATGTTTAAAAGTTGGTACCAAGAATCATTAGCGTAATTATGGAGGTAGAGAGGCTAAGCCTCCATATCACTCGGAGTCCCCTTAATCGGGCGGTAGAACCCCGTTAATCTCATTTGTTCATTATTATCGCGGAATTCAAGATTCATGAGCTAACTACGCTACTACCAATAATGCTGTCGATTTAAAACCGAAAATAATACGCTCAAGTACCTAAAATATAAAGCTATAGATACCGATATAATTTTCGAAAAATATTAATAATTATTAACTGTAAGTAGTGATAATTTATTCTTTCTATCACGCAACAAAACGTCCTACGAACAAAATCTGTTTATTTTTCATATTTTTATTTTATATTTTAACGTTTGTTTTAAATTTAATTATTTTGACTTTAAAAGGAGTAACAGCTTACTGTATTTTAATATACAATCGTATTGTAAAACATATTCCCTTAATTAGAGAAGTAAGAATACTTGTAAAATAATATCTAAGAATCATATAATATTGTATAAAATATAAAAATAGGAAAATAAGCAATATTAATAATCAATACTAATATTTAAAAATTATTTGAAATAAGTATTAAATAAAAAATAATAAAAATTGTGTAGTTTTGTAAATATTTAAAATAAACGAAAAATATAACTAAATTTCTGTTTTATTTTAAAAAAAGAGGCAAAATTCATGGTTGTTTATGTGGCGTTTTGCTGTGTGAAAGAAGGAGCAAATTATTACTACTACTATGTTTATGCATTTTATTTTCCGTACTTGAACACCTCTGTAGTTATAGTTGGTCAGCCATCGGTACAAATGAACCATTACTGCAGAAAACATGATTAAATCTATAAAAATTATAAATTTATAATTGATGCAATTTTTGGGGATTAATTTTTCATCAATATTAATTTATGCCTGTTCAGATAATAATTTGTTTTTTCAATTTTACCGTTCTTCACTAGTCGGTTGTAATATCACTTTAAAATCAGTAATTTTAATTATAAGTTTCATCGTGTTTGTGTAAAATTTATCTAGATACTACATAGAAAGTTTTCGTAAATAAATATTTACCCTCCTTTCAATCCGGCTCATAAATATTGGCTGCAGTGACACGTGTATTTCATATGTTTTCAAGTCTACACTTTTCAAACATCTCGTCCCATGAAGAAATATATCTGTCGGACTCTCGGCCCTCGGGATCCAGCAACAATTGCTGCATGGATATCTTCGATATTTTGCTAACAGGTTTTGGTTGTATGTTGTTTGATAGACATTTTTTAGAGACTGTCCCGGTTTGTCAATAACTGATGTTGATCTAGTATAATATTAATATATATATTATATGCGTTGATTATATAAAAACCATATATTTATAGTTAGGTATATAAGATCAAACGAATTATGATAAATACAAATACAATAAACATGTGCATTTTTGTAAACAATTAGCTATAAACTGATAACCGTATTGATTTAAGTGGGTAATGATTACCTACGCTAATAAACACATAATTAAATTTGAAAACAAGAATATTATATAAAGATTAAAGAGAGTCTACAGTGATAGTTCGAGTTCGAGGTTTCAATATGGATTGCATATAGGTAATCTGAATGTATAGAATTATTATAAAGTCTATATTTTGTATAAAACATTTTACGTTTTCAAATATTATATATCAATATAAAATATATTGAATGGTGGGAAAATTAATGTCATATAACGTTTACTATAAACATTGTTAATTTTTCATTTTATGTTGATTTAAAAAAAATAAATACATAGTCAATGTTAATCCTGGATCATTAATTTGTTTTTTTTTAAATGTTGAAAGTAATAGGTAAAACTCGAGATAATTTATTAATATACCAGTATCATAAAAATTAAATTTACAATTAAAAATAAATTATTACAAATTAATGAAATTGATAGGAGTCAAATTAATCGGGACAGTTTTACGACATTTGAACTTAAAATGTATCTAAAAATAAATTATGACATAACGCTCAACTTCTTGTTTTACCACTAAGACTACTTACGATGAACTTCGTTTCAAATTGTTTAGCATTTATATGAACCAATGCAATTTTATTAATATAAAACCAAATAAGTATTAGATAATTTTAAACAGTTATAAATGGCTTCAAAAATACTAGATTATTTTGAAAATTTTAATATAGATAGGTATTTACTGAAAAAATTTAGATCTATCCAAATATTTTCTCCCAAATTACAACAAAAAATACAAAATCGATAGCAAAAGATGTAAGATTTGGTCTTTTTATTTGATGTTTTTTACTGGTATTTCCCCATTATTAAGTAAAGTACAAGAAAGAAAAAATAACCACCTAAACGATCTTAAACGAAATTTGTTATTTAGAAACTACCATTAAAGTTGATGATTGGATCAAGTTTCCTGATCGAAAACTCTTAAAAATACATGTTATAAAAGTACAAATTTATAAGTATAAGCACTGAAACACCGGCTCTCAACTAGGGAAGCGGTCCCATGTCTTCTGGGATAGTAGACTATGTGGCCTGTATGTCGTCGAGTGCAATGATTATCGTTTTATTGGAAATAAGTTTTTATTATTGAATGGTTTATATTATTTTGTTGAACATAAACGCGGCTAATGAGGGAGGGCTGAGCCTCCTTAGCTGTCTCCCGGACACCACTGCGTTGTATATTATAATACATAATACATTTATTTGAACCTTCAATAATTATATATTTCAAAATTAGGTTTTAGATACGCGGACTGAAAAAAAAAAAAAAAAAAAACAATAGTAATATAAAATACGTTTTCAGTGATTTTAAAAAAAAATAAAAACAAATAACCTGAATGCATTTGACAGGTATACCTATACCTCCCGCTGTAAAGTCTAATTATTTGCTTAAGTAGATATCTGTTACACCCTGTATATATTATATAAAACAAATATAATATGACGTCGATATAATAATAATATGTATGTATTGTAAGGGTTTTGAAATAATTTTTCTCTCGTGTGGGTAACAATAGAAGGGCTGCGATCTCTGTTTCAGACAAAAAAAGAAAAAGGGGTGGACATATTAATTTCCTCCAGGGCAAGTTAAAAACTTATTTTATATTTGAAAAAAATTAAAAAAAAAAAAAGAAATTATTTCGCCTCAATTTCAAGTATCATTTACACGAAACAATATATAACATAAATAAATTATATTCTATTATTTTGTAACGTTTCAGAAATTCAGAGAAGGATTGAAAATGAAGCCGAAAAAACGACACTGTTCACGGTATGGTCGGCAATATTTGTTTACTAAAAATTCATAATAAAGTTATGTAATATTAGTTCCTTATAATATATTATACGGTCATTCTGTAAATACCGAATAACAAAGTTTTGGCCTTCAAGTACTTTATTCTTAATAAGAAATATTCGGAGATTTTACAAAAAATGTTCACTACTACTTTATCATATTGTATGAAGATTGATATTTATATATATTTTTATACGTACGTGGACTGTTTTTTGAGAGAAGTAATTATTGTTGTAATGATTAATATGGGTAATTGTTTCCTAAAAAAGTAAATAACAATAATAAAAAAATGATATTACTATTTATAGTGACTAACCATCTCCCCCTTTGGATTTAGTTGTTCAGTAATATTTTTTATCGTATTACATGATATACATCATAATTGATAATTTTAATCTTCAATAAAGTAATATTTTTTTTTACAGTTAAAAAAAATGTACCTATCTAAACAACCTTTTTTACCATTGCTATTCTTACTCTTAAATTTTTTAAAATTTTTTTACACACGAAAAAAATGTTCGAAAAATCAAATTTGTATAATATTATATTTTCAAATCGAAAGTCAAATGCGTTTTATTAAACAAAGAAAACAAACACAATTATGATAAATATATGTATGCATATAAAATAATTTGAAAATATATTACGAGAATGTTAAAAGTTCACCAAGTTAAAACGAAAAGGATATGGTAAGACGTTCAGTACCTACCTATACATATCTTATACCCATACATACGTAATTTAATTAAAACCGATTGTTAATTAATTGTTTTATAAAAGGGTTTTTTTTTTCAACGATATTTGTTAAGATAACATAATATTGAACTTATAGGATACTATACGGAAAAATCTTCTAAGACAACAAACAAAGTGAATAAAATATATAAATAATATTATGTGCGTGATTAATCAAATAATATTCGATATATTTTTTTATTTATTTGATGTATATTATACTTCAATAATTATTCATAAAACGTTTATCATAATCGTAATATTTCTATACGGGGCTATATAAAATGTATATATTCTCATATAATATGACTGTTTTAATGCATCACGTTGATTAGGATCTACACAATATATTATTCAAATTTGTTCTTCATTTTTTCCCCTTATTGATTTCGGATGCATATTATATACACTGTATACAGACTGCAGGTAATCGGAATCGTGCAAACAAACGACATGACGTAAACATTCGTGCTCGGCCAATGGTACGGCTCGATCACGTTGCGCAAAACCACCCCCTTAAATATCTCGCAGAAGAGATTCATATGACTAACTATATTGGATCCGACACAAACTACAGGTGTCAGTTGTACATTGCAGTTTTCCCAACACCACAACTTCCGATAAAACTTGTGCGATCGTTGTAAAAACTAAAAGGACATTATTGTACTGCAATATGGCTAGAAATTCGGATTTCGCTTCCTATTGTAATGATCTGTTAGGCGGCTCCAACGATTTGATAAACTTCAATAATTCGACTCACGGCTCCATGGAGCCACTTGTCTATTATGACTTACAACCCCTATCCGAACCCGTTAAGGAGTGTGTATATAGTTAAATAATAATATTCCTCAAAAAACCGACTGTGTAAAGAACAATAATAAAATAATAAAAAATAATGTAAACGATTCTAGGAGCTCGTTGTGCAATATGCAAAGCAGTAGTCGGCTGTCCGCGTCTACAACAGAGTTAAATATGGATGTGATTGGTGACGAACATTTGAAAAACAAAAGAAAAGGATCCGCGCAGTGAGTATTGATAAATTATAGTAATATGAATACATACTTATACCTCATCTCTATCTGTCTAATTGGAAACATTTATATAATTTTAAAACTGTTAAATTCGTATTTTTATTAAAAATCACATTGCACATATCGAGTACAATATTTCTATCCATTAGTTTTTTACGTATGCTACCATAAACTTATGTGCAATTTTTACAATCGATTATTATAACTGATAAATAAGAAGTATAACTACTAAATAATAATATATTTAAGCTAGAATATTTCGTGATAATATGTACAAGTATTTTATAGAAATATCATTAAATAGTCTATGGAAAATATCATCATTTTTTTTATACAATTTTTTTTTCATTCGGTTTTTGTGAAAGGGGGACACAAATGTAAATAAAAATACAATTTTTATTTTTATCTTTTAATTACTGAAAAAAGAACTTTTTATTCTTTCACTTTTTAAAACTATCAAAGTATCTATATATTCGGTAAAATATATAAATATTAACAATGTATTAATTAACAATTAATTTTCAATAGAATAATATGCTTCGCGATAAGGAATAGCAATTATTACGGTAATTCCTTATCTTCTATCGAATATTAACTGTTTTCACGCCTAATTTCTATACACTGAAGCCGCTAAAACTAAGAAATTATTAATCGGATATGAATATATTATATATCACAATTTTTAGACTAATATATTTTACCAAATGGATATTTTGAAAATTGTATAAAGTGGAAAAACAAAAAGTCGTTTTTTTCAGTAATTAAGGGATGCAAATTAAAAATTGTATTTTTATCTAAATATGTGTCCCCCTTTCATAAAATCTGATTGAAATAAAAAATGAATATTGATAGATTTATTAGCCGACGGATAACACTGTAGAACACAGATCAAGGTTTAATCTTAAAATGTATGTAAAAAAAATACTATAATAATAACGCCTGTCATTTTTTTTTTGGCTACTAAGTACAGTTTATAGTGAATATCATGTTAAATTTTTAAGCATTTTTTTTTGTTCAACATAATACATAGTATACCTATAACGAATAAAAATCCAAAAATATCAAATGCTAACAAATAATATTTCAAAAATTAACAGAAAGGTTTAAAAATTTACCATATCTAGATGGACTATTTAAGTTATCTCTTAAAATTACAGGTTTACGAATATTTTTAAATAAATTACAATAAAAAACAAAACTAAAAATTATGCCCATTATTTCCCGTTTTTCTTACCCTTTTCCCGGTTTTGCCAAATTATTACGAAAATTATAGGAAAAATTAAAAAAATAACTTATTTATTCACCAACTAATCAAAATGGCCTGGCAGAAAGGATATTACTTTTGAAATTTGGAGCAAAATTGTCTGACAGAAAAGATATTATTTTTGAAATTTGGAGTAAAATGTCTGGTAGAACATAAAAATCGAGCATTTTTAAAATAAAGAAGTCGTTGCTGCGGTTCCGTAAATATTTGTCCGTTTTTCCTTTAAGTTTTTTAGATTTTTTGATTATTTTGAAAACCATTTGAAAAATAAAAAAATTTATTCTTAATGCACCAACTGGATCTAAAATACGAAAAAAATGTTTCTTGTTAATTTTTGGTTAGAGTAAGCCGTTTGGTAGAAGAGTTGTTCACAGACAGAAAAAAAAATATAATCACACATTATAATAAAACCAACAGTGATGTACCTAATTACGGAGGTTAACATTCGTACACTTACACCCCCTGTGATTATATAATCGGTACAAAGATATGCGTTTGCACCTGCTAAGAAGAACTTCAGCCTTATTTAAAAAAAAAAAAAAAGAAAAAGGTCTAATTTGTGACCTACCGCTAAACTTGACACACCATGCAATTTTGTTCAGAATAGTACGTAATCCACCTTGAAACTTAATCTATTAATACAGCATTCCACAATAAACATACACCAATTATCATGTATCTAGAAAAAATTAAAAAAAAATGAAAATTTGATAAATTTTAAGCAAACCTTTAGATTTTGGACTATTTTCGGTACCTATAACCTATTTGATAATATTTATCACATTTAAATAAAAAAAAAAGACCGTCGGTCATACTTCGTTTAAAGGGTGTGCCACTGTTGTAGTTGAAAAGTTGAGAAGGTAGGATATAGAATGTAATTTAATGTAAATCTGTACAATTAATCATTGCTAATAAAAAACGATTCGTAGTGGAGTTTGGTTATATATGTTTTGAAAGGCCGTTGTTTTTACGAAAATCGTAAAAATTTGATATTAAAATGTTTATAAAAAAAAACACTACATTAAACTGAAGATTTTTTCGACTTAAGGTACGACTTATAATGAACCTGTCAAATTGTCAAGCATTTCAGTTAAGTCTAAAAATTTTATCTATAGAGTACACATTGAATTTAAATTACGTACAAAATTCACAAAATTAAAATGTATATAAATAGCTCAAAAATAACCATAATGTTTTGAAAGTTTTACCATGTCTCGAAAAGGCAAATATAAGTTTTCTGTTGAAATTTCAAGTCTCTACCAATATTTTAAACCGAATCAAAATAAAAAACAAAATTGAAAATAATAATAAACATAATTTTAAAACCAATTATACATTCCTCGCTTCGCTCAGAATCTAAAATATGATAATTGCATTGTACAAAATGAGTACTCTAACTAAATATTCCGATAAAAATTAATTAAATATAAATTGTTTTTAAATATTATAGAATAAATCGCATATATTACGTATGTTAGAACTGTATCATTGTTATTTTATAATTGTATACATAATTACATAATTCCATCGTATCCATCTTATCGTTAATTATTAACTACAAAATTTATCATGTAAATAATATATTTGATAGTGAGTTGAGTTGTATTGTTTATGTGGTTAAGTGATTATTGAAGAAATTAATATTGTTTTTAACTCAACTTTAGATTCTGAGTGGAGCGAAGAAGCTTATAGTTTTACAAAGAGCTTTTTTTTTTTTTAATCTGTGCGCAACTGTTGTACCAAAATACTTGCTCGGATTTCTACATGTAGCACCTTTTCTGAAAGTTCGTTTTTCCATTTTCCCGATAATTTTCTAAACAAATGTGAAAAATGGAAAAAAATGGAAAAATGTACGAAATTTTTTACTAAAACATCACGATTTTTTTTTCCTGTGCACAAATTTTCTACTAGACATTTTTTACCAACTTTTAATGATAGCGATGTTTCTAAAAGGAAACTTCACCAGCAAGGTACTTTGAAGAGGTCATTTTTCGATTTTTTTAAGAGTTTTCCCAGAAAATTTGAAAAACAGGGATAAAACATGGGAAAATCGGGAAAACGTAGGAAAAATGGGAAAATCAGTACAACATGAAGAAAATATTATTAAAGAAAATATATGAAGCCTATTTAACTATTTCAGTATAAAATGAAATATATATAAATTGTTGACTAATCACTATCAACTGAACTCCGTTCAGAATCGTTTTTTCGTAAGCAATGGTTTATTGTTGCTTACAAGTATACATTAAATTATCTATAATAGTGGCTGCACTCGTTCCTAATATTTTAGGACGTTTTTTTTTATTGTACATTTTATATTATAATTTATAACCAGTGCTCGAATTGGTGGAAGGAGGGTATAGGGAGACTTTGAAATTCAATTCATTTTACAGAAATTTTAAAGTACCTCAGACCTTTACTATTTTTTTCAAGAGGAACCTATAGGACGGTACCTACATATTTTTGCATTTTTAATAAAATTTGACCTTTATCGATTACTAAAAAAATTATTACTACATTATATATAACATTTTTTTGTTTTTTAAAAGCTGCAGCTTATGATAAACTTTGTTATATTTTCGAACATTTTCGTTGGGCCAAAATAATTTTAATCACATAGAATCATAGACGGAAATTAGTTGGTATTATAACTGCAACAACAAAAAATAATAGTTACAGAAAAATAGTTATTTCTGTGTACATTTTCCAGTTTCTTCGATTTTTTTCTCTCAATTGTTAAGAGAAATCAAAAAATGATTGTTCATTATATCAACTAGACATAATTTACTACTAGAAATCACCCTTTAAATTAATGACCGGAGTCCGATTTCTGGTAGAAATACATTGTTACACTCAAAATTAAAAAAAGATCAAATTATATGAGTTTAAACTGTAAATATTGTCTATTATGATATTTAAAGGTGATAACAGAAATATATAAATATTTAATAATAATATGTCACGCAAAAGGAAATTTTTAATTAATAAATAATTAAAATTAAATTAAATTAAATTAAATCAAATTAAATCAGTTGAATATAGATATGTACTCTGAAAGTCATCATTCATCAAGCATTATAGTAATTTTTAATTTGCGTGTTTAGAACTATGTATAAAACTTCCGATTTGTGTGTGTTTTTATTTTATTTGAAATTCAGAAAATTTATTTTAATTTAATAACTATAGTTTAATATAATTTTACATATATTTATTTTTATCTAGAGGTAGTGATTTTGAAGACGACAATAATGAGGAATCGAAATCTGCTCGAAACGACGATAACAAAAAGTAAGATGAGTTTTGTTATGATATTCATATTAGATGTTAATTGATAATAATTGTTTTCGATAAATTTGATCAACTATATTTTAAACACGAACTCGTAGATAACTAAAATAAAAAAAATAAAAAATAAGAAGCGATAACATTCATTTTGTGTCAATTTATTGTATTTCGTGGTACAGGGTGTTCTCGTATAATGATTCGTTCTTTGATACCTATTTTTACTTCTGTACATTTTATAGACATAATCACAGTGAAATAGAGAAACGCAGACGAGATAAAATGAACACTTACATCACCGAATTAGCTAGCATGATACCTATGTGTCACAACATGTCACGGAAGTTGGATAAATTAACAGTGCTTAGAATGGCTGTGCAACACATGAAATCAATACGAGGCACCGTCAATTCGTATACCGAAGGCCATTATAAGCCTCCGTTTTTATCCGATCAAGATTTAAATAAATTGATCACACAAGTAAATTATTTTTCCTTAAAGACCACGATTGAAGCAATGTCTTAATAAAAGTTTCATTACCATATTTTAGGCCGCAGAAGGTTTTGTGTTCGCGGTGAGTTGCGACCACGGTAAAATATTGTATATATCTAAATCTGTAACTCAAGTTCTTAATTATTTACCGGTGAGTATGAAAAATGTTGAACAGTTTAAAACATTCATTATACGTGCTTATTTTACTGATTTTAAATGTAAGTTAAATTATAATATAATATAGGAAGATTTGATTGGAAATAGTGTGTTCGATTATATTCATCCTAAGGACGTGGCTAAAGTAAAAGAACAACTTTCTTGTTCGGACTTTGGTTCCAGAGACAGATATATTGATGCAAAAAGTAAATTTTAGAATTCTTTTATTTATATGAATTTTAGGTTAACATGCAAGTAAAATATTATAATACAATATTTGTTTTTTTGCAACAGCGATGTTACCGGTTTGTGAAGATATGATAAATACATTACCGAAAATGTGTAGTGGAGCTAGGAGATCATTCTTTTGTCGAATGAAGTGTAAAATATATAGTGTAAAAGAAGAAGCAGACACAACTACCGGTTCCAAGTATACACAATCAGGTAATTTTAACTTGATTTCCGAACACACGATCAAGGATAAAATACGTATGTGGTATATTATAGTTTATTAGCTATTCGATTTATTTTCATTGTATACCAATATTTTGGCCACCTTTACGTGCTTGTTAATATTCGTGTTCATACAAATTCACATTATCCTATCCATAATATTATATGAATCAGTAGGTATTGTAATAATATGTTTATTAAATAACCAATGGAGTTATTTTGAATAGATTCGTCGTCAGTCGAAAGTAAATCAAGTTTTAAAAGCTCAGACATGAATGGTTCTTCTAAAAAAAATAGAGGTAAACACTGGCACATATATTTATATTATTAACTAGATGGGGGGGGGGGTCTATAATAATTGCTGTTTACGTACTTGATATACGTATATATTAGATATTTTACTTTGTGTACATTCAACAGTATTTATTTGTACGTTTTTAGATAAACGTTATAGTGTGATCCAGTGTACCGGTTACTTAAAGCCATGGGTCCAGATGAACGATTGCGACGATTTATCTGGAAAGAATTTGGAACAAGGAGATAATAATGATGGCATAGGAGCGGATTCCGATTCACCGACTAATATATCCTGTTTGGTAGCTGTCGGCAGAATTATTAACAACTCGGCTTCTAGCTCACTTCAATCAGACATAGTCAAACCGCCGTGTTTTACTTCCAAACATACGATTGATGGAAAATTTCTGTCTGTAGATCAAAGGTAATAATAGTTTATAATTTAATTTATTTAATTTATAATAATATAAATATTATAGTATTTGTATATGATACAGAGCATAGTAATATTATTTTATGATTATATTATGTTATGTCCCTTTAACATGTCTTGATTCTGTTTCAGAGTCACATACATAGTCGGTTTTTTACCTCAAGAACTTTTAGGCACCAGTATGTACGAATATTTTCACCAAGACGATATTTCTAGACTTGTGGACATTCATAAAGCTACGCTTCAAGAATGTAAGCCGAAAGATACTGAGGTAAATTTCTCGTAAAAATAAAAGTCCATTTTTGTATTTTGGTAATTACTATCAATATTAATTATTGTTTTATTTAGACTTATAAGTTTCGGGCTAAAGATAAAACGTACGTACATTTACGGAGCGAATGGAAAAGTTTTCGAAATCCTTGGACTAAAGACATCGAGTTCATCGTCGCGAAAAATATCTTAACCAGGTAAGACTGTTAAATATTATTTTAGTATTCTCTGACTTAATCTCGCAATTCTAAGGTCGGATTCCAAACCTGATAGCAGCAACAAATCGGAATGTTCTTCGCAAAATCAATCACAAAACCACCACGATGTTGTTATGGAACAAGCATTTTCTAGAAGGAACCAACAGTTGGGTAATAAAGAAATGCAAAATTTGATTACTTCACATTTAGAAGCGAGCAAAATCGGCAGACACATAGTCGATACCGTTTTGGACGAAAAGAAAAAAAGTTGCGATACATCCAGTCCATCATTCAATCAACATAGTATAAAAACAGAGGTAATCATCTCCTAGTTTTTATTTTAATAAAAACAAATATTTTTGGAAAATTATTATGAAGTCTTTTCAATTTTGATTTCCAATGTATAATTGCATTCGTTTAACAATTTTTTATTAATATAATTATAGATTTTTTTTTTTGAAAATTATTTCGGTACATGTCTAAAACATTGTACATGTCAAATCTAATAGGTACATAGTATTTTAGAAGATTAAGAATAATATTTTAAAATACAAGTTTCACAGTAGGAGGTAAAATTCCACAGAATTACATTGCATTAAGTATCACTGATACTATGTATATGATAAATTATTATACACAGAGTGATCAACATAACGTAAGACACTCAGTATCTCGGAAAGATACTGAGAAATAAAGAGCTCTAAAATGTTACATTGATATTTTTTTTGTCTCATTTATTTTAGGGGGTGAAATCACTTACTACTTTTGATTTACAAATGGCAATAATCATTAAAAGTCCCATTTATAGATACAGTATCAGTTTAAATACATTTTGGTGTTGAAATTTTGTCATGAGAAGATATTCCACTTTTGTAGTATGCGTATAGATATAAATAACAGGGGGGCTTAGGAGGACTTAGTCCTTTCTGAGCTATCTTAAGTCTTTCGTAAGATATTTTAATGTTTTGATAACCTTTATTGTAATAAATTATATAATTTATAATGATAATAGTTATATGTATATGATAATAGAAATAATACCTGAATAGGTAAGTTTTCATTGAATTTCCATTTTAACGTTCCAATTAGTGATGGGTGGAATCGACTAGTTTTGATTTATATATATATAAATTATATTTTGACAATATAAGCCGTGCAAATTTTAAATAATTTTACAACGTGCGCCGTTTTTTCCAGACGTTCAACAACAACCACGAGTTGTCGTGTTTGAGGTCGCCGTTCGAAATGCTCAACGTTCCCGGCACGTCATCATCGCACAACAGTGGCTCGTCGTACGCCACAATGATCCAGGACAACAGCGGTAGCGTGAACGTCAACCAGTTGAGCTCGACTAATACCAATAGTAGCGTCAGTAATAATGATCCGAACAACACGCCGTCGCCACTGATCTATTCCAATACCGGACTCACGATATCCGGTGACTCGGACGACCTTCTCGGCGACATAATGGTACCGTCCTCGCAACAGTTGTCCGGCACTGATCCCAACGATGAGGCCGCCATGGCGGTTATCATGAGCCTTCTAGAAGCGGATGCCGGGCTCGGAGGCCCGGTCGACTTTTCGGGACTTCCGTGGCCACTGCCGTAACTCAAAGCCATCGCTGTCAGTAATGGCTATCCCGTGGTCCGTGTACTGTCGTCTCGATTATGTCAGTTCGAAAAACCGTTCTTAAGATTGTCGTCCTTGCGTGGCCTACACCCTTGCCTAATCAGTAATTATTATATCAGTGCTATCGCAATGGTAATGAGGCTCGAATGTTGTGTCAGCTAATTTAGAAATACATAAAAGTCATTTCAGAACTAAACTAAATGAAAAAAGAACCGAAAAGTTAATAAAAAACAAAGTGACATACCACATTTTATTTTGAACATCTTTTGGCTGTACTATTGATGATTACTGGAAATTAATTAATTATAGAATGGGATATTTAGTTTCAAGTTTTAATAATTTAAAAGTTGTGTTTGCTTAAATTTTAAATTTTAAATTTTTTTAACATGAATTCCTATTGTAAACTACAATTAATAATTGGAACTGAAAAATTTTAAATTATCTTAAATCATTTGATGGGCCACGGAGAAAAACAACCAGAGTCAATATTAGATTAGTATAGAGACCGGTCATTATTCCTAGTTTCCGTTCGGACTGTTAAACTTTTTTTACCGTCATAGATATTTTAAAAGCTCTATTTTGTACTTCGGGCTCTTTTCCTTAACTCGATTCAGTTTATTCAGGAACAACAACCCCAATAAGGTGATGTAACTATTACTTTAATTTTGACCTTTGATTGACTATGATCGTTTTTCCCCGCAGCTATTCTTATTATAATCGATTTTTAGATTTAAATTCGTATACGAACGAGATGTATCAAAATAATATGGAAAATATCCAAGCCTTAGCGATTCGTCCCTTATTAGTCATTAACAATAGGTACTCAACTTATTATAGTTATTTGACTATTTTAGTATTTGCTCGTTCGTTCGTTTTATAATTGTCAAAAGTAAAATATATTAAAAAGGTAAAAAAAAATTGAAATAATTAACATTTAAAGTTAAACTAATGATCGAACTTTAAAAATGTAAATTTTCAAGTGTAATAACTGATAATATTATACTCAATAAATACGTTTTAATATATTTATTTGTTTTTTAACTCAATTAAGTATTCATGGGGATTTCATACTTAATCGAATTTAAAACACGCTTTACTAATTTAAAATGAGATACCTAGATGTTTAAAAAGAAGAAAAGGAAAACAACCAAAAATAATTTTCAAATTAGTTCATATTTTGTTGATACAAATTATTAAGAAAAGTTTTTAAAATTTTAATGGTATATATATATATATATATATATATATAAAGGCTGTCCCACGCAGATATACTCCTTGAATATTTCCAGAGATAAAAAAGATATTCAAATTCTGTTTTTTTTTTTTATATTACTCACAGGGAAGAGGATTACAAATATTTATGTTTGAACTAATATTATTTTTTCATTAACAAATTTAAAAAATAACTTTTTATTTTATTATTTTCGGAAAATTTTAAGATAGCCATTCTGTAAAGATTATTTTTCTAAAAATTTCAATGTATCACACATTTAAAACTGATAATTAGTTTCTAAGTAACAGTCATTTTAAATTCTACTAATCCGTGTGAAAACCGATGTTATCGCGTAACTCGGTTAGGTTATTCCCTAAAGGCTCAGATAATTCAAGACAGTAGAATTTAAAATAGTTGTTAATTAGAAACTATTAATCGTACATAAATATGTGGTACATTAAAATTTTCAAAAAATTAATCTTTACAGAATGGCTATCTTAAAGTTTTCCGAGTATAATAAAATAAAGTTATTTTTTTAATAAAAATAAAATTAATTCATATATAAATATTTGTAGTCCTCTTCCCTGTGAGTAATATAAAAAAAAAAAAAAAAACAGAATATGATTATCTTTATTATCTCTGGAGATATTCAAAGGGTAAATCCTCGTGGGACAGCCTGTATATATATATTTTGGGTGATTAGGTATACACTGAACAAAATTATTATGTTTCATTTGTAATCGGATACCTTTTTTAATTTTTGAGATTTGCTTCCTATCAATCTCGCAGACAGTTAAAATTCCAAAATAGGGTAAAAAAAAAAAAATGGAATTGAAGAAAAATACTTGGATAGCGAGAGGATAGCTTTCATTGCCAAATTCATTATATTTTGTACTTATATCTATACTGTTGTGTTTTATTGGACTTTTTGAATTTTCGTTATTTAACGTATCTATATACCCGTGGTTTTAGTATCATCGTTTACCAATGCTAATGAAATATTACAATATATTGTACAATCGTGTCGTCGATACTATTATCATGATTATTTGTGTTAAAACCTAGTGCGGCTACCCAAACAATGTACTCGTCAATTTGTTACTCGCGGGTATCGTAATTCTGTATATTTATACGCGTAATTATATCCATCTTTAGAAATCGAGTATATAGGGTATCGAGGGTATACGAATACTCGTGTATGCATATTATATAGTATATTTTAAACGCATTTTTGTTTTTAAAGTCGTTGAAACGTATTTAGTCGGATTCTGATTCCCCGGACAAATGTCCGCGGTCGTCTGGACGACGCGTTTTGAAGACCAGTAAACCGCGTGGTGGGGATATGCGACGGCATGGGAATGATATTAAATCCCGGCGGACGGACTCTTTGCGGTTTTACGTATTGAGGTATCGTCCGTGCCGCAGTCATACCCGTCGTTTGATTTCGTTTTCATAGTGTGCTTATATATATACGTATGTAATTATATATATGTAGCGATATTGAGATTAATATTTCTCGTGGCGCCGTCACAAAAAATTAAAAAAAAAAAAAACCATGGAATTTACCGGAGTCGTCGTCGAGTTTATCATTTTGGCCAACACAGGTAAACGAAAAAAAAAAAAAAATAAAAAAATAAGTTTAATATATTAATTTATTGTTAAACTCGCGTCGGCATAATCGTTTAAAATAATATTTATTTTGCGGCCTATAAAACATGGCAACTGGATTTTTGGTTCGACCTTTTTTTTTTTTTTAATCATTTTATTACTTTCATAACGTTAATGTTATCAATTGTATTTTAGATTTTAATGTGTATAGTACAAACTCGTATTTCAATTATTATTGTGTTTTAATGACGTCATTACCCATAATTTTATGTCAATGTTATAACGGTAATATAATGATTTTGTTTTCCGAATTTTAAGAGTAACTTACTCGAGACCAAAGAAAAATGTGTACAATAGCTTATTTTTATAGAAACGCATATGTTATTATAATATTAACTATAATGTAATGATGTGTCGTATCGCGTTAGTTTATCGTAAGAAATCGTATTTATTTATTTTTATATGTATTTTAATATATTATATTGTATTGTGTATATTATGTATTTGGTATATTTATGTTTAAACAGTCTGCAGTTGAAGACACGAATAAAATAATTATATTAATTGTATGCTAAGAAAACTAAAATAAAACTAACAAATATTTGAAGGTAGCATAGTTTAAAATATTATTCTGAAATGTTAACTAAGTTTTTCAATTATAAATTCGAAAAAAATGCTATTTTAAAGTACAATACCGATACTATAGTTGATTATTATTTTTCTGTAATAATTAGCCGTTGCGTCAGTTTTTTGACATGTGGTTATCAGTTGAAATTTGTAAAAAAAAATAATAATAATAAACATACGAATCGTTATAAATCTATAAAGGTAGACAAAAACGAAAATAATCATTAATCTGTACCTACGTTTTAAAAAAGAAACTGCAGTAAGTTTTCATTTCTCTGATATTTCGAATAAAAGTTTATTTTTTCAGTATACATTAAAGCGTAGGTATACCTTCACTGACAGATTAGTAGTGTCAAATGGAAAAAAAAAAGTGACGAAAGGTATATAGTATAATGTAATAAGGTATAATGTAGGTATTCATTCATTTAATAGTTCGAGGCATTATTAATTGTGTAATTTTTCTTATTTTTTTTTTAGCCACCTTTGTGCGTTTATATTTTATAATTGTCCGGAGGATAAAATACAAAATAACGGTTTTTGTGTAGTTTTTATATCAAGTACACTTATTTATAATAGAAATACGAGTTGAGGCGTTTGTTAAAAATTGTGGTATCGAAAAGGAAAACGGCTATAATATGAGTTCTAAACTGTACATAGTCGTACAATTTATTTAAATAAATGGATGCAAAAAATAAAACAAAAATGATGGTCATAATTTACACCAAGAGTGCAGTTGTAGGTGGGAAGTTGAGAAAGTAGTATGTAAAGGACGATTTAATTTATAACAGTACCTAAGCATTGATAAATTATTGCTTACGGAAAACGATCCTGAGCGTAGTTAAACACACATTTCGACAATATTCAATTGAACACTGTGCAAGTTAGTGACCGTGCAGAATAAGCAATTATCCGTCCTTTATCGTCTCAAATTTTTGAGTGTTTTTACAAAGCTCCCCCCCCCAAAAAAAATAGCTTGGGAACAGAATGAAAATCACACCCCGTCCAGAAAGGTCTAATACAAGGCATTCAGTGAAAATATCAGGTCTCTACGGCGATTTTTCACTGAATAACAACGAAAAATCTAAATTTAAAATAACAGAAACCGTCATTAATTGCGTACATTTTTACGGGTTTTTGCAAATTATTAAGAAAACTACGAGGAATGTCAAAAACTAACCGCCATTATTATTGTCCATTATAGAAACCGACCCTGATATTGAAGATCGGAGCCAGATTTCTGGTACGAAGTAAAGTCGTTTGCAGACGTGGTAAAATAAAACCAATGTATATAGTATTTCTCGTCAATACGCTCGGAATCTTTAAATCGATATTCGGACCTCGAAATTATAAACACGTCGAGTGTATACCTGATATACGTATAGGGATTAATTAAAAATCTAATAGCATAATAATAATACGAATATGAGTGTCTCCGAAATTTTTACGCAATTAAGCGGTTAAACATTAAGTAAAATATTAAATCACGTGGTCCACTGGACGGCGGTGCTCACGAACACCACCCACACGTCTAACGTGTAATAAATAATACAAAAAAAAAAACAACATATCAATATTAATATTAATACCAACATTAATATAGGTATTACACGCATAAATTGGGTACTGAAAAAAAAAAAATTAAAAATATTTCTAATTTTTCGAAGCGTATGATTTTTTCTCTCGTATTATTCATCGTTCATCGTTGAAAATCGTGAATCCGTACAACGACGACGGCGACAACGACAACATCCTATTGCATTACATTCTGTTATACCTACGTCGCCGTTGCCGCTCAACTACCTATTAAATGGCATACGCGCGTGTATCATACGAAACTGCGAAAGGAGTCTCGGTCGTTGGGTCTCGATACTTATTATATTATTATTATTATTATTATTATTATTGATATTATACCGACACGCACAGTGTTATGCTTTGTGTTCTAAAAAAAAAAAAAAATCTACAATATTTAATACATTACGATAGTGAAACATTTTTTTACGTCGAGAAATCCTACCCATACGTAATAACGTATAACGCAGTCGAGTCGGTGAGCTCCGGTTCTGGGTTGTTCGTTATTTTCGCTCAAACGCCGACACCAAACTGATTATACACCGTATAAATATTACAGTAGTGATCAATCCTCGATTAAGACACTCATTATCTCGAAAAGTATGTGCTTTTTTTCGGGTTTTTTTTTTAGAAAATATATGAAATAAGTAGCTCTAAGTGTCAAATTATCGTTATTTTTTGCGACGCTTATTTTTGGGGGCCACTACTCGCATTTGATTTTCAAATAGCCACCTATTTTGAAAATTCCACAAACAGATGAAGTTTTAGTTTAAATATATTTTGATGCGGACATTTTCGATTTCCGTCAAACCATGCATGTAAAAGGATTTTTGTTTTCATACTAGTTGTACCAGTGTTTAAACAAATATATCCGATTATTTTTAGTGTGTCCAATATAGTAATCCAAGACGGAAGAAACCTTTGAGATGTCTGTGGCCGAATAGGAGAAAATCGCGTATGAGAATTGATGTGAAATGTGGGATACCGGGAACCAATCGGTGTGATTTGACGATGTATAGGACGAAATGGCAGGAATTATGTTTGACTGTATATTTTCAAAATATTCTGGCAATTTTGAGCCATTTGAAATATAGTTTTTATTTGGATAATATTTTTATTTTGGTCCATTAGAAACACTAGAAAATTTAATACGCGAGGTTCATGATCAATTGTACTTAAGGATTAGAAAAATAAAGTTGAACTAAATTAAGGTAGTAATTTTTTTTTTTATAAGCGTTTATTAAATTCAAATTTTGATGATAATAGTAAATATTATGCGAAATTCGCGTACTCTACTATTCGATTTATTTGAATGACAATTTTGTGGCCCGTTAAAATTATCGAAAATTCATTATATTAGTTACAGTATACTGTGTGGTAAAAAAAAAAAAAGGTTTCAATCATTGAAATACATTTTTGTTACAAATTAGTACAATTTTCAATTTTTTGTTTAATGTTTTCATTTTGATTTCGTCGGATGCAGTCGTCGGATTCGTCTCATCTAGACAGCCACCGCCGCCGCAGGCCGATTGTGGACCCCGTTCACGACCGGACAACGGACAGGCGGTCTTCACGGCGTCCAGGAACTGGAGCAGGGCAGTGGAAGTGTATCAGTGCGATGCCGGGTACACACTAGAGGGTGAAACGAAACACACATGCGTCCAGGGACAATGGTCCGGCGAAGTTCCGTCGTGCCGTCGGAACACTGGCGCCGGTAAGTGGATCGTCACCGAGTCAGTGTCGTAACTGTGTATTAGTATGTTGCGCTTTTTATAAAACCTTCAGATTCTTCGGGAATTGTATGTAAATAGTGCGATCCATGTATAAATTGAATGACGTCCGTGAAATAGGGTGCAAATCATATTGTATAACTTTTCAGGAGACCGAAAAACTGAATATTTTACTATAGGTTTGTATAGACTATGGTATTAAACACACACGGTCCCTAATTATATTATAATAGGAGGAGATAGACAAATTTCAGTATCACCAAAATCTATTCGATCCCTGAGTTTCCTACAAAATTGTCGTGTAATGTAAAATTTGACAAAATGTGACTTATACTTTTTTTTACGAACATCGTCCAATTATATTAAGAGGGCTGTTCAAGATTTTTTTCCCGTAAACTCATTTTAACCGCGTCCTACCGACGGTAAAACAATAATATTAAAAACAAACAGTTATACTTCGCACGATAGGTGGACCACTGCTGTAAGTGGGAAGTTGGGAAAGTAGAGGGGAAATTTAATGTATAGATATCTGTACGAAACGATTAATCATTGTTAATGAAAAACGATTCCGAGCGGAGTTTGGTTATCATGTTTTGAAAGGTCGTAATATTTACATTTCGTATTTTTTCCATTTATAATGAATATTTCTAGGAAAATCAAAAAATGAACTTACAATACCACTCTGGTTAGGTTATTGTTCAGAAAAAGCGCTACATTTGAAAACCAGAGCAAAATTTCTGGTAGAAAAGTCGTTCACAGAAAAAATATAAATAAAAATAAATATCACTTGCTTCGCTCAGAATTTAAAATAACCTTCACAAATAGTATAACATAAAAGAAATAAAAAAGAACATCCATGAGCAGCAAAACTCAGTCACTTGAGTATAGTTCTCCCCTTCTCCGTACGTTTTGTATTATAGAAATATTCTTGGTAAAAGTTTTAATTAACCGAATATACTTACTGTAGTAATATAAAATATATACATAAAAAAAAATATATTAATTGAAGTTTAAGAATGGTAAGGGAAGGTGATGAAAGTTGAAACCCCAAGAATGCATAGCCTTGATGCTAACGGTATGCTTATATAAAATGTCTTCCCGCTGGTTTCATTTGGGAGAGTGTGTAGGCCCGTTGGGAGGTTTGAAATTAAAACAAAAACGACTTTCTTCCGAAATAACATCGCGAAGAAATTCATATTGAAATTCATCTCGACTTTTATCATTTATAAACTGCTATAAAACATATCAAATTCCGGATTTCTATGATTTTCTATGTTAGTTTTATAGTTTAGATGTCAAATATTAGAACACACATCAGAAAGTAAAAAAAAAAAATGAAATTCTATATAGAGATCGTAACTATAATATTTATGGTACTAGTAGGGATATATTACTTAGTTATAAAAAAAAACCAGGATAATAATATTATACCTACGGTTATATTAGGGTAAGTCGGCGATCTCCGAACAGTTGGTTTTCATCGTCGTGCGTTTTAAGATTTCTTAAACTTGGCTTCGCGGTCCAAAACACTTATTATTACATTTTTTTTCACCGCTCATTTATGTACAACCACGCGTAAACACGCGTCAACTATTATAATATTATTAAGATCAGTACAAAAAAAAGCGTTCGCGGTCCGTATCCGCATTTGGACATTCCGCGGGGGGATAGATAGAGTAGGCGGTAAAATACAAAACACGATTATCACCCAGTAAGATTACAGTGTTTCGTCCGATAATGACCATGGGAATGCGAATCAAATTCCGTAGACGGTTTTTTTAAATGTTCTGGACCCCCCTGTAAATACGCCCGCTGGTAGAATGGGCGCGGGCGGGCAAATCGTCCGATTCTAACCGCCGATAATGAAAAACACTTGCATGGGAGGGAGAGATAGAGACTGAGAGAGAGTGGCCGAGGTCTACGCAGTCATAATAACAACAATATGATATTGTAATGTTTTGTCAACACAGTTTAAACGACTATATCGTATAAGCCCGCGTTCGAACAACTATATTATTATTATTATCATCATCGTCGTACACATATTGTTATTTTTTTTTTTCTTACCTTTACGGTATAATAATATAACGTAATATTATAAACTTTTTTTTTTTTAAACGCTACGCAGGTCACGACGACAGCAACATCGGTACGGCGGCGCAAGGTTGGTTTTCGTTCAGGTAATGTTATATTATGAACATATCCGTAAGACGCTTGTTTCGTTTTTGAATTACTACGATAGTATCGTAAACGAGATATCGGTTAAACAATCGAATTACATTAAGGTACATAAGTACGCGTTTTAAAACGTCATAAAATATTATTTAGGCGCATATTGAAACTGGACGCGAAACGAAAACTTCTAAACAATGAGAAACGATTGGAAAACAGACAGACAGACATCGAGACACCTCTGCAGCAGGCATTAGGTAAAGCGGTGTAACATTTGAATAAAACAACAACATCGTCTACTCAACGAGTTTTTATACATATGTATATGCATGTTTTTTTATTTGTTTTTATTTTGTGTAGGCCGTAACAAGTTTCAGCTCCCGAAGCACATGATTAGAGACTCGGCTAAAGAATATTCGGCGGGTGATTACGATTTGAGCTGTCTATTTAGAAAACGACACGGGAAAAATTTTCTGAGGGCGCCCAAAATACCGTTTGCTCACGTGGCCAAGTATTCCAAGTGAGAACGAAGCGTTACCGAATACCTAGGAAAAAAACATATTTTTAAATTAATTTTGTATCCGTAATACTCACATAAATTATTGCGTTATCTCTTGCAACGTACGCATTATGCCGAAATAACTTCACTCGGTCTCAGGGAGGGGAGGCGAGTCAAAAAATAATTATTCACTAAATGTATAGTTTATTTTTTTGTGAATACGAAATGAATTTGTATTATAACACTAAAATAGGGGGATGGTAAACTCCTAAAAAAGTAGGTAATCTCTTACGTTGACACAGTGTTGACTCCTACAAAGGATAGTATTAACTTCTACAAAAGATAGTGTTAACTCCTACACTAGATAGTTGTAAAAAGTAAAATCAATCATAAATTACCTAAATCAAAAAGAAAATATTATAATACAATTCAATTTTTCTAGTTATCAAAATAAATAAAAATCAGTTATAAACTATGAAAATAAAAGATAGAGATTTTTATATTTCCAATTTACGAAAATAACGTAGACGTTATCGAAATGTTTGAGAATTTCCGATACGATATTAATATGTTTACTAAATTTTATTTTACATTTAATAATCTTAAATTTGTAAGTTTCTACGAATATTCATCCAAAATGCAACAAAAAAAGTCTCTTATAATTTTCAATTTGAAAACTATTTCTGGTATAAAACGTTGTGCGTGCCAATTTAAAATAATGAAATCGTAAAATCGTACGTTTTTTCTCACTTAAGTAAAACTATCTCAAATAAACATCATTGTAAAACCAATACATACTCAGAATCTAAAATGTAAAAAGATCTGTGTAGGAGATTACATACATCTATTATTCAATCTATCATTAACCATCTATTTTTGGCAGGTAAAAAGGGACTATATAGGAGTTTACCTTATATTTTAAAAACAGGTAAAAAGGTCATTTTTATAGAAGTTTACGAGTAGCCAATAATAGTTACGAAAAAAAAAAAATAATAAATAGATACATAGATAACAGCTTGCGACGTTGATGATCTTATTTTTGAATAGGAAAACGAATCCCGTCGGGCCAAGCAACAAATATTTGGAAGCAATTTACCGTTGTGCCAAAGGACACGTTTTCGAAAATCCTTCACAAAACCGATTGTATTGTAGCAACGGACATTGGGTTGGCAAAAAACCGTCGTGTGTCCCAAAAACGACACCTATGACCGTTAGTAAATATTATATTAACCAGTTACCTCTTAATTTAAGGATATGCATACTAAATAATATCCAGAAATCTAGAAATATTATCACGTTATTTTATAGAAGTTTGGTACTTATCAGAAACAGTTTTGAAAATAAATTTATTTAATTTTAGTTAATGAGTAGGTATATCAAAAAAACTAATAGTTTTAACTAATAATGTTTTTTTTTCTCGGAAAGAACTTTTACATTGAGTAAATATATTATGATTTTTGTTATATCATACCTTAATAGATGTGAATTTTTTGTATTATAGAATTTAACATGGACAATTTTTTGAAATTCTCAATATTTTTATCGAAAAATTGCTTAATATATTTTTTTTTAATACCTCTTTTGGTTCTTTCTCTTATAGTGCTATAAAAATCTATTATTTTGTAAATACAATCATTTTTTGCACACTAAAACAATTAATACAATACATTTTTATTAATTTATTTGTTATCATAATAATTTATACCCATATGTAATGGTAGGTCACTATTTTGTTAATATCTCATAACGTGGCCACATGATCACATACGACACGGTCACATGAATGCCCTGGTTTTTAATTGGCATCACATGATAACATTTGATTCTTACAGGACGGATTTAGGAGAGGTATCATTATATGATACCATACACATACTGGCTTCAATAATATAAAATAATAATAATAATTATTAACGAAGGAATGAAGTCTCCTCCCCAGTCATTATTTTTGGGGGGACGACTTCAGTTCTGCGAACAAATTATAGACGTGCCTTTGCTGCAGGTATCCCTTGTGTATAAAGTACACAATAATAATATTATCCATTGTATGTGACATAGATTTACCAGATGGAATGTTACATCAAGTGCCCGCCGGACAAGAACGTGAGCTTGGCCGAAGGAGAGAAATCAATCGCGTTTGACGTAGAACGACCAGTGACGAACTACGATTGGGATAGGTACTATAACAATAGAATTTTGAAGTAGCCAAAGTTGTTATTTATTATTAAGGATTAACTACAATTCTAAACCATCGACTATCCAAACCTCCAGGTTCGGAACATTGAGTTCTGGTTGGAGTAAAAACTCCTCAAGAATTTTAGTCCCCGGTCTGTACGTGATCACGTACACGGTTCAGGACCAAGAAGATGCGGACATTGCTTCGTGCAGGACAACCGTATGGGTTACTGGTAAGGTGTATACGTGTAATTAAACCTAATCTAATTTATCCAAAAACCGAAAATATTACCGACTTCATTTGAAAATTAAAATACGTTATGGGGGAACATAATATTATAAGGGTAGAAAACCAAGGATATCAGAACATTTAAGAACGCGTGTATCTTACATTTTTTAAAGAAAAAAAAGTAATTATTAATATTTTCTGAGATAATGAGTGTGATTTTATAATAACCACATTATCTACTCACGAAAAAAAAAATAGAATTAAGATTTAAGCGTTTAATTATGTGTAAATACATATTAATTTTTTGAAATAATAAGTCACATTTTGAATTTGTTTGTTCAAAAATAACTCTAGAACTTATCTTTTTTATTTTTTAGAAATTTTCAAGGTAATAGGATTCTATTGATATTTTTTTTCGTATTTTCAAATTAATTTATCTGTACATATTTCTTAATTTCAGAAAAAAAAAAAAAATCTCCTATAAATATGTTCTATCCTACACGTTTGTGTAAATACAACAGTGTTTTTTTTCTCCGATGTTTTCTAGACGACGAACCACCGGTAGTTCAAGACTGTCCTTTGTATCTGGAGGTGGTAGAGGATTTTTCAAAAAATGATACCGTCCCCGTGTCGTGGACTGAACCTCAATTTTCGGATAACGTGGCCGTCACACAAGTGGCGAAAACTATGGTACGTATTATGTATATTGTTGTAAACACCGGGATAAGGGGTAACTTTGAAGTGTTATTTATCCGGAGTTTTTCTATACAATATGTATAGGAACCCGGTCGACTATTGGGCCCGGGACTTCATAACGTTCAATACATGGCTATGGACGCGTCGAGAAACGAAGCTACGTGCAGTTTCAATATTGATGTCAGAGGTAATATGTAACCAATTATATTATTTAGAGATGGGCGATACCCGAGAAAACTGTTATCGAGTATCGAAATCTATGATTTTCGATATACCAGATTTTTGTGTTACGTGTTTTATGGAGGTTTATCGTACATTTTTCTCGACAGATGTCACATTCGTGAACTTCGATACTCAAAGTTTTATCTATGTATATATACTATTCGTGATACATAATCCATGAAAAACGGATTTTATACATGACACGGTCCCTATATTTTAGATACTTTGAAATACTGATGCAATCATTTAAAAGGGAAAATACTGTGCAGTGTCGAGTATCTAGAATCGACATTTTTGGTATCGCCCAACTCCAATATGACTTATATCATGACTTATGTTTTGCTTTGTACGTTATAGATCAAGAAACAGTCGAAGCCAAAGACCGGAAAACAAACAACACATTATAGATCAATAAAGTCATGTAAACTGGCTTTTAAACCATTACTAATATGACCTAACACGTTAGTCTTAAGTATAATCATCGAGATATGAACGGTTTTGTACATTTTATACTAATATAATTATTTAATTTGTATTCATAATCACACACAACATTAATTATGTCTAGTAGTGTGTCCTGGATTTTCAATAGGGCGGGTTGTACAGTAGTCAGTGAACAATAATCATGAATAAATCGTAGAATATTTTTCTATATACCTAACGTGACTACATTGACGTCATTTTAGTTTTTGAGAGAGGGGAAATGTTTGACCAGCCAATAATAAAACTAAAAAAAACCGCTTGCCAACTCATTTGACAGAATTACATTTTGACTTCAATATAATACCTTTCGTTTTATATTTACTTTCATACGTATGAATAACCAATTTTTTTGAGGGACAACAATGATTAACTAATACATATATGTGGAGAGAGTTAACTAAATATATTTCGTATTAGCTACTACATGAAGACTTAGTTTGAATGGATTTTACCTTAATTTATGCCTTATTTTCACCAGTATGTATGGAGTATAAATGTAATGTATCATAAAATCATAAAACATAATGACATGAATCATTTCTGCGGGCTTGTGACCCAAAACTAGTCCAATATCAGCCCATACCTAGCCCGATAACGACCAGCTGAAGATAACAGGGGGTTAATTCCTCCCCTGCTCCCCAAATGATGCTACTGCCTGATAGTGGGAATTCAAAAGCCGAAACAGAAAAAGCTAATTTTTGTTTAATAAATCGAGGTTTTTCTTGTAACTTGGTCGGATGTGTTTTAAGATTATTACTAAATAAATATATATAGTTGTATTTTATAGCTAATGAGGGAGAGTTGTGTCTCCCGAAATCTTATTATTTGTGCATGGAATTGTATTTATAACGAAACTATACTATTGTTTTAAAAATATTATTTAGTCGAAGGTGAACATAATACTAGGGATTTAAAATGAAAAAAACATACGGACATATCTCGCTATACGGGTATGCTACTGTTGTAGGTAAGAAGTTGGGAAGATAGGATATATAGGAGAATTTAATTTATATCTGTACTCAACGATTAATCAATGCTAAAAAAAAACGATTCTGAACAGAGCTTGGTCAATAGTATTGATTTTTAAATAATGTGTGTTTTTATGACACCGATTGTTTAAAAAATATTAAAATATTAAAAATTTAATAAAAACGCTTTACTCAGATTCTAAAAAATAATAATATACAAACAGCGGAAATTAAATTTTATTTTTATTTCTATTATACAAATATTTTGATTAACTATAAATGTCACAAAAACAAAAATGTTAAATAATATAATATTATGATCATTTTGTTAAAAAAATTATTATTTTGTATTATATAAATAATAACAATGTTATGCAAAAAAAAAAAAAAAATAGTAAAAAATGATTAAAAATATATATAGTATACAAATTGTACTAATATAATGATAGATTGCAAGTATAATACTTAAGGTATTTATTGTTTAGGTATTCACGAAATTAACAATATTTTACAATGAGTAATTACGCACTAAACTGCTAAATGCAAAAAGGGTGAAACATGTTAAAATATTAAAATGTTTCAAGAAAGACAAAAACTCTTCAAGCACTTAGAGTTTTATAATCTTATATGCCATTCCATACAGTATTGTAGAAACTTGTAAATATTACATAAAATAACACTATACCATGTTATGAACATTCATTTTTTTTTAGATATATTTATATAAAGTATTTTCGTCTTTCTTGAAAAATTAAAAAAAATTTAACTTGTGATGTTTCTGCATTTAGCTATTCTAATGTATATAATATATATATATAAAAACAAATTAGTCAATAATACTAAATTAATAATAATAACAGCGTTCATGACTAGTCGATTAATGGTTAAAAAAAAATTTTAGTCAATTAATGTGAGTGCGCACAATTGCAAACACATAATATTATATAATGGTTAGATTTGTGTGGGCATAATATTGTTATTAACCAAAAAAATTGATGGACGTGATAATGTGGTAGACGTTCGATAATCGAGGCACCGAATGACGATATGTTTGGGAATTTTCGGCTTTTACAGAAAAAAATAATATTGATATTGTCTTAAAAATCCATACATTTTTGGTACCAGGGAAGAAGGATTTATTTTATTTTTTATTTTTAGCAGTTAAAGCTAAAAGCTCTGGTACGAACTCCTTTATATTATATTATCGAATTCTAAATACCCGAAGAATGATAAGTACATCATAACAGTTAAAAGTCAAGTAATTTTCGGAGTTCATGTGAACAAACGTATTAGTTTTGGATTATTACTCTTGTCGTATGTTTCTGTTTGGAATAGTGTGGTGCGAAAACTATATTTTTTATTCACTCGGTGCCCGTCGATCGAACGGCTGCGTTCGTCATAGAACGTCACACGCATTCGTACGACCCGTACGTGTTCCGGCACGACATGTCGCGGTCCGCGCACCGGTCCTCGGACCGCTGCAGCTCCGGGTCCGAACATTCGTCCACGTCCACGCACGTTTTCCAGTCGCCGTCCAGTTGCAATCCGTCCGGGCACACGCAGAACGCTGAGCCCACCGTGTTTATGCATTGGTGTGAACATCCGGCCGTCCCGTCGCCACACTCGTCTATGTCGTCGCAAGTGTGTCCATCCCCGGACAGCTTGGTTCCAGTCAGACCATAGCACGAACACTTGTATCCGCCCCAAGTGTTGGTGCACGATCCCTGGCACGGTCCGTGCCCATTGCGCAATAGACACTCGTCAATATCTGTGGACACCGGACAAAAATATAAAAAAAACAAACAATATTGACACAGAATATTTAGATCGTTTTTCAAGAACATGACTGAACTACTGATAGGACCGGGACATTTTAATATTTTTGTTTTTTAGAACGTATTAAGCTTTATGGAACAGTTTTGAACGAGCTATGTTTAATAACGTTTAGCTTAAATCTGACGGATTAAAAAAATGTTATTGGAATATATTTTTAAATTTTTTAGTTTTCGGCATTTCGTCGATAGTTCGGCTATGAGCTCATTTTTCTAATTATGTATTGTCATGTAGTGGTCATTGTCCACATCTTCACGTGGATTGTTAAAGACCTATAATTGTATAGTGTCGAGAAATCAAAATAAAATCGTAATGAAATCTGCAATACAAATTTTAAAATATAACTATCTACTTTAAAATTTTACTAAAAAAAAAAAAAACACCACTGGTGGATAATGGAAAATGTAAAAAATAGAAAATCGCGTGTATAATAAATAATAATTAATAATAATAAACCTAACCGAAAAATAATTTTTCTTGTCGTTATCTACAACCCTACAGGTTACAATATATTATACAAAAGTGAAATAATTTTCCCTGTCTAATTTCTAATAATATTTCTTTGACATAAATAATACGTTTTCGATGCCAAACCAATATGAAGAAATTAACTACCCACAGAATATGGAAAAAATAATAATAAATCACGCGTGCAAAATTGAAGTAGATGATACACAATGACTACCCACTGTGTCTAATAAAATGCTCGACGGACGATTTATGGGAAGCCGACGACAACGATAAAAGGTCACCGATTTCTGGAGAAATGCTGAGAAGAGGACACGATAAAAAAAAACCCACGATCATTGTAATATCTCAAGAACAACGGAGCTGAAACTTTTCACGGTGGTTCTACGGACACCTATTGCGTGTATTTACAATAAGCCGGGATTTTCGGGGGGAATTCAACTCTCAAAGGGTTAGTCAACACTAATTGATTGTTGGTCTATTAACTATCGGTTATTATTGGCTATCGGTATTTTTGGTCTTGTTACACTTGTAAAGTGCATTTTGTTCAATATATTATTTCTAGGTTATCGCGATAACAGGAATGAAAAAATAAAACAAGTTGTATTGTTTATGGCGCGTTTAATCGATTACGGGAAACGCCGCCGTGCTGGACACTCATAGTATACACGAGAATAATATAACTATTATTATTACTTGTTTTATAAAAAAAAAAAAAAATAATACTCTTCGAAGTTCTCAGCCCAAATGAAGACAACAGTGAAAAAATCATTATATTTCTCTAGCACACTATAATTTCACTCGCATGTAGCATTAATACTTGTATATTGCTTGTAAGCTAATACCTAATCTAAGTTATTGAAGCTGTACCGGGAATAATAATAATAATAATAATAATACAAAAAAAAATCATTATTATTCTTTCAGTGCCCCGTGTGTGTTCCAGAGACTGTATTGGTAAAAAGTGAGGGGTGCGGTGCGAGTAAGAGTGCGTGAGCGTTTCGCGTGGGACGAACACACGAGCCCATAACGTGCCGGTGAGGCGTCAGTCTCCGTGCGGTCAGTTTATCCGGGGAACCGCGGGTCAGGTCACCCATTAGAGTAACCGATTATTAAATAAATATTTATTAATTATTTTTTTATTTTCTTGCGTTAATTGCCGACCGGGTAACGGTTATAATGAACTCGGCAATTATCGCTAAAATTAATTTGATCGGATTGATTTGACTCGGAAAAAAAAAATAAAAAATAACAGGTCGACCGATCGCAAAAGCGATTTCTACTCGTAGTGTACCTATACACGTACACGCTGTGATTTTTTTTTTCATTTTAAATGTATGGCAAACACATTTCAATCTCGAGGCCTTCAGCCTTATTGTGCGACAGTTTTTATATTCATTTTTCAAACTATATAACACGTATTTATTGTTGTAGAAAAAAAAAACATATATAAACAAATTATATTCATTTTAATGATTTGCCTAATATAATTGAAGTGTTTTAAAAAAAAAGTATCAAAGTAAAAAATAAAGTGAAAAGTATATAGGGTAATTGCATAGAGAGAAAATTATAAAACGTTATAAAATTCACTTAAATTTCGAAAAATAAAGCTGTATAATTTTTAAAAAGTTTTGTTTTTTTTTTTTTTTATCTATCTAATGAGGCAATTTTGCATTGATACATTTTTACATTTTTTATAATGCAATCATAGTATACGTATTTGAAAAAATAAAATATGTGTCACAATGAATTTTGAGGTTATAAGTGCTATGTTTGATATTTGATTTATATTATCATGTTTGTGTAGTTGTGACAACTCTTAGAATTTCTTTAGATTTCTTAAAATTAATGTTTATATAATATTATATGTGGTAATATTTTTAGCATGCTCACCTCATTTTTATGGTTAAATTATGCACAATTTCAAATTCAGAATTTTAGGGTTTTTAAGTGTATCTAGTGAAAGACACTTAGATTTTTTATAATATTTAAGGAGTATTCAACTTTGGTTTTTGAAATAAGAATCTGCATGTTTTAAAAGTCATTCACATAGTTTTTCTGAACATTTTGATGTATAGTAATCGAAATTTGAACGATAAGTTATAATAGCGTTTTACGAATTTTAAGCATTATTTAAAGCTGGAGCGTGTAGAAATGATAATTGCGGTTTTAGCGACACGATCACACAGTTTTCGCCAAATAATATAGCATAGAAACATCACAGAAATTGATAACAACGGAAATTGATTATAACGGAATTATCGCTTTTGGCGTTTTTAATATAATTTTCTGACGAGAAAGACGCACGTTGCAAAGACTACCGCGTGAACTTGTGTTCGGTACAATATGCGAAAAATCAATTCTTCCGAATTCCGAGAGTTGAACGTTGAAGATAATATAACGCATAATATTGTACACTATTACCGTGTAGAAAGTTTCTCGTATTTGTCTTGTCTGAATTTGAATCGAATCCGTAAAAAGAAAAATAAAATCGAGTAGGTATATATTATAAGTTATAACGCTACAATAATTTACATAAATGTATTTAAGTAGACAGGTTGGTAATATTTTACTAGTATTATGTTTTATAGGAGTGTTTACAAAGTTGTTTTAAATAAAAGTCATTTATCTACATAAGTAATCGAAGTATTTTTATTTATTTTTTGTTTACCTTCGCATTTGGTGTCAGCCACCATAAAGCCCGGAGGACAATGACATCTATACGATCCCGGCGTGTTGATGCAAAGCCCTTCACAACCTCCGTTGTTCGTTAAACATTCGTTTACATCTAAGTATAAAAAAATTAAAATATAATATAATATGAATAAATGTAAGATAATAGATTGTATTGACATGTAAGTGAGTAGGTAGTCAACTACGTTGACCATAATAATATTAATACGATTATAATATTATGCTAACCTCTTGTGTAAACGTTAAATAAGTAATCTATTCGTAAATGTGTAAGGCGGTGTAAAACAGTATTACGATGACGTTATATTGTAATAAATTTAAGTATATGTACAGGGAAGATTATTAAACGGACGGAGCAATGAAATCCACGTGTTGGAGTGGAATCGGAAAAAAACTTTTGAGAAGGCTACGAGACTTACTATACTTGCTGCGAAACATCGAATTCATGGGGAAACGACAGACAGACAGAATATTTTCAATGATATTAAATGGTATAACATTGTAAAAAAAAAAAGTAGTCTGAAAGTATAGAAATCTCGTTTTTTCCCTTGTTACCTATCTGACGTGATTTTGCTAACTAATCAGAATTTATTTAGTTTGAATTCGAGTCGGCTGGTGAAGTTAGCCACACTTTGAGTAATGTTTACACAATTAAGAAATTCCATTTTTTATGTCGAGCGCTACTGGTACATTTTTTAAATATCAATGAGGGCAACTGGTCAACATCCCTTATAGTTATCATACCTATTGCAAGTAAAATAAACTCTTATAAAAAACTCTTACACTTACAAAAAATAAAAGTAACTTTTAACATTTAACTAAACTAAGTTATCATTTTCCTGAAAATATGTAACCCAAATTAGTTATTCAAATTAATTTATATTTTAAAAATAAATTAAACTTAACTTAGCTCTTTTTATTTTTTGGTGAGATAACTAAATTTAATCTAGTAACAAAAAAATTGGTTAACAAGCCTAGCTTGATGGAAACTAAAAATTTAAATACCAATTAATTTGTATTTAAACTAAAACCTTATCTATACAATTTTTAATATGGGTTGCAATTTGAATATTAAAAATGGGCAGTGGTTTTACTCCCAAAAAAAAAGAGGGCAAAATATTATTGTAACATACAATTTTAGAGCTGTTTGTTTCTTAAATGTTTTCAAAAACATATTCCGAAAAAGTTAATAGAGATAATGTCTTACGTATATTGATCACCCTATAGAGGAGAAGTTATATTTTATGAGCAAATCGTTTAGATTTAAATTCCGTTCAGAATCGTATATATAGTGGCTATTTTTAATGTAACAAAATATTTTTTTCAAATCTGATATAATAATAAGTACACCACTATAAATAATAGCTATACTGAGGTGAGTCAAGCGAGACGGCGATTGGCCAACTTTCGTAAGTGTATCTCCTTTTTTACCATCGATCAGTAGGTAGTTATAGTTAATAGGAACAATTAATATTTTTACTTCAATATTATCTCCTATACTAGTCGAGAAATTAAATATATATATTTTTTTATAGGATCACTATTAATTTTTTTCACTTTCGTAAAAATGTGTCAAAAATAGGAATGTCCGATGCAAAATTCATTTTTTTTTTTATACTAGATGGCAATACATTTCAAGCGTACAGTTGAATTTATGTTATAGATTCGTAAATCAAAATTGAAATTTGTATTATTTTACATTGTATTATCTATTTACTCATTAGGTTATATTTTATTCGTTTTCCGCAGTTGTAAAAACGGAAAGGTACGAGTTTTTGGAAAAAATAAAGTATTTAATTAAAACATATTTTCCGAGAAACTTTATTTAGTCGTTATAATTACAATTGGTTTTGTTTTTGTCCGAGTGTTCTAGGGCAGTGAATACTTACTGCTGTTGCAAAGGTAAAACTCTTATTTTGCATTTTACCCCGGTTTTTTGGTCGTATTCGATAAGACCATTTTTAGCAAACTTAGGAAAGTTAAATGATTTTTTTATACTAGTTTAATTTAAGTTATCTTAAACAAAAGTAAATGAGCTTAGTTAAAGTTAATTTCTGAATTATCCTTTACTATACATTCATAAACGTACTTTGTGCTTTAATAATATTTAGATTTGTATAGACTTACTAATATAATATACTCTATTCAACGTAAGTTGGTCATTTATGCTGATCCGCCGTGGTCCGTGATTGGTTGGCGGTGTTTGACGATCGTCGTTGTTTGTCGTAGTAGGCAGCAGGCTGCCACCGCGACCGTGCATACAGAGGGGGTCTTTTCGAGGGATTTTCGTCGAGTGAGTGGATCAACATACGATGATTAGAGTATAGTAATATAGTAAGTCTATAAAAGTCTAAATATTATTGAAACGCAAAGTAAGTTTATGTGTATATAGTAAAGGACAATTTAGAAATTAGCTTATTTGCTGTTTGTTTAGGATAACTTAATGTCAAATAGTACAAAAGTCGTTTAACTATTTTAAATTTGCCAGTCTTATATTATAAGGTTCGTGTGAGTATCCCATATCTCTGCTTAGGCCTTTTCCCATAATTTTTCACGAACAAATCTTAACGAAAGAAGTTAAGCTAAAATCATCTATTGAAAGACTACCCGGGCTATTTTTTTAATTAGTTAGGTTCAAAGCTATCAACAAAATAACTTATTTACTTAACTATTGAATATACTCGTTTACAGCTTTGGCTTTTAGATATTTTTTCGAAAATAAGATAATTTTTTTGTTCGATATTTTCAAATAAGCAGTTGCTACCATACAAAAGAGATATCTTCGTACACAACGACGGCAGTGAATTATTAAATGTCTGTAATTAGGTAGCGATAACATATTGGCACAAAACACTATACTAATATCAAACTGAATCACAATGAAACACGTGGCACATAATTTGTATAACTACTGAAGTTTATTACGCAATATGGTAATAACATTGTCATATCGTTGTTGTTGTATTATCAAATATCATATTTTCATTGCATGTTGTGTTGTGTTTGTGACACCGCTCATTCGATTTATCGCAGGCTCCGTCACGAAATGTTAATTTGTACCGCAGTACAACACTATAGGTAATAATAATTCGGGCCGAATATGCGATTGTATAGATTTTTAATATTTTACTGGTGTGTAGCCGTGGTAACCGTAAAAATGTTTAAAAACGCGTTATAATTTAGTAGATTTTTTTTTTATGTTGAGTGTATAGCGAAGAATAACTTATTAATTTTATCAAGGTGATGTGTTTTTTATTTGTAAAACACTTTTTCAACTAATATAAAAATTCTCCGATTTTTTTACACGGTATCTCAAATTGGTTTGCGGGGTTTCTGCCCGATGCACAGGGGTCCAAAAAATTAAAAACCGGCATTTCTTGATAAAACGTATAATTTGGTGTCACTTAAATAATTTTAAAATCGAATTTTATTTTAAAACATCTTTGAGCCAATTAGAGCCTCATAAACATCAAAAATGTAAAATTTTTCTGTGTTGATTATGTGGGTAATCAAATTGTATGACATTTTTTTTTTATAAGAAAGACGTTTTTTATATTCCCAAGTTGATATTTTTAATACATTTTTTTTATAAGCCTTTTTACATGGAAAAACCTGAAAATTGCTCTTTTTTTTACCTATATAGAACGTTTTATTTGGTTTGAAATGCTAACTGGTCGTCATAAATATATAAAGTATAACATTTTTTATTTGTTAAAATAAAAATGTTGCTAACGTTTAAATTTATCGAAAGACAAATGTTTATCGTTGGCAAAAGACCGATATTTTGTATTAAAAAGTTTAACACTAATTATTGATTTATTGTAAACAATCAACAAGATTAGATAAGAAATCGAAAAAAAATATTAACTTGTTGATATAAAAACTTTTTTTTTATAAAATATACACATAATTTGTTGACTCGTATGATCAACTTAGAAATATTTTATATTTTAGATTCTAAGTGTAGCACAAAATTTATTGATATATATCATAATATATTAGATTTTTTTTTTTATTAAATGAATACTTTTTCTACCAGATACACCTTTTTCTGAAAGTAAATTCTCTTGGGATAGTACTTAAGGGAGGTCGTTTTTCAATTTTCTTAGGAGTTTCGTCATCAAATGTGAAAACTGAAAATAAAACTGAGGGAAAAAGGGAAAATGTACGAAATACATTAGTAAAATATTATGACTTTTCTGGATAACTTTTATACTAGCACTTTTGCTCCAAGTTACAATGATAGCACTTTTTCTAAAATCTGACTAGAGAGGTACTATAAAGATGCAACTTTTTGATTTTCCTAAGAGTTTTCTCAGCAAATGTGAAAACCCGAGGAAAAACACGGAAAAACCAGGAAAAACATAGGAAAACGGGAAAAACAATACAATATTAAATACATATTATTAAAGAAAATATATAATGCCTATTTAATTATTTTACCATAATATTACATAAATATTGTTGAAGAAGTATCATTATCACCTGAATTCTGATCAGAATCGTTTTTTCGTTAGCAATGGTTTATTGTTGGTTGCAGATATATACATTAAATTTCTTTCTGTAGCCTACTTTCCCAACTTCCTATTTACAAAAATGGCTGCACCCACGTGCGAAGTATGACCGTTTTTTAAATATTTATTGGGCTCTAAATGGCTCAAAAATGTTTTAAATAGAATTTGATTTTAAATTATTCATGTGGCATCAATTTATGAGCTATTAAATCAATAGTTGATGTCGAACGCTAATGTGGACTCTTGTTTTTTAATTTAAGTTTCTTTATTCCATTTATTTTTTATTTATACTTAATTACTCATGTACTTAATTTCTTTAAAACTTTCTTTTTGTATACGTAATATAGAAAAAGGCCTCGCTCGTTAAATAAATAAAATAAAATAAACTCTCTACCTAGAAAAAAGTTACACAGAGGGCTTATCTTTCGTCCACTAATTACACATAATGAACACAGTAACAACAACGACATCAAATACCAAAATTTAGTGTTGAGTTAGTGTTGGCGAAGGGTAAATTTTTCAAATACATTTTTGAATCCATTTTTCAATGAGATGTTGGATTTTCAGTACCAGCATTCCAATTTCCATGGCACCAAAATTTAGTACTAAATTAGTACAGAAAATAATTAAATTAAATAACTTTATTTACCTATTTTACTTGTGGTACATTCTTTAAAGTACACTGAGTTATAAATATGGTGTAAGACTATTATAAATTTATATTGTATTCGATTTATTCGATTGTTGCATCAAAATAAAGAGATTTATTTTTTCTACATTTTGCCATTAAAAAAAATTATTTTCCAAAAGTTTCTTTCTGATTGTTTCACCAAGGCCTTTAAATTATGTGTGAGTTTAAAATTATGTATCTACTATTAGAAAATAAAATTGATCTATTTTAAAAATCAAAACGTACCGTAAGTGTAATTTCTCGATGTATATTTCACCAAGGTTGGAACCAAAGAATTGTTTCTTAAAATGATATCGATCGGCGACGCATTATATTGTATTTCGGGTATAGATCCTTTTTTTATGATCTCGTTGCTCTCTATTGTATCATTGATCGATACTAATTGGAGGACGTCCCGATCATTTCCAAGTTTTCGATGTTTTTTACCGGTTTTTAGATCTTTTCTTTTTTTCCCATTTTTACTGTTTTGTTTTTTATTACCTTTCTTTTTCTCTTTTCGGGTTTTTTTTTCTCTTTTCTTTGTCGCCGGTTGTTCCAGCTTCTGCAGTCCTCTACCGTTCAACCAATCTTCGTAATTTTTCCACGGCCACCAAACGTTGTTCTCGGCTCTTTCGACGATTTCCAATTTTTTGTTATCATTATCCTCTGGGACTTTGACTTTTTCTTTGCCCGGTAAATCTGGACTAGTCCAACTATGTTTATATATAAAAACGAAACAATATTAATTATTATCGCGTAAATTTATGAAAACTAAATATAACAAATAAATAACTTACTCGAACAGTGGTCTCTGTCGGTTAGTGATTTTCTCTACGTTTGTAACATTTTGCAGATTATAGTCCAGACTGTATTGTTGCCCACTCAATTGCCTGGTTTGAAAATATGTACTGTCATTGGCGACCACTGTCCATACTGAAACAGCACACAATTGATAATATATACTTAGGTCCATTGCGAGAATATTTTTAATACATTTATTTTTAAAATAATGACTATTAAATAAAAAAAAAAAGTCTTATTCTCATTGATACATGTGCCTCAGTGTTGAAACCCCAGCCCTTATTAGTTATTAGCATTACTCCGGTCAGGTTGAATCATTATCATATATAAACCGTACATCCTAATCGGGGGCGTCATGTAGAGGGAATGGGATCAGGGGTTGCAGAAAATTTTGAAAACTTGGCGCCTATGCATGCGATATCGGCGTTACACGAATTTTGAATGATTTTTAGAATAATATCGCGGATAAAACAATCAATGTGTGTTATCGCTGGGACGGGGGATATGCCACGAGGCGATAATCCAACGACCGATCGTTATGGCAATGAGATCTGTAGTATAGACTTACACGTCTAGACGGAACATTCAGCATGAAAACGCGTTCCGGTGGATAAAGCTTCATTCCGAAGACTAGATTGTGTCAAATACACAATTATGTTATAAGATGATAAACGGTGTGTTTTTATCGGCTATCCTCGAAATGTAAAGTTGTTCTCACTCACACCTCAGACTATATATTTAAATGTATCCCTCATGATTCGTTCGGACCGACCATACACCCCAGTCCTCCGGATGAATGTTCCGTCTTGATGTATAGGTATATGGGTATTATAATACGATATAGTTATCGTTAATCAATATTATAACAATATTCCGTTTTGAAGAATGCCGTGAACGGTATTTTTCCGTTTCGAATGAATATACGTGTATAAAATAATAATAATAATAATATGCACCTGTAATACGACAATAGCGACGCCGTTCTGTAAATATACGGCCGGCGCATGGTGGTAACCATATGATATGATTGTATTATTATGGTCATTTGTCACCGGTCTTTCATATGGTATATTATACGACATTATTGTTTACAGTGCGCGGTTCTCGGGATTCAACGCCCATCCGCGCGGACGGAAAACAACACCTGGCTGCTCCAAAATGGGTATACGGTATACCTACTTGGCAAATAAATCTTAAACGCGTCGCCCGAAACAATAGAGAAAATGGTAATACATCACCCACAATTTGACTTATTGTATTGTACAAAATAATACACGCTAACCGAATAATAATTGTCGGAAATGAAAACGTTTAATAATAATAATATATTGTAGTGTAATACGTCCGCGCGCGTGAATTATGGTATAAAACCCGAAATCTCCATCAAGTCGTAACACTAATATAATGTATCACACTTCGTATGAGTGAAAAAAAAAAAATAAATAAAAAATTGTAGGTTTACAATCCTACGCCAACAGACGCGGGCTGATCGGAAACCGAAATAAGTAATAATTGAAACCGAAATAAGTAATAATTGAAACCTCTGAGGGGGGGGGGAAATTATCAAAATAAAAAAAAAACTTTATAGAAAAGATATTGTTGCCGCATTATGGTAATCCGAAGCTGATGTCGATTCGGTTCAGTTTTTAGCGCCTGCGCGGTCGTAAACTCTGCGGATTTATTGACCGGTTTATATATTTAGGACTGTACCATTATTATTACGTTACATCCCGGTATCGATTCGGGTGAAGGTACAATATAATATTATAATATTTAATATTATCGTCTTTGTCGGTTTTTTTTTTTTTTTTGACGTTAAATTAAATATACACACACGCAGACACGTCGTCGGCCGCGCGCGTTTACAATAATATGATAATTGTATAATATTAAATAGATTTGTAAAAAAATAAAAAATACTATATTGATACCGCGCCGGTTGCGTTTGATCAAACACAACACGGAGGCACGCCGATCGGTGAAAATAACATGTTTAGTCCGGGTGTATTTTCGGAATTAACAACAAAATCGAATATTTTACGAAATATGATAATAATAATATTATTATTATAATATCGACAGTCGAACCGCGTTCATATTGAATATGTTAATACTTTCCGGTATAACATACTCGTATTATTATTTTAAACGAAGTCGGTGTTATTTTAAGGTAGGTTGGTAAGCAGGTAGGCAAGCACTATGATTGAAATACCGCACGTTATTGTATTTCGTTTCCTCTTGTCTAAACGTATGGTAAGGGGATTTCAGGGGATATCAAAATATCGTCTATTCTATGTCTTTTTAGTCGTATACATCGCGTAGACTGTGTTATTACAATAGTGCACCGAACATATAGGTACGTAGCAAATTTTTACACAGGTAAACTATGTAATTAAGTAAAACAGATTTTGCTTGGAAAGTTTTCTAAAAAAGTTCCTATTTTTTTTTTCTTTAGTCATTTAACGTTTAAATAACCAAACCGTATCGATTGTTATAAAGGATTTTCAAATATTTTTTGCGCGACAAAAAATATGTATTGTTAGACTAATTTATGTCGGCATTTTTTTTTATACCTCTAACAAAAAATCTTATGCATCGAAAACGAAAATTATTCAGTTGAAAAAAAAAATTGATTTAGCCGATATATAATTCGGATCCATGTATTATTGTATGGATTCTGAAAAGTTATCGAAAATTTCTTAAATGTCATGTTAATAACAAAATATCAAAAAACCAAGTGCTCTGTGGCCCCCTTTAATATTAAGATAGAATACCAAAATTTGGACATATTTTTTTTCAGTTATTCAGAAAAATTTTCGGGGTTAGAACAATTTTTTTGTAGTTAGTCTACACTTATAAGAATTGTTTAAAAATAACACGTTTTAACGATTATTTTTCACTTAATAACACCAAAAAACCAAAACCGAAAATAACAGGAATTTTCTTCATTATAAAGAAACTTACAATGGAAATTAAAATGATCTAAATACTAGAAATAAACCCTAAAGTTGATGATCGGAGCAAAATTTCTGTAGTAATATAGTACTTTACAGACAGAAAATAATTACAATTTTAAAAACACACGAGTAGCAGAGCTCTGTCACTTGAGTCTAGAACCAAATTTTCCCCCATTTAACTTGCTTCTACAATATTTTATGTTTTTTTTTAGAATAATAATTGATATAAATTAGATTTAACTACCAGAGTTTTATTAAAATTTTACATTAACTAGATTGTGACCAGACCATTGCGCGATACAATAATTTAAAACGTGCAATTCAAAATGCATTTCATTAATAAACCAATGACTAAAATCTTAAATTGTAGCCAATTATAATCAAATTTGTTAGGATTTGTTTTAATACAATATTTAAAACAAGTTAGTATTTGTTTTAAATTATCTATTATGATTTCTGACTAATATTAAGTTAATAGCGCAACTATAGTATAGACCAACTTTGGAAGTACTAAAATTATAGACCCATCATTTACACTGCACTTATAGTAAGCAACTATACATTTCATTTCAAATTCTTTGGACAGAACGATAACTTTCTAACTTTATTTTTATACCCACATGCATTGTTCGCAGTGTTTTAATTTTTCTAGTAGGGGGGTATTACTAAAATTACTAGTAATGACCTTTTTTTTTTGCTTATCTACTCTCTTAGAGCCAGTCAAATTATATACCTCGATTTAATACTAATTGTTCGTAGGTAATCTGTTTTATTAAAATAGGTTAAATAGTTCTTGAGATTTTTGCTTACATACGAGTATAAATAGGTTGAAAGTTTAAACTTACAAACTTCCAACTTCCAACCCTCTGAATGCACATTTTCAATAAAAACTATAATATTTACATATTAAACACATTTAACTAAGTTATTTACTTTTATACATGCCAAAAACATCATTTTGCGAACTGAGTAGATTTGGTTAACTTTAGTTTTAGAGTGAAAGCATCTATTATAAAACTTAAAGAGGACAATATTGTGAAGTGTACGACAATTTTTTTTTCGTTATTCCAATTATAAATGGCCGTTAAATCGATTTGAAACTATGATTATTTAAACATTTTTAAATTACAGTAATTTTCTAAAAAAATGAACTAAAAAAAACCGCATTTTCGTGCACTCTGAAATGTTGTCCTCTTTTAGTCTTATAATAAGTACTTTTATTCTAAAACTAAAATTAGTTCTACTAGGTCTGCATGAGGAAGTTGTTGCCGAGTTGTGTTCAGTGGTGGATTTATGAGGGAGTCCAGGGGGTCCGGGTCCTCCCCAGATACCGATATAATTTCAATAAAAAAGAGGCATCTTTAAGAGATCTTAAGGCATCTTTAGAGATACCTTTTAAATACATATTATAATTTTGGATACCTCCCAAAAAAAATGTTGAAAATCCGTCACTGTGTGCGTTAATAAGACAGATATGTACGTAAATGCACGTAGATATGATACACTCATCTTAATCTTTATGTTCTACACATAGAAACAAATTAATCATGGTGAGCGGTGCGTTTATTTTATTAATTTATTATACTGTATGATATAGTCAATATAATCTATTTAAAATAATAATAAAAAAAATGAAAATTAATATCGGATTAAATAGGTACGAATAGATTAATAATAATTATGAATTACAAGTATAATAAACCGGCTGCCAGTAAACTATAGTACAACGAGAACACGTATTTTTTAATTTTTGTTATAGTTAATAATTTAATATTAAATTAATCTTATTAACGAAAATATTTAAATTAAGTTCAATATTATTATAGTGCTTACCGTAAATATTTGAAGCGACTGTATAAATAGTTAATACTTGAAGAAAATTATAATTGCCCAGTATAAAACACGTCATAGTAAATTGTTGTTTCGAATTCTGATGATAATAATATTGCTGAAATAATTTATAAGAACAACGGATCACCCGAAATTATTGAAAAAATAAAAAAAAACTTCCTATTACAAAGGGTAGAGGTGTACTGAAGATAACCGCAGGAAGGAGTGCCTGTCATACGGAAATATCATCCAAGTAGTCTCATTCATTTAGTCATATGCGTATGGTATTATTGTGCAGTCCCCTCTAAAATACACATCTCGTTCCGTGTAGTACGTACGTTAGAATTTTACGACTGTTTTAGATTTATATTTTGTTTGTTTTTGATTTTTTTTTTTATTATTTTTATTATTATTATTATTTTTAATACGATGACATTTCCTCTTTCAGTCATTCGTACACTTGTATGAATGATTTTTGAATTTTAATATTATTTATTCTTAGGTATTATTATAGTATCTGTATAGGATTTAATATTATTTTTATTGTTCGAACGTTTAGAAATACAAAACGTAGGTACCTACGTGTATATCAATTCACGGGACAGCTATATAGTTTTTATTCTAACAAAGCGTACGATGCGTTTATATTTGATTTCATAAAATTCGCCTTCGTATGTATAAAAAAAAGACAAAGAAACAAACACCTATTAAATTAATTATTGTATTCAAATCGATTAATTTACTTATATTTATTTACTTATCGACGAAATCAAAATATTTTATCGTTTGACGAAAATAAATTGCATGCCTATAGGCGTTAGGTGTATACGATTTCCTTATCACACGTATATTCACGTATTTTCACATATTTTCACTACGTATTTACGTGAATGACACTAAAGTACGCGAACACGGATAGTAAATTCACGTATATTATAATTATACTTGAGTATGAATTTTTCATTCACCTGTACATCGATCCCGTTTTCACGTACTTCTTAACTCACGTTTTTAATCAAGACCAATAATTATAATATATTAAATTAATAATGTAATAGATATTATATTTTAGATCTAAAACAATGATGGTGCAAATGAAAATGTATTTTGAATATTAATACATAATATTATGGATTTGTTTAAAATTAATTATGTATTTTCCAAGTTATTTAACTGTTTACATACATTTATTATGCAATTTTTTTGTTAGTTAAATATACTATTATAAACGATTTATTAAAATACGAAATGCGCTCTTATTATATGCATATTTAATAATTCTAGAGCATTTCATAATGTAGGGTAAATGTTATTCACCTGAAGATTACTGTATGATCATAGACTTATAAAGGATTGGGCTAATAGCAGAGAGGGAGAGAGAGACAGAGAGAGAGGTCCGGGGACTAAAATCGTTAGAAAAAGATAGCATACAGTTTAGATATTATTATTATCATATATTAATAAGTCTATAAGTATACGCTAATTTTAAATTTATAATTTACTTTTATATTATCCTGATAATATTATCATAACACGATTTTTAATAATGCAACACAAAAACAAATTATTAACGCAAATAGTACTGTCGTCAGTAATATAATCACTGCAGACGACACCAAATAATATATTATATTAAGGATTATGATATTATCAATTATTGTGCAAAATATATTTTATTTAAGAACAGTCCGCGTTAAGTTGCGAGTACACAGGATCCGTTCAGTTCAGTTTTCTAATCTTATCCCGTCCACGGGATAAGTGACTGAACGAAATTTTCTGATTTGATGTACGATCAAAGTAAAAATCGAAATGAGATTAAACTGAACTGAACGGATTCGATGTGCTCGTTCTTTATACTTATTACATAACAATACGTACACAAGAAAAATAGTTATTTTAACACGATTATTCAATATTAAGATAATTTGCTTTGAAACGAGTCATTATAACTTGTATATAGTGTTAATATAATATTAATTAAAACAAAAGTCGAAAAATCGGTAATAATTACTACAGCAGCTAATGTAGTAATATAGTATGTTTGATGGCACAAACATTCGAGATGTAATTCGAGATGTGATTGATTTAGCTATCCAGGCGACTATATCGACTATTCGGATGATATAATTGGATATAACAAAAAATTCAATACCATATAATTATTATTATTACAACGGGCGCCACGTTTTGTTTCTAGGTGTAGTTCTCTATTTAAAATCTACAAACTTTAAAAATGATGCGGTAACTTCACACTATACGCAAGACCGAATTGAGTATATCATCGTGTTGGCCCCGGGGCCTAAATTAACAAAAACACATGTACAGATTATACACGCATTACAATTTATTAATTACAATTTATATTTATCTCGTGATTAACTACTTTTAATAAATTTTATTTGTACCCTGTGTTTCCAAAGAGAATTGACCTATTATCAAACTCAAAGGCAAGATGTGTTTAACGGATGTTTTTTTTTTTAGATATTTTAATATTCAAGATAGATAGGTATGAGTCTATGCGAAATATTCCAAATTAAAAATGTTCATATCTCGATAAAAACAATTAAACATATATATATACAAAAACTAAAACAATGTATAACCTAGCTAATGTTCTTATCTCCTTTAAGTTTGACAATTATTCACTCTAATATATTATAACGAACATATTATCTACATATAAAGCAAAAAAATAAGTACGTAATATTAAAAAGACGAACATACTTCGTAAGATATGTGGGCCACTGTTGTAGGTAAGAAGTTGTGAAGGAAGATTTAGTCATGTCATATAAAAATTGTATGTATATCTGTAAGCAATAATTAATCTTTGCTAACAATAAACGATTTTGAGTAGAGTTCGGCTATACATGTTTTAAAAGGTCTTCATATTTACGATTTTTGTCAAAATTTGATACTAAAATTCTTTTAAAAAAATATTTTACATTATACTCAATTTACTTTTTGTTCACAAAATACGACCCATAATGAACCTTCTGTTAAATTTTCAAGCATTTTTGTTTGATCTAACAATTTTATCTACAGAGGACCTATTGAATACAAATGATGTTAAATAGTCACAAAATTAAAATGCCTATAATCAGCTCAAAAGTGGTTAAAATGTTTTTTAAAAAAAATATAAGTTTCCTGTCCAAATTTCAAGTCTCTACGAATATTTTTAACTGAATCACATCAAAAAACAAAAATTGAAAATAATATGTATTTCGTTAATTTTCCCGTTTTTCCTACGTTTCTTCTCGGGTTTTCTCGATTATTATAAAAACCACCTAAGGTGGTTTTTTCTCCAAGTACAATTTCCTTTCAGAGAAGGGTATACACACTTGAAATTTGGAGCAAAATTTCTGGTATAAAAGTTGTTTACAGAGAAAAAAAAAATAAACGTCATTTTAAAACCAATACATTCTTCGCTTCGTTCAAAATAAAAAAAAAAAAACATTAGTGAGCAGCAGACTTCCATCACAAGAGCTAAACTTTCACCCACTTATTTAGTATTATAGACATACAAGGTCTGACCAATAAGTAATGAGACTGTTTTTTTTTTTGCTACGCTTGTGGTAACACTGCGAATCTGAAACTTCGTTCGGTTAATCTCTCATCCCTCCTCTATCGATACATGTGCTCGCGATTTTCGTACAATAATTAGTTTTCCAGTTGTGTTATGTTTTCGACAACGTGTTTGTAAGGCGTGTCACAAATATGAAACAACGTAATATAAATTTTGCGTTAAACTCGGCGATTCCGTTATGGAAACGTACGATAAATTGGTGAAAGTGTTCGGTGATGAAGCCCTGAGTCGTTCTCAGGTATTTCGATGGCATACAAATTTTAAAAATGGTCGTGAAAGCGTCGGGGATGAACCGCGAAGTGGGAGATCGGTTGAAGCTCGAACTGACAACAATGTTCAGCGTGTGCGCACTCTCGTGCATCAAGATCGGCGTTNAAAGCTGTGTGCAAAGATGGTACCTTCATCATGACAATGCTCCATGCCATCGTGCCTTCAGTGTGTCGCGACTTTTGACCTCTAAGAACATCGCAGTGTTGCCACAAGCGCCCTATTCGCCGGATATGTCACCCTGCGACTTCTTTTTGTTCCCTCAAACAAAATTGGCCGTGAAAGGAACGCATTTTGAGTCCATAACTGACATCCAGAACGCCGTGACGAGGGTACTTCAGGACATTCCAGTCGAAGCCTTCCAGAAATGTTATGAGAGCTGGAAAAAACGTTGGAACCAGTGTATAGGGGTGGGAGGGGAGTTCTTTGAAGTGGATCACATCGATGTATCCTAATATTTAAATATACGTATTTTATTGAATTAGTCTCATTACTTATTGGTTAGACCTCGTATATACTGTGTAAAACAATACGTCATAACCAAATACTACAAACATTATAATACAGTACAAACACTTCCAAAAGATTGAAATTTAAGCATAAAAATAATTGGCGCTGAGATGGAAAGTTAAAACCTCCAAAAGACACATCCTTAATATCTACATCGTGCAAATACAAAACTTCATTCCTTGGCTTTATATGGAACAAATAAACATTATCTTCCCATGCTGAAATCGTTGTTAAATTCTACACAATTCTCATCATTTCAATGCACCTGTTGAAAAACTTTAATTTCAAAGTTTAAGCTCATATGGTCCAGAGGGAGCCATTCTAAGTGTACTAAAGTATTGGAAAAAAGTATACCTGTATAATAATATATTTAACAGACAATTTAGGCTGCATTAGTCTCAATTTTCGTGGAAATTTATACTAAAATTATAAATATAACACTGAAGCGTATTGTGTACAAAACAAGTTTTATTAAAATTTTTCTATCGATTCATATTATAAACAATCAATACTGTAACCAATAAACCTATACACAACGAGTTTTTTTAATATTTTTTATTAGTTTATTTTTATAAAGATATACCTAAGTAGGAACATAATATCAATAAAGCCTATAGTTTTAGATAGAGTTATTAACTATTGCAAACTGTGTTTTGTTTCTTTTTCAGTAGGTATTTAAAAAAAAAAAAATCGACAATATTATATGTTATCTACTTACATTATAATATGTTTATAAAATAATATCTTATAACCGAAAACCTTTTAAAAAAAAAAAAAATAATAACGGAATTTAATGTTGATCTTAGTGTAGGTAGGTATTTTTTTACGATGTCTTTTTACGATTTCTTCCGAAACGATTGTAGGAATGGGTTTTTTGTATAATTTATTCAAAGTGGATATCGGATCAAAGATTTTAACAATATTTGAAATGTATACCTGTTTATTATATCATAATAATATTATAACTCATCGATACCTGTGGAACACGCCTCCTCGGTTTCTGAAATAGAACGTAAGGGGCTGTCGATATTTATACCTAATCCTATCCACTTAGATGGAGCACTTGATTGGTTATTCCTACCACACTGGCCAGCCTTATGGACCAAGTCGTTGGATTGATATATAAATAAAGGTGTCTAAGTATATCTTACAGGTCTAAGAAACTTAAGATCTGTATTCGTCACTTAACACAATTAAACATAATTTAAGAACGATTGAATTCATTCCAAGTTCAACTAATAAATATTAGAATAATATAAATACACGTGATCTGATTATCCTTGATTTCTTTGGGTAATTATGGCAATACCAGATGAAACAGAGCACGAGTGGTGTGTGGTGATTTTTAATAAGAGTTAAATTTTAATATAATATTAGAGTTACACTCGCTACGATAATATTAAACCTGATTATTGTTGGGACTCGATTATATGGTTTCGACTTGATTGGTGTAAATATACATACATATAGGTGCGTTCGTATTTCGTGTTCCAGTTTTATGCCTAGCTAAGCAAAACGTGAAACGATGTACGAAAGGTGATGTGACGAGTCAGAGAAACTGTATACTTCTCTACCATTTTTAAATATTTTTGAAGTGTTTTTTAACGTTTTTAAGTATTTTTTTTTCAGATTTATATGCCATAAAATCCAAGCCCTAATTATGAGGTTACTCATTAACGGTTTTTTAAATTGTATTGGGCTACATTTATAAGTTTATAACAAATATTAAATATTGTTTATGAAAAAATATTATTGAATCTTTAGTTATGGAGTTCAGATAGTAAAAATGTCTGTGATGTTTTCGTAGTTAACTTGTAAGTATACCTACAAAAGATGTGAAATTTTTAACAGTTCACTTCCAAGATAATTTATTAAAAATAATTTCCAAATTATTCACATCTGTGTAATAAAAGACTTTATTTGTAGCATTTTTCCAGATTCTAGAATAGTTTGTTCTCTAAAATTAAAAAAAAATCTCACAACAAATGACGATGTATTGATTTTATTTTTGTTGATTTTTAGATTGTCTATTTAGAAATAAAGATAATTTTGCTTTCACTGTTTTCAGTTATCACACTAAATAATCGAATTTAATATTACTGTATTATTTAGCAATAATGATACCTAATACTACTTCACTTTTAAACTTCCCAGTTATTATTTGTGAGTCTTTGTGTTTGGATTTGTTCTTTTTATTGTACTTATTTTAGTTTATCTTCTTTTTATTAGGGACGGAATTTGTATAAAAAAAGTTTACTGGGACGGAACTCAGATACAGTCATTCTAACCAATATCATATCATAATCGTATTATTAAACATTATTTATCGGTAAAATTGTCAAGGTCAAAACTATAAAAATACAAGTACTTAAAACTAGAAATTAATTAAATTGAATTTGAATTTGTCCCATCTGTTTTAAAAAAGGTCTAAAGCCATGATCATATAGAAAAAAAAAAGACTTATAGTATAGTATAATCCTAGTAGTTTATCTTGCCCTACGTAAAATATCTTTTGATTGAAATAATTTATCATTGCTATTAGTATATTATTAATGTATCCTGTATTATCTTTCTATAACCTCCTGCCTACAACAGTAGTATATCCAGGAGGAGATAGGCCTATCGAGAAATCGGGAATTTTCCGAATCTTGTTAGTGATGTGTACGGATATTATTGAAGAAACTAAAATTAATGTATAAGGTTGATAACCTAAAAACAAGGAAAAGGTCATCAGTATTTTTTTCATGTAGGGGTCCCTTTCTAATGGCCAAAATTGCTTTAGCCGCCACCGGGTATACCTCATGGTATGAAGTATTATTTAGAAATTGATTTATTAAGTAGTTTTTTTTTATGTAATGTTTAAACAATATTTTAATTTTCACCGGTTTAGAATATTAGGTATAAAAAAGAGAAAATCTTTCCTTTTTTTTTTTTTGCACGGTCTTTGTGCACGGTACTATTTACTATACTAAGAAATTAAATACGACGTCTTCATAATATATAATTACAAAATTGTTTTGGAATAAGTAATACTGTAACAGTTGTTACATCAAATATATTTTATTTACTTCGACTGTACTCAGCAATCACTAATATTCTACTTGATTGTAACCAAGTTGTGTTTCCAAAATTAAATATTATTATTATTATGTACACGATAATAATACCTAATAGTAATAATAATAATAACAATAATCATAATAATAATAATAACAATAATAACAATAATAATAATAATAACAATAATAATATTATAATTATATTATAATTATATTATTGCATAGTATTATTATTTGCATAAGATAATTTTTATTTTTTTTTACTAATGATATAATCCTCATTGGTTACGTCTTTCAAAATTTAATCAATTATACCCAATCATTATAATCGATGCTAGAAAAATAAATCGCTTAACAATGAACGATAAATTAGCCAAAAAAAAAAGTGCTGAACGCAATTACTATTATTGATTTGCAATTATTGAGTACGAAAAAAGCATACAGAGTGATTTGTTTTTATCATGATTCAGCGAATATCTATGCAACGAATCGCACAAAAAAACAAAATTGTACCTTTATTCCATACAGCATAATAACAAGTATTATATAGACAAAAATTCGAATACAGAATATTTTTCTAAAACATGATGATTTTATATTATGCATAGCTTTTAGAAGTTTATGAGTTATAAAAATTTAAAGTTTAAACCATGAAGGAGTAGAGGAGAGTGGTTATTAGAAATGGTTATGGAATGTATTGATCTTATAAGGATTAGGGGTAAACACGTGAACATATTGTTTAAATAAAGCGATAAGTAAACGATAAGTAAGTTTAAACAATGTCTGTGTTGGTAAAAGCACAGAATTGATGTTCATTTAAAATCGTTCGAGGAAATACACAAAAAGGCATCTTGTACTTACTTATCAAATAAATTGCACTTCTTTGGCTAGTCTGTTGATGTTTTTTTTAAATAATTTTTGCACTTTAAAATTACAATTTTCTTCAGTTAGTCTAACTGTTTTTTTTTTGTTTAAGCATAGGTAATAATTTTTAAACACATACAATATAATAATGTATAGTGTAACAAACGTGTTTATGCTTTTAATTAAGAGAAAATAACGGTTTTAATATAAGTAAGAAAATTCTCGTCGATATCAACTATGTATTTTAATACATAATTATTAATCCGAACAAATGAACACTGATTTGTTAGTAAACAAAATCGAGTCAATGTGAATCGCATAAACAATAATTATAATAATATATTCATATAAGTTTACCCAGTTGTTCCGATGTAAATATATACAATATATTTATACAAAAATGACACCTTAATTACTATACTAATTTTCATTGACTACCGGATAAAATAGTTTTTGTGGTAATAAATTCTATTAGTTCTACAATTATTATTTTATAATTTTATACTGTGTATATACATATGCAGTTGTATCGCATTTAAGCAGTGGCTAAAGAGGGAAGTGTGGAGAGGGGTGGATTTGCTCATTTTTATTTATTTTATTTACAATAATTCCTCCTTTAATTTAAGTCATCGTAGTCCGAGGATACGCTTTAGTTATTGTTGTTGAGAAATTATGAATGTAACTTTGAAAACGCTAATTAGTTTTATTGAAAACAGTATTTATGAAGCAGACATATGCGCAGGGTAATATTTGAGAGAGAGTGCGCAGTTTATTTATAAGCCTTATTAGTATAATATGTGTTTGAAAAAATTTGTGCGAGATCAGTAAATATTTTGGAAATCTTGTCTATATGATGGCTTTTCTGAAAGTTTAGTTAATCATCGGGTAAGAATTACTTGGTTAAGAACAAATTGTTTAAAAGTAAAATACATATAGAACTTTAAAATTAATAATATAAATAATATATGTAATGTAAAATCAATATATATGTATATAATTTAAAGGACCATCTTAACAGTCCTCCGTCTTTCTCTATATATTGATTTTTCTCTATCACCGGTTTTTTTTAGCTTATTACGACTCCTGCACACGCATAACACGCCCATTGTTCATAATCTTCTGTTTTCTTCTATTACGTTTACTATTTAATTCTTCTTTGGAATAAACCCTAGGTATTCTACCTCTTTCTTGAACTTCTCTTTTTCAACTTTTTCTCGTTTTTAGTGACCAATGTTAGTAGGGATTACGAAAAGAATCAAAACAACATGATATAATTGCTTTTTAAATTCTTTGGATTTGGATGGGCTATTTTCAATAGTCAAATATAGTAATATAATTTTTGAGACTATATTTTTATTTGCACAAATTATAAAATAAAGGGGGTGATTATATTATTTGTATTATTTGTACGATGAAATTACACAGATACGTCAGTATAGTGAAGTACTAGAAGTAGGCCAATCATTTATGAAAAAAAAAATACATGTAACATATATTTTAAAACTAAAAAACATCTGTTGAGATTGTACCTAATAATTATTACAGTATTTAAAAAAATACACCTTTAAGTTCTTTCTAAATATATAATACAATTAAGTTACATGATATTTTATGGTATAACAAATATTTGATTTTTGCATGAATTTATTATACGGCATTAACAAAATCATTTTTCCTGTATAGTAATCAAATACATAATTGTATAATGTTTTGTTCTCGCTCGTAATTGTATTGGGTACATGCATAATATGATATTTAAATTTGAATTACAGGGTTCTTCCATATTAATATTGTTTAAATTGCATTTAGTTAAATATTATTATTGGGTTTTTTAAAATAGTCACCTATAATCTACAAAAAATAATTATAGGTTTTTTAATAAATGATGCAATTTATATTGTCATCATTTATTAAATAATAATAAATTATGAAAATTATTTTTTTATTTCATCAGTCTTAAAAAGCGGTAACCAAATAAGGAGTGATTCGATGTTGATGTAATTAATTCCATTACATTTATATTTCCTCAATGAAAACAAAGAAAAAAAAAAGAAATACTTAATAATTTTAAACATGTATTCTCAGAAAATTTTGAAAAAAATTTTAAATTTAGTATATTAAAACAAACCATCGTAGTTGCACACATGATGTTCTAACCTTTAAGTTTAATAAAAAGTCAATTTACTATAATATTGACTCTATAAGTACAAAAGTGGTCCTATTGATCGCATATTCATTATGCCATGTTTTTTTTAAGATGGAGACAACACATGCTAGTGTCACGTTCTCTTAAGTATGTATATTGGTAATAAGTATATAGTATAGTATGTATAATTAATTATTTTAAGGGGTTGAAATACATCAATTTTTGTTTGTTTTAGAAGAATAAACGGTAGAAAACTAAAAATAGGTACTTCCCAATGTCCAATTTTATTTTTAAAGTATCAACAAATACGATCATAAATTTGCTACGTTATTTATGAAGTTGATTTTCAACTGTAACTTTTGAAGTCTTCAAAATTGGGATATTCTTTTTGAAAATTACGTAAAAAAAACTACGCTATTCCAGTTTATGTGGTCCACATTAAATTTGAACCTATTTATTTTGGATAAATCATCAAATTTTAAAGAAAAATCAACTTCCTGAATAATCTCGACAAACCCATACTTACTGCAAAAATTTAAATCGGACATTGGGAAGTATGGTCTAATTGTCCACCGCTTATCCGTCTAAAACGTTATGTTCGTGCGTAAAACCGGGTTTACCTCTTCTCCTTAAATAAATATCGAGCAGTTGATTAGTAGAAAATTCTTATCGCTAAGGTGGTTATTAAAAGGTAAAAATAATTTTCAAATTTACCAAAATTGGAAACCGTTTACAACAAAAATAAAAAAGAATAATGGGGACGGGTGCAACCACTGCTTTTTCAACAATAAATATATCATTTTGTAGTAAAATAATTAAATTAAATAGGCTTTATATATTTTCTTTAATAGTATCTGTTTAACGTTGTACTGATTTTCACAGTGTTTATAAGTTTTTTCCGGTTTTCTCATATTTTATCATGGTTTTTCACATTTGCTTTGAAAACCGTGGGGAAAATCAAAAACTGACCTCTTTAAAGTACTTATCCATGCATAATTTCTTTCAGAAACGGTGCTACAAGTAGAAGTCCTTCTGATAGAAAATTTGCGCACAGATAAAAAAAAAAAAAAAATTAATCATCTTTGTAAAACTTTAAGTTCCTTCGATCCACTCAGAATCTAAAAGTATTTTGAATTGAATTAATTAAATTTATCAAAAAATATTTAATTGTTTATGTGACGTTAAACAACGAAAACGGGTCCGTGTTGTAAAGGTGAACCACCCAACCTCAAAAATATATTTATTTCGATGACCCATAAGGAAAAAAAAAATACACATATTATTAGTAATTGATTATTATGCACCTACTTATTATATAATATTATTTTAACGATAGTTTCTTTTACTACAGGTAGTAAGAACGAGTGTTCAGTGTATTAGTGAAATATGTATAGGTTATTCCTATTTACCTTGGAATTCGATCATTAATATGTATAAGTATTAAGTATTAAAATTCACAACACCCAAAAATTTACTCCGTGAAAGAGTGAATGGAGTAGGTAGCCGTAGCTATGTTTGTGAGTGTAGGTTAGTATATTCCATGTTACCAGTACTATACAGTATGTTTTTCTGACAACACAAAATATTTCGGTTGGAAAAAAAGTATAAGGTTACAAGTTTGCAAATTTCAAACTAATTTTTACCAAAATTTTAGGTAACACAGTGCATGCATGGGAAATAAAACATACATTTCCTAAAATTAAAAACATATATTCTTAGTACTAGATTAAAATTGTAGATGCTGTTTTTTTCGAGCAACATTTGATTGATTTACATTTTTGCCACTTAAAAAATTACTTAAGAAATTGATATACAATTATCTAAAGTTGATTAAAAATGATCGTTTGGTTTATGTAATTTTAGGATTATAATTCGTCCTCGTTAAATAGCTAGTAGTCAAAATTTGTCACTATTAAAGTTATTAGTTAAATTAATTTAAAAGTTCATAATTTTAATTGAAATAAGATATGACTGTGTAATGCGTGTATACCGGACAATTTTTGAGGTAGATAAAAATTGTGCGAGTCAATGTTGCAAAAAAAAAAAAATTCTATTCAAATTTAATATTAAAAATAGGTATTTATATTTCAAAAAAAAATACTTTTTAAAATATTTTTAGTACAGATATAGATAATTTATTATTATATTATTTTAAAATGTATTTGGAATACGCATTTGATTACTAATACAGATACTTTTGAAAAGTATTAAAAATCACTTTCAAATATTTTTGTTTATAAAAGAGAATAGAGTCGTTAATGTTCGGGTTTTTCTCTTGTATAACACTGGTTATAACATTTACTGTAGTATACGTTAAAATGTTAAATCCAACTATTACTAATTAACTTTCAACGTGGTGTAAATCGGTACACTTAAAATAGTTACGAAAAATATTTGTTTTAAAATGTTTAAATACAAATGTATTTTTAAAATATTTCAAATACAATATGGTAATTCCCGTAGAAGTACCTATATACAATACGTATTCGAACAGCGTAAAAGTATTTAAATGTTTTCACTTAAATATCTAGGCATTGCTTTACGAGTCTGGTTTTATCACGCTCCGCGAGGGACAGCGATTTTAAAATTGACTTAACGTGTGTATTTTGTACCAGAGACCTTTATATATATATATATAAAAAAAAAAGTCCGTCCAGATGAAATATTTCGTGTTATTACTAGGGTGAAACACACTGTATGTAAAACAGAAAAAAAAAAACAAATAAATGTTTATACCTACTACTATAATACATAATAGTATTATTAGTTATGTGTATTGCGAAAATCGCCGCTAGCGATGGGATTAAACGTGTTTTCCGTCGAGATGTAAATATAATAATTATAGTTTGTCCCGTGGTGTACATTTATACGATTTATATGATAATTATATCATATTGTTGTAATGATGTTATGTACGTACATTATAAAATGAAAACCAAAACTGGAACCTTCTCAGCGCTAAAAACGAAATTATGAAGGCGCCCATCAATAGTGATACCTAATAATAATTATCGCCGGACGGCTATACTAATTATGGAAGCACGATAATTACATCATATTATTATATTAGTGTTATGATGATGTTTTGAGTGAAGAGGAGGGGGAAATGATTCAACAAACCCGCCGGTTTATAAGCTTAAAGATTGATCGCGTTTGTAACGCATTATTTGTCGGCCGTCCGAGTTTGCAGGTTTTTCGTACTCACCAGCCCACTTAAATAAATATTTTAAGTACTTGTACCTAAATAATTTCACGAAACCAACGGACACGCGGCCGCGGCGATGGTTGAAAGTAATCTAAATGTAAGTAATTACAATATTATTACCTAGCGGCATTACTGGAACGAATCGAATCGATTAGTAATTATTTCAAACTAAATTGCGCTTTTTTTTTTTTGTACGTATTATCTTTTGTTAGGAAATTTTTTTACGAACGATACGTCTTTTTTGGTTGGTTAGGTTGGTTTTCATTTCATAAATATCAGACGGAATCTGTTCAAAATATACTTAATTATATTACACATTGTCGGGGGGGGGGTGAAATATAATCATTTTCACAATCATATAGAACAGTATACTGATACTAAACGGTGTTTGAAATATTTAAGGAGTGCAATATTTTGTATTTCCAATATTTATTATTTTAGATTTTCAGTGTAATAGTTTTACTACGGTGTGAGTGTTTTTTTTTTACTACCTGTGAACAAGTCCCCAGTGTTCGCTCTTTTTTTTATCTGTTTTTACTTGATTAATGGTTTTTTTTTTCTAATTTATTTTTGACAGATTTAAATGTTTTTAGGTTTTTACAAACATATACGGTGGTGGTATAATGGATTTTTCATGGCGGGGGGGGGGCGAGTACGAGACTGATTTTTGAACAATATTAATATAAGTTACATTATTTTTTCGTAACGCATATTGTAATATAGGTATCGTTTCATAATATTTTTTGTTATTAATATTTAAGGGAAAACAAATCATAAGAGGTACATATTCCCCTTACAACTTCCTCCCGTTGGACCGCCTCTGAATTTCTAACCTACAAAATTAACTATACAACGTAATGTTTCAAAAATAAATAGTCGTATGTGTACTTTTGTTTTAAAACGTGTGACATATCGTGACAACTATACGTGATATTTTTATAATAATGCAGTATATTGCACTGTTTGACGATGTCGAATCAAATATTGGTGAGTATATCATATAAAAACGCAGTAAACATACCAATATTTGTGTGAAAATAATACTATACGGGTGGTTATATAGTTTTGACGTTAATAACTTGTTTGGCATGTTTTTTCAAACAATTTTTATTTCAATATACGGCACCAAAGAAATCGGCGATTAATGCGCACTTTTTTATTCTATGTGTACACCTATAGTAGACAGTTTCGAAATGTATTCGGCCGAATCGTATCGTACAATATAATTCAATTACTATTATTATACTTTTATTATATGGTATCAATGTAAAAACGCGGAACAATAATAATATAATAGGTTTTTTTCAAATACCTACATTTTAATCGTCGTCGATAGATATTTTTAATGTACTCGTTTAATGCGTTGTGATGAAATTCGAAACGATGATGTAAAAAACCATTTAAAAATAACGCGCGTTTATTATTTTTTCTTTAATTGCGAGTGTAATTATTATTATTATATAATGTAAAGAAGAAAACATGAACAAAATGAGTAGAAATAATATGGAATTGACAAATAAAATATGATTGAAAAATGTTCAGCATTTAATGCTGCCGTGGACAAATATCTTATGTTGAATGCAGGCAGGTTGCATCAGTTCACGATTGCAAATATTTTTCTATCACATTGCATTTTTCGTATTATTTCTAATTATTGCCATATTATGATGCATTTTGTTTATTATTTAAGTAGTAGTTTAATATAAAAAAAAGTTGTTGTGTAAACAATTTTGTAAAACAGTGCGACAAACAAATTAATGTGTTACCGTAAAGATTCTAACCTAACCACGCACACTAAATCGGTATTAAGCGTTTAGAAGTTATAGTGAAAACCCACATAGATACATATGTGCATAAAACCTAAACACATACATTTAGGTAAATAAATAGATATGCATCATAGACACTCGAGTATTTTGAATATAATATTTTGATTTCTAAAAGAAAAATAAATTTTAAATCAATAATATACACATTATTATCGAAACGATATAAGAAAAGTTTGTAAAAAAAAAAAACAAAAACCACTAATTTTTATAATTTATTTATTTATTTATGTATCTATATTAAACGGGTTTAAACCCTGTAGCAAAATATAAATAATACGTACAATTTCTGCGTAACTTGATAATTTGATATTTTATATATATGGATACAAAAAAAAAAAAAAAAAAAAAAAAAAAAAAACAGTATAATAAAAGTATAAATTATTAAATTAACAATAAATAGTAACAGAAGTAGTCAAGATATGTTAATAATTCAAAAAACATTAATTTAAACAAGTAAATTTAAGGCAATATAAACATTATGTTTGAAAGCATTGCGTGACATAGAAAAAAAATCTACATGGTCCGTTTATGGGCTGGTAATAATGTAAATATCATTATAATAGCTTATGTCTTGTTGCACCACACGCTACTTCCTTCAGGGGTTAAATTCTCCCGCATTGACTTCATACTTTGGAATCTCATCGGTTTAATAATATTTTATCCTGAAATTATATAATATACTTCGGTTAAAAGTTACAAAGAAACATAAATTCTTATTTATTGAATGGGAATTGGCTTTTTCGGCTTTAGTTTTGAAACTCTCATTGTAGGATACAGGTGAAACAAAATATAAGACTGCAACTTGTTCATAAACCATGATTATTAATTACAACAATCAATCCTGTCACATTGGTAATTTTTGGCCACGTTACCGTAGTATATTAATATGTATATGGATAAATATTTTCGATAATTTATATTAATAAGTTGTTTCAGACTCCCGTGGTCCAAAATGGATCGAATTTGGATGCCACAAAAGGGGAATCGATGACGCTGATATTTTCACCGGGCAAAGACAGTGTTGGAACACTGGCAAAGGCTTTAAAACTTTTCAAGGTATAAAGTACAGTTTCAAATTACATATATTGTTTATTATGAATTAAACTAAATAACATATAACCAATGCACACTTTGAAGAAAAGCTATTTAAAAATCCATAGGTTAAGTTACACTAATTTGTTCAAGACATATCTTTTTGTTTAATTTGTCGCATTTAAAAGTACAACTATCGGATAAAAGATAAAAAGCTACGCAGTTAACGAACCAATATACTTATTACTAATAATATGATAAAACGGGCTAAACAAAAAAATATTTCAACGTCTAAATATGTTATAAAAAATAACCCATAGTTGGTTATGGTAAATCAATCAGCTAAAGTTCCATCTATGGGTAACATATATTTTTAACATCCTATAAATATCATTAGAGAATTAGAAAGAGTTATTGATTCACAAAAGTTTGCCAAACCCCAAACATCATACAATTTTATACCCCCGTAAAATTGTTTTCTTGTCCCTTGTTAAACGCGACTCCGATGGTAGGTAATTCGGTAATTGAATCTATTTTTTTGCTGTGAAATTTAACCGGTGTTGCCCACTGAAATCAACTGAAAAACTGAAAGGTGGTATAAGACACATAGACGTGCTTCGTAATTTTGTGCATTATTAACCGATTTTACGTTTACACAGGAACACAATGTGAACCTTCTGCATATCGAATCCCGGTCGTCGGACCGTATGTCGAACCAGTACGAGTTTTTCGTCGAATGTGCTCCCGGAGGTGACATCGAAAAGGTGATCGAAATACTGAAGAACACGATGACGTACTGTTCGGTCGTGTCCAGGAACGGAATTCACATCGGCGAAGAAGAAGATAGTAAGTGCCCGTCTATCAGGCCAGCAATCTGCGTCCGGTTCGCTACAAATAGGTTAGGTTAGGGTAGACGATTAAGATTGCCGGTCTGCTCCGAAAATGGATTTCGTTAAATTGATATCTAGGCACGATGGCACATCGAAAACAATTATTTTCGTTTTAACAGTAGCCTCTTAAAAAGACTAATATAAGAGATGTATATTTTCAGAATCTACCAGTTTTCGACAAACATAAATACTACTGAATTTGATTTTAAACGTGTTTTCGTTTAAAATAAACATCTCAAAAATTAAAATCACTCCAGATATATTTTTGTTTCAAGAAATCTGTTGTTATTAATGAAAATGGTTTTTTTTCGGCTATCCTTTATTTTAGCGGTTGAAAAAAGTATTTTTTTCTTTCTAAATTTCATATTGGTGGCTTCGAGACACCAAACGATCGAACTGTTGTAGTTATAATAGATAATGGAAATATGGAAATCGTTGAACTCGTTCAAATTGTTATTATTGTTAATTTTTTTTAGAATTCATACCATGGTTCCCGTTGAGGATCAGGGACCTGGACAAGTACGCCAATCAGGTCATGTCTTACGGCGCAGAGCTTAATGCCGACCATCCCGGGTTCACGGATCCCGTGTACAGGGCTAGGCGGAAGTATCTAACCGAGTCGGCGATCACATACAGACAGTTGAGTATACCTAATTAATTAGTGCCGTCACCTGCTAGACCTGTTGACATTTGTTTTTCCCGGTTGGATTAATGCAGCGGAGAAAAGTTACCACACGTCAATTACACCGAGGAAGAAGTGAAAACGTGGGGCACCGTGTTCAGGGAACTGACCAAACTGTACCCGACGCACGCGTGTAAAGAATTTAATCACGTGTTTCCGCTATTGATCGAAAATTGCGGTTACGGAGAGAACAACATACCGCAGTTAGAGGACATTTCCAATTTTCTTAAGGGTAAATAGCATACCTACTTACGTTACCAGTGACGGCTCAAGTATTTTCATATCGGGTATGGGGATATGGGAGGGGGATATGGATAACTAACTAATTATAGATAACTAATAATTCTAATGATATTAAAGTTATCAATAATAGTAGATAATCGTTTTGTAATATTCCTTCTAATTCTTATCGTCACAGACAGTACCGGATTCACTCTGAGGCCGGTGTGCGGGCTCCTGTCGTCCAGGGACTTTTTGGCGGGACTGGCTTTCAGGGTGTTCCATTCCACCCAGTACATCAGACATCACAGCAAACCGCTGTACACTCCCGAACCGGACATCTGTCACGAGCTCCTGGGTCACGTGCCGTTGTTCGCCAACCCGGCATTCGCGCAATTTTCGCAAGAAATCGGACTGGCGTCGCTCGGCGCGCCCGAGGATTACATAAAAAAATTGGCCACGGTAAATTCATACGGACGCAATAACAATATAACAGTGACGATTATTGTGTTTCGTCGCGTTGAAATACTTTCGTGAACTATAAGTTATAATAATATGATGCAGTCACGCGCACCGATTTCCCCCTGAACATTGCCGAAAAAATCGTAACACCGTTTAAATTCGATAATAGTTTTGATATTCTATACGATAATAGAAAAAGTTGAGATATTTATCCGAATAAGAAATATGCAATACAGAGCGCAACATCATTGAACGCAGTTATAAACGGAGTTCGGAAATTATAGCATTAAAAAAGTGAAAATTGAACACTTTAACATGCGTTTTAAAAACACCAAACAGAACTGGACATATAGAAATATGGTAAAATTACCAAACAAATTATATGATTCTTTGTCTAAAATTTTGCTTTTAACGAAGACATGGCGTGTTTTATTAGAGTTATAATTCAGTTTCACGACAAAATATTTGTATTTCCTTTAAAAATATGTTTATGTTTAGTACTTCGAACAGTTTCTTCATATAAGAACCCCCCCCCCCCTCCGTTTAATTATAGATTCGAAAAGAAAATATTTTTTTAGAACTGTTAATATGCAATAACAATAATATCGGATTTGTCGTTTATGAGTTATAATAACTAGGGCTTCAATTCAAATGTATTAATCACCATCAAAATATATTTAAAAAAATAAACGGACATGCTTCGCACGATGGGTGGGCCACTACTGTAGGTGAGAAGTTGGGAAGGTAGAGAGGAAATATTTATGTCTGTACGCAACGATTAATTATTGGTAACGAAAATCGATTGTGAGCGGAGTTCGGTTATACATATTTTGAAAGGTGGAATATTTACGATTTAAAAATAAAACATTTCGTTAATCTTTCAGGTTTTCCTACTTTTCCGATTGATTATGGAAACCACTTGGGAAATCAAAAAACGACCTACTTAAAGTACCACCCCATAAAAAATGTATCAAAAGTGTACAGTATACACCGTATACTCTTTTAATGTATAAAGACTATGGGTAAAAACACTTGAAATATGTATAAAATAAAATTGAACGGTTTAAATAAACAGCAATTAAATTCACTAAAAATTCTTCGAGAAAATCGTTGGTCCTTGGTAAATTAATAAACTAACACATCGTTGAATTATGCAATACATTTGTTTCGCACTATAACATGTCTAATACATACTAAAGAGACTATGCAAATGCTATAACATCCGAGTCCCGGTTATAATATTTCATCAGTTTTGCCAATATATTACATGCGGCACGGAAAAACTGCAAACTGTCCAGTTTCTTTCGGGTATCGGTTCCACACGTCGTCGTCGTTTGAACGATCGTCCAGCGGGCCTATAAAATCACGACCTAATCGCGAAACGCGTCAAGCACACAATAACAAACTCGTGCGTATTATTATTGATAAAAACCCGTAACATCGGTAGGTGCCAATAACAATAACGGTGTCTGTTATAGATATCGTAACGACATCGGTGGTTTTTATTTTTTATATATTTTTTTTTTTATACCGTACACTCAACTATTTTTGTCGTTACCGTAAGTAGTAACAAAAACAACAACAAAAAAAGCCAGACGGGACGAACGGGATTTAGTTTAAATACTGGTCGGAAACAAAAATCGATTCTGAAGTTACACTTACTTAAGTCGGTATTCGTATCTTTAGTGACTAAAGGATATCATATGAGCCCACATAATAGGGAAATTGAAATTTCATAATCCGCTGTGATATCGTCTTTGCAGATCTCTACGTGGTACAAATAAATTTTGTCTATGACCTCTGCAGCGTATCTCGTCATTTGTCATCAGTTTTTTTTTTTTAAACGAATTTCTAGAAATACTATCGGGAATCTGGGAAAATGTCTAAAATGAATTATCATGGGACGGGAAATTTGCATTTCGGCGTGAAAGTTGTAAAGCGTTTAAGCCATAAGGTCGCTGGGAGTCCAAAGGGATTCTATAGTCGGAGTCTTGTGTGGGATTCTAATAATTGCTGATAGGATTCCCTGTACGTGTCCAATAGGAATTTCTTGTGGGAATTTCCTGGGCAATCCCGAGGTGAGGTTAAGTAAGGTTTCTAAACTTTAGAAAATGAAAGATCTTTTTGATACCGACCGATAAAGCGGTCGCAGACAAGAGTAGCAAAAACAAATACGGTTTTTTAAAACCAATACGTGATATTGTTACGTTGCAGTGTTATTGGTTCACCGTCGAGTTCGGGCTGTGCCGCCAGGACGGCGAGCTGAAAGCGTACGGCGCGGGGCTGCTGTCGTCGATCGGCGAGCTCGAGTACTCGCTGTCCGGCAAACCGGCGCTCAAGGAATTCGATCCCGAGGTGACGGGCAACGAAGAGTATCCGATCACTGAATACCAGCCCACGTATTTCGTGGCCGAGAGTTTCGACGACATCAAAGAGAAGCTGATGTGAGCGCGTCATACTTACCGAATACGTGTTTTCTATTTCGTTGTGTGTGTTTTGCATGTGTAACTCATTCGTCGTCTCGCGTTTTTTCCGCAGCAAATTCGCCAAGACAATACCGAAAAAATTCGGAGTCCGGTACAACCCGTACACGCAGAGCGTACAAGTGTTGGACTCGAAAATGCAGCTCCAAGAACTGGCCAACAACATCAGCAGCGATCTGCAGATACTGCGGTACTCTATGAACAAGATGGATTGAATACGACCGACCCCGCGGCCCACAGAACCCCGTCCGAAATCGCCAGCCCGTTCCCGTCGCGCGCCGCAACGTAAACGCGTCACGATGCCGTAGCGATTGTTACCGTTGTCGTCATTATCATCGTCGTTAGACCGGTGTTATTATTGTTATTATACCTAGTTGTTATTATTATTGTTATCACTATTATTTGTATTGTATACATCAGTAATAAATATATATATATATATGCAAATAAATTGTGTTATTGCGACCGGGAAAATGTGCGTTAACGCCGCCGCGCAGACAACGTGAACCCGGGCCCGGTTACGCAACGGCACCGCGAAACGCAAATGCCGCCGCAGTCAATCGGGTCCGATTTCCACCTGTCCATAACGCGCGTTATTATATTATTGCGCAACGCCGCCGTCGCCGGGCGTGCGTTGGCCCGGGCGTCAAAACCGCCCTTGACTAATTTTGTTTAATGAAACCGAACGACCGGAGCGACGGCGACGGTGCCGCGCAACGTTTTTCCGCGACACCGAAAAAACATTCTTTCACGCAACCAAAACCCAGTTTTAACGAAATTATACGTTACAGCCGTGCACGGTACGCGCGACGATTTGCGTGTACACGGTCTGTGTGCGTACGCATTGTACACGGGCCCGGGGCGCGCGCACGCGGTTTTGTCCGTTACTGATTTTCGGTTTAGTTTCTGGACAACGTGCACGCAAAAATATACCGGTTATATAGAACAACAGAACTCTGTCAAATATATACAATGTATACATATATATGTACGGTTATATACGCGTGATATTTTCGTTTGTCGTACCCGTTTGCGCGGTATTATTCGGATACACGTTGCGAAACGTTATACAATATTGCACGCGCTCATTATGATGCAAACATGCGCATGTACCTCCTACCGTACGTACATATTAATAAAGTATACAACTAGTATTATCTTATATATATATTATAATATGTATATAAATATATTTTTTTTCTATATATATATATATATATATATATAAATATAATTATATATATTTCACGTGTCAATAATAACAATAATAATAATAATAATAAACAAAACAAAAACAAGACGTATTTTATATACGAAAAAAAAAAAAAAAGAAAAGAAAAAAAAAATTAATATTAACGAGTAAATAAACGAAAAAAAAAAAAATATAATTATAATATATTATATAACATTAATATGTTAAAACACTGGGTATCGTGGCAAACGTAGACGAATATTACAACGAGTTTTACTTGATTTGTTTCGGATGTGCTTCCGTTCGGTTGCGCGATTTACTATTATTGTGCGGTCGGCGCGGTATTGCGGTGTCCCCTCAGCTCGCTTCACTCGGCCGTGCCGCCGGTGCCGCCGCCGTAGTCGGCTATCTCCACCTTGCTGAACATTTCGTCGAGCGGCACGCCCTCGAGCCTCGGCGCGGCGGCCACGGGCGCCGGCGCGTCCACGATCGTCTTGTAGTACTTGCTCAGCCCTTCGGGCTGTTCGCCGTCGTTTCTCTTCACCAGAAATCCCGCGTGGCTGGCTCCATGACCGCCGCCGTGGCCACCGCCGCCGTGGCCGCCGCCGCCGTGTCCACCGCCGCCGCCGCCGCCGCCGCCGTCAACGCCGTGATGGTGCAGGTGCGCGTGGTGTCCCGAATGCTTGTGGCCGTGCGACGCCTGCGCGTGGTGGGCGTGCGTGTGCTGTGACTTGCCGTGGTGTTCGTGCCCGTGCCCGAAGTTGCCGTGGTGTCCGTGCGAGTGTTCGGCCTGACCGTGGTGCTTGTGATTGTGGTCAGCGTGGCCGCCGTGAGCGTGCGAGTGCTTGGCGTGACCGAGATGCTTGTGCGTGTGCCCGGCCGAGCCGTGATGCTTGTGCGCGTGCTGTCCGCTGAGCGTGTGCTTGTGCCCGTGTTCGGCGTGCGCCACGTGGTTGTGCGCGTGGTCCGAGTGACCTTGGTGGTGGTGACCGTGCTCGTGCTGCCCGTGGTGCTTGTGCGAGTGTTCAGCCGCGCCGACGTGCTTGTGCGAATGCGCTCCCGAACCGACGTGCTTGTGCCCGTGCTCGGCTTTGCCGTAGTGTGAGTGCTTGTGCTCGCCCGTGCCGTGGTGCTTGTGGTCGTGGCCCGCGTGTCCGGTGTGCTTGTGGTCGTGGTGCCCGTGGCCGGCGTGTTTGTGATCGTGTTCGGCGTGACCCACGTGCTTATGGATGTGCTCCACCTTGCCCTCGTGCACGTGTCTGTGTATCACTTCGCCCTTGTGGATGTGTTCGCCGCCGCCGCCGCCACCGCCGCCACCGCCGCCGCCGTGTCCGCCGCCTCCGCCACCGCCGTGTCCGTGTCCACCATAACCGCTGTGCGTGTTATGGCCACCACCTCCGGAATGAAGATAGGGCGACGATAGTTCTGCGCCCGTCGTGAAGTCCCCATGTCCCAGATAACTATAATAACATTAAAATACATACGTCACCGAATTATTTTCATGACGCGTGCGTTAGTTACGGGTGACCTCGGTTCTGTACTGGTCACACAGGACCGAAAATGGAATGGGGCTGTATCGGACAGCTTTCCCCCTTAAACTTATTTCAGGCAGCAGCAAAATGGACTTTTTTTCACTATTACAGTTGGTCGAACGGGGGAACAAAAACTTTTTCGCCAATTCGACCGGCCGAATGGACCACGATCGGAAGTTCCAAAATGCATGGCATTCAAAGGCGAAATTACCCGGGGAAAAGAGGGGGCATATTGCACGGTCAAATAACTGTATACATGTTCCCGGTTGACCGTTCGCTTATGAATATTATAACTTTTAAAGGTTGATATGTTCAAAAATGTTTTGATATTTCTCATGGGTTTCTTTTTCGAGTCGGCCGAATTGTCAATGTTGAACGCCTCAACCCCCCCTCCCATCTAAATTATAAATCTCTTCGTTACGCCATCGGGGTTAGGGTATGAAAGTCTGAACAGTTTTTCCCCTCCTCAATCTCCGAACAATCGTGATAACCAATCGCTACGAAGTCCGGCTTAAATTCCCGAAATCGTCTCTTCTGGAACATCGGAACATCGGTTAATGCATTTCGGGGAGATTTCAACTTGCCTCCAAAAGTTACGACGTTAGTGATTGATACCCGAGATGAAAAACAATCGTTTTGATCGGTATCGGATAGATTTCCGTTTCAAAGTATACAGGCGGGTGAAATTACACGATTTTGCGTAAATACCGACGGTTGAACACATTTTAAAACTAACAAATTATTACAACGTAACAAATGTTACAAACAAATTCACCTTTCTTCGCCAAAGGAATCGTCGAAACAGAATAGCGCTAATAGTGTAAAGATGAACGCCCCGACAAGCTGAAACAGAACATCACAATCGATAATCAATAAATTAAATACTGTACAATAACGATTAACAACTTAATAATTATAACAATGTGGCCTACTAAAATGTAATCGAATTAACATTAACGACGTATTATTTTAAAAATGTAACGACGGTCGAGTGTTAATTGCTATTATCGAACTAGGGTTTTTTTTTTTCTATTACTAATATTATTCGAACGGTCTCTCGTCAAATCGTAATTAACTATACGAAATCGTTCCACAATGAAATCATATCGGGTGGGGGGGGAAACAATTTACAAAATACAACCGTATTGTTCACTCGGTGCGTTTGCAACGTACACCGAACCTCGTCGTATTGGTCATTGTTATTAATTCGGACGGATTGTTTGATGGAATACCGTGTTATTTATAGTCTCGACCAAAATTGGCCGAAAGTGAAACGTGTTCCGTAATATCGTTTATGTTAATGACATTAATATTTAATTCGAAATTCCGGCCACGTCTTCTCGATCGACCGGAACGGATTTCGACGATATTCTAATAACTGCGATGGATACGTAACTATTCGATAAGAAAACCGACCGATGCAGTCCCGAGGTACATTTTTTTACGAATATTTTGTTATTATTTTGGTTTTTAGCGAATTCTTGTTAATTATCGTTTTCATAACGACATTTCAGTAACTTTGAAAAATTCGCATTTGTTCAAGAAAAACCCAAAAAATCGTTATGTTCAAAATTTAATTGGGAATTTCAATGGGAAAAACAAAAAGACCAGCGTTAATAAATAATAAATAAAATAGACGCTAATAAGGACGTTGAATATTTCGGCAAACTGCGCGTCCGCTTGAAAATATAATTTTCGAAAATCATTTCCAAAACAAAATTGAATACTTCAAAAATAATGTTTTATATCAAATACAAAAAAAAAACAAAAAAAAAAAATAAATGTAAAAATAGTAATTGTACTTCATATACGTATTTGTTAACATTTATTTTTATTGAGTATTTAATCTAAAACGCTTTTTTGGGGGTTTTTTTTTTTTTTTACCATATTTTAATACAATTACGCTAAATTTGATGAATACGTAAATCTTCGTTAATTAGTATTTTCGCGGTTCGTACTGTACAGATTTACGCCAAAAGAGACTTTAACGACACGGTCAAAGACGGCGTTTTTTTTAAGAATAGTGGACAGACATCAGTCTTAATCGATCGAAAATAACAGTAGGGTGGTTTTTTTCGCGAATGAACAAGCGAGAATTTAGTTTGGGAATAAAAAAAAAAAAAAAATGCCAGCAATATTACAATGCGTATCACTATAAAGTAGTACGTGCGAACGGAAAAAAAAAAAACGGAGAAATTGAAAAATACATACGCGCAATAATACTATACATTGAAATTATAATATTATAATACTATGTAACTATTGTGTTTTATATATTTTTTTTTTTGTTGTGTTCTTGTTACTGACCATCTCCTATGGCTGGACGACACTTGTTTTGCGGTCAGAGAAGTACCATCAATGAATACTACGGGCGGGTTATAAAAAATTAAAAAAAAAAAATACCGACGGAAAACTGCTTCAAAAACGGAATACGGGTTATTATCGAATGTAGGTACGCTTGTGCACGTCGTCGTTGTCGGAGGACCGCGATCCGTTACGAGTTTGATATTTTTCGCGTGTGCGCGTTAAACGGGACCGTCGGAAAACGCGAAAACGACGTGTACGATTATGTAAAAAAAAAAAAAAAAAGAACTTATAAAAAACGAAAACGATATCGACACAAACACTCGACGCGAACGGCGGCGGGTCGCAGTAAATAGACGGTGGCGTATGGTAGCGCGTGCCGTTTTATGTGGCCGGAGTTTTGTTCCGGTTCGTTTAAGGGGGTCCTCTAGAGGGGATGATTTGCCGGACGCCTTACGTCACCGTTCTCGCGGCCGCAGGTAGGAGAAGGAGACGCAGTGTGTACGTTTATTTCGCGCTCGATTTTTTTTTTTTTTTATTATAATATTTATATATATTTTTTTATTTTTTATTTTTTTCCTACGGAAGATTATACCGAAGCGACGCGGTCGTTTTGATTGTGCGATAACTCGTCACCGCGCCGCCGCCGAGTAAATGATAATAATATTCCCGGGGGCAATCGGGACGCGATAATATCGGCGCCCATGCCGTACACCCGTCATCGCGGTCGGAGTTTTGTTTTTTTCCCCGGAGACCCGATTTTTCAACGTTACGAAATCGGATCGAACGCGTCGCAGCCGTTATAAGGTCGCTATAAGGTCCGCGAGTTAATCGGTATAGGTATCGCGACGAACAATCGATCTGTATTATTATTATAATAATTGCATTTGTTGGTTGTTTGGGACTTCTGCAATTCTGGCGTGCACCTTCAGGGCGGGCTTCAGATTTTCACGGTGGTAGATCTGTAGCCGTTTTAAACGCTGCCCAGGGTGCACTACGAGGAAGCGGTCTACCGTTGTACCCCGTGGTCACTTGACACCACGTGGTTCCTTGACACCACGTCGTTGTTCGACACGAATATAATAATAATTTTCGTTCGGTATATTATGCTATAGATACGGGCGCGATACGGCCTAATACGAAACGTCCAAGGAGGATACGAGATAAGGACGAACCGGGAAACAGAAAACCGTACCGAGCTGTTACAATAACAAGCCTGAGGCGTATACTATAACAGGCTTAGTTATAGTACGTAGGTCATGTACGTTGATGAGAAGGGCCCACATTGGCCACAACGTGGAAATTGAACACAAAACGACTAAGACGAAGGCCCGTGGGCATGAAGAGATAATATGATCGCTTATTATAAAATAGAGGACAAATACCGAATGAGAGGGAGTTAAGAAGATAATCGGTGATTGTGGCGTAGGGTTTAAACAGCCCGTAAAACGTCAACAGTAGAAGAAGTTGATGGGTCAGTAGACGAGATTCTGCAGCCCGCGACAACCGGCAACGTCGTTCATCAGTTTGATAATACGACGATTAACAATAACAATAATAATAACATTTTGGAAGTAACGGAATCAATTAGTATCGATATCATACAATAAAAATATCTAAAAAAGAAAAACCAAAGTAAAATAAAACGATATTTTCATTGTACTTCTAAGTTATTTGTTGTGTATTTCCTAAGGCATTCGCGATAATGGGGTTCAAACCCATTTCAAATCGTCACCGCGTTAATTTAATCCGAATATCTGTTCGAAATTCACACCACCGTACGAGTGTGGTGTAATGTAGATTTCACGAGATGATGTGCAAAATGATTCATGATCATTTATCTTAATAATGGCCTTGCAGGTAGCACGGTAACCGTCGGTAAGAGTCTCAATAGTAAAATCATCATCGTTTGGTAACAAAATATGTCAACGGAGCTGTCATCTAGATCAAATAAATATTCGTTATTCCTGTCTTTCCCGACACTGACCAAGTCTAATATGGATCGTAACTGAATATTATAATACGGCATGCCATCGCTAATATTCAAAACACTGGATAAAGTCGGTGGCGTATCCAGGCAGCTGAGGAGGCTGCCGCCACCCCCAAGTTTCGAGAGATTTCAAATTATTATTTTAAATATAGCTTTTTTAAAATAATTTATTTGCGCTATGTCGTAATATAATATGTAACTGATCAGCCTCCCCCACGCCGAAAAAATTCCTGGATACGCCCCTGAATATAATATTAAAGCGATTTGTGTTACGTTTTAATAGGTATTACTAATGTGTAAAAATATAATATTGAATATGTTTTTTTATTTTATTTTTTATGACAATGACTTTGACCTATATAATAAAATAACGTTTGAAATAAAAAAAAAAAAATGTATTATTACTACGTGTAAGATTTTTTTTTTCTTGTATTATTATTTAAACTCGTATTTGTATAGATTTTTACTGTTGTTTTTTTTTCACTCTTGATTTTTCTTTTTTAACACGATAATAATAATAATAATATTACTTATAAATACAATTGTGTATTTTGTTCGGCTGGCTAACCTAGTCACAATTTGTTCTATTTGGTTTTTTTTGCAATTGATTTAATACTCTCCGAATTCTTTCCACGGTTAATTAAACCCGATCTATAAGAAAACCAATACGCGCGTAGACGCCAGTAGGTCGTTGCTGCAGAAGTCGTTGAACTGTTGTTAATTTATAATTTGTTGAATTATTATAGTTTTTATTTTACATTAAATGATAATTTAACTTTGTTCGGAAAACACAATACAAAATAATTACTATTATCTAATAATATAATTTTAAAAAAATTGTCTTTGACCAAGACGCGAGTGAAGTCAAACGATTGGTCGATCAATACTTGCGATGGTGGATATAAATGGGTGGAGGATGAAGTGGCGATCTTCTCAATTTCTGGTACCTATATTAAACAATTAAAATTTGTTCCCAGCTTCAGATCTCTCGCTGGTCAACATGCAGTTTTCATTATATTTTTTATAAAATCAGATAGGTTGTGCGAGGTACTTATTGATTTTATTAGATTCCGCTATCGAGTATTACGATAAAGTACAGATATACATTAAATTCCCCTCTGTATTCTACCTTCCCAACTTCTCACCTACAACAGTGGCCCGCCCGTCGTGCGAAGTATGTGTTTTTTTTTATGTTTGACAACAGATCACTATATTCTAGTATTAAACTAATAGCGCAAAGTTGTCCAGGCTGACCGTTTGTAAGACGCAGACAGCACGTACGGTTATCACGTAAGTTACCTTATCATACAACTCAACATACGTTCTGACGGTGTCAATAATATGTTGTCGGATTCGAATCTGACGATCGCAGATCGAATTTGTCGCTCTTTTCGTTTTATTACACCACTTTATCCTAAACGCGTGGTGGTTTTTTCATTTACTATAGATAGCTACCATCGGGATTTCGGCTTAGAGGTTTACACTAAGCGTATACCTTCCGGTCTGGACAAACAGTGGAAAAACACGTACCCATGAATGTACACATTTGATAAGCGATCAAAGACACGACCGGTGGATTCCATTGGCGTCTGCGGTCCGTTGAAAATATGCGACGCGAATACGCCGCTAGGGGATTCGATAATGTACAAACCGTAACTGTAATAATGTAATACACATATATCAGACTCGATGTGTTGTCCCGACGTCTATACGGAACAATATAGTATTGTCGAGACGTTTTTTTTTTAGTTTTTTTTTTTTTTCTTTGTTTATTTCAACGATCATCCGGGAAATCACACCATTTCGTGTAGATAACATATTATGTTATTAACGTACATATACTTTCTCCACACACACACACACACACACACACACATAAATACAGAGACAGAGAAATACTCGTATCGGAAAACTCTGTATTGACCTCGCGAATTTCTTTGATTTTTGTTACAAAATAACGATCGTAATATAATTATATTTGCTTCACCGTTTGCGTTGCAGCGTAGTTATCGTTTCTTTAGAAAAACACACACACACACACACACACACACACACACACAGACACACACATACACACGCGCTCGTGCATAGACCGGACTCGAGAAAAACGACTTCTTTCGCCGTGACAAATTTTACAGTTTTACACTCGCGCGTTATAATAAAAATAATATTATGTCTCTCTGTATACGATATAATATATTATATATACAAATATAATAATAATAATAATAATAATAATATAATAAAGTAATGTGCATTATATATATTATTATGTTTCGTATCACCGCCGCAGCGGGTGAATTTAATGTGATAACGATATTATGACAGTGTGTATCGCCATCGGTACCTACCTATAGGCACCGAAATACAATAATATTATTATACAACGCATTTTTTGGTCGTAGAGATAATGTGTTTTACAAATAAAACAGTAATAATATTTGTATTTGGTATGGGCACGTGTTGCGGGAGAGTTTTGTTATATTATACACCCGTTTTACCTATATGCCTGGTAGGTAGGTAACTATATAATTTATAATTACGAAATATCCATTTGTCTGACCTCCGTGCGGGTTTTTTTTGTCGGGGGGACTCAAAAAAAAAAAAAAAAAAAAAAAAAACAAAAAAACAATAGCTACGTCGATCCGATCTTAGCGCAAATATTGCACTAGACGCGTTTTGTCACGCCGTCGAACAAGACAGTGGTGCGCGTATAAATATTATCGATTTCACGCCAGATTATTGATGGTTTATAATAATATATTATATTAGGTACAGGTACGTTTGCAGGTATATTATGTCCACTTGTCAAGGGCACACATTATCGTGTTATAATTATTATTGTTATTGTCGATTTAAATAATGGCTGTACTGCAGTATGTTACGACTGTTTTATGCGACCGTTTTACCCAAACGTCCGAACCGTTTTGTGTCAAAAAAATTGGTCGGCACATAGACCTACAAAGTAATTGACTGGTAGCAGAGATATATAGATAGACAGAGAGAGAGTGAGAGAGAGATTCGTGGACGAATATTAAAGATATAGCATACAAGTTATGATCATTTTTATCCATTAATAGTGAGAAAAAAGAGACGTTCAACGACAAAGACAACAACATTGTTGAAAAAATATAGTATAAGGTTTGTGTCCAGTTTAAATATACCTAGGTGCACAGTACACATACGAGTGTTACCATGCCTATGGGTACGTAGTCAGTTGGACTACCTGTCATTACTCTCGTTGATGCTTAGGTTGGGTCTTACATCAAAAATATACAAACAATTTTAATTTTACCACCGCAAATTTTTTGTTTTGTTGTTCGTAACCACTGAATCGAATACCTAATAATTTTCCGTTAAATCATTAATTATTACCAAGGTATTTTCGTTTTTTTTTTTTTCAGTGTTAGGCATCGAGTAGACCAGTAGAATATAACAAAAATATGACGTGTAACCGTGGATTACACAATGCTGTGTTACATGGAGACCGATAATCCCCCCTCCTCCCGAAAAAAATGTATTTAAATTATTGTTTAGGTAACGTAGATACGGAATTGAACAAAATTGAGATTGAAAAAATTAACAAATAGTGAAGAAATTCGGTTTTTTAATATTCTTTGAGCGATTTTGCACACCGATTTATCTACCCTTACTCAAATGTTACTAAAATACTCAAATCAATTTCTGATTCTGGTGTTCAATATTCTTAAAGAGTTTTCGTCATTATCTCAATCACGTCCACTTATCTTGACCCTGAACTACTTCAATGTTTCTCTCTTTCTACTCCCATTCTAACAAGGTTTTTTTCTGAAACGTTTACCCATCTTTTTTTGGGCCAAATCCGATGTGTATTGTTCGTTGGTTTCCGGATTCAGAACTGCTCTGCGTGTATCATTCTCACTTTTCGCAATACACTTGCAAGTCCATTGATACATTTTCATCGTATGTAGCTTATGACAGCTGGGTATGATGCCATACCCATTTTTTTTTGTACATTTTTATTAAATATCCTTTTCTCCTACACGCTACTTTCATGTGGTTATAAATTGGTTCACACATTGGCCTCCGTTTTCTATTTACCATTTTCTAGGGATTTATTTCAAAATACTATACAAATCTATTTATCTGAAAGATTCAACAAAATTTTGATTTTATTTTTAATGATATTTTCTCCCTTCAGAATCGATTATTTGATTGCGCAAAACGCTTGACTATGTTTAGTGAAAGACTATGTCACGCAAGAATTTCGGTGAATCAACGGTGGAAATCGTTTTCGAGTCCCGACTAAATTTCAACACGGATGTGTAACGTATGAGGGGAAAAATAACTCTTAAAAAATTGTTTGACACGACGAAATCGTAGTTTGGGAAACAGGAAAATTACAAATGTCCTTGGCTCGAGACGGCGAGACAATCAATTGGCTTTATTGCCAAGTAAATTTTAATCAATCATTCACATGGTAGTGCAATTACTAATAATATGACTATTTAAAATCCAAACTATTTTCAGAGTGAATTTTCGTCATATTTACTTTTAATTTCGATGCATCATATTTTTTTTTTATAGGCTTTTCAAGACGAAAATAATAAAAAAATACGGCGTTTCAAAATATATATAGCTATTGCCGAATTTCGTTCAGAATCGTTATTCGTTAGCAATACATTATCATTGTTTGCTGATGTAAATTTAATAATTTTATGTATCCTACCTTTTCAAATTGTTTTTTAAAATTTACTTTAAGGCGTTGAAAAGATTTACAAAAATGTAATAGAACTGATGTTCAGATGTATGAATAAAGATCCTACAATATTGCAGACAGTGATATTTATAGCGGAACTTTATAATATTTTGTGTGATTTTGAAGGGTTTTTTTTACAGTTCTTTTTCCGGAGCGCGCCTCCATTCTTCGTATTAACGGCGCAAAAAAAAAAAAAAAAAAAATTAAAATCGAAACGAGTAGTTTTGTCGCATGCCAATTCTTAAGTCTCAGACTACCCATTAAATTGTCAAGCAATGGCGTTTCTAATAATATGTTTTTAGCGTATAATATGAAACACCCTATGCCTCACAGGGGGTATTTTAAATCTTTATAACGGTTTAAAATGTTTACGGGCAAACTGATATCAATTATATAAAAATTACATTTGAATTACCAAAACAAAATTTAAAAACCGGACGGACATACTTTGCATCACGTGTGGGCCACTGTTGCAGATGAGAAATTGAGAAAGTATAGTGTATAGAGATGAATTTAATTTATATCTGTACGCAACGATGAATCATTGATAATAAATACGCGGGTCGTGGATTTAAAAAGATTGCTCACCAGTAACCTATTGGAACACCACCGTTATCGAAGAAAGGTCGGGGAAAGAAGCCACGGCGATGTTTATTTTGAAATTTCGAAAATTTCGAAACTCAGAAAATTTAATTTTCATATACTTTCAGTAAAAAAATAAACAAATACAATTTACAGACTGAAAGTAAAATAGGTTTTATTTGAAAAAAAAAAACAAGTACAATTTTAAATTTTATTTTACAAAAAGTCCAATCGGATTCAATACTTCGTTACAAACAATTATACAATTTACAATATATGATTTATTTTTGTTATTTACCGATTATTAGCAGATAGAATGAGGACGCGTTCTCGAAATACACCGTTAAGGTTTTGACGGAGAGGTACCGGAAATGTTCAAAACATTTTGTGTACGAAAAACACATCGCCTCTCATATTAAAAATGTAAAGTAATAACGTAAGCGGCACTCGATTGCACACGGGACTGGTGGCGGATTTTCGACATTTTTCCGGGAGGGATTCCGAAAAATCATAAGCACTTCAAAAGTATCCGTTGATAGATACGCCTCTTTTTTCAGGCAATGTTTTATCGAAATTATGTCGGAGTCTCGGGTGGAGGACGGTTCAAATCCCATGGAATCCCCCCCTCCTTCCTGAAAATCCGCCACCGTACGGAACTACCTATATAGTGTTTTTTGTTTGAAATACGTTTAGAAACAGAGAACTTGTCCTGTTCGTAGCTTCCTGACTCGTTTGTCGCTATCGGAAAACACTATACGATTAGTATATACAGGGCGATTCTTTTATTGCTAATACGTAACGGCGATGCGTGAACGTTTCCGGTGTCAACGTTTACTTTTCGACTTTACATTTTCAAATGGTAACCAGCGTATTACACGCACGTCGGAAAAAAAGAATATACATATATTTTTTATAAGTGCGAAATATTGAAAAAATCGTCTGAAAAAAAATAAACAAACTAAACAATTGTACTCATAATCCGCGGGCACATAAGGACATTATAATATCGTACGCTCGTCCGTGATAAAAGAACCGCCCTGTACACCTGTTGCCGTTTGACGGTTCGGTGTCACAGGATCCTGCGGTTTGGCGGAAAAGGTTTCGAGCGTTCGTGGTACGGTACGACCGGGTCCAGAGTGTAGTACACGTTTCTGACGATTTGCGGCGAGTCAACCGCCGAAACGGACATGACGCCTTCCGGCCGAGAGTAGTTGTGGTCGCCGGCGGCCGCCGGGAACGCGTTCGCTCGCGGCGGCGGCGGCGGTGGAGGCGACGGCACGGTGATCGGGAACGGGTCGTCGAACTCGGCCACGTTCTCCCGCACGCGGTATCCGTTTTGCGGCCCGATCGCGACGGGCAACTTGCGGTATTTGTACTGCTGCGAGCCGTCGTGCAGCAGTACCGGGACGACGGTCGCGGGGGCGGCCGCCGCGGAATGCCAGCCGGCCCCGAACCTCCCCGGCGGCTTTAGAGCGACCGCGTACTGCTGCTGCTGCTTCAGTTGTTGCTTCTGATGGTGGTCCCGCCACAGGTCACCGCCTGCAAAGTGCCCGTGCATAGGTTCCCGGACGTGCCATATTCGGTCGCCAATGCGGCCCGTGTGCGGTCCGCGCACTTGACGGCGCGACTCGCTGCCGAGCTCCACGACGGGCGCCGGTGGCCGCGGGTATTTTCGCACCATGTACGTTAACCCGCGGTCCGGGGGCCCGTAGCCGCGGTCGAAGTGCCCGTAGCCGCGGCCGTGCCCCGTGTCCTCGCGCCTGGCTTCCACTTCGTCTTCGATATCGTCGTCGGGCTCCATCGTCTTGTATCCGTAACCGGCCATGGCCGTGGCCGGACGGATGCCGTACCCCGGGCCTACGTTACGGACGTTACGGCCGTCAACGCCGCCGTCGTCGTCGTCGTCGTCTCCCTCCGTCGACTTTTCTCCGTGCCAGTACGACGTTTCGTTGTTGCCGACGCTGAAGTCGTGCGGGTGCTTGGCCGACCCGCCGTCGGTATTATTCGGCTCTACACCGTAGAGCGCCGTCATCGCGGCCGGCTCGCCGAGTACCGCAGGCGTAGCCGACAACGTCTTGGGCTGGTCCGGCTGCTGCACATCGGGAAGTTTGTAAACGGGTTTTTCGATAATCTTGTAGATCGTTTTCGTGTGATGCAGCTTTCTGATGTGCACGGGAACCGTTATGATGACCCGATCGTTTCTAGAAAAACAAAACGCGAACAAAAATAATAATAATGATACCGTTCGAGTATATTTTGAGTATATTATTGTGAAATATTTCAGCGGACTTTTCGGCCACTCTGAGCAAATGAGAAACGATGAGATTTTAAGTGGTATAAAAAGTCCAGACGATGCGTGATTCAAGTGTCGGAAGATGGACACTGCCGGCGGGAAGAAATATTATGGGCCGAAGAAAAATTTGCGTAAAAATATTATCATAGGAACAGAAGATTTAAGTCGTGAAGATTGGATGAAGAAATGGTGACGGATGGTATGGAGGTGTGGAGTAAAATAATAAAAGTGGCCGAGGTGAAATAAAGGCGTAGGAGAAGAATATGTATACAAATAATTTGTTTCTTTGGTGAAATCGAATTTTTAGTAAATATCGTTTTAACAAGTCGGAACAATAAGTTTAGCTTTCATATCAAGAAAACCAACGTGAACTGTTTTCAATTCTCAAAATATGCTCTACAGGAAATAGTCACGTCTCTTGGAGTGATCCGATTACGATCAATTATTTTTCTCTTTTGAAAAGAAAAAAGTTTCCTTTAGGGCTTTGCGATTTTATTGAGTAAGCAAAAACTACGGTTTTACAAATTGAAGAAAATTCGTCTATATTTTAATAATAGAGTATGGAAGTATAATTGTCTAAATTCCCCCCGTAAGAAAAAAAATATATCTGTATAGTCAGCAGATAATTTAGGACATTGACTTTTTCGTCATATCGGCCCCGATATTCACCGCCACTGTGTCGATATGAAAGTTCAATCGTTGTCGTTAAACAAAACCATCGAAAAACCGAATAGTTTATTATTCGTTATTTATTAGCTATTACCATTTTGGGTGCTAATCTGACCTATTTCATATTCCAATGGTGCGGATGTGGGTTTCGAGAAAATGTAAACCGTTCGGGTTTGTTTAAAATATGTTAACCGAATGAGTATGCTCGGAGTTGTTGTTCAATGTGTTTTTTTGTTTTTTTTGTTTTTACGTTCGATCATTCGTATGAGCAATATTTATCGATAGAACGGCTGATCAACTACTCGAAAAAGCGATTTTTCGATTAACCGCGATTCGTTTTCCGTTCTTCCTATTGTGAAAAAAAAAAAATAAAAATAATAATAATGATTTAAATATTCGATAATAAAACAGTAACAGCTGTACAATTTTATAAGAAAAGTGTAAAGTAACGGGAACCAATGTTTTCGGGAGACTCTCTACGCGGACCTCCACGCGACGTCCGCCGGGCAACTCCGATCGGCCGGATTTTCGCCGACCTAACCTAACCCGACCGAAATCGAAAAATAAAATAAAATTATCCTTCCGGAATCGGGCGCGAACCGCACACGCGCGCAATTCGTTCGCCATTTTAATCGAGTTTTTTTTCTCCTTTCTTTCTTTCTCTCGGTCTGTATTATTAAGAAATATTACCGTCGCGAAGCGTATGATATCAAAACGGTTTTTTTTTTTTTTTTTTATGTAACGGCGCGCGATGGAAAATCCGTTATATAATAATTATTTACACGTTATTATGGTGTTACGGCTACTGTGTTACCGGCCGGTGTGTTGCACGTCTTGTTTGTGTGTGTGTGTGTGTGTGTGTGTGTGTATTCGAAAAATAATAGCCGGCACCGGGCGGCCCCTCGCGCCTGTACATACAACTGTATCGTTATTTCGTTATGCAACTTGACGTGTTATTTGTATTCCGCGCGGAAAAAAAAACTGTCAGATCGAGAGGGGGGGGGGAGAAATATCGCCCCCTCCCCCTCCCCCCCGATCGTGTAACGAGAACCGCGCGATGTCGCGTTAAACGGGCACGAGGCGCAATGCATTGCGCGAGGAAACTGCACGCGCCTCCCTGCGCTGTCCGTGTTGAAGAAGAAGAAAAAAAAAAATGATAAAAAAACGAAAAAAAACCAAACAGATGGATATACTTCGCCGCACGACGTATGGTAGACCACTGTTGTAGGCGAGAAGTTTGCAAGGTACGACGATATAGAGGGGAATCGAATTTATATCACCGACGCGACGATAAACCGCTGCAAATGAAAAACGATTCGGAATGCAGTTTTTTTTTTACACGTGTACCCACAAGTAAATTTTCCCGTTTGTCCTACGGTTTCCCCGGGTTTTTCCAATCATTATGGAAACCGCTTGAAAAATCAAAAAAAAAAAACACCTCCCTAAAATACCACCCGGATAAAATTACCTTTCAAAAAATGTACAACACTTGAAGAACGAAGCAAGATTTCTGGTAGAAAAATTGTTCACAGATAAAAATAAAAAAAAAATAAACATTGTAAAACCTACACATTACTCGCTTTGCTTCGCATCTAAAAAACGTTTGTACACGAACTCCGGGAGGAGGAATGATGCAAGGAGATGCAATAGCAGTTCTCACTCGTGACACTCAGAACGTAAAACGTATTTGAAATCAGAGTTATAGAAATTATAGGAAAATCGCTGGTTTACGATAAATAGATCGCTCTGTAAACGATAACATCGCAGTGGCATATGTCTTTTGTAGCGGTTAACAGGCAACGAAAAAAAAAAAAAGTGTTTTCAGAGTACCCAGCGGTACGCATCTAATTTGGCTCCAATAGACTTAAAACAGATATTTTTAAATCGAACAAAGGCGACGATATTTATCGTGTTTTCACAAAGGGATGATTTTTCGTGTTTATTTTCATTAATACATATTACCTTACGGTTAAAAGAGAAAAAAAAAAAATCAACAAATTCCACTGTAAACACAATATAGTAATGGACGATTTTGTTGTCATTAATAATTAACGCCATTAAAAGCTTGTCTATGCAAACATAATGGATCAATGGGTCGTCGGTGGAATAATTTCTGTGTTGAGTCTATTAAAACCAGTGTGCACCGTTGAAACTTCAAAAATGCATTTTTTCTAAATCGCTCGTTAGACAAACAGAAACGGCCAACTGTGGCGTCTCAAAAGGATTCCATACCTGTATGTGCTCACACGTTCGTAAGGCGTAACAAAGTTTTGCGTTCAGCAGTATCAATTATTTCGTACTACTGTTAGTTACATAAGAGTGAATCGAAACTATTACCATACTTAATGGAGGGAACATTGTCTGTGTACGTCGGTTGTTTTTCTCGACATCTTACTTTTCAAGCGGGGTATAATCATTTTCAAATTGCGACATTTCACACCCGCTCGTAATCATGGCAAAGTTAAAATTATCGAAACGAACCTCGGTAAACACACAGATAATGTCCTCGACATTAGGTTTATTTTCCACGTGTAGTCCGCGGCGCCGTAGAGAAGTCACGTTCTGCTGAACGATTTTCAAAAATGGACTACCACTCGCCTTTCTCGCCCCGTGTGCCCTTCACATATTATCACGACGTTACCTACCCATGTACGATTTTGATTTCCATCACGCACTCGACGATCAATATCCAGCATATTAACGCGGACATCTCCTGTACGAATAAAAAAAAAAAAAAAAAAAAAAACAATAACAAATAAATAAAACGATAGAATAACGGCAAAGTACAATACGCGTCGACAACGCGAAACGAACGGCAAATAGTTTGACAATAACAGTAATAATCGAGTTGATGGATTTACTTTGTTAGAAGTGTGTTTCGACGTATCCCGCAGTCGGCGAACGGGCAATTATCGTTTGATTATTATTATTCAACTGCGCCGCAATTGTAATTACACACACCGAACACTCAATGTTTACGTTATGTCCGATAACTCCGACGGACGTAGGACTTACGACGGCGAATATCGTGGGCGTACGACCGCATCACTGTCAACGAAATGAAGCAACGGTCGCCGTATACCCACCGCCCGGACAGCTGCACAATACGGCCGACGAGTTTTCTTTCGTTTTCCACGAGGCGCCTTCCGGAAATGTAAAATTTCTCCGGTGTCGTTAAACGACCGACGGACATCGCAATAATATAATCATAACAATAAGTCACCGTCTGTGCATGTCACCGTCTTTTACTGTTATTCGATTGTTTTATTGTTTTTTTTATTTTTTTTTTTATATTTTCTTTCCCTTTTCGTTATTATTTAGGCGTCGGTCCGGTATTTTTTTGCAGTATTTCACATTCCGGGGACCAATCGCGTCTGTCCATCGCGCAATAATTCCCGAGTCGACTGTGACGAAATCGGTACGGTCCATAGCGAAAACGCTCCCATCAAATTAAACGCTTTTTTTTATTTTTTTTTACTTTACGATTCATCTCCGAATACCGCGACGTAAACTCGCCGCGGACGTGGTCGTCGTCCGCGTCAATTAACTAACCGCGAGCCAAAAGAAAATTCAATACAAATGAAATCGCACTCCGACGACCACGGTTTTCCACGAACTGCGCAGACTACCCTTATACCCACGTGAAATTCATTTATTTCTCTTTATCTGTTTTTGGCTAACACGCAAGCAGCATAGCGATCCAGATCAATATCAGACGAATTCCGAAAACAGATTTGGATATGGCCTGAAATGTATACACGATGACTTCGGCCAGGTCACTTGTTCGAATAGGCCAGCCTAACTTACGAAAATTCGATTTGAAAATATGGAATTTTATAAAAATGTGTAGTAAAAAATTTAAAAAAACTAAAATTGAATTATAAATTGATTGATCTCGTGTACATTTTACAACGAATACAAATCTGTTTTCAGCATTTTTATCGTTGCACTACATTGGTCGGACAGAAAATCGATCTAAAATTGTATGCTTCACGTGCGCAGCTGGACAAAGAAAGATAAGGGAATTCCCGTACCATTTCGAATTCCTTGTAAAGCGAAAATTCGTTTGTAAGTCTCACTATCTGTTACACATGTTCGTGCCACGGGAGAAAAGTTTACAACCCGCGGTATATTTAAAACGCGTGCGAATTTGTTGTACTTTGTTTTGGAAGCCATGAGTCAATACTTTACGAAGGATTTGCTAAAAATGAATTGAAAAAGATAATATTGTTGTTATAAGCCTTCACCTCATTCCCAAAACCTGCGCCGATTTCACTTTTCAACCAGAAAATTCCGTTCGATTGGGTGGTGACAATCATCTCGGTTACCAGACTATGACGAACCTTTTTTCCTCCTCCCATTTGTAATAGGATTCGGTAATCGGATAGGATTTTACATACGATAGTAATTATTGGGATTTATAGTTTGTATCCGAAAATTATTCGATTATGTTTGCATTTTATTTTTAACTAGTCCGAGTTAGGTTAATCCGTTATAAAATAGGTTAGGTTTTTGAAACGAATGCAAATAATATAAAACGAACCATTTGTTTGTGTTTGGTATTTATAACATACGTTTCGCGACCTCGTACGAGTATTATACCTAGGTATATACATATGTAATAAGAACGACACAATTTAATACATTTGTCTAGTAGAAGTTATTGTGTCGGCTGCGACGAGGACAAATATATTTGAAGGCGGTCTAGAAGAGCCTGTATACGTATAGGAATCATTGTGCTATTACGTACATAATAGTATTATTGTTGTTTGTACGGCCGTTTATTGATAAATACTCGAATGTTATAAAAGATATGAAATTTAAATTAATCGAAATAAGACCAAACACCGTCTTCAAAACCAGTGATGTAATATATCTAGCACAGTATCAAGATACTTTTTCTATTATGTATTATGTATCGGTATCTTAGATACAAAATATTGTGTATCTTAATGAAAGTATTTAAATGACTTTTTAAGATCAATTCTTGCTTTTTGGGTTCAACAAAATACAAAAATTAAACGTTAAATTCTAAAATCTAATTTTTTTTTAATAAAAATATCAGTAATTTATTGTTGTTATGTATTATTTTTTGATATCTTTATTATTATAAATTATTATGTATGAGTGTATAACTATTGTATATTGACGAGTGGATACTAAAATTATGTACCTACTACTTGTTTTTTTATAACTTTGATATAATTCTATATGTTTAATGAATTAAATATTTATAAAAAAAAATATCTGTTTAATTAAATTTATCTTAGGATACTCTTAAGATATTTCTATCTGTATCTGTATCTGTATACTAATTTAAAGTATCTTATTACAGCACTGTTCAAAACGCGTGACTCCGGGTAACCTCGGGTGCCAGAAACGCAATGAAAAGTACCGAGCTCCTGAATGATCAATTTACTGTTTAGGCGTGTTATTGTCTACAGGTTAACCATTTATCCCAATAGTTTGTAGATCCGTTTTGTTGGAACACGAAATTTTTTAGAAACCTTTAAAACTGGCCTTTAGTTTTTAATCATAATTATATTGCGGGTGACACGGGTCGAAAACTTTCACATTTAAAGCCACTCAAAATAAATTACCTAGCTTGGATTTAACGCGACAAAAAAAATCAAAAATAACTGTTTTAAAGTACCTTCCCAGTCAAATTTCCTTTCAAAAAAAGTGTTATCATTGTAAATCGGAACAAGATTTATGGTAGAAAAGTTGTACACAGATAAAAAAAAAAATAAAAAAAATAAACATCTTTGTAAAACTATAAGCTTTTTTGCTCCACTTAGAATCTAAAATGTTAACTCAGTTTAAAGTAGGTTAATTTTCCTCGTTCAATTTTTACGTTCAATATTCAATGTTATATTTCGAAATCAATTAAATCAGACTATCGAAACCGATTAAATTTAAATGCACATTCGAATGAAGCACGTTTATTTGAATTATTTGCATTTTGAATTGATTCGTCATTGATATTATCAATTATGAAGAGATAATTAGACCACAAGAGACCAGGAAACGTTAAAGATTATGAGACAAGTATATTATACATAGAATGCTTATGATTGTTCAAAGCATTTCACCAAAAATGGAAAACTATTACACGCTGACATGCAATATTTTGAACGGAAACGTGCAAACGAATGTTATGCTAGTTTGTTCGGAACTCAATATGCCCGTGCAAATAGAAGACAACTCTAATTTTTGGCGAAATTCATTTTTTAATGATTTTCTATAGAGACAATTATTTTCGTATTTTCTGTGCAATTACGAGACAGAATCTATGTGTATGGAACGTTATAACAAAATGTTGGAAAAAAAACACAAGAAAACTCAAAAGTATTTTCAACAGAATTTTAATCAAAGGACCAAGACAATTCCACACACTGTGGGTTAAAATAAACAGTTTTCATCTTGAAGAAAAATTAATAATCAAATCAAATAGAACTGAATATTTTCGATCCCGGTCTAATCTATCTAAATCGATTTTAAAATGTATTATTTTATTATTTTTTTATTTTACTATGTACAATATATACATAATGTTTTTAAAAAAAATTTGTTTTTGTTTCTAGTTTTAAAAAAAAGGAAGTTTGAGAATGTCCCTTTGAGACATTGTGGTATTATAGTGAAAACATCTATTTTTTTTTTATGTTATATGAGTAGTGGTCTAGGCGCGTCCTTGAAGTGTGGGCGGTTAGGGGGGCGGTCGCCCCCCTGCCATAAACCGTGTGATGTTCTTTTTTGTCATTCGAAATATCCATAATTCTTAAGTACAAATAAATAAAAATGTAACTTGTTCCATGATTATTCCGGATCATGGAAATACTTTGATTGAAACAAGAATGAAACACTTTTCATCTATAAATTTCAATAAATATTTTCTTAAGAGAGAGATAGAAGTTAGGAAAACTGAGTGGGAACAATCAATATAAAAAAATAAAATAAGTTTTTCGGAATCAATATTGGAAATGATTAATTTTAATTCATTTTTAGATTCTGAGTGTAGCAAAGAATGTACCTACTGAATTTACAATGATGTTTTTTTTTTTATAGTGTAGTAACAATTTCTACCGAAAATATTTATTTAATATGTAAGTTTAGCACCTTTTTTGAAAGAAAATATTGCCATATTGACTAGTTGGTACTTTAGAAAGGTCTTTTTTGATTTTTCAAGCAGTTTTCATAATACCAGGAAACCCCAGGATAAAACGTAAGAAAAACGGGAAAATTTACAAAAATAATGCTTTTATTATTTTCAATTTTGTTTTTTTTGTTGTAATTAAGTTAAAAATAGTTGTAGAGACTCGAAATTTGGACAGAAAACTTATATCCGCCTTTTCTTGATATGGTAAAATTTTTGAGCAATTTGTATAGAAATTTTAATTTTGCGAGTTTTGTACGTAATTTTTTTCAGTAGATACTCTGTGAATAACATTGTTAGACCAAACAGAAATGCTTGAGAATTTAACTTGAGGTCCATTAAAGTCGTACTTTGTGGTAAAAAAAAAGTTTTGAGCAGAGGCTAATTGAATTATCACTTTTAAATATTCATCGAAATGACAACATTAATATAGAAAATATTGTTGATCACACCGCTTGCATAACGCTACTTAAAAAAAACTATTTTGGACTTGGTCATCTAACTTTTATTATTATTATTATTATAACTTTTGTTATTCCTATTATCATTATTTTAGG